CTGCTGTCTTGTTTCTCCCTTTCACACATCGACTCGCATAAGCAGCCCTGAATGTGTTGGAGTTTTTGAAACATAGATGATAACAGTATTCCGGTTGGGGAGTGGATGAAGGCTGACAGGTGGAGAGACACAAACAGGAAACCTTGCTGATGCCCTGTCTGCCAAAGCCCTCTGATACACGTCCAAAACTCTGACGGAGGCTGAGACAAAAAAGCTAGACCCAATTTATTTCCCTCTGTTGCTATAGCCTTTCATTTTTGTGACTGGCGCCCGTGTGCTTATCAACTGCAGGACTATTAGCCGCGTCAAATCAATGTGTTCATTGCTCTTTCTCTCTTGCCTCTCCTCTTTTTTCTCTCTCCTCCCCTCCTGTCCCTCCTTCCCTCTCTCTCTTCTTTCTGCCAGACAGGTCAGATATTAGAAACCTGTATTATCAGGCCTCTCCAGGATGCTGGTGGAAAAGTTGATTTGCAACGCCCGATTGAATCTACTTATCCTTCATCCCTTTCCAACCCCCAGCCAGCTGCCCCGGCAGACAGGAGCCCAATGGCCTATCTTCTCTAAGGTGCCAAGGAATAAAAATATCTATCGAGAGAGAGAGAGAGAGGAGGGGGAAACGAGGGGGAAACTAGGAGAGGGACAGTGTCGGCCCACATGTCACAGCTTTGGACAGCTCTGGGGAGGAGGGGAATGAATGAACTCCTTGCTTTTTCACATCCTAACGCCAGTCCCGTCCCTTTCCCAAACCTTTATCTTCCAGCATTATACGTCCATTTATCAGTCAGCAAACAAAACACGTCTCACCCCCCATCCTGAATCCCACCAGCTCTGCACACACACATCTTTCACAGCGAGCTAAATTAGTCAAATCCCTGAAAGAAGGCCAGGCAGAGCAAAGGTCACAGAGGAAATTCATTAAACCACTGTAACTTGTGCTAATTGAAGCTAGCTCGCGATAAAGGAAAAACGGAGGAAAGGATTATTTATCTGTTGACGGGGCTGACACGGCTGAGTGGCCGTCGGTAGCACAAAGAGAGCCATTACGGCTTTATCTTCCTAAATAGAGGGAAAAGTGAGTCTTGGCTGCAGACGGATTGGAAGGATGAAGGGATGACGGAGAAGGGTAAGTGATGGGGAGGGTGTGGAGCTGTGGCTGGTGGAGGAAAAACAGGGGAAGAACACAGAGTGGCAGCAGCAGAGGGGGGAAAGCTCCAGACAGGAGGCGATGGCAGGGTGTATGTGTGAGTGTGTGTGTACTCAATTTGTGAATGCAATTACTGTAGACCTCCCAAGTCTGACTACTGAATCGAATCAACACTGTGGTGGCAACTCAAGTGCCTGGTTTCATTCAGCGTGCCCTTCATTCAGGAGACAAAACGGACAATTAGAGTAATGACGATGGCAGGTGTCCACACATAAAGAGGTGTCGCCCAAAAAACTTGCCTGTAAGAGCGACAGCTTTGACAAGCGAAACACTGAGCTGCAGGGAAGTGACTGGCTTAGAAATTTGTGTTTTACAGCTGCGACACAGCCACAGATCTGAGAGGACAGCTGTCAATGCGGACTCAGATGTCAGCGGGACAGAAATCTGGGGTTTGGACAGCGCTTAGTGAAGTTCAGTCCTTTGACTTTAATCTCAAACACGGGAACAAATTCCACCCTTGCAGAGCTCATTGAGTTATCGGCATGACTGCACCTGCAATTAAAGCCCCAAAAACAAACTCTATCAGCACTACGCCGTCTTTTGGTTTTCCCGCAGACGCTTTCTGACATCTGAGCCAAATGATGTTTGACTTTTGGGCCCTGGAAACTTTTAATGGAGTTCTTTCTGCAATCAACCTGGCCGGGAGAAGCTGAGTGAACTCTGACTTTGTGGTATTGATCTCCTCCAATGTGTTTACTGGCTGAGGTCACCAGAATCCCTGCTCAGGCCTGTACAGGGGTCAATAATGTCAATACAGTAAATTAGGTAATTCTGCTGTAAAACATCCCCGGATGGTCAATTTCCATTTTAGTAAACTTTATATGCGTGACACACAATTACGTTCACATGTCAACGTGTCAACTTGTCACCTGCTTTTCACTAGACAGAGAGATTGAATCTGGACAAGGGGGTATATATAACTAAAGAGGAGGATCTATGAGTAAACAAATCACCTTTTTGTCAAGTCTAGTGATAAATCAGTCCACTATTGAAGAGAGAGGATTAATGGCATTTAACCCTTTACTGCCTGGCCTCTCAAGAGATAAGGGTCAATAAAGGAAGAGGTGTTGCTGGGCAGAAGAGTGGATTTCTGCTCTTTGGTTAGATGAACTTAGTATTGGATCGGTCACACAAGGGATAATCTCTATTAACAGATTCTACATAGAATCGTAGAATCTGGGCTTGAGGGGCCAGACCTTAGTACAAGAAGTGACTTGGTTTCCATCAATGGTCTGACCAGTCCTAGACCACCAAGCTTTGGGAAATCAGTCAGTAAAACTGCTTTGGCTGGTTATAAAACTACTTCAAATGAACAGTCATGCTCCTTTTAGAACTAGATAATAAGCAAATATCTAATTATCTAAATACTATGTCTTTAAAGGAGCTTTAAGGACAATCCCATTCTCTTCTCACTCTATATAGAAAATTTTTAATGAAGTGATAAAATTGCTTGACCATATGGCCCAAAAAAAGCAATGAGCGTTGCCAAGTTTCACGCTTCTCTCCTCCGACAAAAATATCTGCATAAGTTATGATAACACAACCAAAAAAAGGAAAAAGAAGCAAACAGTGGAGTACTGAATTCATTGAGTTGAATACGTAATCTGACATACGTTCTCAATACAAAACCAAATATCAACATGAAAAACGCAAGTTCTCGAAAGAGAAGTGAGGGAGATTTGTAAATAAAACTGTCAATCAGAAGCATCTTAGTCACTTTTGAGGACAATTCTCCTACTTAAACTGAACAGGATGGCATTGACAGCTCAGGAGTACCAGACTCATAGACTCATTTACATAAACCTGAGAATGATCTGCACTTGCAAGGCGGGGACGGTGCTCTATTTGTATCTGATACATACCCAGTGTCTAGAGTCAAACTATGCACACCAGACAAAACAAAACCTAAAAATCTGCTCACAATCTGAGTACCTCCCGATCACAGACTTATCTCCTATTTCTCATTGCACTATCATCAATCAGCCTGTTGAAGAAGATGTGCTGCCTAATTGTGCAAAAGACCTAACTTTAGGTTGGTCGTGGGCTGTTGCCCTGCTTTACCACTCATCCCCAAATCATAAAGATTTGACTGATTCTACAGTTGCTGGTAATAGAGAATTAAAGCTCAGTGGGATTGTAGATGAGAACCGTCAGCCCAGGTCTACATCCTCAGAATTTAAAAGGCTGCAGCGAGGTATGCAAGTTCAGTTGTCCCATTACATAAGGCAAGTAAAGTGAGACGTGACAAACTCTCCAATTAAGACACTTTTAAGATGTTCTCCTTATGAAAAAAAAGTTGCAAGTGCATTTAATTTTGTAGTTTGTTAGTTTGCTACATAGCTAGTTTTTGTCATTAAAATATTTTTGATTTATTTGAGTTATTGCTGGCTCAGGTTTCATTTTCAGCCTCGTAAATACAAGCTTGCCTGGCTTCATTGCACTGAAAACAATATAAACTCATCCTGTAATTCAGCACCTGTTCAGACACAAAATGGTCTAAACGTGGTCAAAAACGAAAGATCGCTCGTAACGCAGCAAATAAACTAAAACATGTTTGAAATTCAGCCAAGTTAGCATTAAGTTTTGTGTGTTTTAAAAGTCTCGGGACATCAAAGTAAAGTCAGAGGCTAATAAAAGGTTGGGAGCCAGTGGTGTAGCACAAATGATGCTGTTATATAACTTTACACAAGAAGAAAAACTAAAGTCCAACATCCAAGTACTGAGTAATTTCTTCTCAGGCTTCTTTTAAATCTACCTTTTTCCTTCTAGGAAAAGATGTATGATTATACACCATGAGTCCTAAGCTCTGGGTTCATTTTCAAGACAATTTTGAACAGCAATTTATAGAGTTAGGAATGAACAGAAACATTCTGAGAGGATTCACACTCCAGGGAACACATAATGGAGGCTCCCGAGGAATAACAAAGAGGTAGTGTAAGTGTAATAAATATGAAAACCTACCAAGGTGAAATATTACTCCAAGTGCTACAGTTGAATTTACATAAAACTTGCAGCATGTAATAATGGTTATTCAGATCCAGACATAACTTCTGCTCACTTTTTTTTTTTTTTTAAAACAAAGACTACTTATAAGGGGATAGGAGGTTTTACAGAAGGAATCATGACACTGGACTAGATGGCTCTGAATTACACTGGTGCCATTTTATTTGCCTCCCTGCAAGATTGTGCTACAATTCAGGGTGAAGATAAGAAAAAAAAAAAGAAAAGATTATAAAAAAGTGCCCCAATTTTGAGAGATACACCCATTCAGTTCTGCCAAAGGTGGACACAAAAGCGTGTGGTGAATATCGGAAAAAGCTAAGAGTGGGGCTCGTGTAATCATTGGGAATGGTCGGGGGGGCAGACAGAAGCATCAGGCTCCTGTAAAGCACTCCAGACAGACACACATCACACCAGGGCTTCTGAGACAGAAGTCCTGGGCAGGGCCTATTGCTTGGGTACCACAGGGGAAATAAACTGCCTAAAATAGGCACGAGGGCAGGAAATGGATTTTATTGGAGAACTAATCAAGGGGGCCGTTTTAGTGGGGCACAATTTAGATTTTGATTGGATTCCTACTGACATCAGGGTTATCAATGTGTCTCATACTGGGAGGTGTAATTTGATCTTTGATGTCCACGCGGTGGTCTTGATGTATATCCTGCTGCATGGGCAATGACTGCTGTGCATGTGGTTATCGCAGCTGCATTTGTGTGTGTGGGTGGATGCCAGTGTGAATGGGGTCTCTGTGTGGGTAGATGTCAAGCAGGAGGTGCAGATTATAGTGACTATTATGGCCGAGGCGACTGCTCTCTTTGAATGAAGTGCCTCTCCAGTCATAAAATGAGTCAATAGAAATAATAATAAGTCCAATTAAAAATAATAGTGTCGGAGAAGAGGCCAGCAAGCAATCGGAGTCCATAAGAGAGCGTCTGCAATAAAAAAAAAAAAAAAAGTCTCAAATATTCTTGTTGTTCATTTAATGATTTTGCCTCAGTGTCAACAAGCAGAAGTAAAACTCACATATTGATTTATCAAATCATGTGTGTGATCTGGTTGTTTCTGGTGTTGCTCTTATGATGCAGAGTTAATAACTGTTGTCAAAGAGGTGTCAGGGGGTTTTGACCAATCAGAATCAGGTATTCAACACAACTGGGTGATTAGTCAGAGAGCTTGGGAATAATAAGTCATATTAATTGTTTCATAAATATATTATGCGTTTCATAACAATTGCTATGAAATCATTTCATTTCTGATTAGCCTATTTGGACCCTTCGTCCATCAATTAAAACTATGAACAAAACATGTTGACAACCTGAATGATGAGTTTTGATAAAAATTAGCATGAGGAGCCTTATATATGAAATGCACACTGAGTATGTTTGCCCAATATATATATATAAAGTAGACAAACCATGCCATGGCTTTTTGTTCAGGTATAGGCCAACCTTGAAATTAATAAGTTCAAAAAGTGAAGGAAACTTAGATTTAGTTTTGAGTCTAAGTGAAAAAAAAAACACCATCATTGTCGGCTTTTATTAGGAACTTTGTAAACAGTGCTTCCTGCTACAGTGGTCAACATTTTTAACACTCCAGTGCTTGTCAATATCACTTTTCTGTAACTGATTAAATCAATTTTATTTCACAATTAATTAATTTTAAAGACTTTAAGGTTCTGAGTTACATACAAAAAGGGGAATGGCTGAAATGACTGATCAGTGGAAGTTCTGTGGCATTTTTCTTTGCTTTCCTTCAAGTTGAGTAAAAGTTAGACTCAGTCAGCATTTCTAACATAGAAAGCAGGGTCGTCCCGATTCAACTTTTTTACATCTGATATGATACCGATATCAGTATTGGCCAATACAGATATTAATCCAATATTGGCAAAAACTTGTGCATGACAAGTTTTACAACGTCTTTTTTGGACTTAAACAAAGATACTGCCACATGGCCTAAATCACTCCTACTCCTTGCTACTTTGTTAGTACCTTAGTAAACACTATTGTTGTGATTACATGTGCTCTGCGTGGGTAGAGGTGCCAGTCAGAGGTGCTGGCCCGGAGTCTGGAATGGACTTCTTGTATCGGAGAGCTGATATTGGAGATTCTTCATGCTGGTATCCAATATCAATATCCAATCCAGACCTCCCTAATAGAAAGTGATCAAGACTCGAGACCAACGACACCACTGAGACTACCTCTGAGTTTTACGCAGTCCATGATTTTGCATTGAGCTTGTTGGTGTCTTCCTTTCTTTCTTTCTGTCTGTGATCAAAACTGGCTTAATGTAGCTTTATTTTTTATCATTATTATGAATATTTTATTTGTTTTTTGTTTTATTTTCTTCCAGTTTCATTAAAAGGAAGTTCATTTTGCTGCAGTAGTGGGCTGCTCCAGTCTCATCATGGATCAACACTCAGCCAGAAACCATCACAGCCTGGCAGTTACAGACAATAATTAAAAACAGAATAAGTAATGAATTGGCTGCTAACAAACAATGTAAATGAACATCTGTGAACAGTGTGTACTGAATTTGCTTTCATTTAAAAAACATGATTTGACTCTCCACTTGCCTGTTCTGCATTAAAGTAATCAGGTGTCAAGAAGAAAGTTTGTTTTTTGACTTGGACATCCGATGTGCTGATTTCTAATATTTAACCTAATTTAACTTTCATTCACTTTGGAAAGCAGGGAGCCTTTGGTTAAGGGGTATTGGACCCGCCAGGAGCTGGACTGGTCTCTTTGGGGAATGTGGGTTGAGACAAACCGAGCACATATGGGTGGAAAGAATGGGTGGTATAAAAAAAAAAAAGACAAATGTAGAAACCTTGGCTGTTCTGCTGTTTCCTTGAATATGCAACATTTCTGCCTTCAAGTCTGACATTGAAAAGTACTCATAATATTCTGTTAGGCTGAGATGAAGAGCAGTGGCCTGCTTTAACGGGCAACACTCTAATCCCATTTAAGTTGCAGCCAACACAGACCAATGCCAAAATATCATCAAAAGCAGGCAGCTTTGATGCCTGGGCCAAGACTTTAAAGACAGAGGAATGTGGTAGTGGGGGCGAGTGCCAGGTGGATACCACAGTGTAATTAGGCCTGAATCGAATTATAAAGCAGCATGTTAAATCTAATGTCACTTATTAGCAACATATTTTAAGTGTGTTACTGTTACCAAGAGTGCAGATAGTCGAGGAATGATACAGAAAAACCACATCAGTTAACAATGAAGTACAAAGGGTCAAACAAGTCCTCAGCACATAAAAAGCGAGGCACTCCGGCGATCCATATGAGCGAGAAACACGTGTTCCAAAGAAGGTGTCAACAATCCAGACCAAACTGGATAATGACTTTGGAGATTTTAAAAGGAGGAGACTGGCAAATCAAGCCTTCAAAAGCACGCACTGACCCAAACTTCTTTTCATGGCTTGACAGCTCATTCCGAGTCCAAACGATTTCTATGCAACTATTTTCATGTGTGGGATGTTTGCGAGATTAAAAGCACTTCAACGCAACATGCGGCGTTTGCATGTGAATGGAAGCCATACAGGGAATGTCACATCACTTATCTTTTGCATAAAACTGTGGTGTTCCTCTTGTCAGCTGCAAATAAGCCCATTGTATCCCGCTGATAAAAGGCAATCAAACAAAGTATATAATTGCGAAGTCAAGCATTAATAGCCTGTATAACTACCGCCTAATGCTGAAATAATTAAGAATGTCTCTTACTGGGGACTGGCAACGCAATTATCACCTTGATGACTGCGCCATACAAAGACATTCAGAGCAGGGACGCCGAGAAGCAAATAACTAAAATGATGGGGATAATACAATTAGAACGTGGCTGAGAGGGGCAGGAAACAAAGGGGAGACAGCCTCAAGGCTTTTTCCTACAGGGTTGCCATGTCTACACACTTCATTTGCATCCTTATAATGTTGCACAATTACACTAGATAATCAGTCTAAGTGTGTGCAGCAAGCTCATGCAGCCCTTACGCAACTATCCAAGCATCTTTATTTCTTCCGCTACCTCTTCAGCACGTAGAAAAGTCAAAGTTAACTTCCACAGACATTTCAAAGAGAGCAGGTGTCAAGCTCAGACATTTACTCAAAGCTTTATCATTTCGCTTTACTACGTTTCAACGACAGGAAAATCGCCCAAAGCTTTGGGGTAATATCCACATCAGAGAGTTCCATTTCTTTACTACACCTATATACCAGGAAATGTAATGCAATATGTGATATATACAATAGTGGACAAAGTCATCATCTATAGGAAAAAAGGGGCAAATGTTCTATTCCTCATTTTGCATTATTAAAGGCGGAGATCAAATGAAATATTCAACAGATGATATGCTGCTTTAATATTCATAGAAATGAACTTTATATTAGAGAACACATTTTTATGGGAAGTAGACTGGAGGCCACTGATTAAATTTCATTGTTTGATCACTATGCAGAGACATTATGGGGGTATTACGAGGGGACAGCCATTGCCCTTCTTTGGCAAACATTTAGGGGCGGTCTCTGATGGCCGCGCAACTTTGGCAGAGAGCGTCACAAGTTTACTGCTCCTCGATGTGTTACGACAAACTGAAACTGCTCATGTGGTAGAAGAACGGAGCCTCTTTCTGCATGAATAAAAACAGGAGGTGTGTGGGAAATATGTAAGTCACAGCATGTCTGGAAAAGCAGTCATTCATATTCATGTATTTACAAGTAAGGATATCACCTACGGCAATCAGGATTTTGCAAATATGAATAAATCAGAAAAGGTCCCCGCAGTGCAGTTTCTGTATTTTTACATGCAAGTGTGGTTCTTGTGTTGTTTTGTTTTTATTTTGTTTTGTTGTGTTTACATAAGAGCATTAAAGAGTTAATTAAGTTTAAACCCAGAGCAAACAGAAGCTCTATTTCATAACTATCAGGAGAGACCTTTCGGATGCTGATCTACTCAGACTGGGATAAGATGCTGATATACGAGTCAGGACCATTAATTTCACAGACTGTCTCTTCAAATAAACACACATGCACACAAAATAGAAACACAGGGAGAGCAGTACAAGAGCACAGGGGTCCCTGCTGTGACTCTTAACAAGATGGTATTCTCCGAGGTCACAGAGGTCCCCAGAGTTTGTGTCTACTTTTTAAGGATGTAAAACTCTACTCACGGTTTCTAACAGTTATCTAATTGGATTAGTCCTCAAAGGGAGGCCCCTTTTTCATCCCTGTCTTTTGTCCATTGGCCTCAGCACCGAGTCGAGATTAGAAGGCTCCAGACATCGAGGAGGACAGGCGATGGATTAGATGAGGTATTCTGACCAATTAAGACGAGGCCAGGTGTCTTGCTGATTGCGAGAAAATTGAGACCTCGACCGACATGTGTCTAATTCCCTGCTTGCTTCCCCGCAACCACCCATTTCCCTTCCCTCCTCCTCTCCCTCCTCCTTACTCGTTTCCCTTTCTTCCCCACCAAGGTAACCCAAGACGCCTTCCCTTGACCCCTCTCTTCCGTGGAGAGCTAATCAGACCCACCTGGAGCTCCCCAGGGCTCTGTTAGCTGCTGGCTCAGCTAGCAACAGCTGATCCAGGAAGGAATCCCTGGGGCAAGCGCCGCAGGCCAGGCACCCAATACACACTGAGTCAGGATCAACCGGGGAGATTTTCCAACTGATGGTTCATTGAACCTCGAGCAGAATCACCACCAAGCCATGATGAGGGAGTGTGTATTTTTTGTGAGTGTGTGTGAGTGCACCTGAAACTACTAAATATAGTTATAGGTCCAACCCACATGGGATTACGAAACCTTGGTGTAGTCAGTCAGCAGAAATACTGTGTTCAAAGCTCTTTACACAGCATGACCAGAAATCTAACTTTAAAGAAATGATAGTGATGCTAATTCTGCAACAGCTGCATGTAACTGATACTTAAAAGTTAGTTATATCAGCTCTGGTGCCGATTTTCTTTCTAATCTTTTGTTTTCTCACCATTAGCTGCTGTGTGTTGATCATTCGCTGTTGAGAAGTTTCAGTGACCCCTACAAAACTTCAGCCACCAGTTAGATTTCATAACAAATACTTTTTATGCGAGTCATGTCTGTGTATCTCCAACTGTATGCATACAGTAGAGAAAAACTATAGCAAATGTTTTCACACATAGGCTCTGAGATTTAGCACTCTGAGCTACAATAGACTATTGTTCTAAACAAAACAAGCATATCATAAATAAATAAATGTTTTAGTTAACAGCAATTGATGCCAGATTAAAAAAACAGTGAGTTAAACATAACACCCTATTTGGACACACAGCCAGTGAGCACAGAATGATAGCAGAAAACCTGCTCCAGGTTCAGGGTATTTTTTTTGCCTTATTTAAAGCTCCTGTATGGATTTTTTTAACATTTATAAAACAGACTAAAATTTGTATTGATCATGTTTTATGATAAACAAAAGGAAACAAGATCATTAGCAACAATATAGACAGTTTATATATTTTAACTTCTAATGACTCAAATTGGGTTGAAGGGTTAGGTGCAAAACAAGAGGCTAAAAACAGCTTTGTTTTACAATCTCAGCTTAAAATACTAACCGCAAAATATACATTTGTCTTCTAAAAGTCGTCAATATGAGATTTTCAGTCAAAAGGCATGACGTAATCATACAAAAGTAAAGAATAGCAAAGGCCACTTTGTCTAAATCTGGAAGTTCCTCACAGGAGCTTTAAGTGTGGCATTTGTCAACTTGAAGATTGTTATATTGGCATTGATCTACAAGTTTTTTTTAGTTATCTGCAAAAGTTTTAATAAACAATACACCTTTTTATATACAATAATATTTGAGATGGTGGAAATTCCCAGAATTTGACATAACCAAGAAAATAAAACCTATCCTCTCTTTAAAACCTCTATTATTCCATGTGAAAAATGTCGTATCGCACCCACACATTCATACATGTATCAAAGAGAATGATTTATACAAAGTTTGTATTTGCTTTACACACTTTGCGTTTCAATGCAGGCAAAGAGCTCCCTAACATCACAGTCAAACAACTGTCACATGCAAACAACCTCATATTCTGTAAAACATGTAACACTGATTCCCCTTAACTATTCATCAAAAAAGCAATAATAACAACAGCTTTTTTCATATTATTTGGAGCATTAAATTATTCTAATATAGCCGAGGGCCAGCTGAAATGGAATCGGGAACATGCAGATCCAGTCCATTATGCATTGTTAAACATTGATCTATGGTTTAATATTTGCTTCCCAACAGCACTGACAATGTGTTATTACCTTGACGGAGGGCCATAATGTTCGCTGACGTGACGGTGATTATTTAAATAAGCTGCGACGATAAATATGGCTCCACATGATGTGGATTATGAGCCTGGCAGAGAGAATGTGCAGATGGAGGAGTAAATTTCAAGTTTGGAGCGACTGAAAATTATCAATGAGGGGCAGTAGATATTCATTGCTTTTGTTAGATTCAACTCTGGAACAAAGCTTGAGTATAATGCACCCGAAATGGATATGAATGATTTAAGACTTAAATGTGTTAAAGCAAGAAATTCTTGATTATCTTTGTCATCAACATGGAAATAACTAGCCTTATATGCCTAAAGCTGACAGAGCTAGTGAGTCTGTCGAACTGCTCATACATTGTTAAATCCCCACAGCTGCGCCGCAGTGCCTCTGTCTTTTTCTCTATGTGCAGAAGTTTCTTGTAAATAGTTACTGAAAGATGCTAAATCAACATCAGATTGTTGCTGGAAGTTTCAAAAGTGGCTGTTTGACTGGAAATGTGTCTTGGAGCAGTTGGCATCCACATCCACCGGGGACACACACATTTCAGTTCAACTAAGGATGCAAAAAGTATTCCTTTGACAGAGACACAATAAGTAGCAAAGCATCAGCTAAAAAAAACATAAAAGCCTCTTGCCAAACACCAACTGTTATGAAAGGCAGCCGATAGCGAGCATACTGGCATCCACGGCAATTAGAGGAGAAGGGTTAGCGAGGGCTCCGCCTCCCCCAGACTCGCACGCCCGCTCCCACACCTGTTTTCTGCTCCTGGTCCAAACCACAGAGAGAGACAGGAAAGAGAGAGAGAGAGAGAGAGAGGCTGGTTACTTTGTCACAGTGCCACCTTACCCCGGCATCGTCTAATGAGATTAGATGGTTCACTAATGAGCTCTACAGTGAGGAGAGTCAACTGTGAAGTGAAGGTCAGAAATTCCATCACCCAAATGTGCTGTTGGATTTCAGGAGTCATTAAGTAATAACAAACAAATGATTTGAAGGAATGGTATTTTTGTCAGCCTCCTGAGACTTTCTCTCCTCTCTCCCTGTTTTTAATGAGCTTCTAAGGTATGGAAGTAAAAGATAAACACCGGTTTTCTGAGTTGCTACACTTCATGAATGGAACTGATTTTGGACAACCTGTCAAACAATTTTCTATAGGAAGCACAATGTGTATGATAAAACCAGGATGCCATTATAATCATGAAAAAGAGATGAAACGAACAAAAGAAGTTTTGTATCTATGATAGAAGTTTCAGTTCGATGTTGGGGGACAAAAAATGTGGGTTGAGTTCATGAAAGAAAAGGAAACATTAGCTCACAGCTGATCTTTTTAAAACTATGTGCAAACAACTCAGCAGCAGAAGTGGCTTTTTGCCTCATCTGTCCGGACAAGTAAGCTCTCAACACTGAGTTAAAGCTGTTACCAGCAACATCATATCCGATTTTTATTCTGTCTGTTGTAACAATCAAATATTGAATATCTAACACTATCTGGCATGAATTTCTCAGTATCAATGCCCCCTTGCTCACTCCTCTCATTGGTGAAGTGACAGCAGCCTTCAAGGACGAGAAGCTGTAGAGATAAGTACAAGTTTTCGCCATAAAAAATCGGTTTGCATTTCATAGGGCCACTCCCTAAGAACAAAGAGTTTGTCCGGTATGTGCTCTGGTAGAAACAAGGCAAGCCTCTTTGGAAGGGATCCTCCCTCATTGATGCAAAAGACTAATTTTGAGTTCATAAAAAGGTGATTATTCAGGTGATACTTGGCATAAAGATGTTGAATGCTCCTTGGCAACTACTGATGTGCAATCCATGTAATGTTTTCTGCAGATTCAGATCTAATCACACGTGAGCTCATATCTACTGTAGTCCTTTGAGAGGATCGGTCCACATGAGAACGACTGCAAGCTTTTTGCAATAACTTGTTCTTTTTCTAACTGCAATCTTTTCTCGACGGCCTGGTGGTGAGGTAAGCATCAGGGCAAGAAGGCACCTTTAATAATGTGCTGACATCAAGTCATACATGTTTAACCAGGTAATAGAAGGCAGTAAAATAATGATCCATATCGGCTTTTAAGACAAGGTATTAATCTCCAGCATCCTTTTTGCCCCTTTTCTCTGCCACTTCATTCAGCGAGGGTTAAAACAGATTGACCTCCCTTCAAATAAAATTAATTGTTTTCGGTATTCATTTTATTTGCCACACAGAAAAGCTGCGAAGCTTGTAAAATGTTTACCCACACGTCAGCATTTCCCGTTATTGGCACACAACTAAATGTTTGCATTTTTTTTTTTCTTATTCCAGAAGGATTTCTTATTACGTGTAAATTCCCTGTTAACCAATGATAAATAAATTTCATTTCAGCAATAGCAGGAAGATGTAATCAACGTGCAATTTGCTTAAGTGCACAAAACTATCATTTTTGTGAGCTCTGCATATTTGCAGAAGAAATATTGCACGCCAGAGTGTATTAAGACAAGGAGCACGCCATGCATCTTCACATCAGACCTGAGAGATCCTTGTCACCACTATCTCCTGTAATCTGTTTAATACTGTTTATGTCCGTCCAAATTGAACCTGTGGTATAGAATGACTAATGTCAGACTCATAATTTAGTCATAACACCCTCTATGTTCCCTATAGGGGCCATCTACGGATGCTCAGTCCATGAGTGCACTGCATGAATAGTGATCCGTTCACCCCTCACCTTTAAAAGCCCTTATGGCGAGGCCCATTCAGCTGCTCGCGCTCTATCAAGACCAAACCATCCTTCAGATAAAACAATAAAGCTCCACTGTGGACATGTGAGCATGTGCATGTGTGTGTGTGTGCGTGTGTTCAGAGTGGACTCCCATGTGAGGATGATCTCACTGACCCACGTGCAAAAGGAGAAAGAAAAAGAGAGCGCTCGAGGTGATGACTTCTCCACTCACTTAGAGAACTTTGACTTATGAGGTGCACTGCATTTAGCCAAGCTAATGCAAGCGAGGGCTGTGCCATTAACCTCGGGAAGAGAGGCAGGCCCAGGCAGTATGATGCATTCAGATTGGCAGAGGACAATATTTCACCATGACAGGCATTACCAATGAATAATTAAGTGTTTAATATAATGATCTAGGGAGAGAGAGATAGAGAGAGAAGAGAGGAGAAGAGAGAGACAGAGACAGAGAGAGGAGAAAATGGTAATTCCACAATTCATTGCCCTTAAAACCTATCTGGCATTATTACCCAGCAGCATTGCATGGGGGGGAGAGGGGCTTTTGTTGAAACAAATAGGTTTTTGATGGCTCCACCAGAGTAGTAACGGTTATTAGGTTTGAGAACTCTTTCATGATGGAAGTGGTATCCTGCCGAGCGGAGATCATGAAATTTTAAGTGGGGAATTTACAGCAGAGAGAACTGCGGGACAGTGAGGCCGTCTGGGCCGTGCCTGGGGACACATGTGTTTTGGTGAAGCACAATGGCACTCTAATGTCACAGCAAATAAATAGTTAACAAGCTGGAGATAGTTGTGCTGGTTGGAACTGCAGCTTAGCTCACAAAAGTATCGCCTCTTTTAATGTTTTACCGCAAAAATTTGGGTTTAAACAGAAGTGACACAATGTTTGGGGGAGATAAAAACACAGTCGCAACAGGGCCAAATCTTCCTTTAACAAAATCACATCAAGCAGCAGAACCCGTGAGAGAGGCTGTTCAATCAAACTCCAAAAAACTAAATCTAAAAAGTGCAGATATAAAGCAGAAAAAGCCAGAGTGATTGACTCTGCTTCAACTTACAATTATGAACATCCTCAGATTTCTTAAATGACTGACATCATGTCAATAAAGCGCAGATATCCAACTCTGCACATTTGTTTAAGAAGAAAAGCAGAAAAAGTACTACAGATTTATATCAACAGAGTATCAGATCAGGAATAATGGACTTTCAATCTTTATTTTCGACCATGTATGACATAAATAAAGCTTGACCAAGGCAGAAACTGTAATACTCCATAAATGTGATTTTCAAAAAAGTACAAGAAAACTTGGAAAACCAGACAATAACAATAGGGCGAGATTGTGTGTTTGTTTTTAAACATCATCATATGATGGTCTTTTGAAAATATTCCTCACGTTAAACATATTAAAAATTTCAACCTAGATATGGACTGAGCAGGACATGGCACGGCATAGCTTTCTCATGGGAACTTGGATCTTTTTTAGCACACGGCTCACTGATCATATAAGCTGAAGACATTCTCAGCTGAATGCATCATAAGGCCCAGAGAGCAGGTACGTTACATTCATTCACTGGCCTCAAAAGCAAATTTCTTTCTCATTCTCCTTATATTTGTTTGGTTTTTAAAATATGTGTCTTTAAGGGCATGTTTACACTGATTGTGGTTCAATAATAGCAATGCAGTCATAAGTTGGATAGCAGAACATGACTCCTCTCTGTTATTTTTATGATGTCTTTGTAAGATTTCTTCTGATAAAGCAAATATCAACAACACAGAGCAACTCAAAACAGACTTAAACAGTCAAGTCAAAAGCCACAGACAAAATTTCTTCGTCCGATTAAAAATTTGAGGGATCTGATAATCTGAATCCACTGTTTATACGGGTGCAAAGTCAAATAATCCGATCGTGACGTGGGTATACATACACCAAGCTTTATTCAGATTAGAAGCATTTGGACATGCGCAGAGTTGTCTGATTTCACTAAAACAACCGCAGAAGAAGAGTTGTAGTCACGCCTGTACTGTCAACAAACCAACAAACGCGGAAGTGACTCACTCCATCCAATTCAGGAGTTTCCCCCCTGTTAAATGTTGTCACTAGATGGCGCCCTTGCGTACTTATTTTACTGTTCTGTCAAAGGTCGCACTGTGCATGCAGATGTGACATCATTATGCTGTACGGACGCCTTGTTATGTTATCAAAAGAGCAGACATGGCACCTGCGGTTGTGTTTTTTCTTTTTTTCTGCCAGTGTCAAAAATAAAACCTCCTGTACTGACCTCAATAAATAAGCCAAAGGCTAAAGAGTGAAGATCGAGTCAGGCAAGAGAGTCACGATCAGAAAAAGTGTTACATGGACAGGTTTTGGAAGAACAATTGGTATAAACCACCCCTCTCAATCGGGATACAATGTCTTTCCGATTGAGCTGAACTGGATCAGAATCTTCCGATCGACATGTTTACATGACGCATTTTTATTTCAATTGGGCATTCATTCCGATTGTTTGTGCCCATGTAAATGCAGCTAATGTGTCTCTCAAGCTGCTGAAACATGGAGCCAAAGCAGTTCTGCAAAAACCTGCAGATGTCCAGTTGTGGTTGGCCCTGAAAGCCAAGGACTCTATGACATTACTCGTGTTAAAAAGGCTATTAATACAGCAAAGTTAAAGGGTTTGGTTTTCTAGTTTCGTACACCCTACATTTACATTCTGTCTGTTACAGAGGTTTGTAGTTTTAAATCAGATTAAAGTCCCCACTGAAACGTTACATAAATATTCTACTAAGAGCACTACTTTATCTTTAACAAAAGCAAATAAGGCTTGATAAACGTTTGTGCCAAGGCGGCAAACAATGTAAATACACAGTCTTGGAGCAATATATCACCATTGCAACCTTGGTGTATTTTCAGCTCCCACCAACTGGCTCTAACACTTTTCCTCAACTTCTCGCAAAAAAACAAATACAACCAAGTAGCCAAACTTCTCAATCAATGTTGTCCTCTAAAAGTGAGCAAAGGACTAGATTCACACATTGGCATGATTCACAGTCCACCCACGCTCTCCAAACACAGTCTTACATGTCTCCAAATGCCCAACCGAGAGCTAATTTCTCTCCTCACACTGGTGACCTTTGGCATCATATATATGTAGTGCTTGCTGCCTGTATGACAGATTCCCATGCATATTCATACCTACATATGGCCCACCAGAATGAAGCCTGTCTACTTGCTGCAGATTCTGCAGAGCGCATGAGGCAGTTCATTACCGAATGTTCTCAAACGGGTCCAGTTGAACCCTCAGGATTTGCCTGTGTGTGTGTGTGTGTGTGTGTCTTTGAGGGGCTAATAATGGGATGATTTTTGTTTGTGAGTGCGTGTGTGTGTATGTGGGAGCAGGCTGTGTGTACATGTGTTTGGACGGGGACTGCAAGGAAGAGTGGGATTGTGTTGAAAATAAGGGGGGAGGATAAGTGTGTTTGTGTGTTTGTGTGTGGTAGAAGTGATGGCTGCAGTGGGAAGTGTGCGTGTAAATGGTGGGGGTGGTACATGTCTGCATTTGTGCATGCGCTTGTGTCTTTCAGCGCTGTGTGGGAGTGTGTTTGTGCGCGCTGTGGCACACGCTCACAGGCTTCTCTTGTTTGTGAGGTGAGAAGAGAGGAAAGTGGAGTCCCTCAGCATGCCTCCACCTCCTCTTGCTCCATCTGCCCATTTCGCTCAGTTCTCCATAAATTAAAAACGCTCTACATCTGCTTTGGGGTACATTGTTAGTTGTGTGCGTTCGGTGGTTCCTCTGTTTATGAAAAATTAAACACTTTTTCTTGCATTCGATTATTCCCCAACTCCCGAAAGCCCCTCTGCAGCAAATATGACAGGGGCCTCATGCTTCACCCCAACATGCTGAGAGAACGACCTGGGTCTGCATTTATTGGAGAGAAGAACATCTCAAGAAAGTGGGGAAAAGAAGAATAAACATCTGTTCATGGAAATAGTCGACACATGTGTGAAGCCTGGAAACCAAGGCACAGGGATCTGCTTCAACAGCAGTATTTTAACACAGTAGAAGAGGACAACAAAATCAAGTGCGCTACATGTGCTGGTGTATTTTTGCGCTTGCATGCAGAAAAGAAAGTACTAAAGAGTGAAAAAAATGTCTGTATTAAGTCATTACACATCAAATGGAGGTCTGTAAAACAGCAACAACTGCCAGAATAAAAGAACTTCTGCTGCTTTTTCACTTCAGCTGTCAACATTACAGTCCCTTTGTGGCGCAAAACTCCCAAATGTGCACTTGTTTCCATCCCTAAATGGATTCAGTGACAAAAGGACTGCCCCCATGAAAAATACTCTCCGGTAATTCAGAGCATCTGTATGCGAGAGGATGTGCAGCAGCAGATGAATAGACATTTTAACGGACAGTGCAGTTAATTGGGACAAAAGGGACCACAGGATGCCCCCTCACAGCAGCCAGCCTTGGGTGGAATAATGAGAGTAATCAGAGGTTGTGGTCACAATGTTGCCCCATACAGAACACCCAGGCCACTGGGGAGGACCTGTGTTTGTCTTTGACATCGACACACGAGGCTGCAGGGCACTCATATTTGGCCATGGTTTGGTAACTGTGAGCCTTGCAGCAGAACAGGTGTAGCTGGCCGACGAGGCCATCAATCTCTCACCGGCCTGTCTCTGTAGGATTCAGGGTTAATTATCATCAAATAAGCCATTAAGGAGAAAGATGGAGGCACAGAGGATGTGGGGATGCTAACCTTGGCAAGAGAGGGACAGCTGGGTGGAAGAGTTGGGTTGACACGGCTTTGATTGTGTTGCTAAGTTACGGTCCGTGTTTTCCCTCAACAAAGTTATTTCTAGTAAGAATTCAAAGCATTAAAAAAAAGTTTCCACAACTTTTACAAGAACAGAGGAGTGGTATTACAAATACATGTTCACAACAAGGTATGCAACAGCGTGTCAGTCTGGAGCATCCTGCTTGTATCTGAAACTGGATCAGCAGCAGCTGCAAAACAATAAATAACTCCAGGACAGTGTATCCATTTCTTCTCTCTATTTCTTTTTTTTTCTTACACAAAAGGTCCAAGCAAAGAAAGTATAATCCCAACTTCAAGCAAACTTCAAGCTGGTGATTTAACTGGATAATCCTTTTCAAATTCTAAAAAACATTTCACTTTATCCTAGCTTTGTGTTTCAATTCCAAAGAAATGTTTGTCATGCATTATAATAAAATGAGTAAATAATCCAGACAGGACATAATTATAAAATAAAATGGCAAAAACAGGTAAAGTGCCTGAACAATTGACCATACTTCAATCTTTTGCGTCCTACTTCAACTTTATTTCTTTATTTCTGGGTATGATTTTTTGTTTCTTGGTAATTTCCCAGAATATCAGACATTGGATTATGCTTTAAGAGATGGTATTCTGCTTTTTTTTATATTTGAAGACAAATGTTAAGTTAAAATGTCGGGTGTCACACATGAGCAAAGATCAATATGAGATTGGCTCAAATCCTAACAGCATAAGACAGTAAGTCTCCTTAAAAGGGTAAATTTGTCATTTATACAAAGAAACACAACTTATTTATTTATTTTTTGCATGGCAACAGTAAAGGAAGCTTCTGGAATGCTGGGTTAAAGGGACTGGTTTAATGAAGCATCCCAGACAGTGGGTGATATCAGTGTTTTCAAAGACGGCAACTTAAAATAGGTGAAGAATTTATTCAACTCTAAGTCGTAAAACTGCTAAAAGCTATCAGAGACGATTTTAAGACTTAAAAGTTTGGCTACATTATTTCAAAACTACGTTCAAGCTCAGTACAGCTAGATAGAATCTTATTGATTGGTGGGACAAAGTCGGAAAAATAAGCTAACATTGGTTCAGATGGTAATTCCAGTCAAGCACTGAATGGCATTATCTCTCAGTAAATGTTAATCAAATACTTGTTTCCATTCTAGACATAGACTGTGTGGAGAAACTGATTGTATTTTGCCAGGAGTTTATGACTTTCAACCCATAAGGCCATGTTTTCACAGACAAAAAGCTGATGAAACTGTCCCCTGGCCCGCCAGCAGAATGGACAAGCTTTGATCACTTTTGGAGTAGGAATTTAATGACGGACTGTAAAATAATTTGACCACTCTGCTCTGGTTATCAAGAGGGAACACGTTCTCAGGTAAAAAGTAATGACTGGAAGTCTCAAAGGTTTGAGTCTATGTTAGAATTATATAGATTCATACCTATATAAAACACCCCCATAAAGTGCTCCTTTTTATTGCAGTGCCCCTGTAGTCTTATAGGTATCCATCTCATCCTGGAATACTTCCTAATGCATAAATGGAGAATGCCATTAGGGTTTCTTTTCATGCTCTTAACATATTAATTGGCATTGCGGCGAATGTCAGACCATACAGTAAATTGTATCCGGTGAAGTCAGCGACACCTGACCTATTGAAAATTTTACAGTGTGCTTATACCTTCATTTATCTACTCAATGTGCCCATGAATATTTAAGGTTGACAATTAAACCCCAGCTGACCTACAGGACAGAGCTGGACCAGAGCTGTCAAAGTGAGGCAGCATAAACGCGCCCACGCAATCATACTCATTAAAAACCCCCAAAATGCAACTCCCCGCGCTCCCACCTCACTCATCCGCATTGTGCTCTGTCACAATGTCACACGGTCACAGTGACACAGCCTGCATGTGACAGGCAGATTACATATGTGTCATGTTTATGGGGGCTTCCACAGCCCTGGTTTGTGTTTGGTGTATGTAAATGTTTGGGCAGGGTCAGAGTTAATGCATGCCAGTATCCTGCTTCACCTTGGTTTGGCGATGAAGAGCTGAATGTGTGGGGGAGTAAGAAATGCTAAAACTGAATACTGAACACTGTGATAGCACGTTGCATGAAAACAACACCATACTATGTGCTACACTCACATTTGTTTGCAGAACTAGCCCAGGCAAACTCCACGTCATTACAATAAGGTATAAAAATATACATCTCAAAGTACTTTTCTCGGTTTTTACACCAGTGATGTACTTAAAGCTCATTGTGGTTTTTGTTATGAAAAAAAAGGTTGATGATAAACATTTATCAGCATAATTCAGTTAAGGAAGTTCATATTGGTCTAAAATGAAAATGTTGTTCATATGAAATATGTGTTTAAGCATGTTTTTAATGCTCCAAAGTGGCCAAAAAGTTGCTTTCTTTAGGATTATAAATGAGAACTGAAGCTGTGTATCCATAAATAGTAGGTGTATATATATTGTTTTATCATAATGTAATGGAAAATAGTATTTGCCAAACATCAAATTATTAACCATGCTGGAATGATGTGGAAATTGAAAGTGACACATCCCTACAGTAATAATATATGGAGTTCGACCAATCCCTTCCTGATGTCAAACTCCCCAGCTTTATCTGATGTGATATCCCACTTACAGCATGCCTCATTCCCTGACAGATATCCATATGTACAGCCTAAATGTAATAGCCATCACATTATGCTAGACTGATCAGGCTGATTTAAAACGCCTCTTCACTGAGAGCCCATGCTGTCACCTTATTTTCATCTCCTGCCTTGTGTTAGTGCATTTGTCCTCTGAATCTGAGTTATACAGTGGTTCCGGTCCTTAATGACGTAAATAATGTAGCAATTTCATTGAATTCAAGCAGTCCTATACAGATGTCGTCTTTCCTTCTTTCATATCCAGCATGAGCCACAGTGTCTATAGGTCAGATTACTTTTTCAAATGGTATGAAATATAAATGAACCAAAGCTTTTTCTACCCCTCTAATCACTTCCTTATATTTTTATCACAGTGGCCGTGAGGATGGAGAGGGAATGACTTCCCATTCTAATCATATCGGCATACCCTGAGGTTAAACCTTCCATTTTGCATACCAGAAGAAATGGCACTGAAAGAAAGCCTGATATACCGTTAGTGTTAAATATATGTAAAAATTATTCCATTTATCATGCTTCAGCAGTGCATTATGTCAAACGTAAACCCATCAATCAAAAAATAATTTAGGACGAGTCAGATATAAAAACTTGCTTAAAGTTTTTCCAGTCCATCAACAAGGCTCTTTCCAAACTTTCATGGATTGACTGATTCTACCCAGACGTGAACTCTATTACCTCCAAGCATCCCGAGCATCCATGATGCAGCAATCTCATACAAAAACATTTTTCTCCAAATTGTCTCACACTTTGACATACCCATTCCTGATTCTTTTCAAACCCAAGTTTCCATTTATGAAAAATGTCTGGTTAGGGATCTATCATTATGGCAATCACTCGCTCACTGTTGTATCATTTTGCCTCAAACACGCGTCTCATCTGAAAGCCTGTGGACTGTACCACGGCCAGTATTTCTAGATACACTATTATTTTGCACAAACTGTGATCTCCACAGGCAATCTGCATCGAGCTGTGGCATGTGTTTGCCATGGGAATTGAAATCAGACACCTGTCGGGGCGCAGAGTTTTTTTTTTTTTTTTACCTCTTCAATACAAAAACCAGCGAGGCATATCAAAGCAGCCGAGTGAAAATGTCTCCTTGTGGAGTAAGAGAAAGTTAGGTTGTAAAATCAGAGATGTTGTGGTTGTCAGGCTTTGGGGACTAATATAACACTCCTCCTTGTTGCCTCCATCATCACTGACATCTGGGACAGTAATCATAGCTTAAATGGAATCACCAGGATGATGACAGCTTTGTGGGTTTATCGTTCTCTCTAAATAACGCCACAATACATTACAGAAAAAGCACCGACAGTTAAAATAATGGGTATCGGATATTTCGAGTGACCACAGGATTTTGTTTATAAACTCATGTTATTATAATCCCTTCAAATTACACTCATTTTGTACAAGAAAAAGAAAAGATATTAACAACTGATTGAATCTACCCATCTATTGATTTGAACCATCCTCTTTTCCCCCTTTTAAAGTCTGTTAAATGCAGCTGTGTGACATCCAGGTTTGAGTTAGCAGTTTGGACCGCTCTGTTGTGGAAATGTGTCCCTCGAGGACGGTTTCAAATGTCTGATTCCCGCTCCTGGGGGAAATAACAGCAGTTGTGAATGCTATATTGACAACGTTCCTTGCCCTAGTGTTTTTACTGTGAGGCTGGGATCCACTGTATAGTACAGCACAATGAAAAAAAAATGATGTCAAAGGGTCACAGGATTGAATCCAAGTAAAGTGGCGAGGAAAGATCACAGGAAGGGAGGCAGCTTTATGCATTAACAGCATGATTCTGCTAAACAACTCAGGACAGTGAATTAAAAATGTTCTACCTGCTGCTATGTGATGATTTTTATCTTGACAATCATCTTGTTGGACTAAGTTACTTTCTTGTAGGCAGTTCTAGCTTGGTGGCCGAGTAGGTCACGTCTCTACCAGAAGGTCAGAGGTTTGATCCCAGGTCCCCTGTCCACATGCTGAAGTGTCCTTGGGTAAGCCACTTGACCCCAACCTGAACCTAGAGGTGTGTGAATGGGATTAGATAAAAACTGATGTGCGATTTACATAGTAACCTTTACCATCAGTGTGTGGATGTGGTGTGAATGGGTAAAAGTGACATGTAATGTAAAAGCTCTTTGAGTGGTCTGAAGGCTAAAGAAACTCCCTTTACCACATAAAGTGAGAAAAAGGGTTTCAAGTGTGAAAAGTTGGTATAACTTGTGCGCCCAAGTTAACACCATTTGGGAATGATTTATTATCTTGTACATGCAAGCAACGATGTGAAATATCTTGTATCAACTTATAAATAAAATAAGGATATGATCCTGTGTGCAGAGGTGACATATCTTTTCGATCATTAGTCTTGATATATCTTAAATTTATCAAATCCAATGTGAAACTGACCATCGTATTAAACCAAAACTGACACCAGCTTGTTTGTATCATGCAGACCTCTATTATTATATTATTGCTTTCATTTCCCAATAATGAGGTTGGGGTGTACTTTATTATTTCTAATGACATGCTTCTTTTGCACAGCCCCGTATTCTCTATGTAGCTTTACATCAGGCTTTATTTTCCCGACCATGAAAACGTTTTTGTGCTTTCCAATCACATTTAATGGGTTTAAAATAAATCCTGCCTGTGACTAAATCCTGCCTTAATATCCAATTTCACTCAGAAATATGTTACATTATTGGAGATAAAGATACTTAAACTGGCTTTAATGGGACAACTATCAGCTAAGTAGAAAGTGTACTGTGTTTTATTTGTTTTGGTTCTAGTGCATACTGTTAAAACTGAGGGTTACTGTAGTGCATTACACTGTGTACAGCCAACCGATAAGACCTCCATTAATTCTACAGCATTTACTCTGCCTATATTACATATGGTACCACTAATTCTTTTTGAGTGTCTCATGCAAATTCATCCGCTCTTATCTCCGGGACTTCATCAATCTGCAGTTGCGTCCATGCCAGCCAACTTCTTGATCAGCCCGTGGCTTCATTAGCTCAACCTTTTTTCCAGGAAATATTCAAACTCAAAGTGAGCCAGGTCAAGCAGGACCGCACAGCCAGGGATTGTGATTCTAATCAAGTCGAGGAGGACAACATGCACCCGTACTTGTTTAATTGGCTCATATAGCCATGTTGAGCAGGTGCTGATACGCACATGCACTGTTTTTCCACAAGTGCGCTGCTGCTCCTCCAGTATCGCCCTTCACAGGCTCAAGAGAAGCAAAGAGGGCACGTAAATGGATAGTCCGCTTGAGATATCCTTTGAGTAATTTCACCCTGTACATTTGGAGCTTCGTTTAGAAAACCCTCCCCCTGCCTTTCTCCTCTCAACACATACACTATAATATAAAAAAGAAACATTATTAATATTCACCAGAAATTACGGAGAAGAGCAGGAGAGCATTGCTATATCCAGATGGATGCCCCTTAAATCTGTCTCCAATTAGGCTCCACTAACTTACATCTTCCAGTTGAATTCTGATTAGCTGATCTGGCAATTTACAGAGCCCAGCTGGAGAGCACTTGGTCCCCCTCCTGAGTGCAACCTAGCTGCCTTTGAGTATTGTGAACCTTTGATCAGTGCCCCCTTATTACCTGTAAAAGCCAATACCATTAAATTTTGCATCGCCTCATCTCCTTGTACATAATGCCCCCCTCTCCTATACCAAAGATCATAGGCTCATGTAATAGGAAAAAAAATGCTCTGTGTTATGTGAAAGTAAAGCAGATGATAATACCTTTTAGTTAATATATCTCACATCTCCTCAGTGTGATTATGAGCCTGTGGCCAGTGTTCTGTCTCAGTAGCTAGCTACTTCCCTCTTGTGGCCAACCAGGACACAGAGACGCCTGAGACGCTTACTGAGGTCAACATGTTCACTTTCCTCCTTCCTGCATTTTTTAAAGCAGGAGGAAGAAGATTAGAAATGTGTATAGCTCAAGACCACTCTACTGACATTCATCTTCTGTGCACCCCTCCAACCCCATCCCCCCATGGTCCCTGCAGGAAGTGGATCACCAGGGGAGCTAAACCTTGCCCATTAACATATAGAGTCTTTATTTAAATCCCATTCACTTTGCCATCCATTTAGAAGAGTAATGCTGCCAGGTTACAGCGATGGCATTGCACGAGGCCCTGATTGAGCTCCAATTTGATCATTTTATCTGATTGCGAGGTAAACAGCACCATGATTGATAAGATCTCATTACAATAGGAAAGTGAGAGTTTAATTTCCTGTACATGTTCCATCTTTATTAATGTCAGAGGCAGCGGGTCGTCAATTGCATTACCGGCCTTGGCTCTCTGGCTGTAGGCATCCTGTTTGACATAAACAAGGCCAGCGAGGAAGCTTAAAGGGATTACATTTGGCACGATCCTCCGGCCAACTTTGATTCGGTTTTGGCATTGATTGCGAATCTTACAGTGTAAATTCTTTACAACTTTGAGCACCAATCAAGACTGAAATCATTAAGTGTTTTCCTGTTTGATTAATCTGCATTATTGTTGTCTGAATGAGTCTCTCGAAACGGTTGCCAGAGTGGCAAGACACCAGCTGGTTGGAGAAACAGCAGTCGTGTTGTCTGTCAAGAGGAGAATCCACAGAAGAAGACGAAGAATGCAGCGACTATCACTTTGACACCTCTCGTCCACTGAAGGAACAAGTGCGGCGAGAGAAAAAAACACAAACTTCAATAATAAACCTGTCAACACTCCAATCTGAATACCCAGGAGCCACAACTGTCTCAACTCTCCTCCCTTGGTGATAGTCATCATCACGGACACTCTCCTGAGAGACAGCATCTCATCTATCAGTCAGTCACACGCATTCACACACGTTCACACACACAACCCCCTCATCACATCATCTCTATTTGTCCCATTATATCCTTAACACGCTCTAAAATACCTCTGCTTCTTCAGGAAGGCAACTGTGCTGGGTTGAGGGCGGTTGTGTGTGCATACGTGTGTGCCGTCAGTGGCTTCATTACCAGCGCCGGCTATTGCCTGGGCCTGTCGCTAAGACTCCGAGACAGCCTTGTTTGTTTGTTTCCCCCACGCTGTAATCCTCAGCTGAGGTTTGACGTGCAGCGCCAAGCCCTGGCTGTGTTACCCACGGGCCTCTGGGAGCTGAGGCGCTGTGGCACGTATCAGGAAAAAAGAGAGAGAGAGAGAGAGGCACAGGAGACGTCTACCCTCTGCACCTGATCATTACCATGCTAAATTTATATTGATTGCTGTAGCTTAAGAGCTAAATGTGAGTTATTCCCCTGACGCACTCTTCTGTGTAGGATCTGTGGTGGTGGGCTGCTGGGTAATCCAGAGAAACCACAACATGTGCTCTGTGTTTGGCCACTCATATGACAGTACACATTATATATTGCAAGGGAGCATTTATGTAAACCTGACCACCTCTTGGCAGTGACTTCTGAAGGTGAGTTAAGACCACAGCTGCAGAAAAAAATCACCTCAAATTACTTCTGAGGTGTGCTCAGAAACAGGTCGTGGTTGTTTGGTTTACTGGATAACTAACTGTCACAGGAACAGAATTACTAGACAACAAATGTATTAATTATATTTGTATTACGGTGGGTCCAAAACGCTAATTGAATGCCATGTCTGCTGAAGTGCAGCCACCTACCACTCACTAGGGCTGTAGCTCTGGCAGTATTAAAATGCATTAAGGACATAATATCCAGAGGGCATCTTGTGGGGTGGCGTAGTTTGGCAGTATTGGAGGTAAAGTTGTTATTGGGCTGTGTCTAGTTGAACCAGCATATAACCACATAAACAGAGCAATGTTAAACCAGCACAGGTATATAGTCTTGCAAGGGGGACTGAAAACTGGTAGTGCAAGCTCTGCTAGCTTTAGCAACACTTCTGTCATTGGCTGATTAGGATCCCATCTTGAGTCCCACTCAAGATGGGATCCCACTTTCAACTTCTTTAAAGTGTTCTCAGTGGTCTTTAAATTGTTATTATGAAGTTTTTACCAAAAATCGCATTACCTGTGTCATTTTCAAAGGCTTTTCTTCTGCAAAGCTCCAGTAGACCATTAGCAATTCGCCTCTGAGTCATGGGCACACACTCATCTTCATGTTAGCTTGGAGTCCAACATTTCCAGTGTAGTAGAAGTGGCAGGTAACATAGGAGCTATTCAACTCTCGGACACTAATGTCTTTGGGGACATGATGAAAGCTAATATCATAATTAGCTTTCTTACGAGCATTGCAATCCCACGTCTGTCTGGTCTGTAGTCTGGTCTGTATAGCAGGGCTCCGGGGGCGGAGCTTGGATTGATTACGTAGGAAATCTCACTGTTTCTGAACCTGCTGTTTGGGTCTGCCAGAGATTCACAGCGATTTGAATGAAGAAATACTCAGAAAAGCAATTACGCATTTAATTTTCTCATATGTCCTGTTGCATCACAAAAATGCCAAGAAAAACACGATTTTCATCAGAGTGGGTCTTTAAGCCACACTAAAAAAGGAAGTTTTCACAGTTTCCTGGGTGTTTTTCCCAAACAGACATAATTTAACTTTCTTATAAAACAACTCTTGTTATGTAGTTTAACAATGCTTGTTAATTAATGTAGTACTTGTTAAAAAATTGGTCAAATTATTCACATCCTGCTGCAAATTTGTAGTAAGTATGAATGGAAGTTTCTCAAATCTGTGTGCATAAAGACAACAAGACAACTTTCAAGGCTATAGTTTGTTGACGGAGGTTGGATAGAAATTTTCTGATACATCTTATTAAACGAAATCAAAGGAATGACCGGCATCAAGAGAGTTTGTCTGCATGTATGTGAGAGAGGGATCAGCTGGTCCCTCAGTGTGATCAAGACTTTTGAGACTTCCAGAGAAGACCTCTGCTACAGTAGGTGACAACATGACCCCTTTTCAGCTTGTTTTCATTCCTGGTAGGCCTATTACGTATCAAAACAATCAGCATACAACACTTTGGGAGGCTAATGAGATGTACAGTGAATGATGAAACTCTCACATTTAAAGCCCTGTACTGTTTGTTTGTACAATAAGTTTCGTACTTTTTACAACCTCTCTTCGTCTGTCAAGGTTTTTGTTTACTACCTGACTTCTTTACATATCTTTAAAAGTACAGTTTCACTCAGTGACAATACATCAACTCTTTGATCAACATGTAAGCGTCCTATATGAGCTATTCAATTTAGTGGGATTTAGTTAGACAAACATGTTTACCTGTATTTCAAAAGTCGAGTTTCTAGTTGGAGTAGCTCAGTGAATCCAGACAGATGACACAGGTCCCTGTACGCCAAAACAACCCGACACAAGAGGTTTCACCGACTAATCATCTAGCCGACTACTCTAACCACTAGTTTTAGCTGTAGGCAACAGTCAACACCAAAGGAAAGGGGGCTGGACTTTGCTGGCTGTGTGGTTGAAAGCTCCAGCTCTAAGCTCTAAAAGTTGCGCTATGAGCAAGCAGCATGAGATGCATCAACTATTTTCATTACAGAAAACAATTTTGATTCCTCATCAGAATCATTTTTTTGTACCTTCCTTGGAAAAAGACCAGTCAACCAGTCAAAAACTTTGACAGCTTATAAATATTAGCAGTCCTGAAACCCCCCTATCTGACACAAAGACAGTTTCTTATTCCAGGCTGTTGCTCTGACTAACTTGTAATGGACATAAAGAGTCAGAACAAACACTGTGTGATATCCCTGTGAAACACAATCACATAAAGAAGGATCATAACTTTATCATAACTATCAATCCTGTCATCTACATATACTCATGCACAGTTATTCATGTATTGTAAAACCATGAATAAATGTCAGTCAATCTTATCTGTATCTGGCTGGTTTACAATAAACTCTATCTTACATCTTACATACGGTACATACTGTACATACCGTACATTAAGATAAGAATGAGCACAACCAATTGGGAAAGGACCAATACAGGCTTGTACATATTAGTATAATGCTCTTCTTTGGTGTTGTACAGAAAGAGAAAGGTTTACACACACCCTGTATGAAGCAAAGAAAGCTTCTTCTAAGTCTAATTTCTTATGATGTCTAAGCCAGTGTGCAGATTTGACTAGAAGAAGGGCAGACCAGGAGAAACTGGAGTAATAGCAGATGAGTAGTTAGCTCTTCAAGAGGCTCCAATCCTCCAATGAATAAAGTTGTGTGTTTGCGCTGTCTCTTTCCTCCTGCAGGGCAGCTTCATCGCTCATATGCATATGTGCTTGCCCTTGACATTATCATCAGCAGATTTGTGCTAGGGGCCCCGAGGTAAGGTTGAAATACTGCTGAGGCTTCTGAGAGAGTGGCCCGCTTTAGAGCAAGTGTCCAAGGGCTAAATACGCACCCAGAGACGGAGGCAGAGGAAGGGAAAGCTCAGTAACTGAACCTAACAGAGCAGCCCTCAGGGGACAGCAGTAATTAAACAGTGATTAAATTAAGGGGCAATGCGGGCAAAATGCAGACTGATTGACACTCTGCTGGCTTCTCTCTCTCTCTCCTCATCTCTTCCTCTCTCTTTCTCTCTGCGGGTTCAGCTTTGTCGTGGAGCATTGCTTTTCATTGACCTCCAATTACTCACCCACTCTGAATTCTTCAAGGTCCAATTTTCGAAAACTATTTTCTTAACTGTGTTAAGAGCATGGATCACTGCACATTTGTCTCTGAGAAAGCTGAGCTGCAGGACTGGAACCATAGGAGTTGGACTAAAAAAAAAAGCACTTAAATGCAAAAAAGCCTTTGTGCTTCCAATACTATCAATGTTTACTTCAGATAAACTCACAAACTACATCTGCTCTGCCATTGCACCCAGAGTGCTATCAGTCTTTACTACAGATAGACTCACAAAAGTACAATCACAAGAAACTGCCACTGATTTAAAAACCATGCTCATGCCCCTTTTTCAAGCCCGTAGCCAGGCGGCTTTAGAAGTGCCTTATCAAATACTCTCCTAGGGGGGGAAATACTATAAATTACCTTTGGTGACTCCCTAAACCCAGAGCAAATAGACAGACAGAAGAGCTGAGCAACAGCAATAAAACCAGCTTTAACAAAACAATCAGAAAAACCAAGAAGCTGAAATTGCCTTCCTCCAAATCTATGATTCCCTGCACGTTCCCGGCTTACCCTGCTTGCCACTGTGCACCGGGTCCTCAGGCCCCTTGTATAGATTTTTATAAAGCGGGTCTTGTGCTTATGAAAATACGTACTGAGGGTCCTTAAACAATCTGTTAAGTCTTCTGATAGTGAAGAAGGTCCTCTTAGTGTGTAATACAAATTCAAATAGCTCTATGGAGATAGATTACAGGGCAGACAAAGAACAGAGGCCCACTTTAGAGGATGAGTTCAAGATGACAGGTATTGATTAAGTGCTCAATGAGAGCACGCCTATGAAAAAGCCAGCCACCACCACAGCTCATGAAAGAATCATATAGCTCATACACAAGGCGCTCAGCAAACATACAGGCATGAGGAGGAGGCAGGAGCACATTCAAGCTTGTCATATCGCAGGCCCAACAGTTGACAACCTGCCCGCTTTTCTGCGTTTAAAAGTCATTAAAAAATGATAGCAAACTTTTCTTAAGTATTTATAAATGCTATAAGCACCTATACATGAAAAATTATTGAAGGAAACAGACATCAACGGTGGGAAGATAAGTGTGCTTGTGTGGCTTTGCCCAGAAAGACAGAAATGATTCCTTATGCCAGAATCCATTACTCTTTGGTTTGAGCAGTGCAGTTTGACACCACACATTGCTTTACTCCTGACACCGCTATTGGAGGGGAAAAAAAGAGGAAGGATGTTCTCAAAGATAACATGTGAATTTAATTTCTTGGTGAAACAGCGGAAACTGAAAGACTTAGCCTTCCCAAGCATAAATTGTGCAGGTTGTCAGAGTTTGTGATGATGCCGCGCGAAGACAGCCGTAATCGCAACCGCGCTGCCAGCCTGACCCACCTCATCATCCTTGACATTTAGCACAGCGCCGTTTCTCTTTCCCTCTCGCTCTCTTCTTCACAGTAAACAAATATGTTTTCACCCTGATTTGTATCAGTGGAAGCAGAGGACATGCAGTGACACAAAGTGGAGAGAACTTCCATGAGAGGGCTGGAGGAAGAAGGGGAAAAGATGTAGAGTGAAGATGGGGGGGAGGGTGGGTAGAAGTCGAGATTTGAGTGAGTGGAAGAAAAGATACAGAAAAAACATGAAAAAAGACAGAGAGAGCAGATAAGTAGGAAAAGCAAGCGTGCCAGACTACCACCTTACAGGGGGTATCTGAGACTAATCTCTAAGGAAAGCTGTCAGGTCTCTGCAGACCATGTTCTGACGGAAACTAAGCAATAAATGCTTCTTTAAGCCATCATAAATATGCAGCTTCCTGCCTCACAGACCTGGGTCCGAGCTCATTATCCTCTGTCTGTACTGGCAGGTTTGCATGCCAAGTTACAGGCAGGATCACTAAAAGCCCCTTAACGTTGGCCTCAGTGGGATACGTGGCTCACTTGTGGGACTAGAAAGCAGCCTCATCAAATCAGAGAGCAGGTTTTTTTTTCTCCTCTCTTCCTTCAAAAACATGAGCTGAGTTGAGAAAAATCCATACTTGACTTGTGAGGTTTGCTCAAATTTCCTACTGCACTCAAACAAGCTGTAATTGTTCAATGAGCAGTAAGACTCTCAGAGTGAAAAACCCAAACATTAAGAATGTATGGTTTCTATTTTTTTCCATTATGTATGGAGCTATATGTGGTTTTAAAGGTGGATTGTATGAATAATCAAACAGAATGGAAACATCTCCATTCAAATCAAATATGTCAGAAAAGAGCACTTCACAGACACATCACCCAAATATTTTCAATCTACGATTTGAGATCTATGAATAGCATTGACAAAAGGCACATTTGACTTGATTACCTCTTGACATTTTCCTCTGTGAATGAAGGCAGCAGTAGATAAGGCAATCACAGAGCTGACACGGTGTAAATATATAAATATGCTCATTTATCCCGGTCTCCAGATAAAGACATAAGGGCACATGAACGCATGAATGGACAATGTCTCCGAGCAGCCTCCCTGCTTCCCATGCCTGTCTGTCTGTAGAGGCTACAGTACAGCAGCATGCCCTTCATTATCACTGGGTAATGCTCATCACAACAGCCGTGGCTTTTCTCCATAAAAACCCCCAAGTCTCACTCACAATGAGAAATAGGGGAGATAAGGTGCGGGAGACCATTTCTCTTGACATTCACGACGGCAAACTCATCAGTCATGCTGTCAAAGGCACTGGTCCTGGCTAGTTTGGGATTTATGAGAAATAATGATGGGTCGAAAAAAGCCGGTGAGGGCTTTCGCTTTTACCTTTGGTTTGGGAGTGTTGTGTATTGAGGCACGCTCTGCATAAAACCCAATTTCTTTTGTCAGTGACCCTTGCACTGATTTCACATCCAATCTCAGCATGTTTGGGAGGTTTGGCTGAGCCCTGTTTGAGTTGGCGCTGACATTTCCGCCTCACATGATAAAGGAGTACGGGGGTATTAAGTTTATTTGAAAGAGACCACGTCATCATAAGCATTAAGAATGGGAACTGCTGCCTCCAGAGTATTATTCAAGGAAGGGTCAAGGCCTCTGTGGTATTAATCAGACTTTAATTCAACTTGAAGAAACCGCACAGCTCTGACTTTAAAAGAACTTCCGTGTGAACCTGTCATCCCTGGAACCATGTCAGAAAATGGGACAACAACAAAACAGTAATAGCATGTGTCAAACACTCACATTTCCTCTTCAGACTGGTGACAGGCAAGGCTGTGACAGATACTCCCAGTGCAATTCTCCTTGTAAACATTCTGGGACACACTACCATCAGGTCGCAGCAGTTATTGTGTGATACCACAAGGTCTATAAACTTAAAACGTAAATTTTTCATCCCAAAGTCATTTGAAAGTGGATTTCAATATTGCTGAAAAGGCAGCATAGCCGAACCATATAGCAAAACCACACAACTATAGATTATAGTTGGTAGGACTTTTAATGGGATCCCTATGGGACCCTACAGCAGGGATGTCCTCAAGCACCAAATTATTAGTCAATTTCGATTATCAAGTTTATTAATTACGATCCTTAATATATCTTATTAAAAGTGCCAGGAGATATCGCCTAACTACCTCAAAGCTGCAAATGAAATGCTCGACATACATCTACTCTAAATATATTAATGAAATTCTTGATTGGCTGGGTGTGGAGCTCGCCATCCACTCGAAAGTTCATGAACCAAAAATGAAGGCGCACCTGCTAAAATTGCTCAAAGTGCAACTCTGCCTATCACCAAAGTGTTGTGAAATTACTGGACAAGAGAGTTTGGGGCAATTTTGATTCAAGTGCGCGAATGAGACCTCTCAAAGCTTGAGGGTGCTTGGATCTGCGTGGAAATTAAGCCGTGAGATTGTAGCTGAGGGGATGGGGGGATTGACAGCGACATTAGCCCCTCAGCACCTCTGCTATATCACAGCATGGCTCTGTGTAAAAAGACAGACAGGAATAGCAAATTAAATCTTCTTAATAGTAGCAAGGGATGTACAGTCAGGTTGGTTTGAACTGCAGGAGCGGACAAGAGCAGGGCATGAAGGGTGGTGTTTTTAGTGGAATTAAATGAAGTGGATATGAAGTGTTTTGGTTAATGGGCCTACTCCAACCAACTTCATACAGAAGCCACTGTCATATTTATATCAATTTGAAATACTGCCCTATTCTTGAAATGAGTTCAGAGGTCACATTCCATTCTTTGCTGCTAATTTGGATAGATTTATTTAATTCATTATGTAGCTATCACGAGGAGCCACCAAAGAGTTACTCAGTGAGAAAACACTCCAAGCTCTCACAGCGAGAGTTGGCTTTTGTTGTGGCGTTGTTGATGGTTTTCTCCCTTGCTGTTTTTTTTTTTTTTTTTTTTTTTTTCCTTCCCAGGTTCAGTGACAATCCGGAGTCACGGAGACTAACCTTAATGTAGACAAAGCCAAGTCGGCAAATCTTTGCACAAGCAACATGCATGAACGCTCACACTTTTAACAGTAGGAGGTACACAGAGGGAGCAGGGCGTTTTTCAATGCATTTAGATGAGACCTTTAACAAAGGTCCCTAATGCAGATATCAATGAAGCAAGGGACTGGGCTATCGGTGCAAAATTGGCTGACAGAGGGATGTCACCTCTGTGCATGAAAAATGATGGATCCCATTTGTAAACTTCTCTTCTACCCTCATGCCTATCCTCTACTGCTCCCCCCTCCTGCACGGACATGGACACACGCTTTACCCCCCTTCACCATCTCTACCGCCATTGGTTATTAAGCAAGGAAGTGAACCCATGAGTTTCCTGGCAAATAACAAGTGGTCTGGTAAAATTGGCACTTTACAGACCATTTCATCTGACTGTCAAAGAGTCCACAGAGGTCCTGTGAGAGCTCAGTGATGACAGGATAGATTAACATCACAGACTTTGTTTTTCATCTTCTTTTCATTTTCCATACTATTCTCCCAGGACATCAGCGAAATGAAACCAATATCTATGAACCTGCAAACACACAAGTAGAGCTTTCACAATATTAGATTTTTTGTTTTTGTGTTTTAGATTGGACAGGAAAATGTGAAAGCAGCTTATTACAACCAATATTCATATTGGTAGTAAGATAACATCCTCTAGTGGCTGTAGGAGTTACAACGGGAGCAAAAGATGAAGTCAGGTACTGATGTTCACAGAATGAGAAGAGGTGGGAGGGAGGGGTTAAACGATAGGTCATTTATCAGAATTTCCCCCGTGTAGACCTCATTTTAGGTCCTGGCTCAACCCAAAGTCAATATTGATTCAGTTACGCATAGCTTGAAACTTAAACTAGGAAAAAATTTAATCAGCCCAACTTGAAGTTCCATGACTTGAATTGCTTGATTTAAAGAAAGCAGAGTTCTTGTAGCAAAACTGAACAACGGCATAACCAAGCGACGTAACTTGGCTTGAATAAAGCTTGACGGAATGTAAGATTCTTTAAAAGGGAACTTCAGCATTTTCAACATGGGCCATATTTTCCTATGTTTTGGTGTACTTGACTGGTGGGGAGAACAACTTATGACACTGGTCCAGTACTGAGATAGAGCGAAGCAGTGTAATGTAGCATAACTCAACATAGCGTAATTCAACACAGCAAAATTTCATGTAGTTTTTCTACGCAACGTAATTCAACATAGCGTGACTTAACACAACATGATTCAACATAATGTGACTGAACATTGAATTATTCAGTGAAGCCTGTCTTAACTCAGCAGGACTCAATATAGCATGACTTAACGCTGTGATCCGCCAACATTGCATAACCTACCTTAAGCCTGCATAAACGTAGCCTTAATTGAATTAGCCTTCATCGACTTAGGCTACCTTGACTGTAAAAAACTTGAATTCCCATCTTAAAGTAGTCAGTTTATCAGGCATGTTTGTTGCAGGTTGTCTAAAAATTTCATGTTTATCTTCACTGATGTCAGTGAAGACAGAATATTTTGCTGTTTAGTTATGAGGATGAGCTGTTTCTTGTACACTACCTCCAACATTGTGCTCAACCTAATAAACAAAAGTGAAAAGAGTGCAATAAGACCTGCAATTTTTGCAAATTGATAAGACCTGCAATTTTTACACCCTGAAATTAAACAGATTTATGTTCCATGTTTAAACTTCCTGCTCTGTGGGATTGTGGGTCAAAGGTCTGAATGTAAACATCGTCTAAATGATATAAAACAGGTCATACATAATAGATGAGAATACAAGTATACAGAGCTTGCAGAAATCAAGCTAAGCATATACAGCATGATAAGCAACATAATATGCATACAGAGCATTTCTAAGGAAACAATGATATATTACTTATCACTCCAGAATGAATTACTACATTTTTATGAGCGGTGTGTTGTGTCAAAGGTGTAGAGGTTAATATAGGCAAACATGCATCTCAGTGGGAAATAGAAAACTTCCCCATTGACTGTGATGGCTGGCCTTAAATGCTGACATTGTGGTTTCAGTGATGGAGTGACTTTGGTAAGGTCTGTGGTCTGCCAGTGTTCAAAGCTGTGCCTTAAGGGTGAGGGGTAAATTTGCCAAGTTAATCACATAATGAGGCCAATTAAACATGGGAGAACCCAGGTGAAATGGGAGCTGCCACAGAGCTCCAACAAATGAGGCTCACCGGACAAGAGCTGGGCAACCCAGATTCAGCCAATAATCCTCCACTAAGCATTCACTTCAACATTTATACAGTATATCTTATTAATGTTTGTACAGTATACTGGGTAATGTGTATGTATTGAGCGAATTAATTTTGCAGGAATGTGTACATTAACATCCAGGGGAGCCTGGATTAAGGCTAAGACTAATGATTATTTTCATCATCCGTTAATGTGTAGATTATTTTCACAGCCAATTGAGCATATGCTTACCCTGGAAAAATGACAGAAAAATTGTGAAAAATGCCCACAAGAATTTACCAGGACAGAATGATGTTTTCAAATTTGTGTTTTGGCATGACCAAAAACACATCTGTGATCAATTAATAATGATATTATACGGAGAAATGAAGCACCATAACATTCTAGAGGTAAAGTTTGAGATCAATTTGCTTCTCAGTCAGCTCATGTGCACAAAATTTAAAGCATTCAAATAGATTTGTTTTTGGTTATGGACTTTTTAAACTAAAGGTCCTTACACACCAGGAATGATGCAAATATACGACATGAAATTACAAAATATTCGGAGGCGAATTTTGACGCGCCTGACTATACACATCAAGCGCAATGCAATTTTGCGACTTTCCGGGGAGAAAAAAAGATGCGTCCTGGGTGGAAGCAAGAAGACTGACACAACAGCAGACTGACTGTTTTTCACTTCTGATTAGACACTAGTGTTGAGATGTCTGTCTGTAATGATAGCATGTACTGAGTCGGGGCCAGTACCAGATAAGCACATTAAACTTTAATCCATAAACGTAAGGTTTAGACCTAATGGTGCTGTGACAGCAACCCGATTGAGTTTGAGACAGTGAAAATACATATGGTATGTTGTATCTGAACAGGTAAGCTTACGAGCTAAAGTTACTTAGCACAGATTAAAGTTAAAACAAAGACGTTTAGCAAACTGTTAAAGCACACAAACTATCGTCATATGAGAAATCCGACGCTATGACTCTCCACAAGTTGTCCTTCAGGTCGTTATCTTTGTAATATTTGTGTTTTTTATCAGAGAGCACTCTGTTCTCTGACATGTAAACAATCAGCCGGTCGGCCATGTTGGATATACCAGTGAATCTGACATAGCAACAACAGGAAGTCTGATTGGTCAGAAGTGGACACACAGTATGCGAAACTTAGAAAATTCTACCGTGATACAAAAAATAAATGCTGCAATATCGCAGGACGGGAGAACGTCGCTGATGTGAACGCTTGTATTGACAGGATACGAGTTAAAAAAAAATTTGACGTCCGAAATAATTGCACGAAAAAAACGCTCCCGGTGTGTAAGGACCTTAGCTTTCATATGTTTTTAAAGTAGTTAGTCATTTTAAAGTCGTCTCTAAATTGTGCTAAAAGGTTACACATATCTCTGGATTCTTAATGTAGACTGTATCAGAATAACCATCGAACTAAAATGTTACTGAGAACTTCATTAGATCTATTCCCAAGTTTTCAGAGATTTAATCAATGTTTCACAAACTGTACCATTTATTTCACCTGAACTTTTGCTGAACTTTATCAAATATCTCCAAATGTTTCACCTCTCCATCACAACTATAAGGATCCTGGGTAGTCTGCCAGCAGTAAGTCCTCTTGATTATAACAGCTGGGATGTGTTGTTGACGAGTGTATCAGAGTATTCAAGAGCTCTTGGACAGTCTACGCGAGGAAAAATCACTTGAGGTGCAATTAGACTCCCCCTAGGTGCTTCCTGCAAACCTGTACCTCTCCATATGCAGCAGGTGTGAGGTTAAAGGTCTTGAGAGTTATGCACTGAGTAAAATGAACTGTAAGGAAACAGTATTTTTATGCACCATCCTCTGACACATAAGAGGGCTAGAAGTTTGATTATCAGGCAGTGTCTCCTTTTTTAGCTCATGTGTACTTTAAAGGGTTGGCGCTTTATGAGTCTTGCTTGCTCTGAAGCTTTAAGGCCGTTTTAACTGAAAAGCTGTATCAATGTGATGGACATGACAAAAAGCAATAAGGAACTGCAGAGAGAGCAGCGCATTAAAACATGAATACACAAGGAGATATTAGGAGAGTAATGAAAGAATATTTCATCGCCATCAAGGGTTTATAAAAGGCCCACCACTCTGCCCACCAATGATCCGCTAATCTGGATGTAGAGGATTTGTGCGGAGTAAGATGGACAAGCGAAATTAAGGCGGGCACATTTTTACCAGATCATATTGCCATGATTTGTTAATAAAATGCAAAGCGACAGGCTAGATGTGAGACAGCGACTAAAGCGCGGCCGTGATTTAGACTTAATCCGTCATTATCCCGCCTTTGAAGTGACCTCGCAGTGCGTGTTCCCACTGTGACCCAGAAGCACACTCACAGCTTCTTCATTAGCCGGGATGAAATAGAGCCACGGCTAACACGGCTTTGATGTCCCGTCCAAACATGCACAAACACACACTCAGGACACCTTCATATACATACACAGGAACACATCACAGATATCCTTATCACAGACTACACCAAGGCATGGAAAAACATTATGCTTTTTAATCAATTATGGCTCCCACCTTTGGGGCAGCACATTCATTACATATGATAGAAGCAGCTAGGAGACAATATTCCACTTGCGTGCTGAGATTGAAATGAAAGAAATTGTATGGTTGGAGGGTAGACAAAGACTGCAATTCCACAAAGCTGAACATCCCTCGCTGGATTTACATACATGCGCACTAAAGGCCTACGCGGCGTGTGATATCACTGATAAAATTTATGTGTAGCCGGTGATTTATCATACTTAGATCACTGCGAAGAAATCAAGCACAGATCTCCTAAAGAGGTCCACACATGCTGCCTGTAAATGATAGCTGTTATAAAAGTTTATCATGGCAATGAAATGGAACGAATCAATCAAAAAGGCACAGGTCGCCATCGTGTAAAATGGTGACAAATCAGCATTGGTAGGAGGTAGAAAGAAGGAACTGAACACATGCAGAACATGCATGCAACACACTAGCCATTCTTAAAAGGCGATCAGGATACTTGTGCTGTAATTGAATGAGACATGTGGTGAATTAGTCAGTAATATTCAACAGGAAGTTCCATTTAGTTAATCTGAATGTTCAAAAAGGCATGGCAGATGTGCTAATAATCAAGTACAATGTCCTGGCATCAAAGAACACCCATTCACATCTGTCCTTCGAGCAGCAGACTAAACAAAAGCATACTAAGCACATGAGTACCTAACTAAATCCACGTGTGAAACTTTACAGAAATAGAGATCCAGGAAAGTTTTGGAGATGAAATGCATGTTAAATATGTAGGACACTGACACTGTAGGACACTGTTTTCCAACTCAAACCTGCTTCCTTTAAAGGATCATGAATGATCAAATTTTGGAACATTGACAGGAAGAAAAACAAGTATTACCAATGGACATACCGGTTACACCATTATTACCACCCAAAACCTGACAAACTTTCCAAAATCTTCAACGGCAAATCTTAAATGTTACTCTGTGCTTCTTGAAAATATTATCGCTCAAACTGTAATTCCTCTGTTTTTCCTCCTAGGTGACAGTACTTTGTTTGCTAAAGCAAATCGGAATCACGTCTTTCCTCTTTTAATGGCTGTAGTGCCAACTCTTCATAGTCTCAAGAGAGCAGGTGAGAGCTCTTCTCTGGAAACAAAAAGATTAAAATCTTTAAATGTATCCATAACAACACATAAACAACATCCCCATATGTAAATTAATGTATATTTTATGTGTATTAAAGCTTCCGTGTTGGAAGATAATATGATCCTTAAAGGAAGAACCCATCTGTGTATTTGGCACACAGTCCGGGAGTCTACTCCCTTACAAGAAAAAAAAAGGTGTGAGCACCCATGCGGTTAGCTGCACAACACACATGTTTGCTGCACGGTTTAGCAGTAGAGTTCTTTCCTCAGGCAATGGCCCGTCAGGCCAGACAAGGGGGCCGGGTGTTAAAGTGTGAGCCGGGTACACAAAGTAACAACAGGGCCATCTGCCCTGGGAATGCACACATCCATCTTACTAAGGACAGCCAGTCTGGGAGCAGATAAAGGAGAACAAGAGGGGGAGAGAGAGGGAGAAAGGACGGGAGAGAGAGGGGACAGGCCAGGAAGCAGGAAAAGAGTGAGTGAAAAACAAATTTGTGCACAAACACGTGTGTGGAGCGAGGACAAGGTGAGAGAAGAGTGAAGGGAGCAGTTGGTGTAGCAGTAATCTAGACTGGTGGCACCATCTGCAGATAGTGAAGGCTGGACAAATTACGCAAACACAATATGCTAGTTTTTTTTTTTTTTTTTTTCATACAGCTGTGATCATTTCCAGGTAAAAAAAAGAAACAATCACACAAACAGAAACAAAAATAGGCATTAAATCCCACAAAATGGAAACTTTGCATAGGATTTAACTTGTTCTAACAAGGCACAGTACTATGAACCATATGGGAATAAAATCTTTTGTTCAATAATTACAGTAAAATGTACAGTGTTTGCAAAATAAATAACTGTGTGCTTTGACTCTATCAGGCATGACATCAGGAAGGTCAGCCCAGAGGACAGCAGTAAGCCTTGGCTCCCACAGTCATCCTGCTCCATAACCATCTGGATGTGACTCCAAACACTGCAGTCAGCAATCTGAGTGCAGTGATATCATCTCGCATTCTCCATTTGTTTTTATTTTTAGACCATTTCCTCGTCACTGTATAATCAGTATATATGGCCCCTCTGATATGGCACTCTTCCCCCTTCTCTCTCTCTCTCCCTCGCTCTCTCTTTCTGTCTGTCCGACTCCACATTACCTTATCACACTGAGAGCTTTTAGCTGTGCTTCCAGCCATTAGCTTCAGACAGTGGGGAGAGAGAGAAAGAGAGAGAGAGAATGGAAAAGTGGCCTCCTGATGATGTATGTGGTTAAAAGGTCTTTTTATAACACCACCTGTCCATCTCATGAGCAAGGAGGCTCAATATGGGACTCGAGGCATGTGGAGCCTCTGTATAAAATGACCTTTGGCAATTTTCATTTCGCTTACACAACATATGAAAGTTCATAGGCACTTTGTTCAAATCAGCATGCGACTGGAGGGTCCTTTCAAACCCCAATAGCAGCCACTATTTGCCTTTGAGCAAGGCACTGAACCTAAAATAAGTCATAAAAAGTAAAAACTGCACAATAGCTTGGAGTAGCTTACATTATTGTGTGATTAAGACTAAGTATAGGGAATTTGTTGGCATTGTGAAAAAAGCTAGAGGACCTGCAACAGTCATGGATGGCCAAGGCTCACCGGAGTGTATGGGGTGTGAAGGCGGGCCATGTGGTCCCACCCAGTTGCACAGACTCTCAATATGATGCCATACTAGTTTGAATAGCACGATGAAACTTTAATTCAGACACAGCACAAGTCTGTGATTATGCAGCACTTTTAGCAACAATACAATTCAAACAGGCCGGGTTTGCTTGATATGAGTGTATCCCCTGTCCAGCTGTCCTGAGAATTAAAGAGAACTTCAGCTACCAAAAGATTTATTTTGTTTTTACATGTTTATTTCTGTCTGTCTTTTTAAAAGGGGTCTAACACAGGTTTGTTTACTTTTTGAGCCAGCCTCCAGTGGCCAAACAAGGGACTGCGTTTTCCAGCCTGAGTCTCACATGTTTTCACATCTTGCATCTGAAGCATTTTTCCAAAGAGGTTTTTGTAGTTTATTGAACTGGGAACAGGTTAAAAGGGCAGCATCTACTATGTATATACTTTTCATCAACTATTAATTCAAGTGCTGCACTCAGCTATATAATCCATCATTTATAATCACTGCAATTGTATCCCAGCAAGAGAGCAGAATTAGTACGTGGCTATTATTTCCAGACTGCTCAATGGAACAGTGACAGAAACCGACCTGCAACACTTCGGCTCTCGGTGCAGAATCGCTGATTTAACATCATGTTGAGAACAATTGTTCAGCTGCTCACTGAAGCGTTTGAGCTGGTCAGAGTGCCCGCCGTGTGAGACATGTGACGTGTTATTGACAGATGGCCAGGCTCCTACCCTCCACAGGAGACTTCTTAACCAAACAACTACTGGATACACCGAGGTGATCCTTGCATCAATATCATTCAATTATTCACATATTTGTGCTGGCTTGCGAAAAGCAGCTCGAAAGCGTTTTCATGAGTGCCAGACTGACATGCATTTTGTAGGAGGGGGGCCCGGCTATTACCCTGCATTTGATCCTACAGTTGTGGTGAACTTAGCTTCACCGTGACACACAACATAGAGTTGCAATTAAGTGGGTCAATGATTCTTATTGTCTGTATTACAGCGATTAGCTTTTATGAAAGAATACATCATGTGAGCCGGCTCTATATTCAGAGCTACACGCTGAGAAGCTTGTTTTATTCATTTTCAAATTTCTTTTGACTCAAAAGCGAGGTCAAGCCTTAAACTTTTCCTGCATATTAAGTGCACTTGAACTGAATACATAACTAGGGAGAAATGTTTTTGTGTGGGCGCCTCACTGACAGGAAGAGAGGCTGTAGCAGCAGTACTGTAGTTATACAAGCAGCTGTGTCTAGTGGCTTTGGCAGTACTTGAGGGAGATCTAGTTTATTATTCCTTGTTTAGTCAGCCTCTCTGGACTTTTTCCTTGAAGTGCTTCATATGAAGTATAAAGTAAAGCAATTCAATGCTATGTTTAATACGAGGTGCTGGGGTTTGCTTTAGTTCATACCATCACATGTTCTAATTCCGCCTCCCTTGTGTTACCCAGAAATATTAAAGCTGTGCCCCGAGGTCAACGGCAACAGCCCTCATTCTCGCCATCATTGCACCCTTGTGTTCTTCACAGCCACCACTATGAGAGGCCATGATTCATTCTTTTGATCCACTCCAATATCATTAAGTTATTAGTTGATTTCAGTGGATTTAATCAGCATAGTAATTCCCCTCCATGGAAAGATAAGTCTCTCTCAAGAGCAGTTACGCCGTCCACTACGCCTGCTGATTAGACACAAGCCCCCCAAAATAATTCATCAGAAAACTGCAAAAAATAATTTATCAAAAGTGCTTCTCACAAAACCCGCTCAGGACCTTTGCTTCTTAATAATTAAACTCTGCAATTAGGCATCTTACCATGCACTCAGTGTGGGACTCCATGCAATATTCATAACCATACATAATTATGCAATATATTCACTGAAATAAGAGGCCATATATTCACGGTGGGGCTGTCAAGAGGCAAGACATTTTTATTTGGTTTATAACACTGTTTCATCTTATACATGAGCAGCTGGCTGCTGGAGACAGAAAAGAGAGAGAGAGAGAGAGAGGATGTCTGGCCCTCTGCAGTCCAACGCTGCATCTATAGCCTTGAATTCAAGAGGGAAGAGTGAGGGAGAGAGAGAGAGAGAAATAAGCACTAATGGTTGATGCTTTCATTTTGAGAAACAGCAACTTTAAAGTCTTTCTGCAGGACACCCACAAACACACACCTTAGTGGAATCATATGACCACAATTATCACAAGATGGAGAGGGAAAGAAAGAAAAAAAGAAAGAAAGAAGAAGCATTAAATTAAAATGGAGTGGAGACAGGGTGCTGTCTGGGATTGTATTGTATGATAAATTATACATAATGCTCGCCCCAGCATGGTACAGAACTATAGAAGAAAATAGTCCCGGAGCCCTTGATGATGCCTGAAGCAAATAAGCAACAGCAGCGGTCTACAGTGGACACACTGTGGACAAGGTTGGCTTTCATCTTGAGATGCGGTTCAAAGCTACAGGCTGCGTATAGAACAAACTGGTAATCAAAGCTAATGTGTAACTGGGCAGTGGCGCACTTCACAGAGCCTGTCGTCTCGAGTGCAGGGGAGATCACACGCAGACGCCTCTCACACACCACAATGGATGATTTTCGACACGCAAGTCTTATTTTTCACCGTGTACACGTATGAAGAAAAAAAAAAAAAAAAAAGCAGAAACTTACTGCTGCTGGGAGCTGCTGCCTTTTGAAGGCCCCTCTCATGACATGTACATGATGAATGAGAAGAAAAGCATACATTCTCCAGTAACTTGGCTTTAGTTAACAAAAGGCACTCATTCTCCCTAAGAGAAGCCATCCCCAAGGATACCGTTCACTTTGTCGGAATAAGAAATACACACTCCGCATCATCAGACGTGTTGTAGAGGTCTACCGTCCATAGAATATGTGATTGCTTTGGTGTTGTAAATATCTTAAAGCTCTTTGTGGAGGGATTTCACAAGCATTTAATATCCACACTCAGCGTGTGCGGCGCTCACAACTTGTTATAATATGCTACAATAACATGGAACAAGCTGTATCCCCAAATGGATGAACACTGCTGGGCACCACACGCAGCTTTACTAAACTCTGCATCATGTTTTATGTATTTGAGATTATATTAGATCAATGGGACATTTAATGATACCATTTTGGACATACCTTTTTAATGACTGCCATGTGGATCACAGACTGTAAAAAAGACACAGGGAAAAAAGGGAAATTATTATAAAGTTGATATAAAAAAGCATGAAAGCATCATGCAAAGTCCCCCGTACCTCTTACTCTTCGAGGTAAACAAAGCAGCATGTTTTTCTGTCCCTGTCACATGCAGCTCAGCAAAACAATGACCTTTTACGATATGACACAATTTTACTGTCGGTATAATGCAGACGTGATTAACATAAATAAGACTTAAAGTCAAATAGGCGTAAAGGTCGTCACTCAGGACTAGTCTCGGGTCTGGGAGGTGATTTACAACAACTTAATTTGACTGTGCGGAGTAATTTATCTGTGACAGAGCATGCCGCGAGACTCTCTGCATGTCCTGGGCACATACAGGCAACAATATGCCATGACTGCACACACCTCATATCTACCCAATCAGTCAAGATGCTTTACAACTTCTGTCAGAGGCCCTAACAGTTCTCATAAATTACAAGGCCATTGTACATGGTGCCAATAACTTTTGAAGGAGAATCTCAGCCAAATTGAACCAAGTAGTGTCTCTTGCTTTTATCCGTGGGAGTCAAGACTGAATACCACGGGTAAAGAACAAAGCAGAGCCGGAGCGAGAACTTTAATAGTGGATTCACTTTTAAGACAAAGGCCTCCAGTCCTCACCGAGCTTTTTAAACTCCTTTCAAAGATAAAAACTGGCCCAGATATTGACATTCTGATGCAAAGCAGGTGGCAGATTCTGTTAGAGATCACTTGCATTTCCTTTCACATCCCACTTCCCAACACCAAGGCGCTGACTCTCCTGTTAAGCATTGCATCTGTGTCACCCACAGATGCACTGTGACAGCTAGGGAATATGAGGCATGAGTGATGCAGAACCATTCATAAACAGCAACAACAATATAACGTGATAGGGAGAGAAAAATGAAGATTTGATGCTGGAGTTTACAGGCAATCATGCGCCATGATAGATTTCAAATGCCCCCTGCAGTGTCCATTGATATTCTGCAGGGAAATCAGAGTCACCTCTGGTGCTATCAATATGAGAATAATTAGAAGAAAATGCATGTGTGTGCCTTAAAATCATGAGAAAGACATTTACTGTCTGTTGGATAACCGTGCCCATATGTTTCATGCACGTGTATGTGTATTTTTGGACTTGATGATGGTATATGTGCCATGTGTGCAAGGTAGGAAGCCTGCTGTGAGCACAGGATGCAGTGATTTTCCTGGTGTCCCGCTGACAGGGTGAGGCTCAGATTGAAGGGCAGACAGTGATAACCACGTGCAGAGATTCACATCCTGTTCCATTTAGTCACCTTAGGAATTTTCACAGGGAACAATTGGAGATGCTGGGAAAGCACTGAATGGGCCTCACAGTCGAAGCCTGTGTTTTGTAGGCAATTAGAATGAAATTGCCTGAACCAGCTGAAAGGCACATTCAACCAACAAAGTAGAATGTCAAGTTTACATCATCTCTGTGGTTTGTGTTTAACACTGTTATCTTCTGTCTCCTCCATAATCAAATGTATTCCGCTTTTATTTTGTGTTCCTTTCTTTTTTTTTTCAGATGTGCTCCTCTCTAGATCAATCAAATAAAAGTCAAGCCATGCAGCTCTATTTAGAATAGGATTTCCATAGTAACAAGGGACATATCTCTTTCATTCTGTCTGAGTGGTTCCAAATTACAAGCTGAATAATCTTCAGCCCTAGCATGGCACACCTTGATGTGCAGGTGCCTTTAATACAAGAATAAGTCATCTGAGATTGGGGAGGCAAAAAACCCACTCAAGCAGATGGTCTCCATAAAGCACGGCGTAAAGCTCTCCCAGATGTTGAGAGGTGGTTGCGGATCCAGTGACATGCAATGCGAGGGAGGAACTGGTAATGCAGAGTGTATTAGTGGTCTCTTTATGGGTGCATTAGGTGCTGTGGAGGGGAACGTAGGGGCCGCCGCCGCTGCCGCCAGTGAGCTACTACCGGGCTTTATGCTTTGATGAACCTACCCTTGAAAAGGCGAGATCTCCGTGACCGTAGTGTGCGAAGAACGGGACACAGCTTCCTCTCTTTAGCCTCCTGGAAAACATAAATCAGTTTCTCATATCATCATCTAGTCATACTCGATGCATATGCAGCTCTAATCGGTAAATCTGTCAGCTTTCTCTCCTTTTGGTGATATATCAGATTCGTAATACTCTCCCACATATGCAGTAAATCTCTGACAAAGCCTATCTTCTTTTAAAATTCAAAGACAAGGCTGCATGAAGCGGAGAACTTCACTTGAAAACAGACGCAGAGAGTCGGAGTAGCAGTTCAGTTTAGGACGTCTCTGTACTGAAAGCTTTGGTGCATTCCAAAGTGTCATCTCTCTTCTTACTACAAAACAGCGGCCCAGACAGGAAGTCAGAATAAATCTCCCCAGTTCATTGTCCCTGCTGAGGACTAGCAGAACATCTCCGTCTGATTAATGGCTGTACACTGTCTAATGAACAGTAATTGAATGGTATAATGCAGTAGGCCCTTAAAAGCCCAGAGGAGTCGTCTTCTTCTGCCAGGCTCTGTGGAAAAGCAAGGCAGTGACATTGTCTCCAGTTGATTATAGTTGACCTTGCACGGGGAGACTGAGGTCTTTGAAATGGCTAACCTAAGCTTCGGGGAATAAGAGCAGGGGAAAAACAACTGAAAGACAAATGAAATGGACTCGCATTGGAAAAGGGAAGAAATGGATCAATGAGGCGGTCAATAAGGATTCGATTTTTTATCACAAAATTCTTAAGAAGAGGAAGACGATTGATCAAACATCCCTGGACTTATTGGCATTTCTAACAATATTAATTAAGAAAAAATGCTTAGCTGACTGGTTGATAAATCAGCCAATATTGTTAAATCAAAACAAATGATAGTTGTAAACACAATGCCACAGGAGAGAGTACAAATCTACCCTGGTCCACATTTCCTCAAATTGTATGACATCTACAACACAGACAGGGTCCCCCTCCCTCTCTGTGAAATCAATCAGCTCCTTAACAGAGTGCATTCAAAAGGAAACGCCAACCTTCACGAAGCCCAACAAAAGTCAGTCAAGTGATTATAAGAAATGCTTTGATAAATGTGCATCGGGTTCCAGTCGGCCATCCCTCCGCTCGCTTCCACTGAGATAGCCTGCCTTCACTCCCAGCGGACATCTCCACTTGGCAGAGATGCTGAATCTCGTTATTCTTTATTTGGCCCGGACCACACAGGTCAATATTGCACGCACGCACGCAACCGCCTCACCGGTGTACTGTCTCTAAATGTATTCACTATTTAAATTCAATACAATAAATCATTTAAAGCTGGGGCTGAAAATGTAATCATGTAATTGAATTTGGTCATCAATATGTACTATATACATGCACGTATACAGAGTATGCGGGGCATTTCATGAGCACATATGAGCACAGGAGTGGGAGGAAATCAGTCCCAACTCAGCTTGAAGTATGAGTCATAGCAGTGCAGTTATCCCTCATTATTATTCACAGCGCTCTAAATGATGCGGCTGCCGTCGACAGCGAGACAGCGACTGGCTGTTCGGCCTCATAGGGGAGAAAGTAAAGCGTTTGTGAACGATGAGAAGACCTGAAGTTCAGCAAGTCTCACCTGCTGTATCTTTACTACTGACCTGAACTTTCCACAGTTTGAGGTTCAAAGACATCTGCAGTCAGTTCTGACCTGGATGTCTGATTAGACGAGAGGCATTCATTCTGTGCTGACTTTCACTTTATGTTTTCACTCCACCTCAGCCCGGGGCTCTGAATACAATCAATAATCAATCAGCATTTTTTTTTTTTTTTTTTGTCTTTGGTTGGTCGTCAGGTAATAAGCAGGATAATGTAGCAGGTGGTTATGCAAATCAGGGCTTTGTATCTGTCAGGATTCACATAATCACCTGCTCACTACACATCATCTCTCACATAGATAACTTAACTGTTATCAAAATTAATAGTTTGTTGTATATTAGTGCCAGTGGCTTCTGTCTATTGCTGTTATATAAAAGCATTTAGCTTGAATTAAAAATCCACCCTTCTTCTTCTCATGTCATTCTTTGTAACCTAACAAATCAAAAAAGTGCTCTGCAGGGAAAGTAGCTGAGTCTGTACAGGCAATTATTATTATTATTATTATTTTCCATTATCTAATGGTCCATCCCTTCAATCCATGGCCGATCTGAATCAGCAACATTCATGTATGACTAAAAGCAATAAGTAATGAATTAATCTATTGATGAGGTCTTTAGCCGGGGTCATAACTGGCCCCCAGAAGTCAATAATTACCCTGATAAGAATATCTTCATTGCAAAAGTGCATACGGCAGCAAAATCATCACCACACCAAAACATTCCCCTATGGTGTAATTGCCACTGCTTGAAATTATAGTTTTCATTAAAACAAAATGTTCAAGGTTATTGATTGCTTAAATAAGGCTCAATATCTTCTCATTTCAAAGCCGCATGAAATTGCTTGGAATAGTAATATCGCCCAACTATTGTGCGCATTCATCACAGTTACACTGCTCCACATGGGTATCCCTCGGGGATTATCAGGGCAAAATAAGTGTATTTAAATGAGTGTAATTTCTGGGAGCCACAGATCCATGCAAAAACATCTGTAGACACATCCCAGTCATACTCCATCACTGTGAATACATGCAATAACCAGGCTATATTGCAGTGCAGACACTGGATATAACCGCATGCTGTTATGGGGCTCTACTCTAATCACAAATACACACTTGGATGTATTTTTTTAAAGCTGGATGCTGTGATGTATTCAGAATCTGTGGCTTCAGCTAAGCTCTGTAAACTCACAGCACATAGAGTTGTACCTCAGGCGCAGGTGTCTTTAATCCTCTGTCTCCAGCACCAGCTCTGTGCCCTGTGCCTTTCACTGGCTCTCCTTGCCTCGCAGAAAAGCTGTGCTGGTAAATACACAGCACACAACTCACGAAGAGAACCATGGAGACAGAAAACAGGTTGCACACACACAGAGGACATAAGTATAGTTGCTGGGAGCAGGTCTATTTGACGGTCTTGCAATTATGGAAAATGGTGATTACCATAATTGCTGGTTAGACCATTTTTTTTTATGTGACCTTATCCCAAAGCAAATGAAAAAATTGCACTTAATAATAAAGTAAAAATGAACTAAACATGAGGAAGTAACTACATGGAACTCATAATAAGGGTACTTACATCCTTTCTGGAACCTGCAGACAAAGACCTCTGCAGACACAGGGCGTCTGAATCACGGAGGGAGGCCTTGCAGGGACTCGCACAGCAACTCTCATCCTCCTCGTCGACTGTCTTGGCCTCAACCTGCAGGCGGGGAGAAAACAAGATCCCCCTTGGCTTTGACTGTACTGTACTGCTGTATTGATTTTGCTAAATATTTATATATTTATGTAACTTGTTCTGCTGAGCAGTCGTGAGCCTTATTCTGGCAGAAAAAAAATAATATTAGGAGGAGTGGGAGTTTATTCTCAATTCTTTTTGAAGCTGAAAAACACACAGGGAGCTTAGTGGGAGGAAAAACGGGGAGAGGATGTCATAGCAGCAGACACCTTTTCCCATCTAACCCATACATTTTACATCAAATGCAAACTTTTTTGTGGTGTTCATCAACTTTTCGACTCAACTTTTGCTCTTCACTGACAAAAAAAAGTGCAGTTGCAGACTTGCAGTTAAGGTAAAGGAGTCAGCAACCAGCCGGGTGGCTTGTGTTTATGTGAGGTGATGTTAATACTGGTGTTTTTAGACTGAAATCAATTCTGTCTTCCTGTCTGGTACACAGGTCCATGCTCTTCAAAGATTGTATGCTAAAGACCTCATCCGGCTGCAGTACTTGTGTTTTACCCAATCAATTGGCAGGTCCACCTTTAACCGTCTGTCTTCCGGCACTTCTTCCGCTCCCTCCGTCTCACTTTCTTTTGTTTCATGTATCGAACACGCGGCCCTCTGAGGGAAAAAAAGTGATTAATCACAATTACCTCATCTGGTGACAGTCACCGCCTTATTCTACAGCACACTTGTTCTCTCTCTCTTTCTCTCTCAGTCTCTTTGCCCCTTCATCCCTCACTGCCCTCCTGTCCTCTCCCTTTGCTTTCCCCTGTCCAACTTTGCGAGAGATCAATGTTGCTGTCAAGCCATTTATTTATTTAGAGCGGTCCCTCAGACAAAAAGGCCACAGAGAGCCACAGCTGCCCTGCCACAAATATGGCCAGCCAGCGTGAACTTCCAGTCTGGGGTTAGCTCCTGACAGTGACAGGTTGCACTTGATGCATGTGGGGGGAATTGCTTATACAGCAGCGTCACACTGTTGTTGTTCCCTTGTAAATTAACTCCCTTTTTGTAGTCCTCCTCTCTTTTTTTTTTTTTTCTTCAGCTGCTGGATCAGATACAGGCTGCAATGTGAATAATTAAACACTCTGTCGAGTTTGAGCCTACTTCAATAGCCAAAAGAAACTCCATTTGAATATTAGATTTAAAATCAGTGATACGACAAAGGAACAAAGTATAGAAAATATAAGTGGCTAATGGGTTTAGCTCAAAGAGGCAATTACACGGCTTCAAAACATCCTGAGGCCATTAAGTTTGTAGTCGAGCAGAACTTTCGGATCTCTTTCTTGATGGTTAAAAAAAAAAAATGAAAATGATGGAAGAACTAGGAGGCTCTTGTCCTGCACCAGGTCATAAACACTGCTAAGAAATCACGCCAGGATGGGGAGTTTGAAGATTTGTGAGCATCACCTTTTCCTTTAGCGCTGTTGTGAGAATATGTAGGAGTATAAAAAGGTACAAAGAGAGCTGCAATTCCCTCGCAGTGATTTAGTCCGGTGCAAAGGCTCTATCGACCAGGAGAAGAGGCACTAAGGTAATATATACTTTTTCATATTTCTTGATTTATTCTGGTTTTAGTGCTGCATTACCAAGCTAAGTGGAACCATCTCTCGAACAAAGTTTTGCCTAACATCTCTCTGAATGCATTTGAGAACTCACACTGTTTCTTACTGTTGTCCCAGTTAAGGCTGCTGAAGCAGAAGTTTTGGGGGGCTTTCTTACGCTCAAAAGTTTGAACATGCGTCAAAACTTTATAAGACGGTTCATCTAAAAAGACCAAAACGGGGAAAAAAGTTTTGTGCCTAAAAAGTTTCAGCTACTTTGCCTCTGCAGCCGTCATCAGAGGTGTCACGTGATGTTGGTTGCGACGTTGTCTGTAATGAGTTACATGGTTTTGCCATCCCACCTTAGATGGTGGGATGGCAGAGGCTGCAGAGGTAACGTAGCCAAAACTTGTCAGGTACAAAACGTTTTTTTACCTTTCTGGCCTTTTTAGATGAACCGTCTTATAAGTTCATCGTAAACAGGCCGAATGAACCTCTTTCGTATATGTTTCGAAACTGGCAAAGTACCCTCATAAAGAAAAAGGAACACAGCACTGTGGCAATGTCCTGTTGGAGTCTTTTCAAGAGCAAAGCCCTTAGGGTGACCATATTCTGAATCCCCAAAAAGAGGACGCGACGACGGGGTGGAGTCACGGAGTCACGCATAGATAATTTTGAGAGTTTTTCGGGTTGGATCAAGTGTTTTTTACGTGTTGCTAGCTCAGTAAGTCCATGGGACACAAACTCAAAACTTCCATACAAAACCTCGGACATTTGAAGGATTTTATAAACTCCACCGGACAAAGCCGGCCAAACCCCGAAAAGAGAGGTCATGTCCTGGTAAAAGAGGGCGTATGGTCACCCTAAACGCACTGAAATATTGTTGTTATTGTGTCACCCTGTCGTGTTAGGTTACATTTAGTAGTGGATAAGTTTTCAAGTTAAGTATTAAGAGAGCACAGATGGTCAAACAAACACCAACAAAATGACTGATACTGAAAAAAAAAAAAAAAAAACTGGACTTAGAAAGCAAACGCTCAATTACTGAGTATCAATGATTAACACAGTGTCGCTTTTAAACAACGCCACTGCTTGAATGTTCAAACCCATCAATCCAAAGCTGCATTTTGTCACTTTTATGTTCTATTGTAGGCGTCATTAGTGATTAATAACTTATTACCATTTTTATCCACACATGAGTAGCAAATGAGGGCATTTTGTTTTCCCCCCACGCAGTTAACAGGGCTTTCTGGATATATATTCAACAAAATGGCCTGATAAGAATTCATCTATGATTTAAGCTCCGTTGATTTGTGTTTGAAGTCTTGTTCTGTTTAATATTCACAGTGTTTCTTTCAAAGAGCAAGGGGGGGAGCTGTGTTCTGTTTGGACTTGAAAGAACAAGTTGAGGATCCAAAGAAAGCTCCCTCACCTGCCAAATGTGAGTTTTGTTTTAAAAAAAAAAAAGCAAAACAAAAAACTCTTGGACCCAGATTTTTTGGGGGGAATTTGCCCATATGTGTGCCCAAAGGTTGTCCTGCTCAAACACATGCATGCATATACATTCTACATCTAAAGACGACTGTTTTGTTTTGTTTTTTTTCATATTGGCATAGAGGAAAAGCTAGAGCAAAAAGGGGACCTGCTATGAGGAAAAGGGGGGTAGGAGGAAAGAGAGCTATTTCTATAGAATTGCCCTGCTTACCCCCTGTTGGGAGAGAACCAGGGTCCTGGACACCTGCCTCTGTTGTTTGGTTCTCGCCGGCTTGGCTGTGTGTTTCTCCATGTGGCCCCTGGCTGTGTGCTCAAGGTCTTCTCTAAAGCCTGTGTGAGCAAACTACATGAAGAGACAAAAGAGAGGAGAAAACAGGGGGCACAGATTAAGGCGCATTTCCTCAGTTTACTCTGTGATTCATCATTGACTTTTTTGTTGTTGTTTTGTAAAGAGGAAAAAAAGAAACAAAAAACAGACAAAACACAGCAGGGCAAGAACTTGTTCCCCTTCTGTTTTCAATGTTTTTTTTTTCTTTATACATTTTTCCGTTGACCTCAATTTTTCATGAGCTGATATGCTTTGTAGCTCCCCTGCGACTCCTACTGTATTGAATTCATCTGGTTCCAATACATCCCGTGCAAAACCTATCAATCACCGGGGAGCGTGGCAAACTAATCATTTATTGATGAAATGGGGCAGCCATGAATTTCTAACTGCATTTGTCTTATTTATCAAGCCAGATCAAACAATGAAAATCCAAACAAGCTTAAAGGGAAAGGGAGGGAGTCGCAGGGAATAAGTTATTCTTCAGCCGTAGACAGCAGAAGGTTATTGATGAAGAGGGGAGGAAAAGAAAGAGGGCTGGGAGTGAGTTGCATGGCGGGAGAGGAAGAGAGAGAGAGAGTAGTGGGGAGAGTTCAGAGTGATGTTCAGACAGCAGGGTACACATCTGAATTAATGCTTCCACAAAAGGCAATTTTCTCCTCACAGGCTCCTCATCCCCCTCTGTAGGTAGCGAGGTGAGGTATGTCTCCCTCGCAGAGAATGAGAGACACAGACACAGGGAGGGCGAGAGAGCAGACTTCATGTTTCTCCTCAGCTACAGCACTCTTTGCTGCAGCTGCCTGGCTGGATCCCTGGGCTGGCTTGGGGGATAGTGTAGTGATCTCAAGTCTTCCACCAGAATACACTTCTGGCAATGGTGTTTGCAAGCTCACTAACATGGACTCTGGGGAGAAGCCGCGTTGTTTCTTCACTTGTTTGCTTTCTTTAATGCGGAGGCAAAGTCTGTTGATATTCTTTTGAATTTCTACAGCCCGTTGGTGGGCCATGGGAGAGGAATAAAACAACAAAAGAGGAGTGAAGTTCGCCTTGTATATTCAGCGCAAAAAAAAAAAAAAGAGTTGAAACAGAGTTCATACTCTAGAGCTGATGTGTCCACACAACCGCATGAGATCAAAGGGAGAAGAGCAGTGGCACTGTCACTGCGGTAAGCTGTTAATTCAGATCCGCAACCTCGTTCGCGTGTGACTGATGCAAAACATCTTCACGGTGAAGTTCAGAATCAAAATACATCTGGGCAATCAAAAATTGAACAGCTTGTTTGGCATATTTACAGCCTGCTGGTGAGATGTAAATAGATCTTATTTAAATCAACATACTTAAATCAAGGCTGTCTCACTCTGGGAGGTGAAAGCAGAGGACGAGGGGCGCCTCAGAGCCAGGAGAGTACAGTGCGAGAGGCAGCAGAACTGGAAACACTGGCGATGGAAAAGCTGAGGTCATCTCGACTCTCGTTCTGCATTACATATCTACAGTTCTGTGTCCTGTGGGAGCAGACAACTGTGTGTATCGGGAGGCCCCAGAGAAAGAGAGAGACCAAGAGAGAGAGAGTGTTAGAGTTAGTGTGAAGGGGGCTCAGGGGGACCGAGCAGCAAGTAATCTGTGGCCCTCTCAAGTGGCAGAGAACAGGAGTCAACAAGAGGACACAGAGATATGATAGCCAGGGGAAAAACCGGGGTCCCAACCAATTGGACCGACCAGCCTCCAGCCATGCGGGATGTGGTATCAGTAGGAGCCACTCCCAGGGCCGGGTCCTCAGTGAGCAGACACGCTGGCAGCAGCAAGTAAAGGGGAGGGTGGTGGGGGATGTGTGTGTGTGTGTGGGGGGGGGTGTAGTTTTCCACAGGGCATTGCTACTTCCTCTTCCCAGTGACATCATCCTTGAACAGTAGGGAAGAGCAGAGCAGCAGTGATGTCAGGGGGAGCAGATTTTAAAGGTTTAGTCAGCCTTTCTGGGCAGATTTTTTCAGGGATGCTCAGTGTAAAATACATCTATAGAAAAATTCACCACATTCACACAGTGACCACACACTGCCCTCTGTTTGCACGCTCAGGGTGAAGGTTTCAAATGCAGTTAAACGCTGTACTGCTGTGTAAGGTTAGAATCTACCATGCAATCTGTTCACATATACATACTAACAAGAGGTGAAAATTTTACATTATCTGGTGTCCTGTATCCTGTAGGGATAATGTATTGTCAGCTGGTTGTTATGGCGATTGGGATCTTGACAGGGTATATGGTGAATGTAAATGCACCTTTCTCGTACAGCACTTTTCTAGACCACTCAAGCGTGATTACAATACCTGCCACGTTCACTCATTTACACCTCATTCATGCACTGATGGTGGAGAGTGCTATGAAAAGTTCCCATCAGTGTAAAATAGAACATATTTTGACTCTTTCAACCATCTGACATGGTCCCTATGGTCTGTATGAAACATTTGAACTGTGCTTTTGTCTACAGATCAGGAACCAGAGGTGGTTTGGAAACCATGAAGTAGCTCTGAACAGGCCTTATGTAAATAAACAACTGTTAAATCAAATTTTAGTTGGAAATGAAAATTATTCATTTGATTTTAAAATTTTTGTTTGTCATTAAAAGAGTCTGGAACACAAAGTTTGGACTGAAATTTTTACAGATTTCTCTATTGTAGGCAACAGTTTTTGTGACTTAGACCTGTTTCTGTCTCTCAACTTTGATTTTTTTTCTCTCTTCTCAGTATTTTTACTTGAAATAAGGCCAATTCACCTAATATTTTTTTAATCATTCTTCATTTTTTCAGCTGCTGATCCAAACAGGGCTGGAAACGATTTTTATAAATGAGGTTTCCAGTTTGTATGTTTTAAAACTTGTGTCATAAAAGCACAAAACTTGAGCCACTATGTGAGTGGTCAATTGCATTGCTTATCATCGTCACTCTATATGAAAGTACTCTGCTTTGATGCACATCATTATCCCCTCTCTTCACATTCCTCCTCCCTCTATTAATCTTCTCTGTATGCGATGTCTACTTTGAGAGTTTCCCCCTCATCATGTCTGTGAACACCTAACTCAGCATATATGCATGCTTTCAATGGGAACACAATGTGCTGGAGAGTTTCAGTCCAACACTCTGCAGAGACGTCAGTTTAGACTGAAGCGTCTGCTCCACACCAGATGTCCCATTCAGCAGTGCAGAAACACTGCACCGCCTGTGCAGACAGGGCAGCACAAGAGAGGACAGACACTGTTTCCCAGGTTGCGAGAGCAAGGTTACATTTTACACAGCCCGAGTGGGCATTTTTAAAGGATCTTTTTACAGGCATTTCAAACCAGACTGCTGTTGTTTTGTGAGGTCAAACTGAAATTAATGACGGACATGACCCTATAAATGTATGTATAATCAGTAAGCTTAACAGCTGACAGATCAAGACAGAGTGGGTGATTTTTGTCACATGTATCTTTCCCCTCAGAAAGGTCCTTATTAACCAGTCAAACCATGTTTACAAATTCATGAGGGATCAGGCATAGAGGCAGAGCGAGTGAAATGTGGGAGTATCATGTCCACTGAATGAGTAATACCACAATAAGCAAGTGGATGCAAAACACAGCCATAGCTCTGTCTCTGTCTCCACCTTATGGTAATAAGTGAAATGGCAAAGGAGAAGTTGATTCAGATTTTCCTCCTGAAGACTGGAGCCAAAGTCACAGATTTTATGAACTGTATGGCTTCCATCTATTGTTTTATGTCTTAAATAATAACAATTTAGAAAAAAAGTTGTAAACATGAGTCACAATATGTATCTTTTCTATCACTTATAAATATCGGCCTCATCTCTTGAATGTAAACTCAGCCACAACAGCTCCAGCCAGAGCTCAGTCCTTGGTGCATTTTTCTCCATCTGAAAAAATTGACACCTGTCACAGTATTGTCATCTTTCATGGTTAGAAGAATCAGATGTCAGACACAGCTCTCACTGGGGGGCCCCATAGCCACCTCAACCTGCTGAGTGGGCATGTTCTCATCTTCACTGTGTGATTTGGTGTTCAGCTTGGGGCCCGCAGCAGCGTGATCCTCATATGGATTCAAGGCACTTCACTGTCTACTTAATCACAATACAAATTGTCCCGGTTCTGGTTTGAATAAGAGATTTTTTTTTTTGTTTTCAGTCAGTGAAGTCCCCCCCGGTGCATATGATCTGTCTATGAGGCTCACTGCACTTGATCAAGTGGGCCAGCCTGTCTCTGTGGGGATTACCCATCAAAGTGGAAAGCAAAGGTAACTCAATGCCTCCTGCAGACAGTGATGGATGATAGCGCTGTTTCATAACGAATTGCACCCCCTACAACAAGTCTCGCTCATGGGAAATGTTAATTGAAATGCTGTGTGTGCAAAGATATGCTGTTCAACTGTGATACTACCAAGGTGTTACAGCCATGAACAACAGGGAATGTTGCGAGAAAGTGAACAACCAGATGGCAAAATGCACCCAACTCTGAAGCGATAGTACTCACCCCATCTTCCTTGTCATGTCTCTCTGATATCAGGCATTTTGTCTTTGCTGCGGGAAAAAAAGGTAAAATCGAAAGGTTTTTTTTCTTTTTAATCACCACATCAAAAACAAAGATAATTCAGTGATTCTTTAATAAATAAAGTCAAAGAATATTTCATGATCAAAAAACATGTGTTTCATACCTCTAGAACTTTTTATCCCTGGTAAAGTCTCCATCTGCCCATATGGAAGAGCTTTAGTCTTTTCTGCACCTGCTGCCACACAGTGCTGGTTCTTTTGTAGTTCAGCTGAACCACAGACCGGACATCCGTTTAAAGTGCAAAGCCTTGAAACACAATTTTGCACAAAACAATTGACAAAAACCACATTAAAGTCAATACAAATCGACAAAAACAACATGAACATGACTAATTCAAACCACAAAGTTTCACGATGTACATAGGTAAAACATTAGCTGTACACTGCATCTGTACAGAGACGCAGAGTTCCTCAACTTTTCAAGAGTTTGTATCTGAACCGAAAGAGCTAAAACATCTCCACTGGTACCGACACTATACAGAAATAATAAAAATGAGACACAAAAATGTAAGTATTCAAAAGTAAAAAAGAAACGTGAGAATAAGACTTCATATCTTTACTACATCATGCAGCGAAGAACATTTTCCACTAAGGGATTACTTAATATTTAAACTTAAACTAAAATGTACACTCACTTTATGTGCAGGACTCATATGCAGTCTTTCTCCTGTGAGCAGAAACTACAATTTAGCTGTGATGAACCGGCTGGATCTGAAAATTTCAAAAGTAGGGGTCATAAAATGAATATGGAAGAGTGATGAATAATGGATGAAGCTTTTAGTCTGGCTCAAGCTCTAATGCCTTGTGTGACAGCAGAACTTATGTGTAAAATATCAGCATTTGTTTTTTATTATTAATACTATTATTATTCAGAGTGGTTAAGAGACAATTTTGTTACATTAGCAGAGTTTACAGCATCAACCTATATCATACCACAACACCGCATTGAAAATAAAGTGAGGACAAAGGCTACTCTAAGCCATCAGTTATGTTTAATGGCTTCTTTAGTTTTATTTCATGATAGCTAAATGCAGTGAGAACTCATGTTACTGATACAAATCAGAATTTGGGTGACACTTGTGAAGTCGTGATGGTCTAATGATGAGGGAAAACATTTTAAGACCTGATTCAGCCTTCCAATATGGAATAGGGAAGACCAGGGCTTGTTGTCACATGGGTAAGTTGTCACATTGCAATTATCTTTGGCACCAGGGGGCGCAACTAAAAAGTGGAATACTAGTTTTCTTCCTTTACATGGTTAGGGGTATTGTCCTGACTGAGAAGAGAAGAGCACATTGTGAGCTGAGATGAGCGCCAATAAACCATTTTGCACAACTCACAGTAAAACATTTTAACTTTATATATTTTAAAATAAACTTCTTCCAGATAAAAATCCTAGCAGTGATACGTGTAGACTTGTTAGAGGACAGATTAAGGCATCCTCTCAAACCTCAGTCATTGTTCAGTTTTAAGCTAGAGCTTTAATTAGCAGACAAGGTAGTTTGGGGCAACATGTCCCAGTCATTTTGAGCTTTGCTGTCACATGTTTAAAATGGTTAAAAATTAACATAGAGAGTGTGCTTATCAGCAGGTGTCATATTGAAACTTTGGCTTAATCTTTACAGAAAAAAGAGTGGTTTAAAGGAGAGGAGAAAGCGAGAACACATGGTCAGGAATTTCGAAAGAAAAACTGTGGCGTAATATTTTATGTGAACGTTTGTTCCATGATTTTTTGTGGCTCAGTGACATGGCTCAACATGTGACAACTGTGACACTTTCAAGTAAAAAAATGAGAACAGCAATAATTATGTCCTTGTTTTATTAGCTCTAAAATCAACTGTGACACCTTACCCCATGTAGTGAGACAACTTACCCGATTGTGGGGCAACATGTCACATGTTCACACTCTCTATTTGATTGCTTATAACTGCACTGACACAAGATATGAAAATGACATAAATACAAAATATATACCTGATACTCTGGTTTTTCATCTGGTACACATTTTGTATATATATGATATATTGATACCAAGAAATAGATAAGAGTGTAAAAAGTGTGACAACAAGCCCCGGTCTCCCCTACTATCTGTGAAAATGATGGATTTAGAAATCAGGTTTAAAAAGTGGACACAGAAAGTAACATGAAAAGAAAACTACATCATCTTCAATGAAGATAAAGTGTAAGTTTCTTAAATCTCGAAGGAGTTTGGTTGGTTGAAAAACACATTAAGAAAACTTACTGGGTTGAGTGCTTAGTAAACAAATGAAGACAACACTAAAATAAATCATGACGGCCCTCACTGAGCTCGTCCTCGGTAAAAGTGTCTCAAGAAAGCAAGTACATGTGGTCAAACCTTGCAAAGTTGTAGACTATTTACCTCAGTGTCATTTCCTGCAGCAAAATCTTCGCCTCCATGTTTTAGTCGTCCAAACTCTGGACTTTGAGGCCCTCTCGGTGTGGGTAGCCTGTCGCTGTTTGAGGGCGGCTGGAGGAGCTTCAAAACCTGTCCACAGAGGCCATGTTGCCTCTCTTTTGAATTTAATACTACTTTTTATAAAGCCTCTTCTACCTACGCCCCCGACATTAGCTAAACTACTAAACTACAACAGCGTGCTTCTTGGGTGCTCAGAGGAAATGTCAAATGTACGGAGATACAGCCCAATTGGAGCATCTGAGCTAAACACCGGGTAAAGCTTAGAAACACCTACCCACCTCCCGTGTACTGCTAAGCTAACAATCACCGTGTTTTACATAAGGGGTGCCTAGTTTAGAGGGTTTTGTATTTCAAAAAAAAATTAAAAGGCCTATCTGCGAGGAATATGAAACTGTTTGGCGTGGTCTTATTGGACGGAAGTAGTCCGTTGTTTCCCATCATGCTTTGTGTTGTAGGCCTACTCATATTTGGGTCGTGAAACCTGTTGTTTACGCCTTTAACTTGCACTAATGTAAGTTAATGTATGACATGTCGTGTCTACTGGCAGGTGTTTGCTGATTGTTGTATCTATAGGGTCCAAATTTGTGCTTGCACCTGGTCCAACCCTGGATAAGACGCTGGACTTTGCTGGAATGAACAAAGAGTAGGCCTAGTAGTCCATGATGACCTGCTGGAACATAAGGTGCGTTTTCAGGGCAAAATAACCCTCATGTTGTATTAATAAATCCTCTTGATCACACACAAAATGTATAAATAATTTCATAGTGGGTATTAAAAAAAGAAGATGGGGGTTGATTTCATCTCATGTGCATGTGTTCTCGCCATATCCCCCATTTGCAGGCATTTCTTTTTCTTTATTCCTCACAGATTATCTGGCAGTCCACTGGCAGACAGAGCTGTCCAAATTGTTTACCACAAAGGTAACCAGAGATTCCACCAACAACGACACCTAATTGGTTTATGCCAGACAACTCCTGGTCAATTAAATGCATAATTCATCTCAGCATTAATTATTCATTTCTTAAGGGACTAGTGCTGGGCTTTATTAGGAGAACTGAATCATGCATATTCAAATTACTGCTCTTTAAGGGACTCAGAAGGATATCATCTCAGCTGGGATGCCCATCCTAAAAAACAATAACAGCTATGGCTGTGAGACAACTTCTATTAATCACGCAGCTAAACCATAGCAAATTTTTAAAAAGGAAAATGCCGCATTAACCTAACGTATGTAAGGTCTTGTTTTAGTTATTCAGCAGACATTGTGCAGACATTATTCATCCCTGCATTATTTGTGTCAAGACTATTCGTTCATGTTACATCAACTGTCAGAGTAAATCTAATTCAGAACTATTATATTTGCTGTTTATCTTAAGATTTTGTTCACTGCTCAAGATAAAAATGCAAGCAAAGCAATACAGAAAACAAACTAATTTTACATCACTAAAATCTGCTGTGCAGCTTAACATCTACATGCAGAGCCGCCTCTAGTTTTGCCCCAGTGGTTTTCTTCCAGTGTAGTTATTACACAATGTGTGACCACCCAAAGGAAAGACTCCTGTGTGTTGGGAAGCAGTGGGGGAGTTTCCTTTGTCATTTTGCCACATTATGTAATCTCTGTGTTACGCAGATTTAATGTTTCCTGTGGAGTTGTTATGTAAATGAAACAAAATTATTTCTGCCTCGTTACTCACCAAAATACAAATTGAAGTCTCGAAGAATGCATTCCCTCCTAAATTTTGATTTCTATCAGCGAAATAATGTGACATAATTGGCAGTTTGGCTATTTTATTTTTGTAAGGCTTAATCAAAGCACAGGTTATACCAGTAAGCAGCAATCAGAAATTGAAAACTTAACAGGAAATATCCAGCCAATATATGCCCATGAATCAGGAACAGATCCAGCTTGAGATCACTGAGTACTGCAGCTCAGTTTTTATCCAATAAGTGGAGGGCAAAACTGCATTTATAAATTTAAGTTTAGCGCCAGGACCAAATATGATGTTCAGACACCGCCCCTCTTTTGACATATCACAAGTCTTCTTTAGTTTACAAAAAATGCTACATGACTGTGAATATTGTATTCAACCTCTTTTATTAGCAGCAACCAACTGGAAGCAAAATCCATCTGTAATTTCATATTTTATGCAAAGACTACATCCTTTTTATATTACCTTATTTATTGTTAGCACTGCTGCAGTATGAAAGTATGTGTGACATAATCTCAATGCCCTGCCTCACAGATTGATAAAAATACATGAATCATAGAGTTTAGGATATTTTGTTAACTTAAAAAATGTAATATTCCCAAAAGAACAAAAACTGAATATTTTGTGAACTAAGAAAATAAATAAGATATTAGTAAAAGAAGAAGTAGAATATACACTACTTTACACAACTTTCCTGTCATTTTGTCATCCTATTTACAGAGAATACACAAAACATATGTTGAACATTTTTTGTATTTGTCCATTTTTATACTGTATCCTCATCACAGAATACTCTCAGACACTGTCCTTGTCAAATTCACAGACAAAATACATGGTCGGGCTGCACGCCACATCTGTCCACTCTCCAGAGGCCACCATCTCAGCGCAGTCCTCATCATCATAGGCGTTGTTGGGCTCTCCTTTCCTCCACTTGCTGAAAGTAGTCATGGGAGAGAGATCAGCGTAGGTGAACACACCCTCATGTTGTTGGTCATGGATCCCGATGTAGACTCTGCTTAGACCCGCCTCAGTTATGTACCCTGCGATGGCTGTGTTGGCCACCTCATCCTTAGGCATGGCAAGGTGCCCTCCCCTTGTCTGACAGTAGAGCTCAGCGTCTGCGTAGCGTTTCTCCTCCTTCACCAACAGATACACCTTACTGTCTGTCTCTTTTATGCCAGCAACAGCTGCGGGGGAGGGCAGTGCTGAAAAATGAGCACTTGTATTTCTATAAATTTCACTTTGGCACATCAAGTATTTGCATTTGTACAAGGATAATTAGTGAAAACAGATACAAGGATTTTTCCTTTGAGAAATAAGATTCGAAAAGTCACCAAAAATGCTCAGATCTTACCATTTTTAATAAATTTGAGTTCAGAGGAGAGCTGCGCCACAAGAATGTCCATTTCTCCAATCAGTTTTCTCATTGGTGTGCACTCACATGGAACACCTGATAAGGCAGACATGTGGGAGATTAACACACATTCTACCAAACATGCCAGTCTAATCCTGCAGTCTTTTTTTTTTACAGTCTAAAAAACCTGGCGTAATATTTACCTGGATCTCCACTCGGACCTCTAGGACCTGGATCCCCCATGTCTCCTTTTACTCCTAAAATATGAAAAGTAATTATTCATAAAACTGTAAATAAATAAGACTATAATAAACAACAACAAGGGAAGCATGTTCTCCCTTTTTCTAATTACCTTTCATTCCACTTGGACCCACTTTTCCAAAACGTCCCATAATGCCTTTCTGACCTTTAAGTCCAGGATGACCTACAAAATAGATAAATAAATATACGTGTCAGGAAGGTTTTATCACTATGTAATCTACTTAATAAACCACTCAGCTCCTCTTTTGGGTCCACACAAATTAAGTTTCATTAAAGCAACATCCAAAATTCCCCAAACCCTTATCTCAAGGATACACCTTGGCGCATTGAATAAACGCTGAGTCTGTGTAATCTCCACCAAAAAGTATGTCAACAGCCTCCACTCCTCATTAGGTTCTTCAGTAAACATTCACCCACAGCAGCAGATCCTCACATCAACCTCTCACCCCAATGTAAACACCAAGCCATCTCTGGATGGCCTGCGAGTGATGTAACAGCACATTATCAGCTCAAGAAATGTGATCTTTACCCCACTTCTTTTTTTTTCTTCCTGGTTTTGGCTTGGTAGTCGTGAAATGTGAGGATATGCATACACTAGAGTGTAATGTTTTCCCATGCACTGAAAAACAAAAACGCGCTGGAGTCCTCTCCCTTTGTTACAAGACTCTAAAAACTGTACCAGTCTCTCCTGCAGGCCCAACTCTTCCTGGTCGCCCTGGTGCTCCTTTTTGTCCTTTCTCACCTGGTTCTCCTTTTGCAAAAAAAGACAGAATACAATAAAAATGTGATAACCTGTTGAGAGAGTTAGACATTTTTGTTTCCCTGTATAAGAAAGAACACAGAGCATCTTACCTTTGAGTCCAGGGACCAAAATCTGTACAGTGCAGGACTCCTCTGCCAATTGTTGTCCATAAGATGTCAGCACAGACATTAGTATGATGGGCAACAACAGTTTCACTCCTACCATCCTTTACATGAGTTGAGTGCTAGTTTACACTGGAAAAAAGCAGGAGTCAGTTACTCAAATAAACATCAGTGAAAAGTGCTGTGAATTCATTTCAGTTTAATTGTGAATTAATCAGCTATCACATTTATTAGGGTTACTGAAACACCCTAAAATGAGTTAGCATCCTAATTTGGTATAAATCCACGAAGGCGGGAAGTGTTTTGCAGGTTTACATGATACAATACAATACGATAAGATGTGATACAATCGTGAGAAAATTGGACTTGGACTCAAGTGCTGCATTTATGAAGCTTCATGCACACTGGTCTTGATAAATTATTTTTTTCCAGCCTCTATGATACCCTAAACTAACCATGTATTGCACTAAAACAGCAAAGGAAAATGCCCTCTCTCATTAAACCAGAAAAAAAAAGAAAAATCTGGTAGTTTGAAATCAACCCCACCCCCCTCCTACACACTCAAATGGACCAGCAACACACATTAAACCTTTATCATGGAAATTAAGTCACAAAATATTTAATGTTTTCAGCTATCCATCCACATCCTAGATGCATTATGTCTTGAAATTTACCCCAATGAAAGACATGCGTTGTAGTTTTTTTTTTGGTCATAAACTTGGCAACACTGTTCTCATATAAGAAAATATCAGTAAAAGAACTCCTGAGGAAAGATGTTATCATAGGCGTAAAGAGCAGTTTAAACCAAAATCAGAAAGGCCTACCTGTGGAGATGTTTCTTGACAAAATTAAGGAAAAAGTGCTGGTTTCCAAAGATTACAGGAGCTTTGAACGCTGGTGGTCCTAAAGAAACATGTCATGTTCCTCTGCAGGCTCCACAGAATGTGTGTGATAGGAAATTTATAAACAGTTCAAAGATAAAGCAGCCGGGACCCTGCAGATAATTGGCTGGGAAAGTAGTCAAGTGATTGACAGAGGAGGGGCTGGATTTTACACGAATTTCACTTCAAACTTTGCCCCAGAATTTAAAAAGAATGAATGAATTAACCCTCCAAAACACTTTCAGAGATTTATTTTAAAGTGTGTTATAACGATATGACATTGAAACTTGGCAAAATGTAACTTTTTTTGTAGGTTGTGTTTATTAAAATTTGATTCAGATGATAAATAAAATGCACAATGATTGATACAGCATCATATAAAAAACTTAGCTCAGAGGATTGATTTAAAGAAAAATTGATTAGATTAAATGAAAAATTGTTTTCCATTATCATTCTCTAAAAGGCTTACCAACACTGGGGAGATGTTCATTGCCATCTCTATATAGTATATCCTCATGGAGTCTAGATTCTGGTGAGTCTGTGTTGTTGTAAATAACAAAGAGATATTAGAAAGTTTCAAGCTATAATTTATTTCTGACAGATTTAATGTGAACTTTTTTATTCCTTCAGAGCTGAAAATCACAGTCAAATCTTCTCCGGCATGTTGCAAGATTTCTTTTATCCTTTGTCAAACAGTCATTTCTGGCAAAGCATTAAGGATTTAACTTGAATACAACTCTGTGCTTGCATAGAATTTCTGATGCCATCATTTCCCCAGAGTGCCCTGGTCCTTGTGATGATCAACCCTCTCGTGCATCCTCTCTCTTCTTTTTTTGCTTCATCTTCTTGTAAGCAACTTAATTGGTTTGGGATTTGGTTCCAGATATGCAGACATGCATTTCCTATTGGTTGCCACTTGAGGGAGCTATTGGCCAAAGAAGAGCAGCAGTGGGATGGTCACCAACATTAATGGTCTTAATATGACACAGAAGTTTTTGGAATAACTGTTTAAAATAAGTGATAAGTGAAAAATTACATGGTTATGATTTACAAAATGCACATATGTATTTATCTTTCAAACCTCTTCAACAGATGGAAATAGGCATGCAGTAGATGCATAGATAATTTATAATGTCATGCAAATACTAACTTGGACTATTAGCATGGGAACAAAAATAAATGTCATGTCAAAGTTTACATGCTGTCATCTAGAGTCAGTAACCAGATAGGTTCCAATACAGGAGTATCAAATATCCTAATTAGATTTACAAACCCAGTGGCAGCTTTCAATGGAGGATTGGGTGTCTCCTTCAGAAATCCCCCCAAAAGTTTTAGGTTACCTGCCTATCAAATATTTATGACTCTCAAGGCAGCGTTTACTGTCCTTTCGGAGACACAGCCTTGTGTACGCTAAATGTATTTTCAGATTAAATATGATTAAATGTAAAGGAGATGAGGTATTTTAAAAAGTATTACACTTGGCTTTCTTGGAGGAAAATGTCGGCTAATTTGCTTGAAAAGCTTGTTTCTCGGTTTCAGCAATGATTACTAATGCCATTTCTAATCGATTTTGTCTGATTAGAAATGGTCTCGTGTGTATTTGTGAAATATCAAACCGTGTCATATCACGAGCGCTTATATCACCTCTGTTTGATGAAATATTACCGTTTCCTCTGCAGGCTGAGATAATGACTACTTCAGAGCACCTAACACGGGGTCTTACGAGCGGCACCTTAACGCACCTTCAGTAGAGAGTACAGTGGCTGTGACGTCACCGTGGCTCACCGGAGCGCGAGCACAGACTGTCATCCAGGCAGCCTCGAGCCCCGTTGGCCTTTCCTGCCCTGAGAAGAGAAGAGAAGAAGCGAGGAAGCTGGGCTACAATTTCACATCTGTATGAGGGATTTAAAACCTGTGACTGTTCCCCTGACCGCAGACCTACATTTAACTTTCTAAAGGATACTACTCGTGAGTACCTCCGCTTTTTGTCCAACTTTTGCACCTTCTAGTAACAGCTTTAGGCTCAGATAGCTGGAGGAATCCTTCATTGTATTGGCAGCAATGTTAAATGAGTGGTGGTAACTGCTGTGGTCCACTTTCTGTCTACGTACAGTTCATTTTACCTGGTTACCTCCATGTTTTACCTGCAACAGTTCAGTGTAGGCTTACCTGATGCTGCCAGACTTCCACAGCAGGCAGGCCCACGCGTCTCTGTTTTAATTGGCTTTGTAACATAATAGCAACATGTGCATACCTAGCTGAGTCTCAATGCATTTTATCATTTTTACAATAAACTTTAACACTTTGTTTGAAAACGTCAAGGCCTCTTTTACCAGCATATTGCATCATAAAGTTTTGTATTTTTAAAACAGGAACCAACTGTGTGCTTCACTTTGTTATGAGGTACATAGTGTAATTACATAATGCGTAATATTCTGATCAACTTTGTCCTATATGGTAGGAATGATTCAATCTTCACTGTTCTGTTTTGTTTACCTTGTCTTTTTGTGTGTTTATTATTCTACTAAATCTGGCATATTTTCACCCATCAACTGATTTAACCTCTTTTAAACCTAAAACCCATTCATCCTTTATGTCTGTGGTCATTGTCCAATGTATTTTCCACATCCCCTTTGCCTGGGAGAGAACAGGAAACCAGAGGCAGGAAATAGGAGGCGTGCTTTTTGTCCCTTGTTTTAACTCTTTAACTGGAGTCCATTCATGTGTGTGTGTCTGTGTTTCCATCTCTCTGTTGTGCATGTTATCTGTGTTTATAAGGATGTGTGTCACGGTCTCTTCTGTTTCACATATGATCGCTGTCTTTTATTTGCTAAACTTGGATCTCACCTCATGCGCCTCGCCAACCTTTCAGGATTAGGGTCAAACACTAAGAGGATTAAGGCCCGGCAGAGTCAAAGTTACTCATCATGAGGGACAGGTCTGTGTTTGCCTCCAGTCAGTAATGCTGCTGGCTTTGTAATGTAGTCATTGATATTGAAGAACATCCCCTCTGAGTGATGAACCGGACTGTGTCGATGGGCAGGAGAATCTGAAAGCTTTTAGGACAGATGTGTGCGACTGAGTTTTGAAGAGCAACATGTTACAAGTGACAACTATGAATTTCTTCGTCATTGACCAATTTGGCTAATGTTCAGTTTTCATTAAACATGTGTTGTTAATAAGGCTCTTGATATTCATGTAGTTCTGAACAAAGCCTGTTCTCTGTGATTATACTCAGACTGAAGAAAGCGACCATGGAGACCTCTAAAGTTATCATTCATCTTACAAAGACAGTGAAAGATAACTGACCAGGAAGTAGTCTGGTCCTCCTTCTGGTTCATCCTTTGAACATCTGCATGATTTTGAATGTACTTGAAATTTAGCATGCAGCGTCAACCCGTACAGTTTGATAGTTTGGTAATCAAATATTCATCACTGGAATTTTACATACAGCAGCTATTCAGCCTACGGATTTGATTGTCGTAGAATCAGATTAAAAAAAAAATCCACTTCCAGTAACTGCAGCTGTTTTTCCCCCTAAAAGTAGGGTTTAAGGACAGTCCTTTGATACTGTCTTTCTGTGTCACTGTTAACCCACACAGGGCAAAGAACAAAGATATTGTACTCGTGCTATATACCCGCAACAGAGCAATAAACTGAGATAACATTCATCATACAGTCTGAATAAGCTCCTTTGAGGATCATTCACTTGTGGTGCAAACTATTTGTATGTCCCTGTACACTGGTGTTTGTTAGATATGTAAAACATGCTTTTGTATGTGGTTGTTTGCACAAGAACACAGGCATCTCCTACATCAACCATTTCCTCTTAATGTAGGGGTAACTTTAACGTCTATCTAACTATATCTGTTATCGCTTTGAAGCTTAAATGGATAACTTAATAGTACTGCATAGAAACACTCAGTTTCTGATTGTCTGGTTTGCCTTTGTAGGTCATAAATAGGCGTCTGTATTTGTTACACTGGAGTTGTCAGTGGACTTAAAGTGACTGGAAATTTCTATTGTCTATTGATAAAAGGCAGATGCAGGCTTATTAAACCAGTCATGCTCTTCCAAAAAGGGCTGTAAAAGTCTGATTGTTGACACTTGATTACTGTAAGAGTAAGTACAAAAGTCACTTCCTTTTTCCTGTAAAAAAGTAATGATTTACTACGCCTGCAAAGATGGTTTTAAAAACTAAGGACAGACCTTATTGGAAAGACAACATTTCAGAGTAAGATAGCATTTTTCACACACCTCACCTGTGGTTTTAAAGGTTTTACAGGAACAACACCCTAAACCGTCCCCATGTCTGATCCATCATCGCCATGCCTAGAGGACTGCATCAACAAATTGCTTCCCCCATCCTTTCTCTAACCCCAATCCCTAAAGCTAATTGGATACACACAAATAACAATCCATACATTGGTTGTGGGATTTAATTTCCAGAACCGTCATCAACACCACACCATACCTTTCACGTTAACAAAAGACGCCTCAAGATAGTCCACAGAATGTAGTTGTGTTTCATTTGTTTGTTCTCTACAATCAGTTATATGTTTATATCTATTGTGCTCAGACTGTTGATAGCTTTGAATCCCTAAATTAACTTAAGGTTTCAAAGATTGGCTTATTGGGACTCAGTTGCGTAAGGAAGTTTTTGGATCATCTGCTTTAGTACGGACCCTGAACATAAACATGTAGACCTGAGATATTTTGTCTGGTTGTGCAGTTTATGTAAGGTCACTTGGGGGGTTGTTACGTCTCTCTAGAGATTGCAAGAATCCCCGAGGAGACAACTCCAGTCTGGTACCAGTGGAAAATCCTCTCTTACAAGCTCAGAGGGTGAAGTAACGAGTCAATGAAAAGCACAGCAGACAGCTGAGGGATGCCAAAGGGAATCAGTTTGGTTAAAACTGTTTTGTTTTTGTGGTAAAGATAGTGTTTTTCCACAAAATACTATCATGTTAGGGATAAAAAGGGATTATCATGGCCTTCTGTGTAACCAGTAAAATGCAAAACTGCGCTATCCACTTTGCATTTATGTTAAAAACTCAGCGTATGTGCTCTCTTCCCAGATTGTGTGGTCGTGCTGACCGGAGGTAGGCCATGGAGGACGGCAAGCCAGTGTGGGCGCCCCACCCCACCGATGGGTTCCAGCTGGGCATGATCGTTGACATAGGAGCTGACACGCTAACCATAGAGCCGCTGAACCAGAGGGGCAAGGTGGGTCACCGTCCACACACAGGCAAATTTACACCCTGGCTGTTCCATTTAAAGGCAAAATGAGTCCAGCTGGGAAATGGGTGAGGGGCTGGTGCTTGTTTTCCTTTTCTATGGCTTTGAAAATTCATGGGGGATTTGCACATTCAGACCAGAGGGTCCTCGCCACAAAACCAGCTAATAAGTTCAGAAACTTAAGGTGATATTTGAGAAATTTAACATTTTCTCCAACTTCCTCCCAGTCTGTATAAAGTCCGATTTCAGCTAGAAGGGCGTCAGCATAACAATGTGTAAAATGTTAGAAACATGAGAAACCGCATGTACAGAGGCATGAATAAATAAAGAGAGCAGCAGCAGGTGTGCTGATAGTGTTGCCTAGTGGGAGAGCTGCTCATTAGAAGGTAAAAGCCACCTGTTACACCTGAGCTGTCATGTGTCCCAGCCACCAAACAGGCCTCTAATGTTTATGACAGGATTGACTCCATCAGTGGTCTCAGTATAGTTTTGTTTTAAATATCTCAGGAGGATTCGCAATATTATCGGTTTCATAAAAGCATGAGAAGTTAATGACGGGGCGGCAGTAACTCAGGAGGTAGAGCGGTCGTCCGATAACTGGAAGGTTGGCGGTTCGATTCCCCCCTATCCCAAGTCTGTCCGTTGTGTCCTTGGGCAAGGCACTTAACCCACCTTGCTCCCAGTGTGTGTCCTCCACTGGTGTATGATTGTGAGTGAGCCCCAGGGCAGCTGTGACTATCAAGGTTAGGTTAGTTTACCACCACCGAAGTGTGACTGTGTGAGCGAATGAATGATGTATCCAATGTAAAGCGCTTTGCGGGTCTCTGATAAAGCGCTATACGAAATTTGATGCATTAATATTATTTTTATTAATGATTAGTTTTGGCTTGATATGAATATCTCTACCAATATTTATGGCTAATAAGGTGGTGCATAACAGTATACACACAGTGACAATTTACGCAATGCAAGGTTTGTGCAGGGTAATGATGCACATGGGTTGCATCCAAATTCTCATTTTGAATCTGAAATTAAGCATCTGGATTTAAACTGAACAATCATCTATTTGCAAGTCTATTATTTCCACTTTCTGGAGAACAAGTGACTCGATAAAAAAGGACATTTTCAAGTGTGAAGCTCTCAGATTTTAAAAAAGTCACAAAACAGGTTAGGGTTGCAATCTGTGAAAGGTGTAGTAATACGATGTGCATTATTTGCTTTTCAGGGGGTGACTTTCAGAGTAATGCAATGTCAGAAACACGTCTAACACACTGCTCAAAATCTAATGTCTTGAAGTTGTATAATCAGCACTACCCATACATGTTGAATCAGATTGAAAAAGTTTGCTTTGTAAGAAGAGTGGGGTCGGCATGTCTGTGTATCACAGTCCCTCCAACACCAGAGGTCAAAGCTTTAATTTTATTCGAGTGCAATCTGAGCAAAAGGTACGCATAAGTGTATAGGGTATTTTAGTGCGTCAACATTTTCTTCCACTCTTACTTGAAAATATGTTTGTTCCTGTTTTGTTTGATTATATTTACAACTTGGAGAACGACTTCTTTTCATCCTTATTATTTGTAATTTCAGGCTCGAAGAATTGAAGCTATATCTCAGTCTGATCTCAGCATGTCACCAGCTGCAAAGAACCTGCTGAATCAAAGCTGCGTCAAAAATAAGCAATTATCTCGTCCTAGTGACAAACTTCATGATATTAACACTCCGCTGCGTTCCGAACGACTCATGAAGATTAATATTCAAAGATGCACTCCACCGACTTAGGAGTGAGTCTCGTCTGGAATAGCTGTGAACTTTGAGTGATCATGCTCACTATTAAGAGGCAGAGACTTTGCCTCATTCACTATGTGAATGAAAGGCTCATTGAGTGCCGGTTTTTACTGCAGCGCAGAGCTCATTAGTGGCTCAGCGCAACACAACCCTGAGCATGGCAGCCTCTTCTTCTTTGTCAGTCTTATTGGTTAGTCATTTCTCACATGGTTGTTATTGTGGATGTGCTTGTCCAGAATGAGCCCAGGCAGTGTAGCTGGCACACAAAGCAGATTCTGTTTAGGCTCACAGGCTGTTCGTAGCAATAAACCATGCATCAGGGCACACAATGAGTCAAAATCACACATAAATCTTTATTGATGTTCAAAGGACAATAAATGGTCAAAGGATGTGTTTACAAATCAGCTTATAAATGCCACCAGGTCTGATTGACTTTTATGTTAACACCATTGTGGATTTCCGGAGCCTTTTTAATCGCTGACAGTAGAATTTCAGTAATTTTATTACAACAAGGAATTGATTGGTTCCTACAAGCGAAGCAGCCACCTGAATCATCTCTTTGCTGTCGCACACACCCTCCTCATGCACTCACTAACTCACTCAGGTGTTCAGATCCAGTTGCTCTCCCACCAAATTATTCATTACCCTGCCATGTCTCCCCTTGTTTCTCTCACAGCCGGCTTGTTCCATTGAGTTTATTTCCATTAACTCAGACTCCCTAAAACAAAAGACTGAGAATATCAGTAACTAATTCAGCCTGGGAACATGTCACACCAAACTTCATTACTGTAATCTTAAAGCGTGATGAATGATTCATGTTTGTGCACGCTTGCTTAGCCTTTTATGATGTCTGATATGTCGCCTTGTTTTTGTATGCTAATCAGCAGTTGTTTGGTGTCAAAAACTTTTCAAAGGACAAGAAGTAAAAAAAAAGGATGAATTGTCTGACATGAGACGTCGGCATTGATATCACTTGTAAGCAGATTCATACCCCCTGGAAATAAGATCATGTAAATGCAACAATTAAGAAAACTCTTTGTGTTTCAGACCTTTCTTGCTCCAATGAGCCAAGTCTTTCCAGCTGAGGACGATGTAAACAAACTTGTAGATGACAACTGTAAGTCAACACATAGGTCAAGTTTGAGAATTATTTTTTCAAGATTTTTTCAAGATTTATTCTACAAGAGGTAGTTTATTTTGATATGTTGTTTTTCTTTTTCTTTCAGGTTCACTAATGTACTTGAACGAAGCCACTCTTCTCAACAACGTCAGAGTGCGGTACAATAAAGACCACATCTACGTACGTTTTCTCACAACTGCAGATCTTTTTGTTTGGTGCATTCACAAAAGCTTAAAGCCTTACTATCTAGTTGCATAATAGGGAAAAACAGCAACAGGTTGGACGACAGACTGAGAGAGGATCCCTTTCCTTGTCTCCCTCTGGGGAAAGCAGCAGGTGGTAAAGAGGAAGGACAGGTAAGGAAAGGGTCATAAAGTCAGTCTGGCAAACCCAGTCCTGATCCCAGCGCTCACTTAGGAAATGAGGGACAGCTGGTAGATAGGAAGAGCAGAAAGGGAACATGTTAAGATACGTCTCAGCAGTCCTGCCTCACTTGTTTGCTTTCTCTTACCTCCTCCGATTACTTAATTATTCATGTTTCCTTCCATTTATAAATGAACTGACTAATAATGTCTGTGTTTGTGTCTCCTACAGACCTATGTGGCCAATATCTTGATAGCTGTGAATCCTTACAATGATATCCCTAAACTTTATGGCCCTGAAGCCATCAAATCGTACAGGGGGAAGTCCCTGGGGACTCTGCCACCTCATGTATATGCGATAGGTGAGAGCCCACACCTCATCTCTGAAAACATATACAGCATATGAAAGTAGAGACCAAAGTGAGGCTGTTATTAAAACCAGGAACATTCAGTTTCTTACATTGTTAATTTTTAATGCAAACTCTTTAACACTTGTGTCTCTGACATCTTTGAGAAAACTTCTCAGCGTTTCTGCAAACCTGCATCATACGTAATCTGATCCTTTGACCACATTTCTCAGAATCTAAGAGTTCTCTCTTTTTGTGTTTTAGCTGACAAAGCCTACAGGGACATGAAGGTTCTCAAGATAAGCCAGTCTATCATAGTTTCTGGTGAATCTGGGGCTGGAAAGACTGAAAACACCAAGTTTGTTCTCAGGTATGAGCCCGTTTGATTCATGTTGCTTTTAGAACTACACCTTAACTTTATCTCTCCACTTCTGAATGTGAGTTCCCATCACTCAAAGTTGCGTTCCAATGAAATTCACTCTTTTTCTCCAACTCCTGTGCTTGAACTGCATCACATTTAGAGTTACTGTTGACACAAAACATCTCAAACAATAGTCAAAGTGTTAGTTCAGAGGTAAACTGAAGTTCACGGTCATTTGGAGCCTGAAGAGACTTCTGTCTTTTTTCCTTCCCTGTTGGACTTTACCCCCGCTTTTTTGACTCAGAATATGAACTTCTGTTTTTATTTTGATAAGAAGAAGCAGAACAGTTGAGTAGGAGAACTGATCCAACAGGCATTTAGTACTTAATTAATATTTGTGCAGTCAGTGAAGAGCAGCTGCAGCTGCTTTGTAAAGGAGACTTCCTGTGATAATATTTGCTATTTCAATTATCTCTTCACTTTTATTTGTGAGCGTGTTTTGGTCTTTTAAGTTGCTTTTGTGTTCTGTTGATTTACTTTACATATTTATTATTGTTATTATAATTTCCTCCTCATCCTGCAGATATCTCACCACAACATATGGAAGTGGCCAAGATATTGATGAAAGAATTGTAGAAGGTAAAACTTTATAAGACCAGAAATGTCACTAGATTACATGAACGGTAAACATGAACGGTCCTTTGTTTGTTTTACTTTCAATCTCAGCCAATCCTCTTCTTGAGGCCTTTGGAAATGCAAAAACAGTCCGAAATAATAACAGCAGTCGCTTTGGGAAGTTTGTGGAGATCCATTTCAATGAGAAGGTGACCTTTGATCATTTACAGTGTTTTCATCAAGTCTATAAGGAACTGTGCTTTGACAGTGATTTGAGAACCTGATACTCCCCTCGTGTCACCAGAATGCAGTTGTCGGTGGTTTTGTCTCCCATTACCTGCTGGAGAAGTCGAGGATTTGCATGCAAAGTAATGACGAGAGGAACTACCACATCTTCTACAGGCTGTGTGCCGGTGCTTCTGATGACATCAAGAAGAAACTGCACTTGGACTCTCCAGACAGCTTTAGGGTCAGTGGACTGAGATACTGAGATACTGAGATTGAAGCAAGGGTCTACAGCATCACTGTAACTCATACAATAAGGATGCATCTGAAACAGCATTCAGGGGAAATATTAAACCAAAAAAAAGTACCCCTCCAAAGTAAAATAAAATTAAAATTGAATTATGGGAATTTTTACAAAAGCAGAAATCTGCTTCTGGAGTGTATTTTTCTATAGGCTTGATTTTGGAGCCAACATTTTTTATGATTTATTAATTTTCAGTGATCCCTAGAGGTCCTCTCGTGTGAAACCAAAGGCCCCCCCTGGAACAAAACATTTTACAATTGAATTATTTCCCTTTAAAATGTAATTATCAACTCAGCGGGGGTGAGGACGGAGAGCATAGAGGTGTTTACCACAGCTCTTGTTTTCCCCCCCACGGTCTACCAAACAACTGTTAACGGAACAACAAGCAGCTCAAGCTGTTCCTTTGGATGTTTATCATAGTGTCTTCACGTCAGGTCCCTGAGGTGACACCCACATCAACAGAGGCAATTACTCCGTGCCATTCACCACTAGTCAGCTGTGTAGTAATATCAGAGGACAGCAAAGGAAATCTTTTGGATAAGAAAAATCAATATGAATACCCCAAGTGGGTTTTGATAATTGTATTTATGCTTTGTCTGAATTTAATTTATTCAATCTTGTATTATGTTAAAATGTATTTAAGCTGATTTTCTTCTGTTACAGTACCTGAACCGAGGATGCACCAGGTACTTTGCCAGTAAGGACTCAGATAAACAGATCATGCAGAACCGCAAGAGTCCAGAGGTAATGTCTGTCCTTACCGACCTGGCACATTATTGTTTAGGACAAACTTGTGTAACATCTGTCAGAAAACCCCAGGAGCTAAGGCAATACATTTATGTAAAGTATCTAATGAGGCACTTTCAGTGGGTGCTGATTTTGGTGCCCCCTGTGGGCAAAAAATGTCAATCTTACAGCTTTGCATTGTGCATGCCAAGGAGGTGTTTTCTGTCAAAATATCTTGCATTCTTTAAATGTGTCAGTCATGGTGAATGTTGATGTAAAATTAAAAAAAATGCCTTTTCTTCAGCATAATGTCAATGGTCTAATCTAACACCCACTGCCTCACAGCATTGAAGTAATGAGAACTATGTAGAAATGGTCACTCCTGCTGCATATGATCTATACGCTTTTTAGGGCCTTTCAGTTATTAACTTTCGAAGTAATCAATAAATAGTTGTCTTTATATAATATTCATCCAAATCTTTTCATTAAATAAACAAATCACAGAAAAAAATTAGGATTCCCTCAATTTGAAACAGATGAAACCAGCAGACGTCTTTGTCCTGTTGTTTGAAAAATCATTAAATCACTTGTATATTGCAGAAATAGTTAAAAACCGACTCCCTTCAATTAATTTATTGTTGCAGCTCTGAACTGAAAGGATATCACAGATTATATTGATGGAAATTTGCTGCAAATGTAAAATGGAATAATATCATTTCATGCAAAGGAATCAGTTCATCTTTTAATGAATTATTGATGACATTAAAAACAGAGAGGAGTTACTCTGCAGAGCCTGAAGAAGAAGAAGGGTAATTAATATCATGAAACAATTAAAAGAAGAAGTATGACATATTGATCTCTCAGGGACTAATTAAACACTTTTATTTATTGATCTATTTTCATGATAAAGTTTGTAAAAAATCAGGTGACATAGTGATACGTTTTTTTCATCTAAATTACATATTGATAAAACGTGTAATTTACACTTTCTTGTGATTTTACTGAAATTTGACACACTTTTTGTTCAATTTAATCCACCTTGCTGTTTTAACTTTTCTTTGAATTACTCAGTCAACATATGTTTTATATTTTGTTATGTATTTTCCTACTGAAATGTTGCACCCTGATAATGATCTTTCCTGGTATTCTGTGAGCAAACGTTGTTATTTCAGACTACTATTTATTTTTTTATTTATGATTAGAGGCTTTTTCTACATTCACCACTGCTCATATGATCAGTCACAGCAGCAGCTGAGTAGATGGAGGACTGTAAGCTGTTTGGTTGTTAAGTTCGTTATGTGGTCATATGTTGCTAATTAAATCATTGTACATCTGTCTGTCCTGCCACGTGTCTGTTATGTAGGACAACAAGGTGAAGCTCCCTTTCTTATCAGGGCTTTGTGCTGCCTGCTCTTTATCCTGTTTGTTTCCTGACGTAAACACTGACGCTCTCAGGTTTTACGTGCCGCTTTGCGTAGTCCAAACAGGAAATAAGAGTGCATGCTTCCTTTCTCCCTGCATGTGTTTTGGGTGGGGTCGCTGCTGGTTGATGCTTGAATAGAAATTTAGGTCATGTTTCTAAAGTCATACAATGCAGGGCTGCATCATTATTGTATGTTTCTATAGCTCAGAGAAAATATTTGCAAAAGTTTGATGCTTTACATCCTCTGTTTTCATTTTTTCAGCTGCACAAATTCAGGGTATTATTAGACAAAGCTTCTGTAGAGGGGGGCAGTAGTTTGTAGGGTGGTGTGTTTGCTGTGTGGTGTTTGTGGAGGCTTTTAAAACACATCTATGTTACATATTCTGCTTTGGTAAAAGTGCATGCCTGTATAACTAGAGTGTGAGCTAATGAGTCCTCCTGTTTCCTCACTTTCTCACTTGCTCTTGTGGTTTTAGCATCTAAAGATGGGTGCCCTGAAGGACCCCCTTCTGGACGACCAGGGTGACTTCAACAGGATGTGTGTGGCCATGAAGAAGATCGGTCTGGATGACACTGAGAAGCTCGACCTGTTCAGGGTGGTTGCGGGTGTCCTGCATCTTGGTAACATTGATTTTGAAGAAACAGGAAGCTCCTCGGGTTAGTAGGACGCTGTGATTACTCATATTTTTCAGTTTTTAATGATGTAGAAGATTCCTCTTGCAAACGAAATCATAGCAAAGAAGAAAATAACTTTTTGGAAAGATACTTTGAGTTTGTTGACTGGGTTATCCTGCGTAGTTTTTCTTCTTTTATTGAGACAGATTTTTGGGATGGTTTCACTGTTATGCAGTCACAAATTTTTCTTGCAAACAACTGAAGGCCTTCGTCAAAAAAAGGCTTGGATGCTCTCTCCAGTAGAAAGCATCCCACTTAAAAGATAATAAACTATAAAACTTGTATCAGTTTGTTTATTGTTATAATTTTCTTTTGTTAAATATGAACGTAGGAAATCAAATTTTGAAGAACTGATTTCCCCTCCTGAAAAGTCAATATCTGAAACCAAAAAAAGAGAAGCTATATTACCACAATGTTTCCCTCTGTTTTAGGATTATTGTTTTTCTTTTTCTTTTTCCTTTCCTGACAATTTAGACTCTGTGTGGCTCAAATAATTCTACCCAAAAATATCTGCAGTTTATCTCCTGTTCATTGTAGGATTCACTTTGATGGCTTGTTCCTCTCACCTTTTGTTTCAGGGGGCTGTGTCCTGAAGAATCAGTCAGGTCAGACTCTGGAGTACTGTGCTGATCTGCTCGGTCTGGACAAGGACGATCTGCGCGTCAGCCTCACAACCAGAGTCATGCTTACAACAGCAGGGGGCGCCAAAGGAACAGTTATCAAGTAAGAACAACAGCTATACAGATCTGTGACCTTGCGCAGACTGGATTATTTTCCTTTTCTGAGTAAAAAGGTATTCCCCTGGAGTCTGTAGAAGTCACTGTAATTGATTTATTTTACAGTTGAACTCTGTGGGTTTGCGTGGAGAGTTTGTGACGGGTCTGAAAATAATCCTGGAAGGATTATTAAAAACAGAAAACAATCAGTCTCCAGGCTGTTGCTGTATTAATTGACATTACTTTGTAAAGCTTTAGGAAGTGCCTGCTGTGTAAAAATCATGAGATTACATCAAACAATGAGCGAGGCCTTTAAATTTAAGAGCGTATAAAATTGTTGTTTTCTTGACTTACTTTGGGGTGACTATTTCTTTGAGGAGCACAGCACCACTACTAGATGAAATGTGTTGCAGTATTGGCACTGTATTTGGTGATGATGTGGTGTATGAGTGATGAGGCCAGGTTTGATGGATTAATATTTAAGGAGGGCCAGATGCTGGGCTGGCCTGGAAGTGTTTTCTCCACATAAATAATGCAGTCTGTATCTGAGGAGGCAGGCAGGCAGGCAGGCATGGCTGCAGTACAGTAAAGGCGCGGCGTCTGGGGAGCAGGTGGAGTAAAGGAGGGGGGTAGGCTTTGTCATTAAACCCCAGACAGATCCACCCCGACCCCTGGGGGGCTGAGGTGATAGCTGCAGGGATGACTGAGTCCCTATCAAGTATAACCATTTAACATTACAAAAGTGTAGGAAGTGTTTTATGTGTTTCAAGACTCATTGTGGTGTTTAAGTGTGTTTATAGTGAAATGTAGAAAACAAAGTCTGTTCTCTGGCTGTATTAAGCACCTTATCTTTGGCTGGTGTACTCCATTTTCTATGAGATAAGCACCTTTCTTTTCTTTTGGGTTGGATGTTTTGAATATCAAGAGAAAAAAAAGTCCATAACGATCTATCATAACACACCGCAGACCTTTTTTATTTTAAATTCAACGAGCTCCCGGCTGGGACAGCTGAGGTGAACTCTGGGTCACCGTGGAGCTGCACTTTGTCCTTACACTCAACCCCTCTGAATAATAATAAAAAAGATGTGTTAAAGCGCCGTCAGGGAATCTAGAGGAGTTCAGGGTTCATATTTTACTTTTAATACCTTATCTCTGGCCCAGGAACCCTCATTTATGAGGACTGCTTGACTTACAAAAGAGGTCAGGGGGGGGAACGGCACTATGTGACAAAAAAGTGTCACATCAACACAGTTTAAGTTTTGCTGCCGCATGAAAAATGGGTTGATTAGAATAAAAATAAAAGGGAGGGAGGTTTGACAAGCTTGTCCCAGTTTCGGACCGTCTCTCACTGCCCCACTTTGTGTTTCCCTTCAGGGTGCCTCTAAAGGTGGAACAAGCAAACAATGCCCGCGATGCCCTGGCCAAGGCCGTGTACAGTCGCCTCTTTGATCATGTGGTGAAAAGAGTCAACCAGTGTTTCCCCTTCAAGACTTCCTCCAACTTCATAGGGGTGTTGGACATCGCTGGTTTTGGTACTGAAATGTTTGAGTGTCTAGTTAGAGTTAAAATTAACCCGATTCAGAGCATGAAATGTAAACAAATCTGCTGCCTCTGTTTGTTTAGAAATTCCTAATGAAAAGACACTTGTCTGCTCATCGTGTTTCTTAATACAAGAACATATACACACTTCATTACCAGGGCTCTTATGTGAAAATTAATTTCCCCTGACTGCCGAGTAATTTAGCTAAAAATTAATTTAAGAAAATTAATTGAAATATGTTTTTTTTTTCTTCTTCCTGGTTTTAGAGTATTTTGAACACAACAGCTTTGAGCAGTTCTGTATCAATTACTGCAACGAGAAACTGCAACAGTTCTTCAACGAGCGGATTCTGAAGGAGGTGGGTGAGCTGCATGAGGATAAAAATAATTTGGTGTGATGTTTTTTTTAATCGCGGGGAACCTGTCGTGTCATGCCACTCATAGGGCAAACTTTGCTGACTATTTCACAAGACAGGAGGTTATTAAGCGTCTCTGTCTCCCCCTTTCTCTGTTTTCTCACTTCGAGTTCCCGTCTGCCTCTCCTGCTCTCCCTCATTAGAATGCTAATTTCTCAAGGGACATGATGAGGCTTGTTTCTCTCCTGTGATCTCTTAACTCTCTTCTCTTCCAGGGTCTCTAATTAATACAAAACAATTCTGGTTTAAGCTTCTTTCTAATGATCTTATTCGTAGTTTTCAGTTTGTTTTGGCACGCAGGATCCTCTGAAACCACTCAGAAAACTGTGAACAGATTTTATTACTTAGAGACTATTAGTGCAGGTTTGGAGAATTGACTTTTGACATCTGGTTTTGTCTGTGCAGGAGCAAGAGCTGTATCAAAAAGAAGGTCTCGGGGTGAATGAGGTGCATTATGTTGACAACCAGGACTGTATAGGTAAGTCTGAGTCGATGTCAGTCTGTTCATCCTCTAACTCTGCGGCTTTTGAAAAGTCCACAACTTTCAAAAGTTTCCCTACAAAAGCCAAAGTTCAACATGGAAAAAAATCACAGCACCACCTTCTGCAAAATGAAAGTGAGGGCACAAACTACTTGACTTTGTTGGTATCCTCTGCTAAAGCTAATAAGATGTCTTTCCACTACAGTGAAAAGTGTGTGTGTGGAGGAGCCTTGTGTACATTACTTAGTTGACCTTTGGAAACAGGATCATTGAGTGACACTCGGGAACATCATTAAGATAAAGCGTTGCCTTTGAGGGGTTGTGCTGCAAACACACAGACTAACTGACAGAGCAGGACCTTCTGTTGAGCCCGTTCACACCAAATGGACTAAATTTGGTTCAGATGTAACATCAGCTCACCAACATTTCCCTCTGCTCCAGTCCACACGTCAGAGCAACGAGAACACACCTGTCAGAGGGGGGACAAAAATACCAACTTCTCATTATCCAAGGTGCTGGCATATCCATGTGTCCGGGAGCAAGAGTAATGAGTATTTGTGGGTTTTATGGGCCTTTTTGAGCAACGATAAGCCAGAGGAATAATGCCCTCTTGTTTGAGTAGTCTCCATCCTCAAATGAATCCTCTCACTGCTGGGATGAAGTAGTCAGAGTATCAAGGTGAAGCCGTTTGATTTGTATTTCAAAGGCTGCAATTATTCAGGTGTGAGGTTAACTGACAGCCGTGAATAACATTTATGACTTGCAAATGACCATTTGGGTCGGCCATTAATTCACTCATCAATCTTCAGGATTTATGCACAGGTGCTTGTCCATGCAGATTTTTCCAGAGGTCCTTGGCTATTTAGATTGTATTCCAAACACAGAATGCCGCATGAATAATTCAGATGTATGGCTAAATGAGCATCCTGATGAACTTGTTTATGTGCTTCGAATATTCATCAAACCCAGAAAGGGAAAACTGTGGAGATTTCCTAATAAATGTCACTCAGAAGAAGATTTTGAGACTTCTCTGTAAAACAGCTTCTGTGATTCCCTAGAAATCTGAGTATTTGTTGTTAAGCCTAAACCTGACCCGAGGATTTGAATTAAAGGTGCTCAGTGTTAGCTGAATTGTTATTCCTCTTGAAACATCTTTTTGATGGATCAACTTTTCATACTGATGCTTCACTTTATGTTAACTCCTGTATTTAGATGTAAATCATGAAACTGCTGCTGATAAAGATTGTCTTTTTCAGACCTAGTTGAAGCGAAGCTTGTGGGAGTGCTGGATATTTTGGACGAAGAGAACCGTCTTCCACAGCCCAGCGACCAACACTTTGCTCTGGCTGTTCACAGCAAACATAAAGACCACTTCAGACTGACGGTCAGACCTCTTTGGTTGTATTCCCCTTCACTCTCTCTCTTTTTCTCTCTTCCCTCACAGTGTATACAATTTTCAGACCAATTTGGAGGCATTATTGGCATCTCTCTGCTTCTGTCTTTGTGTTCTCTCCAGTATTCAGCTATTATTCTCTTTCTTTGTGTACTTTTTGTAGAGGCGAGGCAGCGATGCATTTCACTTTTTTTTTTCATTGTTATCATTTTTTCCGTGCCTGTGTGTAACTGTAGTTTGGTGAATGACGCACGGTCCCTCCTTCTGTCTCTGCCATTGTCACTATTGTTCGTCTCCCCTGCCTGTGTCTCCACAAGCATGAAATCCTTTTAGAAGTGCAGCCTTGACACCAATTCGAGTTTGAGATTAGAGTTGGCTGGCTGCAGCCACACTTCGCTGCAGAGGACTAGAGCTCAAATACACTTTAAGTTGTTCTGTCCATTATAGAAATATAAATAAATATATATATGTATAGTTGCAGTTTTTAATTTTTATCTGCTGTGCATAAATAAGTGGGATCTTTAATTTCTGCAAATTAAGAGCTTCAGTTATTTCCTAATCTGAACAATAATGTTGGTGGACTTTTGGGGTCTCGTGTAAAAGAAGGCCCATTTGGATACATAGCAGTAGAAATTTAGATCATGGCTTCTTGTGCTCGTCATATCCCTCTGTAGCCAAGCTGATCCATGATTTAGATAACCACAAATGAGCAATTCACAAACTCTGAGATTCGGCCCTTTTGTATGGTATGATTTTAAGCTTTCTTGCTGGATTTCTTTGCACTTCATTGATCCGAATGTTTCATTCTCTAGACCAGCCTTCCTCATCAATAGTGGTGTGGATAAACAAGATTCTGCTGTTGAGATAGTGATGGATTGGATGAGAGTGGAATCAATATATATGTGTTTTAGCGCTGTCATTAAATTTGATTTGCTTTCCTCCTCTCCCACTTAGGTTCCTCGGAAGTCAAAGTTGGCCATTCATAGGAATCTGCGGGATGACGAGGGCTTTATCATCAGGCACTTTGCTGGAGCAGTCTGCTATGAAACGGTATTATACAGTATGGATTTCATCATATGGGGCTGTTAGAGCTTTATGGTATTCACAAAGTCCAGGATTAAAGTGATTTTCAGCAAAGACTTCTATCAATAATGTCTTGGAAAGTTTGCGGTTGTATAAGACAGCGGATGTGCTGGCAATGTTCAGCTTACTAAAAGTCAGTAACTGAAACGCATTTCAAGTTTGGAGATATTTTCTTTAATATTGTTATTATTCCTACACCCTCAGAGAACGCATGAGTCAGAGTTTGTTTACTGCACTGACTAGTAAACAGTCTAAACTGCCTACATTATATTTCCTTTCATCTATTGTTATGTCTTACCTTAGAGTAAACCTTCACCAATATGATATGAGACGCTTGCTCCTCCCACTCCATAGAAAGCGAGCAGCACAGGTCATACCAGGGTTAGAGCAGCAGTTTTACTGAACTTTGGAGATGAGTAAAAGGTCAAAATAATAAACTAAGGTTTTTTGTGTTCCTTTTATCTTCCCTTACAGAAAATAAAAGCTTAAACAAATCTAAACCTGAGCTCCTAATACAAAACAGGGGAACGCTTGTAGGGCTGGGCGATAAACCAGAAATTTACCGAGACCGAAATTTACGACAATAACTGACGTCATTTTGCCCATGTCAATATAGTCGATGTCAAAAAAATTAATAAATAAAAGTTGGTTTTGGATGTGTGTAGGTAGGCTATGGTAGGTTGGTAGGTAGGTTGTATCTTATGGAGGTGAGGAGATGGAGGACGGTTCAAAAGTTGTAACAGCTGGAGCAGCTGCTGAAGCAGATAAAGTTAATGTGGGAGTGGGTGAGCAGCTTGTGGAGTAGTTATCATCCATTTATCATTATCGAGGTGAACTGCTCAGTATATTGTGATATTGATTTGAGGCCATAGCGCCCAGCCCTGATGGCTACTCACTGCTGAACTCTGCTGAAAAATGTTCCCCGTATTCTATTTCAACAGACCAATCAGAGGCCTCACCTGCAGCAGCACCTGACTTACTCACACACACCTGTAATCTCTGACACACTCACACAAAATCTTCCTTACTCTGCAGGGGATTAAACGGACCCTCTAAACACAATGGGAATCGTTCCAAGATGCATGACTCAGAGGCGCACTCTTTAAAATAGCATCACTACATAAATGTGTGTATTTACCTGCCTGTGTGTGTGTGTGTGTGTGTGTGTGTGTGTGTGTGTGTGTGTGTGTGTGTGTGTGTGTGTGTGTGTCCTTAGACTCGTTTCGTGGAGAAGAATAATGACGCCCTCCACATGTCCTTGGAGAGCTTAGTGTGTGAATCAAAAGACAAATTTGTTCGGGAGCTGTTTGAGAACTCGAACACTGCCAAGGACTCCAAACAGAAAGCGGGAAAACTCAGCTTCATCAGCGTCGGCAACAAGTTCAAGGTAAAAATGTATTTAAACGGATACTTTTCATCACAACCACAACTCTGTCTTCATAGTTGTTCCACTTTATTCAGTCAGTTTCCAACACAAAGTCATTCATGTATGTGTAGAATAATGATTTACTGACAGCTATGTCAACATGAATGAATGAACCTTGTGCAGTCCCAGTTAAAGTTTTAAAGAATCAAAAGTGAAGTTTAAAATTTATAAAAAACTTGAGATTCAACTGGTTATTTTGTTGTGCAGTCCATTCTTCTTGTACCCTTTCTTTCTTCTCTGCTGGTGTCCTACCCATGTCCTCTGAAAAACTGCTTTCAAGGTTCTTGACATAAGCGTTTGCCTCTCCTCGCCTTTGTCCCTGCTGGACTGCTCTGTCCCCCCTGTACTCACCTGATGTTAGCGGCTGCTACCTACTCTGTCTGTGTCATCTTCAAATCTCTTGTCTGCTTTCACACACAGACCCAGCTCAACCTGCTGCTAGAAAAACTTCGAAGCACAGTGAGTAATATAAGATAAGATTAGATACGCCTTTATTAATCCTACAAGGGGAAATTCCCATATTTCTCATACTTTAGCTTTATCATGTATTTTAACACCTTTGCTTTTATACTTGCAAACAATGATTTTAAAAACTCTTCACAGCACACATGTTTTTAAGATTTATTTTTTACAGCCGATCTATTTCAAACAACATCAGGCAAAGACTGAGAGATACCTGTTCAAATGTTCTGATACAATCTGTGTTTGTAGGGCTCGAGTTTCATTCGCTGTGTGAAACCCAACTTGAAGATGGTCAGCCATCAGTTTGAAGGAGCTTTGATTCTCTCACAGCTGCAGTGCTCAGGTTGAACTCAATCAAATGCTTTTTTTTGGGGGGGTATGACATTTCAAATAACGGATTTTCCCAAAAGACACCTGTTGATATTCAAGAAAGCGTACTGTTGGCTTAAATTAAAGTAGTTGTGTTTTACTCATATACAAATGCACATGATCTGTCAGTAATCCACATTTTGATGTGCTCTTTATAACCCTAAAACGATCTCTCTTTGTCTGTTTTCACATGTGTAGGAATGGTGTCGGTGTTAGATTTGATGCAGGGAGGTTTCCCTTCCAGAGCTCCTTTCCATGAACTGTACAACATGTATAAACAGTACATGCCTGACAAGCTCACACGCCTGAATCCACGACTTTTCTGCAAGGTGGTACCACATGAATTAAAATATTAAAACACTTAGCCAATCATTTGAACAAAAAAAAAAAGCTGAGGTCGTTGTCAGGGTTCCTTCCCAGTCGGAATTTTCATACTTTCCCATACCCTACTTTTTGGGATTATTTTTGAAAATACCTACTTTTCTATTTTAGAAAACAGTATTTTATAAATAGTGAATAGTCTGGAAACATAAATATTTTTCCATACTGTGTTTTTCATTTTCAATACTTTTTAAGACCTGGAAATTAATCAAATTTATTCAATACTTTTCCATACTTGCGTAGAAACCCTGCTTTAAGTCACATTGACTCCTTTGTTGCAGTGTCACTGATGGGGATTTGTTCCTTTGTAGGCTTTGTTCAAAGCTCTGGGACTAAATGACAATGACTTCAAGTTTGGCCTGACTAGAGTCTTCTTTCGCCCCGGGAAGGTACGAAGAAGTCAAAAGATAATTTTCATCATGTGGCTCAGACCTCCAGAGAGCAAAAATATCTGTAATACTGTTAAAGGATCGAGGTTTTCAATTGTGCTTTTGTCTCTGTTCATAAATCAGTTTGCTGAGTTTGACCAGATCATGAAGTCTGATCCAGACCACTTGGCAGAGCTGCTGAAGAAAGTCAACACCTGGTTAGTGTGCAGTCGCTGGAAGAAGGTCCAGTGGTGCAGCCTGTCTGTCATCAAACGTAGGTCACATTTATAAAAACTACATTCGGACTGTCACTCTGCTCACTAGTTTCTTAACACAGATTTTCACTCAGGTAGCTGCACCCCTTTGCACTTTAATCTAACTACAGCAGTTCTGGTTTGATTCCTGCCACAGTTCGCTTCTGTACTGGAATAAAAGCCACATTACATGAGCCTCCATGAAGCTGTTGCAAAGTCAATTATTGCAGAAAGGCTGGTAGCACAACTTATTTTAGTCAGTGGAGTTATTTCTCTCTCCAGAGATTGACTTTGTCATTTCCTGGCAGTTTATTATTCAGCTCTGATAGCTTTACTCAATCATATTTCACATTTTTCCATTACTCCTGAATATTGAAAGCAGCAGCAGCCTCCAGCAGTATGGAGTAGTACTCTAAAAGCAGTTCCTTGAACCATTATAGTCTTCACCAAGCTATTGATTTTCACCATATAACAAAGTGCAGGCTTCTGCTTATTTGTGTAAAAGCATCAAATGAAAATACATTAGAGTTATAACATAACGCTGCTCCTGCATGATTTCTCGGATAAGCAATCAGAGGAAATGTATCTCCTCGGTCAGGGTCATTCATCCAGTTTAACACTCCGCCTTATTATCGCAGTTTCATTAGCAAGTGTGTGTGTGTGTGTGTGAATGAGAGAGAGCGAGAAAGAGAGCTTTTAAGTGTTTGCCAGATATTCGGCTATACTTGTCATTGTGTATACCTGATAAATAGTAGCCATTATAGCAGTCGGTGCATAGCTGTATTATTTCAGCTCCTACTTGTCAGTTTAACTTTTTCATGCTTAGCTGTGATGTTTTCTGTCCCGTTTGAATCAAAAAGGGGTCACGCCGAACTGCTTTTCCCTTGGTTTTTGCATATGAGAACCCTAATGCATTAAAGAACAGATAATTGTGTGAATAATTTGAGAGCTGCAGTGACTTCAAATCCGGATGCTATGTATTTTTGACTCTTTCCTATGCCTCTTTTATGACACAGAATAACACGACACGAGGTTGTGAGAGAGCAAGAGAACGAGAGTCCCAAAAGTCCCAAAACACACTCGATATATAGGGAAAGTCGCGGTGCATAATCAGAACCTGAACCCCCTTTGAGACCGTTTCAAGTTTTCAACACGTCTTTGTTTGAATTCTCTTCTTCTTCTTTCTTACAGTACGGAACAAGATGAGATACAGAGCTGTGGCTTGCATTAAAATGCAGAAGACTGTTCGCATGTGGTTGTGTAAGAAGAAGCACAAGCCACGGTGAGTCCCTTTCTGCTCTTTGTCCTCAATCACACACACACACACACTCAAGCAGACGCACACATGCATAATTTCTGAACATCTTCCTTGCTGTCTGTGCCCTTTGTTCTCTTATTCTTCTATTTCACCTGATACTTTTCTGTGTGCTTCTTATTTAAACCCATTCACGCTTGGTTGCTTCTGATGGCTTTCCCACATTGTGAATTTAGGAGTTCAAATCCATCTCAGAAGTCATCTGTGGAGAAATGATGTCTCACTATACTGCTTTGGAAAATACAGCGTGTCCTTCAGTATTGGAAATTTGGAAAAGGGCTTTGGCAAAAGCAGCCATCCAGATGATGGGTTTCTAGATAGTTTCTCTGTATCACAGTTTGACTGTGAGTGTCAGAGTGTGTTTGGAGGAAAGAGGAAACCTTGGACGGCAGCTGGCACACACCCATATCTGATGCAGTTCAGTTTGAATGTTTTTTTGTGACAGGCCCATTTCGGTTATCTACGAAAGAGGATTAGGGCCACAAAAAGAGAAAAAAATAACTATAGGAGGGAGATTTTTAAATTTACTTTTCAAGATTAAAATCGAAATTTCAAGATTAAAGTTGAAATTTTAAAAAGTTGAAATTTCAACTTTATTCATCTCGACTTTAATCTCGAAATTTCAATTTCTAATGTTGAAATTTAAACTTTATTGACATAATTTCAATTTTTAATGTCGAAATGTTGACTTTAATCTAGAAATTTCGATTTTTAATGTTGAAATTTTAACTTTATTGACATAATTTTGATTTTTTAATGCTGAAATATCAACATTAATCTAAAAATTTTGACTTTAATCTCTTTCATGTAATTTTTTTTATCTCTTCATGTGGCCCTAATCCTCTTAAGTAGTTATCCGTCTTATGAACTATCAATAATAGGTATCAACACTTGACAACCTGTGATCTTTTCGTGACATACTCATCTGCATCTATGTTTTTCTATTTTTTCATAGCATCGACGGCATGGTGAAGGTCCGAAATCTGAAAAAGCACATGGAACGGTTCAACAAGGTTGTGAACGGGCTGAAGGAAGGCAAGCCGGAGATGGCCAAAAAGGTTCAGGAGCTGGCCGCCTCCATAGATGCCCTGTCAGCAAAGATAAAAGTGAGCCATCAGCCCTGACTGTGCTTACCTGTGACATACTGTAAAGTCTTTGCATAATATCTCTATTGATTTAAAAGTTGCTCATGCCATCGGTTTTTTCAGGTGCTTCGAGTTTATACAGTACAGCGTGAGATCGGGGGTATCTGGGGGATATTTTCAGAGCACTTAGCTTCCCTCATACATGCAAGCCCCAGATTTACGTGTTTTCTCCTCTTCTCTACATTTACACCTGTAGCTCTCTGTCACTACCAGTCTTCCCCTGTCACTCACTGTGCCCTTTCTCAGGCGGCGGTGCCCTTTTCTCTCTCTTCCTCTCAGAATCAATATTTTCAATCACCTTGGGATAAAAAGAAGAGCTGGATGAAGAAGAAGAAAAAAAACCTCTCCTTCTCCTCCACTTCTTCCAGATAAATAGATTTAGTGAGGTTGTTTTGCTAAATTATCAAACGTGCTCTGTGAAATCCCAGCTCTCCCGGTGCAATAAGCACTTCTTTTATTGGACCCTTTTGGTGCGGCAAACACTTCCACATGCTTTCGCACAGCTTGGTGCTGAATCCACTAATTAACTGTTTATGCTCCCCACATATCATACTCCATCATTACCTGTATGTAGATTGGATCATCAATACATCCTGATTGACTTTAAAGCAACTCTGACTCCTGCCCTTCCATTCAGCCCCTCTGTCTCCCTTTTGCCCCTCTGTTCGCCTATTAGCATCCCCGCTGCCGACACTCACAGTGTTGTGAGCGCTTAGAAGTTGCCCCTGGTGTGGCACCTTCTCTTCAATAATGCATGAGATGCCAGTGGCTGTCATTCAGACCTCAGCACATCGGGGACGAGACCTTGTCATTTCACCTCTCTGTGTCACAGCGAGAGACTCCCTCTAATGAATCTTCACAAACCACTGACCTCTTCTCTCCGTGTTGATTGTATGACAAGTGAAACGGGGAATTGAGCTGCATGGACGTTGTGTTCAAGTGGCAGGCGCAGTGTCAGTCAGTCTTTTGCCTGGTTACCACATGGGAAAGTGTGTCATCATGGTCATGGGCCTGTGGCGTGTTAGGAGCTGCATCCACATTTGCAAAACACTCTTTAAAACTATGAGCTGCATGTGGAAATGCATACATTCAGGATTTGTATAATCCATACCTATACTTTAATTACCTCCGCCAAGGAGGTTATGGTTTCGGTAGCGTTGGTTTGTTTGTTTGTCTGTTAGCAACTTTACGGAGAAAGTAACAGACGGATTGACCTGAAATTTTCACCAGAGGTGCGTCTCAGCCCCAAGAGGATCCCATTAAATTTTGGTGGTGATCCGGTGATCTGGATACTGTGGTCCAGAACACACAAAAATAAGGGTGTCGTTGGAATTTCCAATGCTGAAAGATAACCAATGGGCGGCACAGTGGTGTAGTGGTTAGCACTGTCGCCTCACAACCAGAAGGTCCTGGGTTTGAATCCGGGTCATGTCTTGTTTGAGGAAGATTATGAACAGTGAACATACCACTTTAAACACAAATAAACGTTAATAAAAATCATGTAACAGTAAAAGTTTTGGTGTGAATCACAATATAAGGGGGAACATGAGCTGCTTGGCGGAGGTCTGCGCTCTCCGAGTGCTATTCTAGTTTTTTTATTCAACCTTTATTTAACCAGGAAATATCCCAGATTGAGAGATTAAGAACCTCTTTACCGAGGGAGTCCTGGCCAAGAGGCAGCAAATACAAAATACAGTTACATATTTACATAAATAAGACACAGAACTTAAACACATCATGAGAAACAAGTGCATATTGTGGAATTGGCCTCAATAACTCTCAGTTTGGATTTTAAAGTGCTCAGTCTTTCCAGTCTTTCTCAAGCATATTCCATGTATAAGGTGCAAAGTAAACAAATGTCCTTTTACCCATCTCTGTATGAGCATAAGGGACAGAGAGCAACATCTTATAGCACCTATATCCATAAGATATCTTTATCTAGTATGAGATGAGATTTTTTTTAAAAGTATCCAAGGAACCCTTTTATGTTGCTACTTCAAACACCCAGCAGCACTTCTGACCCTCTGGCCCAACGCTTTGGTTCAGCAGGCGCTTAAAAGTTAAAAGAACAGTTGGATAAAGTACCACAAAGTATTTGATGTTTCCTCTGTCCCCCAGACAACAATAATGACCTGGAAAGAGATCGACACCGAGTACCAGGAGCTGGTGAAACGCTCCGAGCAGCTGCTCTCCTCGATGCAGAAGAAGAAGCAGGAGCAGGAAGAGAGCGAGAGGCTGAAACGCATCGAGGAGGAGATGGAGAAAGAGCGCAAAAGAAGGGACAAAGAAGAGCAGCGGCGTAAACAGGAAGAGGATGAGAGAAGACTGTGAGTAATAATCCGGGGAGGTGATAAGTAGAAACTTCAAAGGAGATGTAAAGTTTTCTCAGTCTCTGAAAAGTTGTTTTCCTCGAACTTTTTTAGGAAAGCAGAAATGGAGCTGAAGAGGAAACAGGACGAGGAGGATCGAAAAAAGAGGGAGGAGGAAGAGAAAGTTATACAGGTACCTGAAATGTTGCTCCGGCCAGAATTATGAAGCTGGAATATCAAGATGAACTTACTGTGAACATAATTTTCAACTTTCTGAGGCATTTATCAACACACGGCTGACTATTGTTCCTCCTTAATCTTATGTGCCCAGTGAGGGAACTGACCTCCACACACCCCTGCAGTGACAGAGTGCTTATACCCTGCCATTTTAATTACATTCAAGTAAGATGACTTTAGTAATCCTAATCCAAGACTCGGTGGGACCCTCATTAGGTGATCTTCTACACTAAAACGTGCTGTTTTGTTGCTGGAAAGAAGACTAACTCACTGTTCATCACTTGGTTTGTGGGTTTTACACATGAAACAAAAACTCTTTCTGGTTTTCTGGTCTTTGCAGCAGCATTAATCATAACTCAAGTTTTCCCAATGTTGATGTTTCTTGAGGCTGATTTTCACACAGCTGAATACCGACATTAAAAAGAGATCGAGTGGCTTCAGTTAGCAGCAAAAAGTTTGTCAATATTGAGGACAAAAATCGTTTATCATCACAGGCAGAGTTGAAATGCCTCTTCTTCGAGGTAGATTATGCTTCTTCTGACTTATATGTGAAGTATTTGTCAGCTCTTAGGTCTACTCTGTCAACAGCTCAGTCTTGACAGTGATTAGATCCAAAGAAAGATGTCCTCAGGGTCTTGGTTATTGATTCCACATCCTGCTCAGTTTCCCCCCCTCCTAACTTTTTGTATCCTCAGGTGCACAATCCTTGTCCTTTAGTCCACCTCTGTCTCTTTTATATGCTTATATTGATGGCGTACCTTTCCTTACCATCTATCCATCCATCTGTTGCACGCACATCACACCCGCTGTACATCATCAGTCATTTTGATCGGACCACGGCCAGTTGTACATTTGCATCTGCCAATTTTTCTCCAGCAGTCAGACAGTTGACACCAGGCTGTCATAGCTCACATATCTCTGGAGAGTCTTTGCAAAGTTTGTTTACCTGCAGCTTTAAGACTTTCTGATGGTATCTCCCGTGAGTGTGTATATACAGCGCCCAGCACAAGTCAGTACACCCCCTATTAAAAGTAATGCATTACTCAATATCCAGATGAGCAAAAGTACAATTTCCAAAGTTTTGACAAAGCTCAGTTTAACGCAGTGGTTCTCAAGTCCAGTCCTCGAGCTCCCCCGTCCTGCATGTTTTGGATGTTTCCCTGCTCCAACACACCTGATTCAAATGATGAGCTCATTATTAAGCCATTACAGAGCTTGATAACGAGCTGATCATTTGGAGCAGGGAAACATCCAAAACATGCAGGACGGGGGGGCTCGAGGACTGGACTTGAGAACCACTGGTTTAACGAAACATTTTATTTACTCTAAGATGAATATAAGGGTGATATGTTGACTAAAATTTAGCTTTGCTCCCAGAACTTTGATTGGGGTGTACTCATTTTTTTATAAGTTTTGAAATTAAAGAAATTACTTTTTTGTATGTAACTTAAAAAATCTTGTTTGCAATCAATGGCCTACATTTGGGGGAGTATTTTGTTGTATCGCATGACATAGAAAATGTTGATTTTGAAAGGAAACTTTCTGGTTTTCTGACAACTTTGAAGGGGTGTACTCATTTATTCTGCGCACTGTATATGTATACATATATTTGTTCTGTGTTCTTTGCCATTTCAGCTGTGTCAAAGTGTAGTCTGGCACTACTTTGACTCTTTCAGCCAAAAGAATCAGCCAAAATCTGCAGTATTTATTTTGTAAACAGGGAATGCCACTTAATAAGAGATTTCCACTGCGTAAGTACTTGAACAGATATTTCTGAGACTCTCAGGGGCACCATGTTTTATATCAAGGATTATCTTAGCTTGAGGCTGCAAACATACTTGTTAGCTCAGTCTGCAAACAATAAATCAAACTTCGGGGCAATATTGTCAAATCAACTTGGAGAAAACCAAGGGGGATTTGGGGGGTTTAGCTTGAAATACCTGCCCTCGAGCTTGTAAATCTGTGTAATCAAGCTATTGTAGCTGAATAAACAGGTGTATTTAAAACACTCTTGCACAAACTACAACACAAAGTAGCTTAACATTCACACCGACGTCATCACTATCGGAGTTTTCGCTCTCGTGTTTGACCCCGGGCACGTTTCACAGCTGCTGATTGGACGATCCTGCAGTATGAATAATGTATTCTTAACTGGAGGCCATTCATATTTAAAGCTCTTCTGAGAAAAGTGCTCATTGTGGACTTCATTAGTGGCTTTCAAGACAGAGATCGGAGATTGTATACTGACAGATTCTAATTAATCTCTCACGACTTCTCGTTGTCTTTGTGTCAGTACTAGAAATGTCCAGTTTGTACCATCAGAATCAAAAATATGGTGTTTTAATCCTGTAAGAGTGTCTCTCCTGTTTGTTAATTTCCTTGTTGTGTCTAGACTGATGGCGAGTAAAGCTTATTTAGCAGCCCCTCTGCTTTGCTTAAGAGGTCCCAGCAGGCTGGAGTGCACAGAGGAGCTACTGTTGTTATAAAACTTTTGGCACACAGGGTAGCATTGTTATTTAAAAGGGATCTCCAGTATTTTGTAGGTTTTATTACAACCCATTAAGACAGGGAAGTGTTTTGTTGTGTTCACAGGCGGAGCTGGAGGTCCAGCTAGCTCTGGAGCGTGAGGAGCAAGTCCAGCGCAGCGCCATCCTGGAGCAGGAGAGACGAGACAGAGAGTTAGCCATGAGGATCGCGCAGAGCGAGGCGGAGCTGATCACAGAAGAGGCGCAGATGGATGCCAGTCTGCGCAGGTAATTTCTACATGAGAGCAGCGAACATATACTACACTACTTAAGCACAGTCAACAAGCACTGTGAACCACAGTCGATATCATGGTGGCCTCAGCATGTGTGTGTAACCACGTTTTTCCTGTTGCTGTGTTTCCTCCCAGAGGTGACTCTCTTTCAGATCTCCCTATCTCTTCATCCTCAGCCAGATCCATGTAAGACATCAGCACAGGTTTCTGTTACTGCCCATGTCCAAGTGAACCTATCAACAACAACAATCTCATACTTCCTCCCTCACTCCCTCACTCCCTCCCTCCCTCTGTGTCTATCCTAATCTCTCTCATAGACCTAAATGTCTGAGCTCCTTTAATCAAACTCAGGATTATACCCGCCATGCAAAGCAAACCTGAAATTCCACTAACAAATCTAGTCACTCTGAGAAATCATCAATCGCATTTTGGATGCATGATTTATAATTATTGTGAATCACACAAATCACAAGAGAAGCCAGCAATGGGATAGTTGTGTGTGACGATTAATTTCCCACAAATGATGATGGAAAATCATGAATGAGCGTTGATCAGAATGAGATCTTTCTGTTTCTCTCATTTTAATTGGCTCTGCATGAGCTGTTAACATCTGCAGCACAATCTACACCCCCCCTCACTGATGTTTGGAGTTTGATCTAACTTGTTCATGTCCTGTGATTAGATATATAGCTGACAATGACTTTTTTTCAATGTGTGATTATAGAGGAAAAGGAAATGCTGTTTGTCTTAAAGGTACAGTGTGTAGAAATAGCAGGGTTCCTACGCAAGTATGGAAATAAATTTGATAAATTTCCAGGTCTTGAAAAGTATCGTAAATGAAAAATTAAGTATGGAAAAATATTTGTTTCCAGACTTTTACCGCAGTTCTAAATTACTGTTTTCCAAAATAGAAAAGTAGGTATTTCCAAAAATAATTTTAACGATCAGGGTACGGAAAAGCATGGAAATTCCAACTGTGAAGGAACCCTGAAATAAGAAAATGTCGCCACATCTAGCAAACAGATCCTGGTCTGTAAGCTCCCCTGCTCACCCTTCCCATCAGTCAAGCACTTGTGCATGCATGACAAGTATGATCCTCCGTCTGTACAGTTTTTGCTATCAAAAACTTCAATTTCTTTTGCACACAACAACCACTCTTGTCTTTGTTTTCAAAATACGCACTAATACAAAACATATATCCCGTATAGATTGTCCATCATGTGATTGCAGCCTCTGTGGAAAGGGAACCTGCTGTTTCTGTAGATATGAAAGGTTCATTTCAAGTTCACAAAGAGAAAATAACATTATAATTAGGTTTCTATACACAGATTTAAAGACAGTTACGAGTTATACTTCATTTCTGCCACGCCTGTTCTGCTAAATGCCTCTAAACTCTACACACTGTACCATTAAGTTCCTCAGTCTTCGTTACCCCTAGCTTAAACCCTCAATAATCCCGTTAATGATATCAGTGGCATTTAATTACCTTCAGTTAGCTGTTAGCATCCCTGTATTGATAACAACCACTGTACTGTTCAAATGTGTCTGACCTCTGCGAGAACATATAATATCTGGTTTTATTTGATTAATTTAGCTGCAACAGTGGGTTCATAACAGACAGGAGTGGAATTTCTCTGAGCTCACAATCATGAGTAACTTAAATGACAGCTGTCTCTTTTGTTCTCCTATGTATATATTTATGTAAGCTTGGCAGTCAAAGTTAGACCGACTGTCCATAACCTCATACAAGTGTTGAAAACTGGGGCAGAGCATGCTTGCAACTGATCTGCAGGTCTGTTGAGCTCTAAATTACATCTGATCCAATATCCCATTATCCTGTCAGTGTTGACTGCGGTGTCCTGCGGCCACGTTGCATGTCTCCTGCAATTCCTGCAGGTCAGCTGACTGCTGGAAACCAAAAGGAGATCTGCTGCAAGAGAGAAAGTCCAAAGCCCTTGTGTGTGACATGTGCACGCCACAGAGCCGCAGAGCCAAAAGCACAGAAAGCATGAGAGCTGTATCAGATATACTGAAGTGGCAGCTATAGGACCACCTCCATCGTTCATCTATCATCTAATTACTGTTCATTTACCGCAGAAAAAAACCAAGCCTGGAAAAAAAAAGATTTCCCTTTTTTTCAGTCCTGATTCATGACCAGTCCAGCACCCACTGGCTCAAGCCTCCGCTTGAGTGAGGATGATCTCTAATCAGTTTCATCTTTCCAGCCAGTATGAATTATAAATGGTAATGGTAATCTGGCTAATGATTCGTACATCAGTAATCCTCTGCTCTGAAACATTAGCAGCTACGCGGACTGTAAATAGAGGAGCTAAGTCCTGCGTATTATAGCATTAGCAGCCTCGACCCAGCAGGGAAGCTGGAGACGCTCCTGACATGAGCTCAGACTTCCTCCAGCAGATATTTAAGTTTCTGAAATTCTGCGCCATCAATGTGATTGATATACTGGAGTGCTGCTTCATTTCACCTTTATTTTAAAATAAGCCTGTGAAATAACATTTGGGAGAAGTCTGCTGTTATCTGAAGGATGTAACATGAGAGGATCTTTGCATTTTTATGGACTTCAAACTCGTTAAGGACTGTTAGGGAATAAGGCAAATCTTGCTCATCGGCCCCCCTGTTGAGCTGCTTCTGATGTGAATTTAATCAGCTGAGACAATAATGGATGGGGTTTTGAGGGGAAGTTAAATATCTGCTTCCTATTTTTTCTGAAGATGGGGAATTTTTGAATCCTGCTTCACTTCACATACTTACATTTTGGACTGTTGAAACTGCACAGCACAGAGTTGCACTCATCTCACGTTCATCTGTTCTTTGCTCCAGGGGTCCTCAGGTGCAGGCAACCAAAGCTGCTGCTGGTGGGAAAAAGTACGACCTCAGCAAGTGGAAGTATGCTGAGCTGCGAGATGTCATCAACACTTCCTGTGGTGAGAAAACACACCCATGTTCAGCCCGACGCCACTTTTATCAAGTCAACAGAGTGTGTGTGCACTGACCCGCTATCCACAAGCAGATCTGATGGTGGAGCTCTTGGTGAATTGCTTGCAGTATATCCAGATTTGTGCGCACTCAAGTACCCTGAAAACACATATCATCCTCGCTGTACAAGCGAGGCTGAAGCAGAAGTTAAAAAGCTTGGCCTCCAGCTGTAATGAGTGTGAACACAGTATTTCTTGCCCAAAAAGCCAAAAGACCAGTCAGAGGATGTTTCCACAGCTGCCCCAGCTCATTAACATGCATTTCAAGAGTGGAGAGAGGAAATTATCGCCGTTTTAAAGGGTGCCAGACTTGTGCCCTTCCTTGTCATTCCCAGCCAACCCTCTCCTCAGTCAGCATGAGAAGCAGATGCTTTTCTGCTCTTCTGTAATTGCCGCTGAATGCAGAACTCTGATCAGTGTGAGGGACCCTGTTACCCCCTGTGAGAAATGAAGGGCATCTTGTTAATTTGTAGAGCCCTGTAGCTCTGGTTGTTCTGCTAGCGATACAAAAGGAGCTGTGTTTGTAATCTCTGGGTTCAGTTTCGAATTAAAGGACAAGTTTGTCAAAATTAAAAAAATGTGCAAACTTATCTCAAATAACTTTTGATTTATGTTCCAAATACTGCATTCAAAACAACTATATGTGAGGGTTTTCTAATGTGTTTAAAGCTCCTGTGAGGAACCCTCAGTATATGTTGATCCTGGCGCCCCCTGTGGACAAATTAAAACCTGCTGTGACTTCGCTTTTCCTGATCTATCAAGTGTAATATCAGTAACACTTTATACTTAACGCCTATAGCAGTATAAACATATGTATAATGTGTTATAATCACATTAAAGCAATGTATAACTATAGTTATAAACACTCATAAATGATCATAATGCTTTATAGCAATAATTATAACACATAAAGTATTTTATCATGACTTACAAGGTCAGGTATTATAATGTGTTATATCTGTTAACACCTCACTGTCAATGCCCACATAGATAATGCATTATACATGTATTTATGATGTGTTATAATTTGCTTATAAACTTGTATAACTATCATTATAAACACTCATTAATTATCATAAGGCTTTATAACAATAAGCATAACACATTATAATACCTGACCTTGTAAGTCATGATAAAATGCTTTATAATGTGTTATGATGATTATTGCTAAAAAGCATTAGAATCATTTATGAGTGTTTATAACTATAGTTATACAGTGCTATAATGTGATTATAATGCATTATACATATATTCAAAATGCATAATAAAGATAGGTGTCATGTAAAGTGTTACCTTAATTTCTAACAATGATTTTATCCTGCTAGATCTCCTTACATGCAGGAGTTTTAAATAAGTGAATTTGTAACCATGTGTTGTAATTTCTCAGCTGCTCACTGGTGTCTCTCTTTTGGACAGACATTGAGCTGCTGGCAGCGTGCAGAGAGGAGTTCCACCGTCGCTTGAAGGTTTATCACGCTTGGAAGTCCAAGAACAAGAAACGCACTGATGATGGAAGCGATCAGAGGGCGCCTAAATCTGTCACTGACTATGGTGAGAGGAGAATTAGTCACCCTGACTTGTCCGCATGCTCCAAATAACCCGTCTTGTCAGCATATTTACCAAAACAAAACCACATCTCAAAGGAGCACGACTCACCCCGGGAGCAGCGGGTTACAGGTGAAAGTGGTCGCTCTTTCCTTTCTTCTCATGTTGTCTTTGGCAGGAAATAACCTGCCTTTGTTTCATGACAAAACACCAAGGCTCTGAAAATGTACCCGACTCCTGTCTGGCTCTCAGATATTTATTCTAATTAGCAAATAACTGCCAGACATGCTTTGTCAGGTTTCAAAAGCTGCTTGTATGACAGCTCCCTGCTTTGGTAATTGCACAACCCAACCAAGCATGCTCAGTGCCGCCAACACACACAGACAGGCAGGCAGGCGCATGAATGCTATTTGCTGCTTGAAAGCAAACCAGAGCTCCTCATTTCCCCTCTTTTTCATCTTGAAAACAAATATACAACATGGTGGGAAATGGGAACAGTGGGTCCTCTGTCGCCTCTACTTTCACTGTATTTACCCTCTTTTCTCTTTTGATATCTTAGCTCCTGAAAGGCGGACCGACTCTCTCTTACATTTGGATCTTGTTCTTGGCCCCCGCTGATGCAGCTGGGGTCTTAGCAGGGCCATTTCTTAAGAGGCTGAGAGCTGCTTTTTTTCAGGATTTGTCCGTGTGATTCTTGCTTGTGTATTTTTTCCATTCTCTCTCATCTTCGTGATGTTTTTTTGCACATTGTTCTTTGCTGTAACAAAGAGAACTAAATCATGAGCGATTTAAGGTGACATTATCTCAGACAAAGACCACAACAGATTATTCGTCTGAGACAACAGCCCACCTCTTATGTTAAACACCAACACACATTCAATTATTGTGCTCTTTCTCCACAGCTGAACAGAACCCGGCCCCTCCAATAACAGCCCAGAATCAAGAGGTGGCCATGAACCGCCAGCAGAGATATTTCCGCATTCCCTTCATACGACCTGCCGACCAGTACAAAGACCCCCAGAACAAAAAAAAGGGCTGGTGGTACGCCCACTTTGATGGGCCGTGGATAGCCAGGCAGATGGAGCTTCACCCGGACAAACGACCTATTGTATTGGTCGCAGGTGAGTCAGCATTTTTGCTTTGGGTCTCATTATGACATAGAAATGACACTGATGGAAACAACCCTAAATCCATATCTCTCCCAGGTAAAGATGATATGGAGATGTGTGAGCTGAGTCTGGAGGAGACAGGTCTGACCAGAAAGAGGGGGGCTGAGATCCTGCCCAGACAGTTTGAAGAAATCTGGGAGCGCTGTGATGGAATCCAGTACCTCAAGAGGGCCATTGAGAACAAGCAGGCCCGGCCTACGCACGCCACCGCCATGCTCCAGAGTCTCCTCAAGTGACCCATAGCAGGGGGATGAGCCTGAAACATGACACTGATCCACAGACTCACAAACATGCTTGTTCAGAGGCAGCACTGTGCACCTGCGGTTTGTGGGATGGAGAGAAGGATGCTCCCTTTACAATCTTACTGTAGCTACTCAGTGGCGTCTCCTTTTTACAGCCCTGTATTTTGTTGACTTTAACTTTTTATATCTTGATTTTAGGAGTGTAACACCCTAATGGTGTAGTGTTAGCATTTGTGATCAGTTCTTTTTTTTTCCTCAATCTTTTCTTGAACACCATGAGGCCTTTACTCTGCAACTTAACCGCAGTGCACCACAGGAGTCTTAACTATTGCCTAGCCCATGTAGCTGTAGTCTGGATATGAATCTTTTTAACTATTGTTTATCATCTGCATCTTATTTGACCAGTTAAAACTTGCCACATAGCTTCTTGGATTTTGCCTAAAGAACTGGAAGAACTAAAAAAAAGTTGTTTTTAATTAAAAATACATAAACAGTAAATTAATTATATTTATACATCTACTGTATATTTGGCACTTGGCACAAACAGGGTCAAAATTTTAAAATGACATAATGTAAGTCTATTTTTTTCTTGCCTGGAAATTAAGAAAACAAAAAAGCCCATAGTCAGAAAGTGAAGATATTTTAATTGAAATAACTGCTGGTTCTCTTACATTCCTCGAAGCTTGTTTTATGATCCATCCATTATTCATTCCTTGCTGTGTAAACACTTCTACCATGTGTTAAAACTCTTGAAAAAATAAGTTAGTTTTTGTATTTGTTATGCAAGAAGGGAATATAGACATTTCCATGTTTGCAGTTCTGTGACTTTCAGATTGTTTTACAGACAGTAATGTACTTTGTGTGTGTTTTTTTGCGTTGTTTGTTTATGTCATATTTTGGGCAGATTACTTGACTCCTCTGTTTCATTCATGTCTTTACACACAGGATAACTGACAGATACAGTAGCAGATTCAGCTTATTATCCACTTTCATCTGATTGTAAGTTTGCCTTCACTCTGAAATACAGTAGAAAATAAACGTATGCCCACATGATTGCTTGATTGCTTTTTTTTTTTTTTACTGCTGATATCCAACGCAGAAGAGCGAGTTGATATGAGCAAACTAGGAGACAGTGACTCAGGGACGACCCATCTGTAAAGGGATGTGAGGTTTGAAAGGTAAAAGAAACTAAGAGGATTAGATTTTAGATTAATTAAACAATAAAAGTTAATGTACTGCTGATGTCACCATTGATCTGAGGCATTAAGTGATCATCTGGACTTAAATGGACTTAAGGATGTCTTTTGTTTCACGGCTCTAAGGTAAAACAATCAGCTATGATAAACCACGTATAAGACATCAAATAAAACCCTGAAGAAAAGTCGAATTTTCAGTGTTTTGGCTTTATGTTTTAGGTGTGTTTTAACCATATTGATCGTATATATATATATATATATATATATATATATATATATATATATATATTGTAACATGAAACAGCAAAAACAAATCTCAGCATGTTTTTCACTGATCTCTTCAAGCTCCATCAAAACCAGTTTAGAGCAGCTGAAAACAAAACAAACTCCAAATTTTGATGCAAAAAAACATTTTATTCTTTGCCTTCAAATGCAAAATGTGTAAAAAATAAATGTGAAATGATTGGCGGGACGAGGTGTTATGAATTGGGCGGACTGATAGAAGTACAGCTCAGCAGCCAGCAATACGTCAAGACCCACCAGCTCATACATTCATTCTCTTTTAGGGACGTCACAGTGGTTCAGAGTAGCATTAAAATAAACAACATTTTAAAGTCTAAGCTTTAGATACCACCGCGTGTATCAGTTTGTAAATAATAAATACCTCATTGTGAGGAAAGAACAACCTTTGCCAGCCCTATACAGGAAATGTTCCTATCATTCAATACATAGAATAAAAAATAGGTTCCACTTTAAGACAACCTAGATCCACCTTAAAGGAATAGTTCAGTATTTTTGAAGCGGGGCTTCATGAGGCACATGTCATTAGGCACAGCTGATAACAGTCTGCATTGTCCCCGTTTGAGAGGCCAGCTGGAGTTTCTTTGCAGGAGGAGTTAAGCTATGGCAACCACTAAAAAACGTCCAACATTTCAGTTTAAGTGCGTACTGTATTTGTGGGTATTTTTACCACTTTGCTTCTGTGCATAGCTTAGCTTCTACTCTCTTCTCCAAACAGGGTCTGTGCAGGCTGCTACACCAGCTGTATGTCACCCCATATAACCCCAGACTCTGAAAAATCTGAACTATTCCTTTAATATTCATAGCTTTCTGTCTAATGAGACACTTTCATCACTATGAACAAATAATCTCAACACTTTTATCACCATTTAACTGCTCTACTTGTCCATGCCTCCACATACAGTTAAACAGTAACATCAGTCTTTGTTTTGTGCTTTGTCAGTGTCCAACGCTTTTAAGACGCCATCAAACATCCGTGACTTCAGAACATTCGCTATCGGCTGCCCTTAAAAACCAGCAAGTCCTGTATTCATTTGGCGGCCGGGAAGCCTGAAAGAGAAAAAGAAAAGAAACACCATCATCTCTCCAGATCTGTAAAATATTTGCGATGGGTTAAATAATTAAAAATAGGGTTAATCTTCATTTCTGGGACAACGGGCTGAAGAGAAGGGTTTTCATTTTGGGAGCAGAAGTCAATACAAGAGATCGCACATAGATTTGAAGTTGGTGATTGTAAAATCTCGTATTGAAATGCTCAACAGTGATTTGGTTTGCAATTAAAAATCAGCCTGGACTCCAAATATGGATGCTTTACCTCTGTATACACCATAGCCATAGATCTGTCCAAAAAAAAGTTCATATAAAGTCATAAATACCAGCAACTATTGAGTATACCTCTCTTTACCCTGTTTTATATCATGCTGCAAACTTTCTGAAACTGCGTTTTGTGGTTTTGGGGGTAAATCTTCTGTGCACAGCGCTTACCTCTGTGTCCGGTATACAGTGATGGAAGCCCACCATTTCTGAGACTAACTTTTCTGATCTTGTTGTGTAGAGCTGTCTGGGGATCTGTGGAGACAGAAAGGAGACACAGTTTACTTTATGCTTCATTAATATATTATAGAACCAAAGGCACTTCAACCAGATGCGCAGATGCAATGTGAGTACAAGCAGGCAATAAACCAATACAAGGGTCTGCCAGAAAGAAAGATCTATGACAGAGCATTATGCTTATAGCTGCTGATATAGGATTGATTGTTAAAACTATGCACCTTTGTTAGACTTGGGAGAAAACTTCTATAAAGTTATGCACCCTGTGTACTTAAAAATTCTTAAAATGGCCTCTGAGCAATTACTGAAGACACCAGAGGACCCTTATCTATATAAGTACAATTACTATAAAAACTACAATGAACACTTTAGACACTCTTGGAACAATGCTCAAAGATACATCAGACATTTAGTACAAAACACAGATTTAAAAAGTGCTGGATGAGAAAAAAAACCACAAACTTTGCTGCAAAGAAAACAGGACAATTGTTTGCAGAGAGTTTGTTAGAGAGTATTAGTTATGACTGTGGATAAAGGTTCAGGTTAGTGGTTTAGTCATGGTCCCATGAAGCACTTTGTACCTCAATACTCAGATGTATATTTTCAATAGTGGCAAAATGTTCCTGCTCAGACTGTTGGGATTGAGAAGAAGCAGAACTTGAAGAACATGGATATGTGGAAACTTGACTTAAGGCACCATCATCATTCTCAAATACTGGGTTCACCCTCATAGTATTCTCAAAGGCATAAGGTGAAAGGGTGTTCCTACAACGTAAAGGAGATGAGGTGGTAAAAAAAAGATGCTTAGAATACAAATCATCATCAATCACTAAAAACAAGCAACACCTTGTAAAAGAAATGCTTTCAAAATGTAGAAAAGAAAAGCATGGGTACTTACACCAAAGTTAAAGTCTTTTTGGGCTTTATACATTTCTTGTTAATGAATATCAAAAGGCCAATGATGGCACAAACAAGGCAGAGACTTCCCACGAGGCAGGTTACAATAAGCGAAGGGTCTAATGGCATTGACACCATGTCGTTGCAGCGTTCTCCATGGTAGTGCCAGTATTTACCTACAGGGCATCTGAAAAAGAGACACAGAGAACCAAAGTTTAGTTTATAGAAAGGACTCACGTACATGCTACAAGATGATTGTTTTCATTTTAAGGGAAATGTACCAAACTAACACCTCCAACTTCTTAAAATTCAAGTTCTTTTAGAAAATAAAGTCCAGTTTTTACACATGAAACTGAAACACACACAGGCGGCTAAATTAGTCCTTTTTTATTACAATTTCAAGCTGCTACATTCAGAATAAAACCCATTACTTCTCAATTTTGTACCATCATGTCTCGACATGAATATAACAAACTAAATTAAGATTGTTTCAAGCTGATATTTCACTGAAAGAAAAACACTCACCTGACTGATAGAGTCTGGCACTTGACTGTTCATGTTTATTTGTTTTTTAGCATTATGCTGTAAAACCGTCTTACACCTCAAGATTTAGCTATGAAGTGGAAATGTAAGAAATTGTTATGTTGACACAGTGCAGACAAACGTGAAGGTTTTTTTTTAGGGCCTTTCACTGAGCATTTGCAAGTCTTGTAAACTGATCTTGTGTTTTCAGAAAATCAACAATCCAAACTAAAAATGGTCACAAGAACAGCAAAATGTGTTTGAATCAAATCTCAAAATGTCTTTGGATGCACCATCAAGAGAAGGTTTTCAATCAAATCCCTGCTTGTGCTTGCTGCTGTGTGAAAACCCTGTCAATATAGGTAAAGTTAAGTAATCATAAATTAAATTTTTACCTTTCAAAGCCAGCCTTTGTAAGTTTTAGTGCTGAAATTATTCAAAAGTAAAGGCTGTCACACAGTAATTTGAGAGAAGGTATACTTATGGTGGTGATGTAAAAGCCTCAACAAAGGCTGAGTCATCGTTTGGGTCTTTCCTCTTCCATCAGCTTTTGTGTACCTGCAGGTGGCTCCATGCCCGGGGATTATTTCACACTGGCCTCCATTCAGACAGTAGTCTGGCTGCAAAGAGCAGGTGCTCTGACAGGGCAGGCCATCCACAGTGCTGTACCCGGGATCACACAGACACTCTGCCTCATCAGTCCAACTGTTCACCACGCAGCGTGAAAACTCATTGCAAGCCAGGAACTTGCAGGGGTCTGCTTGGTCAGCTGAAACCAACAGGAGAGGAGAGGGAATAGGAAAAAAAGGGGTGGAGAAACAAACAGAGACCAGGGAGAGGATAGCTAATTAACATTTATGCAGCGTCAACCTGTCTTTCACTCTCTGCATATTCAGAGGAGAAATTAAAGGCCTTTTTGATTGATGTGAACCCAGGTGTCTGCTTTCAATAAGGTGTGTATAATGAGGTCAAACGAAGTCCACAACTCCTCCAAGCTAAAAAATGCAGTAGATCAATCTTGCACAGCACCGCAAGACAGCAGAGTGAGGATACATGATGTGGACAGGAGCTCTGACCTTGCATAAATAAGAATGACACTGCAAGAGCACTTAATGGATTTTTTTTTTTTTCTGCATGGGGAGCCAGCACTCTCATGACACGGAAAAATATTTTCACTTTACTAAACGTAACAAAACATTACATTGTTTCTGCACCGCAAGGACATTTCACCTGGCTCGATCTCCAAGGAGCGACTGTCGATCTCGATGTCGAGCCGCTTGGATGCCGCACTGCAGAAGTCCTCGAGCACACAGTGAACGGCCTCTGTGACGTTGTAAGGTACAGGTTTGTCCAGTTTCATCCGACTATTCACCACAACACTTCCGTTTCGAAAGTTGAGAATTTCCAGATGCTTAAATCCAGTCAAATTGGATTGTAGATACGGCAGAAGCTGTGAGGTAGGTAAAAGGAAAACAAATTATTTTAAAGCTCTTTCTTTGGTTGTAGCTGTTATTGATTGGCAGATGCACTGATTTGATTCATTTCAAGAGATTTGCTTTATTCACAGAGTGATACATCTTATGTTGCAGGAACATGGGGTATCGTGTTTCCAGGAAAGCAACACTAACGTACAATCTATTTTATGAAACAGGGTATGAGGGAAATCATTTCTGAACCAAAGTCGGCAAAGATTTCTATTCAGATATTCGGATTCACTGAATGATGTTAGTGTCAAGAGTCAGTAAAAATCTGTGTACTCCTGAGAAGAGGGCCAGAGCAGCAGAGTTTGTTAACCTGTGGTTTCACTCCCACAATGACAGGACTGAGGATGTTGGAGTATGGCTTATTTCAAATTATTCAGGTCGAATTACACAGTATTCAAGCTACGAATAGTTCATAATTAAATACTGAATTGAGCGTGAAATCATGTCGTAATTACAGCCAGAGCAAAGGTTAGGTTCAAAGTGTTAGTATAAGAATAGTTTCTCATCACTGAGAGCCTGAAAATACAGAGCAACACAGTCATGCAGAGAACACAGATAAGGCAGACATTAAAGCATCAAAGGAAACCTGCTCTATATCCCGCTCAGTAAAAGTCCAAAAAAGATAGTTGACTATTCAGTCAGTCAGTATCGCACTACAGTACATTGTTTCTTTGAGGCTAAAACATGTTCACTAGTTTATAGAGAACCATGTCATGTCTAATTCTTTTGAAGAAAGTTAAAAAAGCTAACTAGCCAAGGTCTTATAAGACATAGTGAGGCTAAATGTAAAAAGGGTTAAACAAGCTTTCGACAACAAAAAGACGAAGAGTTTAAGCTTTAAATGTCCTACTGTAGGGTTTTACAAGTTCTTCATCTTATCTGAAGTGAGGAGCTTTTAAAAGCATCACCAAAGGCAGGTTTAGTCAATTTTAGTGCGTGTGAGTATTGTCTACGCAGCTACACCTCACTCTTTTCTGCTAATTGTCCTCATTGTTGTGTTCAGACCATTTCTAAACGGGCCAAAACTTTCCAGGCAGGCAAGCAAACTAAGGAACCAATCTATTAAGGCTATAGACTTGGATTGATGATGGTGGGAGATATTCAGACTGGGAGGAAGTCAACCAGCTCAAGTAATGGACCTGCATCAATGTTCATCGATCCGCTCTCCTTCCAACCACTTCTTGTTCACTGCAGATGAGCCACACATCGAACAGACGCGGAGTGAGAGGGAGAGATTACGCTGCTTTAGCTGGCCTGACTGTCGAGTGGGAGATAAGAGGCCTAAGAAGCTCTGCTCTGATCTGGTTACTTCACTTATCACCAGCAGACAGTTTAAAGGGCACTGGTTCCTTGTAGCTAATAGTTTCGGAGAAAAGTTGGGAAAACGATTGGCTCCAATATCCTGGACAAATGGACAACTCGACACCGAGCTTGCTGGTTGGTCATTCATTTGTCGTAATGCAGTGTCAAGATTTCCGTGTGCACTGCGGGTGAGACACCGGTTTACAATCGAATGCCCTCCACACAAAGTCAAAGCCAATTCTTTAACAACAAACCTCAGTGCAGCCTGTATTGTGAAGAACCAAGTTCAGTGAAAATCACGGCTCCCGGTTAAACATTTGACTTTTGGAAAGAAATGTAGACAGCACGGCACAAACACAACAGAATTTCAGTCTCTGACACAATCACACAGGCTACTCTGAGGCTACACATGTATCTACTGGTTCTTGTTTTAGAAAAACCCGATGAAACATCCCTGATGTGGAAAAAAAAACAAAGTCCTAGAGAATATACTGCGATGAAAATAATCTTATATTTAACAATGTAGCACAACAACCTCCATGTCCAATTTTATTGGTTGCTTCACAAACCAGTAGGTACAGGAGTAATGGAGGAATGTAGCAAAGGCAAACAGGGGTAACTGAAAGCCACTGGAGGCTACTGGATCATATATATGTATACATATATATGTGGGACCACAAATGTAGCCTAAAGAAGCACAAATGAGGTCCCATATCCAGCAAAACATCACATTATGCTCATTTAAATGGGCTGCAGAGTACATATATTTTTGACATGTCTTCAATCATGCTTGGATGAGCTCAATAAATTTGGTTCAGATGGTCGTTTCTCTGCCTTTAAAGCCCATTTAAAGGATAATATGTTGACTATTCCTCTTGGAATAGTAACAACAAATATTATATGGTAAATACTTACCAGTTCAAACGTCTGATCACATTAGTTTTGCCAGGCAGCTAAATATATGGATTAATGCGGAGCACTGCAGAAACCATGGTTTGAGCAACCATTAAAGATTGGAGATGGAGTGTTATCTTAGCTGTGCTTTGTATATATTAAAATAAAGCGTGAATCTGTGTATTCCTATGATGCTCTGTAAACTATGATGCAGTGCAGACATTGGTCATTGAATTACCTGCAATGAAAAACAACTTAGACCTACTCTAGAGAACTTGTCTAAGAACACAAACATGATTAATGAAACCTAAACTTTTCATTAACTATGGTTTATCTTTTGACGCTCTTCCCCAAGGCCACCTTCCTAAGTTGCTTATATTTTTTTATATACTTTTGCATGGCAGCAAACACAGTTCGCTTTGCACTAAAAGTAGTTTCCAAGTTTACGTGAAAAAGAGCGCACCTCTAAGAAAAACCCAAAAGTCTATACCCTGAGGTGAGTCTTGAGACTAAGAGGGGGTGTCAAACGGTACTTCTTCCTTTTATGCATTTTAACTGGTGAGAATCAAGAGGGGCCCAGTCCTTACCTGATTTATAAACCATTATTTTAAGGAAATGAGCATTGTAACACATTTTCATGACAAAATAAACTAATTGACACATTCAAGCATTGACTACAAGTCTGTGCATGTCAAATACAAACAGACCCTGCGAACCACAACAAAATCACAGCAACCAAACTGTAATCTTTTTTAATTCCTTGACTTAAATAGTAGGATATACACATACGAATGTCTACAAAACCAGATAACAAACACAGAAACATTGCTGACACATGCAATGAGGTCTTGACCCACACCTCACCGATGTCCCACTAAGCAGATTGGAACCAATAACAGTTCAACCGGTGCTGTCCTGGAACTGACAAGAATTACTTAAAGCTTCTTACCACATTTCACAAATCTCCGAGTCATACAATGACTAAGGCAGACGCGGGTCTCATGAATCAGACTACCCCTGGACTAGTTTCTCTCTACCACGTACATAGAAACACTTTCGACATACGCCTGATGACTGATCTTTAAGGCTTTGAAAATGTACAAATACAATGTTAAGTGTTAAAAAATACTGTATTTACAACTTAGCTGCGACTAGCAAAAAGACTGGAAACATGCAGAAATAGTTCATCTTTAAAAGTCGGGCTTACCAGCACCTCTGAAACTCGCTAAAGCCAAATTATGTTTGCTTTATTTACTTATTTAATCTACACAAAACTTAAACTATAAACATTACAATATTTTAACCAATATATATTTTGCACCTTAGCGTTTTTTTAATGCATTTTCTGACCAGAAAGAGCATCAGAGAGGCTGGCAGGCAGATTAGTTGAGTTCAGAGCAAGGCTCACTGTTTCTCTCTGTTTTCAGTCTTAATGCTAAGCTAACCAAAACGTGCCGCGAGTCGCAGCTACAATATCGGACATCTATGGGTCTAGCGCCAAGAATAACATGGAATTAAGGGTGCATTAAAGCTAAGTGAGCCTATGTGCGTGATTGCATACAGAGTCCATGGAAAGACACAAGTTGGCACAAAGAGACACCAATTCCCCAGAGGTGGAGGACTGTCATTACATCTAGGACTGTTAAAGTTTATCCAAGTGCGAGTCTGCGGCTAATCTAAAAATGTACAGAGTGAAAAAGACAAACACTTATGGACAGCAAGAGTTTTTGAGATCATACACAAATTGAGCAAGCAGGCACAAAATGGTCGGTTAAATATTTACCTTTTACCTTACTTTCTGTCTGAAAACCTCAACTCTACACTGACTATGCTGCAATTTTAGCACAACCCAAATAAATTAAGGCAACAGAGAAAACAGCAAATGTACAAGACTCACATGAGGAGAAAGGACGAGTTTACAGTCTAATGTTAGGACAGATCCAAAGATGAAAACTAAAGTATGTAAGTATTGTTAGATGCTTTCCCGTTGTTAGATACTGCATTTCAGAAAAGTTAGGTAAGAAATGGAAATGTTATGCTCTCTCTGAGGCATTGGAGATTTAGTTCCAATATGGAAAAAAATACCGGTATGGAGGCTAAAGTTGTCTGTCTCCCAAACCCAGATTTACTTGAAGCTCCAGGGTTTGACGATTTTCTGGGCCCAGAGTGCTGTGTCTAAGTAAAACAAAATTATTGGACCTTTTTTTCTCATTAACACTGGCTCCTATGACAATGAAGCTTTAGTATAGTGCAATTTTGATGTAGAATTTGGCCTTTTTTGACGCAATATGATTCATAAAAACCCTAATTTATTCAATAAAAAAAAATAAAAACAATCATTATTCACTATTAATTTTGGACGTTCAAAAAATTGCAGTGAGGATAAGGCTTATTGTACAGAGCATCCTCACTTAAACAGCACCAACTTTGAGCTACTCTTGAGTGTATTTTTGCTAAGAAATCCTTCAATCATGAATATGCCAGCTGAAATTGCACCAGTGTACTTTTATCACACATTTCAGTTTGGGATACAAAACAGGTATGAAAAGGAAGCGTGAAAAATTACAATATCTAACACAAAAGCTTGTGTACCTACCAGCTCAAGAAAGGTATTCTCCAGTGATTTATACTCTGGGGAGCTCTTGTTGAACAGGTCCTCAGAAAACATCATGTTAGTCACCCTCAAACTAAAGAACACCACTAATTCTTTGGTCTTCTCCATTGTGGTCACCAGAGGGGTGCTGGCTAGTCTCATAGCCGGTGCAGCTGTGGATCCATACGGGCGTTCATCAGACTCTGAGGGGTAACCACTTCCACTGTCTTCCTCTAAAGGTCTGACTGCCTCTGCCTCAGTCCTGTTTGGACCTTCAGATCCGTCCTCCTGATTGTAAGAGTTCTCAACGGGCAGGTCTTCCGAGACTGAGGTTTCACCGCCATGCCACGTGATCTGTTGAGTATGAGAGTCGTCCACAGGCAGGTCTACTGACACAGGAGTCACTCCACTGGTCCTACCATCCTCTAGACTGTTTGAGCTCTGAGGGGGAGGGTCTACTGAGGCCGGGGTCACTCCACTGCTCTCTGCATCTCCTTGGTTGCTCGATTCCTCTGGGGGGAGATCTATCGGGGCCGGGTTCACTCCACTGAGCCCTCCACTGGACTCATCTTGCTCAGTGGAGGCTTCGCCACTCTCCAAAGAGGGTGCCAAAAGCACTGCCTCTGAATCTGGTTCAATACCTTGGACAGCATGATCATCAAATGGTGTTGTGGACACCGTGATTGCTGCTTCAATGACAGGTATGTCAGTGGCTGTGGGCTCCGTAAACTCTGGCAGGTCATTGGTAATCTCAGCAGAATGCTCCTCATTGGCTTCTTCAGCTGTCTCTGGTACTTCTATAAATAAACATTATAAAAAGAGATTTATGACCCAAAGGCACATCACAAAGGCAAATAACTGTAATTTGATTCAGTAGGTGGTTAAATGGAGGATTGCCCTGCCAAAAAAAGTAAGTATGAAATTGTAAAGGCACATCCTTCCCCACTGGATTTATTCGCTTATGCTGTGACATCAAAATAAATCTGAGAAATGGTCATGTTGGATCGATCTATGAGTTTCCTAAACGTGTTTCATTTAGTCCACATTATTGAGGTTATTTGTCAGATATTGTGGACCTGGATATGTTCAAGAGCTCAAAAAGAATGTACCTTCGACAACTTGCTCAGGAGATGACGTTGTGGAGAGTGGGACTGCTGTTTCAATGACGGATATCTCAGTAACTGTGGGGTCCGTGGGTTCTGGCGGGTCATTGGAAACCTCAGCAGAATGGTCCTCAGCGTCACCTTCAACTGGCTCAGGTGATTCTAAAAATGATACGTGTAATAAAAGAAAAACATAAAGAAAAAGTTATTTCTACAATATGAAGTTATTTATTCATGTTCAACAATAAACTTGATCAGGAACATTTCTCAGCAGAGATGTAATGGTTAAGACTGAAACTATTCCTATATTATTCGCATATTTATCTTATTTGTTTAACCTCCACACTAATGAAATGTAGTTTGATTGTGTCAGACTCTGGCACAGTATTAGGGCCACAGGATATATGGAATTCATAGATTTTGAAATTGAAGTTATACACATGAGAATAAAGTCGTAAACATGTGAGAAAAAAAACAAAACATAGCTGTCAGTCATGTTGTGTTTAGGAGAGATCAGAAGAGTAGGTTGCCATCTGAATGAAGTGAAACTTTAGAACTGGTTTCAATTAAAAAAAAAAAAAGGTTGGCTGGCCTGTTGACTTTTCTTGCAATTTCTCAAATCTAGTCTGAATTTAAGCATCTATTCTTGAAAACTGTAATGTTTATCCGTATGAATTCATGACATCACAAATTGGCGACTCTTGAAATCTCATTTCTTAAGAGGCCCCAACCCTTGTGAGAACTCAATAAGGAGTTTTAAATGCCTTGGACAGCTTCCTCAGGAGATGCCGTAGTGGAGAGTGGGACTGCTGCATCGATGACAGGTATCTCAGTAACTGTGGGATCTGTGGATTCTGGCAGGTCATTAGAAGCTTCAGCAGAATGGTCCTCGTTGTCGCCTTCGGCCAACTCGGTTGATTCTAAAGGAAAAAAGAGAAAAACAGAATAAGTTACTTTTCGTTTTAACATAAAGATAATGTTTTATGTAAAACAGGACACACAAGTAATCAAAAGTTGCTGTGTGTAGAAATGGGAACTTTTAAAAAGATGGCTAGCAGTCAGGCTCTGAATTTACATTTCCATCAGTGAGGGGAAAGAAGCTCCTGTGACGCTGCTCAATGAACATGAGTCTCTATTTGTCAAGTTTCACCCTTATAAACTCCATTCAATCCAAAAACATTTGGACTCCTTTCTTTGTGGTCCTCCAACCAGTACATTTATTTCAGGGGGCCTCCCAACGAAATACAAAACTCATACACTGTTATTACTAGATTACTGTCTTTGTAAGTAAGAGGAACGACAGTCGACCTTAATTTCAACATTAACTACATGACTGAGAGTAAACTTTCCATTCAGGCAAAGCAGGTAATGTGATTTAAGTTGTAGCAGCACAAGTAAGGGGGTTGATTGACTTCCAGATAGTTTATTCCTTTCTCCGGTTATCAATGATCTAACCTTGTTCTTAGAAAGAGAGGTAGAGAGTATTTCCTTTAATGTCAAACACTTCCTGTAAGGAGCTTTAGGTTCTTACTATAATTGGATGCCTCTCTGTCTTATAGTATTATTTTCTTTGTCTGATGTTGTTGTGACTGCTACTATGAGGCTTAATGGCCTTCGTAAAGAGTGAAATACCTCAACCTTGTTGTTGTCTTTGGCTAAGACTGTTCATTGAATTATCATTTCATTCTCCTTTGTCCAACATTCGTTGACACATTTTGCATTTTTAGAAACTTTGGAAGAATTTTGCCTTGAGTAGCCTCTTCAAAAGGTGATGTAGTGTAGACTGGGACTGTTGCCTCCAGGACAGACAGCTCGGTAACTGTGGGGTTTGTGAACTCTGGCAGGTTATTGGAAGCTTCAGTGGGATGTTCAGTGTCATGCTCCCCATCATCCAAGGCAGGTGCTAATGGAAAAAAAATTTAAAAAAATCAGAAAAGCCAATCTGATGATTATCTGAAGTCATTTTTTTTCTTTAAGAATCACTGCATACTGCAGTATCATCTGGTACACTGCAGCTCTTGCCGAGGACAAGATCAGGCTGCTGCACATCATCCACTCTGCAGAGAGGGTGACCAGCTGTGATCAATCATCTTTACGTGGCCTGTAGTAAGATCATGACTGACCCCTCTCACTCTTAAGACTCTTTGAGACTCCTAATGAATGATGCTCCTGCTCCACCCTGTATTTGGCACAGACTCTCATTCATCCCCAGAGTAGCTCAACATCACAAAACTGTTAGAAATATAATTAAACTTATTGAGTTATATTTATGCACATCCGACTTTAAAACAGTCTACAATACTGCAGCCTGTTTTGTTCACATTTATCGTATATGACACTCGAATTTGCACTTACAACCATCATGCACCCTCCTACACAATATTGCTTTTAATAATTATATCTTGTGCTGTTTGTCAAACCAACTTGGTAATAAAACAGATCCTGATTCTGATGCACTGTCACTGAAGTTCAGGCTTGATACCCTCATTTAAACCAAATTTAAAATCTTGACAAACTAATTCCTTTGCAGATATGCTTGATACCACTCACATTTTGGTCATTAGTTTATCTCAAACACAAATGGGATTATAACAGGAAGTCATTTGCATGCTTTGGCAGTAGCTATACTGTATCTATAAGTAGAAAACTAAAGGCTGCCATCTCACTAAGTTAACTCAACAACTACACTTTGTGCTATTTAGACAACTCACTGCTCTGCACAGAGAAGACCATCTCACAACTTGACTGCAATGTGAGCTTTAGAGGTGAACCCCAGATACACCTGGGATCAAACTTCTTCATTAACTCTTAGAAAGAGAGAATGTATATCCTGCGACGTAAAACTTTCCCTTTAAGTAGCTTTAGGCTTTTATTGTAATCTGATCCCTCCCCTGTCTGGTTGTTTGACAAGTTTCTTCTGCTGTCCACATCCCTTTTAAGTGCTGAAAGTCATTAAGTGTAATTCTGTGCAATGTGCATCATTTTACTAACGCTTGCACAAAATTCTTCTTGACAGGCCTGACACATTTGCAAACTTTAAAAACCTACAAGACTTTGAAAAAAAATCACTGGAGGCTTGAAGAAAGGTGGGCTGCACAGCATGAGTTTGTATGACTCAACTAAGAGCAGGCCTTGTGCTTGTTAATGGGTTTTAATATGATGCATTGCCACAGCAGGGAGCTTCTTCATGCCTAAATCAAAACACCATACGGGTCTAACTGCACTACAGTTGAAGCTTGTTTTGAGAGGGTTGCAGTCTGTGCAGGTAAAGAACTTAAAATACAGGTTGCAAAGGTAGAATAAGGTCAATTTAGAGGAGAAACTCACTTTCCAGCAACTTCAAAGGCATTTAACTTCAAGCTCGATTAGTCTTGAACTAAATTTGTTAATACGCAGCGAGGATCAACGAACCAAAGTAATGAAATACTGTGCCAGGCTCTTAGATGAGACTAAATGAACACATAATGTTTAATAAATGCTGATCCTCTCTTTTACTCTTCTTGTACCCTTCTTTCCAATTTGAATTTATTCAGTTAATGTTTATTTTCCCATCCACCCTCTCATTCTTCCTCTCTGCACAAATTTCACTCTGGTTATTTTGTATTACCCTGGCTGAATCCAATTACCTCAGGTTAATTAGTCATCTCTGCTCTAGTTCGGCATAATCCTCTCCAGTAATCCTCAAACTTTTTATCACTTTTCCAGCTTCTAAAAATGTCTTTTTGTAAGGAGTAAGTACTCCTATCAGCTGCTCATGTGTATGTTATGTTGAGACTGTAAAGACAATGAGCTCATCCTCAGACTTGATTTCCCATCATCAATCAGCTGGATCAAGGCCTCAAAACCACAATGTGTTTGCAAAGCTGGAGTTCAGACCAGAGGCTCTTACTGTATTCTGGCACTTTGTCTGAATGGGGTCTAATTCCACAATCTTTACATTTAATTAATCAATGAAGTTTTGAATTTAGCTTTCTTCATTTAGCCTTATCAACGTCATATCAAAACAAAATCCTCTCATAAGGAAGCCTACCGTCTGTTGCCTGTTCTGTCTCAGCCTCACCCCCGTCAGCTAGTTCAGTGTCTGGCGCCGCGATGCCACTTGGCTCCTCGGCACTGTCTTCAGTGAATTCCTCAACAGATACCGTCAGAGGGATCTGGTCTGCGGCGGTGGGAGTTGTTTCTGGGACGATGTTCGGGAGGAAAGGCACAAAGGTGTGTGTTTCTGGTTCACTTGTGAAAACATCCAAATAGTTCTCTGTCGTTGCCACAGTGGGGAAGTAACTTTGAGTGGGAGTGTTTTCATCTGCAGGTGCAGCTGTGGTGTAGATCCCTGGTACAACAACTCCTCCAACTGGGTCAATGCCGAGCTCCGCAACCGGATAAATAGTGCTAACTGAAAAAGGGAAAATACTAAATTTAGACTGCTACACCAGCTTAAAATTTGTCATTCATTTACAGGTGAGTATCTTCTGCTTACCAGCCTCAAAGATGATGGTCCTTATATCCAGTGGAAGAGATGATTCTTCCTTTAAGGCCCTCACTATGATGTACTTTAGTTTCGGTGCATTTACATCCTCGTCTGCGTCTGCCTCCCCGAGAACCTCAACGTCATCACCGAGCAATGTGTCTCCATTAAAGACCACTCGCACAGACACATCATCGGCGCTGATCAACACAACAAATTAAGTCAGAAAACCATCAAAAACAAAACGATGCTGGGAATGGATGTCTGTGACGGGAGGAACATATGAGTCACATCCCCAATGAGTACAATTAGGGACAGTTTTTATTAGATTATGGCAATAAATGAATCAAATAATCAAATGGACTTGAGGAGAACAGTATAAGAAATGCATGTTCTGGGTATCCCATCTTGTTTACTGCAGAGTTTGGACGGAATAAATCATCGTCAGAGAGGATTATGACGATGCCAAACATTTTGGGAACAAAATCCAACCCACCGAAATCCCAGAACTTGAATCTCTTTGAATCCTGGAACCCGTTCAAACACTCGAAGCATCTATTTAGGAAAAAGGAGAAAAAAACAAACAAAAAGGAAATGAACATTTTCTCTCAGTTTTGTCCTGATCATTTCATTTCCTTGAAAGCTCTATAATTAATGCATCAGATGTCATATAGCGCTTTATCAGAGACCCTCAAAGCGCTTTACAGTGGACACATCATTCATTCGCTCACACAGTCACACTTTGAAATGTGGCTGCGTGTTTGTGCCTACCGCCTCTCCGACTGCAACCACACAGCACTCACACTCATACACAAGTGGAGGACACACACTGGGAGCGAGGTGGGTAAAGTGGCTTGCCCAACGACACAATGGACAGACTCGGGATAGGGGGGAATCGAACCGCCAACCCTCCAGTTATTTGACGACCACTCAACCTCCTGAGCTACTGCCGCCTACTATAAGGGGTTAAAAACTGATAAAATTATCTCACGATTATTATTTCATCTTATTTTCAAAACTTTCAAAACAGCCTTTTGAGTGTGAGTAATAATGACCACTGATTTCACCGAGCAGTACATTTAGAACAAATGAAGCTGATGCAGAAGTGCTAAAAACTGCAGTACTTCAAAAGTCCACTTGAGGACGGCTCCATGAAAAAAAAAAAGACAGCTATCTATCAGTGTCTCACTGTGTTTAATCTCCGTCTTCATCGCGTGTTGGTTTAGTGGAACATTTCGTAATGGCAGCATCGTACTGTAAATTCTATACAAAGGAAAGGTTAAACTTACGGGGCAGAAGTCATAGTTAAGAGCTGTAGTCAGGGTCTTAGAGAATGCCTACTTAGTAGGAGATTATCTATATGATTAGGTTTTACTATTTCAGGCTTGTGGTCATTATCATAAGTCCCTTTACTGACAACTTAAAGCTATTAAAGCAATCAGGGTGAGCTATTAAACCAAAACGGCACTGCCCTATAGAAGCTGGCAACCCGTGTTGTCTTTATCAGGCACCTTATGTAACGACGATCTACTGCTGTTCTGTTTGAAGGGTCGACTTAAACAGAGGTTGACGAGTATAATTGTGGAATTAATTTTCAGATCACTCTTGAATATTCTTGTTTTGGCTTTTAAAACGTCCTCGTTTCAGGATTGTAATGCGTGAGTGTAGGCATCCTCGGCCGATTATAGGCAGCTGTGGAAGATTAGTGATGGCCGCCGGTCTTGAGTGTTGACCACAGTTGTCTATTTTCAGCTACAGATTCCTGCAGGCTGTTGATCTCTTTTTAACCAATGGCAGATGTTGATTGATGTCAGGGGATTTTAAGCTTAGTAATAATTAAAATACTCGCCAACACTTAGCCAACACACTGAGGACGTTATTTGGCACTCCGTTTGTAGTTTTAAGAACAAACAAACTGAACTGTTTAAAGGGCTGCAAATCATTGATAATAAAATGTGGACGCCAATGTTGTATGTGGAACAACAAAAACAAATTAACTCCATCTGAAATGCCCACACAGTCCTGAGAGGGCATCCCAGCAGCAAAATGGACATTTTTCATCCTTTATTTTTCTAATTGTTTATTTGGCCTTAAATTTTTCTTAGTTTTGAAACTTCAAACTCTCAAGCACTTTGAGTTTTGCCATTTGTTCTATACTCGAACCCTTACCTTGTCAGTGAGCTCCCGTGTAATGTCACTGGTGTGCAGGGCTTCTGGGTCACTCAGCACATCATTATATGCCGGGTCTACGACAGTGACGCTGAACTCGACGATATACTCCAAATTCTCCATTTTCATGTCTTCTTGAATCTGGCAAGAAAATCCAATTATTTATAAGATAAACATCCAGATCAGTGAACTATAATTGGGACACTTTGTGAGTGATCTTACCACTTCTGTTTCAGTTGGCAGAAGCAGATGAGGTGTCCAAGTGCCTATGACAAAAACAGTCATTTTATAATAACATGTATTTTTTACTGATTGCTTTTATTGAGCAGTAATGATGCCTCAGTGCCAAACTCACATTCCCTGTCCGGGTCTGGGGTTCCACTTTCAACTCTGGGAATCAAGTGACACATTTGTTCAGAGTTTAAAGGAGTCTGACCATAATTCTTATGACTATAACCAGCATGTTTTCTCTACTATTTCTCATTTAGTTGGTCCGATATCTTGATTTTTTTTTTTTTTTTTTTTTTTTGTTATTTCTGTTTCACCTTAATACATTGTTTTCAGACTTTGTAGTTTGAGTGGTTTTTTTTTTAATCCTGCAAACTCACAATAAAAATTCAGAAGGTACAATTTCACATACCCTTCAATTTCAGCTGCCATGGCTACTCTCTGAAAATCAGAAACAAGATATTAACTTCAAGGAGCTTCAGAAATGTAAAAACATAAATGCAGCTTACCACAGGGAGTTTTCTAGTTGTGTCGGTGCCTGACTTACTCTGGCCACTATATCCAGATGCTCCTGAGCACTGCTGAAGTTCCTTGCGAGGTCGTCCATGCAGAGGTTTTCATGCTGGCAGGTATAAACCCAAGATCTGTACTCTTCTGAGTCTGGGACTCGGTCAAAGAAGATCCGAAACGCTTCCCAAATTGCCTCCTGACACACTGAAGACATATCACATCAATCACTGGATGTTTTCTTTCATCACAATAGAAAGACATGTGCAAACTCAGAGTACCATACAACCGCTTGTTCATGAAAAATGGGCATGTTATTTTTGCATATTTTCTCACCATAGTAAAGCTTAACTAGTCACAGTGTGGAGAAACCCAACACCTAAGGATTAAGACACTTGTTGATATTGATCTTTGAACGTCTGCATGTGGCTGGTTTGCATTGATTTAGCAATCATCAATAAAATTAGCCTCTTTTCCCGTCAGATGCAAACAGGCAGCATTTAATGTTTAAAAACTCCAAATCATAAATAATACTGAATGTGACAACAGAATAAAGCTGTAAAGTCAGAATCAGTAAATGTCATACTGTGTGTTTGTAAGTTGTTTGAATGTCTGTGACATTTTCGAGAATATTAAAATCACTAGCACAAAGACCCCCTGCAGCCACAGGATGTTTTATCGGCCTCCGTGGCGGAAACAAGCCTCACATTGTCCAATATCACGATGCCTGTGGGAAATTTATTCTCTGACAAACTCATTTCTGGAGCGATGCGATTACCTCCAACACACCAAATTAATCTGCCTCCTTTTAAAATCAAACACCACAGCAGCTGTCGTGGAACAATTTGAATTACTCAGCTATTATAGAAGCCAAGGTGGAAATCTTTCCCTCTAAATTCATCAGCAATCCATCTTGCTTGGACAAAGGATATTTGCATACCACTTGATTACATGAAGAGTCCCTAAAGTCTGTGGAACAGCTTCAGTGCGTCATTCAGAAGCGTAGTGTCAACAAAAACAGGCCCTATACCATTAAGACAATGATGCACGTCTATAAAAAGCAACATATGTGCAGGATCCCTAATGGATCAAATTTAGAGAACAGATACTGAAGAGGATTTAATTATCTTTTTTTCAACCTTGTGCAAAACAAGTGTAGCTACCGCAAAAGCACCAAAGCAGAAAATTATTCAATCAGCTGCAAAGACATCTCAGTTTGCAGTTTTTTATATATCTGGAAGAAGTTCACTCAAAGTTCAAATTCAGGGAGTGAATGAGCTTTGACCAAAGTCTCACAGCAGAAATATCCCTTTACCTCTGAGTTTGTAGTATGTCCTGTGGCTGCCGATGACTTCCGTCATTGTCTCATGAGGACACACTTTGACCCCCGTGTGGAAGATTGCTGATCTTCTTGTCCGATGTCCGCCCCGCTCTCCTCGTACATGTCTGATTGGTCTGGGGGCTTCTAGAAAGTGCCGGTACCGAACATCCCTTAGTCCAGAGATGCTGTTGTCATGAAGGTCTGGAAGACAACACAAAGCCAAAGCTCTCTCTGTAAGTAGTGAAATTTTCAAGTTCAGGTTAATTGAGAAGTAGATGTTTGTGACATAAACGGCTTTGCAGTCGTGTGTCTCATTAAAATGCATGAACATTTTCAAAATATTTGACGTTCGCATGAAGTATTCAATGTAAACTTGTTGCTTTGGGGTTGGGGTTTGAAATATGTGGCGCTTCTGTGTGAAGACTTTGTAAGCCAATGTGTGAACACATTAAGAAAAAAACTTTATGGTAAAAGAATCAGCAGGAGTGACTGTATTAATATCATGTGACCAGTCATATCATATCATATATAAATCATATTAAATGTATATTCTGTACACATGTAAATAAGACTCCTGTACATCTCTCTTTAACTCTAAGTTTCTTTATCCTTTAATATGAACTTTTTGTATCTGTATTTATGTTACTGTAATTTTGGAATTTCCCCCAGTGGGACTATTAAAGGAATATCCTGTCTTATCTTTTCAGTGTGTTTCTGGAGTTTCTTATTCGGGTAATAGAGCTGCTTCTGTGTGCAGTCTGATTACACAAAACATTGATTAAAAAACAAAAAAAATTTCATCATCATATAGCAACAAACTTTGCTTATCTGGTAAACAATGCACTGTAGTTTCTTCAGTTCTCTTTGTGTGTCATGCCTTGCCTCTTGATACTCCCCACCCCCTCCACGCTGTCTGACAGGGAAAACTTCACACTGTAGAGGGACAAGTGTGAATAACCTACTTTGGTAAATTTCAGGGGATTGCTGTCCTGAAATTCTCTCAACACTTTCAGGGGTGCAAATTTGAAAGGGGCTGTACTGAACAGTGTAAAAAGTGCACAGATGTGTCAAGAGAGTGAATAAGTTAGCGTCTCCTCCCTGTGAGGAACAGTTACCCGTGGGTGTCTCACACCACTGAGGCTAACTAGTGGCAAAGAGTGTTCAGAAGTGCTTCTAAGTTGCAGAATTGCAGGCACGTGGATTTTAGCTGTCAAGGGTTATGCGAGAACAGAAAACCTTTGGGGGGTTGTATACATGTACAGCAGACAGAAACATTTCACTAAAATGCAACCACTCCTGCAGAAAGTGGAAAACAAGCAGCCAAATATCCTTTGCTTTCATAACCAGGAGGCTGTTCAGGTTCTGAGAAACATTGCTTTAATATTATAATCAGTGTAGTAAAGAAAACAACCTCAGCTGCCCTTGTGAAGCTTTACTGGAAGGTAATTCCACACCATTACCCAAGCCAGTTTGCCCATTAACTCTCTCTTGAATAAAGCTGTTTAGGAACAAAGGCACTAATTGTGATGCCAGGTGGCAAACCTCAGAGGACTTTATAAGACAATAAGCCCAATAAGGATTTATGAGCCCCGAAATACAGACTTGAGGTCATTGGACCTAAATAACTGATAGGGCGTCCGCTGGATTAGGAAAAACAATGAAGGTGAGGAGTTGATGTTACGGAGAAACTAAGGGCAGATCATATAAGCTCTGTTAAATTGTTATCTGACACAGGCCAGGGAAATGCTGCATTTGTGTAATGATCATCCAAACTAGATGGATTTTACTCTGTCTTTGAGACGGTTTTTAAGATGTGTAATCTAAAATGGCAAAAATACTGGAGTCCAGATAGTGTTTCATAGACCATTAATCTAAATTAATTCACCATGTGACAATAACAAGGCTGATGCTTTGGGGTTGTACCTGTCTATACATTTTCTTATGTGTTTGAAGCGTCCAAACCACAGTGACCATAGGGAAGCTCCAGAAACCCCAACAAACGTGACAACCATCACAGGTAAGCAGAGTCCTGAGAGCAGGATCAAATACGCCAAAGATGCAAAGTGTACAAAAAAAATGCCTCCGAAAAAGAAATAATTGGAAGAACCATGGGAAAAATACAGACAAAGGAGATTTGGCCTGCCAGGAGAACCAGGTTTCGAGACCAGCGTGTGCAGACAAGGCTGGCACGGAACAACAATAACCCTCTGAAAACAGCAAAGTTCAGAGTGAGGCCAGAGAAAGTGGCAGTGAGGTTGTTTTCTTTTCAGATTTTGTTCCTGGCTCCTCTGGGATGACGCAGTTGAAACCCTCTTTAAAGGAGGGTACTGACGGGTGCACCAGCATCCTCTCACTCCTCCTCTGTTTATCTTCAGTGTACGGTCCTTTACCCACTGTTAATCGCCGGGGCAGTTAGGGAGTGTAACACTGACTTCAAACTCTGCCATCATTCCCAGCTGACCTGCTTTCCATTTCAGCAAATATAAAGCAGTTCCTCATTTCCCATGTGCGGTTTTATACTTATTTTGACTTTCCGCATCTTATTTTTTATTTTAAATTTCAGCACACTTTTTTAACATCGTCTTTCTGGCTATTTAATTCAACTTCTCTAATGCATAGTTTCTGAAGTTTGGTCCATGAAACCATCTTGGGCCTCATTTGTCATCACTGATACCTAAAGGAAGAAAACTATTTACAAAAGTAGGGCTGGATGTTCTTTGCCCTGATTGTAACAAAATAGGATTTTGAAGTAACACTCCCCCCCAAAACATGAAACATACGGGTGACTGTAAGTCAGGGACTTCTTTAATTGACTTAACAGCTTTTAACTACACTTGTGGCCACTAATCTAAAATTAAATCAGTCCTATTTTCAGTTTTCAGGTCAGCTTTTTGGGGGACACTCACTTTCAAGCCCTGTGATGGGGACTGAATGGCACGCAGGGTTGATCTAAAAGACGAGTCTGTGAAAATAAAGACTTTTCTGCTTTCACTTTTTAATGGAAATCTACAGAAAGGTAATAGAAATGTCTGAATTTACTCATTCTCATTCATTAAGACTCTTGCACTAGTTTGTCTTACACTTAGCACATTGCATGGGAAATAAATGTAATATTTAAATGTTGAATTGCATGTGGAGTTGCTGGAAATGCTAATCTGCAGGAGGTTATGGTTTGCGGTTGTTGCGTTTTGTTTGAATATATGTTGTTGTTGAATTTAACCTCCAGCTCCAAAACTGTTCAGACACTATTCAGGCCTCGTTCATGTATGACACAGACAAGGAATCTGCTGTTAATCACCGTATTACTCATGGATAATTACCTCTACAATGAATCAAATTGTTTCCAAATTTGGCTCGACACCAAGACCATACAGAGAATGTGTCGTCACTGATGCGCTGGTCTGTAACTTTACGGGCAATTGCACTCCCACTTCAGGTCCATCCTCTTGCAGGGCCTTTCTCTATCCTCAAAACCTTTCTGCAGGTAAGGAAGTAACCGAATCGTGCGTGTTTTCATTCATGGGCTAACATTTGAATGGGCATTAAGAAACCGTATGCTTTAAGCCTGACTTGCACATGGAAAGACACGAGGGCCTTGAGCACAGGGAGGGAGAGAGTTTGAGCGGGTTCTTAATGCCCGGTGCGGCCGCAAGAAAAGGCCTCACAGCAGAATTACAAGCCAGAAAAGATTAGCGTCCAGCAACACTGGGAACAGAATGGCTTTTGTTTTCTTCAGGATAATGAGCTCACCCGGGCACATCACACTGAACGAGACAACCCGTGTGGATGCAAATGTTATCACTGATGAAATGATGCCATCTAACTCAGTCACCATGAATTCGGTGTCTCTGCCTGGTTAATTGATAGTGAATATTCATGACCAAGTGGCTCGCCGGCTGCTTGGCATTTTTCTAAAACAACAGGGGATCAGTTTGCGAGTTTAGTTTAGTTAGCAGAGAGATCTTTAAATAGCCGAGGCACGCACAGACTTCTAAACTATTAAACCTTTTGCCCTTGAACGGGATCACCATCTCTTTAAGTCTAATGCCATTCAGTAAACATCTCATTGATAGAAAACCTGCAGGAAGATTATCAACTAAAACTAAGTGATCTCGACATTCGCCTTTCCTCCCCCACTTTCCAAGTTTAGCTTTTTCTTAAGGCAGGTTTGTCAACGAGACCTGCACAGATATGTTGTTGCATTAATATTTCATCAAAAGAAAAACATGTGTACTTCAAAAAAAGACCTCTTTGATAGTCAGTCGAATGAAACTGAGTTGACCAGTGTTCAACCTTGCAACTAATGAAACCTGAGGCATCAAAACAAACAGCTAGACTCCCACCAATTGTTAAAGAAAAAAGCTAATGACTTTGAGACAAAGCTTGTATGTTTTCAATAGACACGACTGACTCTTACCTTTGATTTGACTTGCTTGGAGGGTAAACAGACACAAAGAAAGGAAAAGTCCTGACTTCAAAAGCATGGTGGGCTAATTTATGTGGTTTTCAAGCCCCAAAGTTGTCATTTGTAGAGATGCTCCTGCAAACAAAAGTAAAATCCAGATTCTCTTTATCGTGAGTCCTTCAGCAGAGTATGCAAAAATCTCCTCATTGGCGTTTACTTTAGCTTGTTAGCACAAACGAAAAGAGGGAGGACAGTCCACTCCCGTCTGTGTGCTCTGGCTCAGTTCTTCAGCAGTAGTTAGTTCCTGGAAGCTGTTGGGTGCCAGCAATCAAGTGAGGTGGCTGCATGGATGGATGAGCAGACGGAGTGATGGAGGGGAGGAGAAGTTTAGAAAGAGGAGATGTTGCTGGTTGAAAATTCTGGCTCAGGAGATTCCCTCTACGCTGTCAGTGTGACAGGAGTGACGAGGTTAAAAAAGCGGGCTCTGCGCTGAATCTAATCCCTTTACCTTCTTCTTGCTGCTTGTAATCCCTGCGTGGCCACGTGGCCATCAGGCCTCATCCTGTTAGCCACCTTCTGGACCCTCATCTGTTGACTGAACAAACTTGGGGATCTGCCAACAGCCAAGACCAGATCACTACTCCCTGTAGTTTCCCCCTCAACTTGATCACTGACACCAAGCCTCTTTGGGCGTCGTGCTCAATAAGTCACTGTGCAACGAGTAAACTTGTCGTGTTTTCCCTGTCAGTTAAGAGTCCTCCTTCATGGGTGGCCACAGAAAATCCCTGCAGCTCAGGCCTGCACTATTGGGTGTCAAGTGAGGTCAGGATTGCAGTTCAGTTCTGTAACATGCACGCAACTACCAGCCAAGCATTGCACCTCATGCCTTTCTTCTGATTGTTTTCAGTCCTTTCTTCTGCTGTCTGCAAAGCTTCATCCAAAAAGGACAACAAATTAACTCTTCTTCCTGAGACGTCTTTTTGATGCACACTTCCAAACTCCCTGTGGAAAATGCTCCTCTCCAAACCCATGCAAAGATACTCTGATACTCACAGATATGCAAAAGCGGCAAGAAACTACTACTCTACATGTCCTCTTCTCAACCCTCTGGTTCAAGGTGCATGCTTGCATGATTGCAATGAATTAAGTAATCGAAGGCTTGTTTGGGTCCCTCTTGTTTTGGCGTATCAGGGTGGGATGGCTCCATGTTGTAGGGCTCCACCCTCACCGCCTCCTGTAAAGAGGATTAGCTGCCCCTGTTGGTTGGTAGCGGTTCGCTGCAGTAATTAAGCCCCTCTAACAGCAACATAATCCAGCCAGGCAGTTTGAACATAATCTGAATTTTGAACTAATGATTGCAGCCACCTTTGAGTGACACATTTTAATAAATTCATAAAGCTATGTTTTGAGGCCGGTTCTGGGGCAACAAAAGGCGGATTACACCCACATATCTTGCATTATCACATTGTGTGTAAACTCATGATTGCTCATTTGCTGCCTGATCTTGAGGAACTCATGATGTCTATATCCAAAGATATCATATTTTCATCTTTGTATATATAATTACAGTCAGCACAGCTATCTAACTAGTCTTTTTGGAAGTATGTTTGGGTCCTGCACATTGACAGCCTCAAGGAAGTCTCGTGATGTAACACAACTAGTGACAAAGTCCAAGTGGAGGAGATTGAACAGGATTTGTTTTCCCATGTGAAACCAAAGGTCAGCATTGTCTGATTACATAATCCCAAACTATAATCCCCTTTCTAAACATTACCGGGAGTTATGGGTGCCAAAACCTCCTCAAACTTCGGCGAGTCACGTTGACCTTTGGTTTCACACAATACAAAAACAGCCCTCTGCAGGGCCAGCGAGAAAGAGCAGCGTGGCAGAAAACCCTGTCAGCAAAACACTCTCCACTAGGTTGTGTGGTTTTAAGAGGTCATGGACAGTTCACGAGAAATAATTGGTGAAGTCCTCATTCCATATTCATTAATTCAATTACGTTTTTGTGTTTGAGAGGGGTTCTAACCTTTCCTGCTGCCCCACTGTCAGGATCTGAACAGGTAGTCTGTTGGTTTTTACAGTTTTTCTGGAAACAATAAGCTGAAAATGCCAACACCCAGGAGTGATGGGGTGACTGTATAGACTGTGGACTATTACCTGTGGAGGAATCACTCCAAAAACACCTTTCATATCATGCTTCTATCAACTGGCACAGCTCTAAGATTTTGTTATCAATGCAAGAAAATCAAAGACACGTTTTTGATGACTTTTTGAATGATGGAGCAGCTCCCCTCCTTTTATTTGCATGTTCCCAATGATCTTCTGATATAAAATTAATGTCTTCCCCTTAAAGATAAAGATCGGTTCTTTTTTAACTATTGTCTAAATAAAATAAACATCACACACTCTGATTTCAAGGTTGAAATGATGAATAACTCTGATCAGTCTTATTGAGTGATACTTTTTGTCTTGATATAAAACTTTTCCCTGACATAGCAGTAAAAAACTGCTAAACTGTCTTTTGCCCTTGAATTTGTTGTGCAAAGAAACCTTGACGATGCAAGGGTGTGACCCCGACTCAAATCCCTGGGATTAGGGTCAAAGTCACAGATCAGGTCTGGTTGCACCAAGGTCAAGGATTTTTTTTGTTGTGGGGTTTCACAGGGAAAATTACTGCTTTAAAAGTTGCCTCCACTGTAGCTCAGTCTTGTGTTTTGATAATGTATTCTGCATTATAATCAACAGAAACTTTGATGTTTTCCCAAGATGATCCAACCCCTTTCAGACTCATCCAGGATTTTATTCAGACAAAATTGACCTTCTTCAAAAGGCTGATGACTTGAATCATTGTCCAATTAGAGAGGTCAGTTTGAATTATGCAACAGAGGGAAAGTGGTGCTTGCCATCTGTCAGTAGGGGTTATTTCATTAGGGACAGAGTCAGGGTGACTCTGGCTGGCAGTCTCTGGCACAACAAGCAGCACCTCAGCTGTGATATCCATCATCAGGAGCTATTACTCTAAGCATCTAGATTTAAATATCTGGCTTTGGGTCCACGATGTGTTGCCACTTTTGCATTATGTACATTATGTTATTAAAAAATCTTTTACAGGTAACTGTGCACATTATGATTTTGTAATTAGTTGAGCTGGTGGTAATGTTTTCTCGACTTTTAGTTTTCTGATCTTTGATACTTTGGTTTGTTTATTGAGCTGTATTTTGTTTATGTAAAAAAAGGCAGTTTATTCTTGTATTCCTGTTTAAAGCACATTAAGCCCACCTGTTGTGAAATCTGTCTTATAAATACAGATAAGTTGCTATCAGTACTGATATTAATAAAATAAGCAAAAGTGAAATCTGTCTAATAAACAAGAAAATTATATTCAAATTATACTTGTGATATAGTATTTGCACTGATTCATGATCAAGTCACGGTAAAAGCTTACAAGATTTTTGAACAACATAAAAGACCTCAAATATTAGTTTGCAGTGGGGTCGAAGTTTTGAACTGACTTCCTCTCAAAGAGCTGAGAAAGACAAGAACTAGGCCGTGGGCTAATATTAGAGTTTGTCTTAATGCTCCTCTGTGGGAAAATCCACTTTGGGCTGATTATCAGTGTTATCCACTCTAGACCTGCAACAGCAAAAGCGCCATTTCATTTTTGAGTTTAGCATCACCTTTGGACATGACTAGTGAGGGATGGTTTTAGTTTAGCAGAATCTGTGAAGAAGGTTTGTACATAAATGTCACTTTCATAATAATGTGCTCCAGAAATACTCAGTATTTTCTAACACCATGGCATATAAGCAGTGCGACACGTCCCAATGAAGGGTTCGTTATGTCTATACAACCTTATTTTTTGCATGTAATTTAAATTTACAAGGTCAATGTCAAGGTCAATCTCATTACCCTCAAGAGACATTGCTCTGGCATTATCTGAGTTAAAGATGTGCAGGTAATGTCAGTAAAGAGGTGACCAGGTGTTATTCTGGTTAGTGACCGCCCTATGTGCTTTTTCAAAATATCAAGGTGACCCTTGTTGTCATGGTAACGATAATTAGCGCTGGTGGATGTTAAAAGATCTGACTTTTGTCAAGCAGTTGGGATAGCGCTAAGCTTTAGTTTAGCCTGCACGTTTACTTTTTCTTTTTTTTTTTTTGTTTTGTTGTTGTTGTTTTTTGGACCTAATGACTTGGGTGGAGTTTAGATTTTACAAATATGCTTTGTTTACAGTGCAGTATGCTAAAACTAAAAGTTATAGCACCTTAAAAATTGCACAAACATTGGACAAAAAATGTAAAAAAAAAAAAAAGGAAATATCAAATGTGCTTCACTGAAATAAAGTCTAGTATCAAAATATCTTTGAATGTATTTATGTATCGTACATTCAAAAGTCTAACTTTTGAATGTTGCATTTCACACTTGATGTTGAATAAATGAAGCAGAACATCAGTATAATAAAACAGCTGATTTGGATTGACTACATTCATGACCTCAGGACTGTGTCAGTGTGTCTGTGTTAACACCAACAGAGGGCAGCATGTTTAGCTGATTTGGGCAGGAGTTAAAACTCAGCTGTCTGATTTTAGGAGGAAGAAAACAGGTGAAAATATATAGTGTACTCTGCACATACATTCATAAATTATCCAAAAAGAAACCTTTTATTTAAGAAGCTACTTTTACCCAAACCTCATGACCGAGTCTCTCTCCAAACACTACATAAAAGGCATATTTTAGGGCTATGTCCAAATTAAGCTAATTCAGTTCAGGGGATTGGTTCCTTTAAGTACAAATTGAAAGCTACAGGATGAATTTATGAATGCAAAATATTCTTTGTGTTGAGGGCTTTAGTGAGAGTAAATTATCTTTTAAAAAACAAAAAGAGCAGAGTACAAATCGGACAGTTATGGATCATACACACCCCTTTCAACAGCTGTACACTGCCGCCAACCACACCATCCACCTCACATGAAATCATGTCCTAAACACGTTTGAAAGCCAATCCTGCATCACAACTTTGAGTATAGATCAGTTTAAATTATTGGGCACGTGAGGAACAGTGACAGAGCAAAATTAAACAGATCTATTTATATCGAGAGAAGATCATAAATGCTGTAAAGAATTAAACAGTCTAAGATTGCAAAAAGTGATCCCACAAACCGAACTTGACCTTGAGCTACCTTGGTTCCTGTTGTGTTCACTTCACGGTTTTTCCTGTGAATTAAGGATCAAAACAACTCAATTCAATTATCACCTTCAGAATATGTCTGGCTAATCTTGTTTGACCGTTTACTTCATTTTCAACTTGTTTGGCTGCACCTGCTCGTTGCCTCGATGGACCGACTGTGGCAGTGTTCCAAGATCACGCTTAAGAGGAGAACATGAATAAAACACAGCTGAACTTTTTTTTCCTTCGCGGAAAAAAATCAAATCATGGGTGAGTTAGTCTTTACTGTACACTTAACTTTAAAAAGTTATGACTTAATGTTGCTATCACTTATTGATTATCAATATGCTAATGTTGGAGTCTTATATTAAGTGTCTTTTAAGCTTTATACCCATTTCTGTTTACACCACAGTCCCTATCAGTGGCTAAAAAATGAAATATATATCTAAACATGTGGAACTCTATTGCCCCTGTGATTTCAGTAAAACTCATTCATCTTGAAAAAGTTTTACTATCGGATTATCTACTAAAGCCACTATGGGGAGTTTTTCCCATGATGTGGAACTGATTGAAATGAATCCTGATGCCTCTATACAGCCTACAAAACCAAACGTAGTAAGACCACCAACAACAAGATTGGCCAGTTTCTATTCCGCACAGATTTCTATTTCTCATTTTTAAATTTCATTTTTATCTGTGATTTTAAGCCCAGACTCAGCACCCTCTTGTGGTGGGCTGCAGTACAGGTCATAAATCCCGCCTCTGCCAGCAAAGCTTATGGGGCTGATGACAAACCTTAGAAATTTATTACACAGAACAATTTTTTTTCCCCCCCTGCTTGCGATGTTGACATGTAGTTATTGTAAGATAACTGATACAGCCTACGGGTATACAAAGATTGCATAGCTCACCCGGGGGATACGCTGTTTCAGCTGAGCGTCATCACAGCGAGCGACTCTCCCACTGAATGCGCACAACGGTACTGCGCAATGTTGGTTTCAGGAAATGGAGAAAAAAACTTGGAATTACCAAGAGCTTTTTGGCTTCAAATCCGTATACTGGCGGAAGGCAGAACCAAGTTGTCCATAGTATATACAGTCTGTGGTCCGTTTATTCCAAAAAGAGTCGGTACACAGGTTTCATAAAAGCAAGGCAGAGGTATCCAAATGAGCAGGCAAGAGGCTAAGTCAAACGACACTAAAGGAGGTCAAAACACTGAGGCAAACACTAGAAATATGCTGGAACTCTGATACTATGGACAAGATGAACTGGCACAGAGGGGAGGGAAGGCTGGGTTTAAATACACCAGGGCAGTGGAGTTAACGAGACACAGGTGAGACACATCAAGGTAATCAGGGGAGCAGGTTACACAAGGAGGAGGAAGTCAATTGACCTGAAACAAGGGACAAGGATGAGTATCAAAATAAAACAGGAAACACAAAACAAGAAACATGAGGGATAAAAAAAAAAAACTACTTAACTAATCAGGAGCTGTGACATTTATAGTACTCAAGTGCACTTACATGTTATTTTGTCAGTTTGTCAATTATAAGCTTTAAAATTAGCACACTTGTTGGAAAACTTACTCTAAGCTTTGTGAAACCTGTTGGACCCACAGGAGTGGCTACACCTCGGCCAACCGGGATAGTGAAAGAAGCTGTTTATTGTAGCACTAGGGAAAATCCAATCACTGGTCATTTGGTTAAAATCAAAATGAGCTGCAGTTCTGGAGACAACGACGACATAAAGTTAAACATCAGGAACCAACCCTCTGAACAGGATACGATTGAATCATCTGCATGTAACACAAACATGTAGAAATATAAGGCTGTCATAGTTCTAGGATCTATTTAAAATGACCTATTTAATTGCTTAAAAAGGCTCAAAGCGTTGTTGGGAATTGAGTCCAAAGCTCTCTGTGGTTGACAGGCGGAAGTCTGGAGACAAATAGCTCACGTCTTTGTTCTTCTTAAGAGGTGCCAGTGTGGATTCCCCCGGAGAGCTTTCTCCAGCTGTCCAAGCTAAAGAGGACTTAAGAGGACTGTGTTCTCATGCTGTTAGGGAGGAGATGGAAGCGTGACTGCATGTATCCAGTGAAATAGAGCCTGTTTATCATGTTCCCAAGAGCAGGCTTCGTTTTATGGAGTAAAGCAACAGGAAAGACAGTGATAGAGGGTAGCATCAGCTTCATGAAATTGAAGAAAAAACAGGAAAGGAAGATGAAGACATCAGAACAGGAAGAGAGGAGAGTGAAAAGAGTGAGGTGTGATGATGGAGTAGAGCCAGAGTCAAAGGTGGCCACAGACAAGAAGAAGAGGACTGAAAGATGTGGAATAAACCAGGAGAAAAGCATTATAGCAGAGGGGAGTTAAGTGGGGAGGTCATGTCAATTGAAAGCTTATCAAGGATGGATTTCTGTCCGGGCATATTAATCCACACCTGCTTCCCGCCCACGGCCACAGAACAAAAGCAGCACAGAAACCATGACTAAACCCACTACAGAGAGCCAACCTGCCACTGCATACACCACAGGCCCAATTATGGTGTTGTTCTCTGTTTGGACAATCCTCATCACAGAAACCATCAAAACTCAAACTGATATAAGGACAGGTGTGATGCCGAATATATTTGATCCGACCATGTAGAAGCATGCACCTGGTCCATGAATGGCGTCAGCTTTCTTGCCCCTTTTGTTGGTTCACTTTGAAAACAAGTGGATGACACATTTTTAATTGTGTTTGAGTGATGGTGCTGAGAGTAGAAAGCTTTCTTTTTGACACTCACTTTTGCAACTGTACTGTATTATGGAATAGCATAATAGCAGACATGGCACCCATCAGATTTTCATCTTAGTCAGAAAACACAGGTACCTGTCAAATTTAACATGCCCTTCACTGAACATTTACACTACATCCTGGCATACCAATTATCTACAAATGGACTCAACGCTCTATCTAATAAAGAGCTTCTTTGAAATCAAGAGTAGGCGATGGTGACCCTGTGATACTTACCATATCTGTTTTTGGGTTGTCAAAGCAACTGGTTTCACTTGGTCATGAGGTTTGAATAGTGGCCAAAAACACTCAGTCAGGTGTCACAGATAGAGTAAAATGTTGACCTCAAACTTTTATATCTATCACTGGCCTGTATGTCCCCTCTTCCTTCTTAAATTAATACAGTTAGGTTGGTAACACCTCCGACTCACCGTACCATAACCCCTGCAGGTAAATTGGGCTGGAATGAGTTCTCTCTGCAGGGTGAGCTGGCCTCATTTAATCATTGAGGACCTGCACCTCCAAACTGGGACAATTTAGAGTATTTGGCGTCTGCTGAGAACGGTCTTGTGGACCACTGGAATGAGAAAGGGGCTGACCTTGATTAGCAGCTACAGATGGATGAATGGGGGAGGTATTACGTGAAACAGATGGCTTTTTTATCCGCAACCTTCAAAGGAACAGAGACTTCTCTCTATCAAAATCAAGATAATTTAGAAAAGGTTGTTTTGTTGTGGGGTGGGGGTGGGTAGAAGACTGCCTGGTTCAACCACAGTCACCACTGTTTGAACTGTAGATTTAACAGGGCTGTGAGTCCCTGCAGCTGCACTTGCCTCCATGGATGCAGTATCTTCCGAATGATCTCACACTGACAGATAGAATTCATGCTTCATTTAATGATTTCCCGAGAGCCACTTACCTTTACATGGCTGCAGGAAAACAGATAAACAGATCAACGCGATTCTTATGATTTGACTCTGAAGAAATTGGCTCTATCAGTCACTTGAATGTCAAAACGGTGGTGTCACCTTGTTGTTGTAGCCTACACAACCTTACTATTCAAAAGGCTTTCAGACCAAAAGTAGGAAGATTTGGCAATAAACAGCGTTGTAATTGGGCCCTAATTTTGATTGACAGCTATAGTTTTACCATCATGAAATCAATTTTCAATCACAGTAATAGACAAAAAGATGACAGGAAATGGAGGAACTGCACAGCTTCACAGATCTCATTTGAATGGTTTTAAATCATTTAGGTCAGGAGTTTCTGGCCTTGTTGAACTAAAAACCAATTTTACAGTTACCTTTCAGCATTTTAAACACACACACATACAGTTACACACCCTCAAGTTAAGGTCCTTACATACCAGGAATGACGCAAATATACGACGTGAAATTACCAAATATTCGTAACACATCAAGCGTGATGCGATTTTGCGACTTTCCAGGGGGAAAAAGGACATGTCCCGAGTGGAAGCGAGAAGACTGACACCACAGCAGACTGACTGATTTCCTGTTCTGATTAGACACTAGTGCTGAGATGTCTGTCTGTCATGATAGCATGTACTGAGTCGGGGCCAGTACCAGATAAGCACATTAAACTATAATCCATAAACGTAAGGTAACAAACGAGACCTAATGGTGCTGTGACAGCAACGCGATTGAGTTTGAGACAGTGAAAATACATATAGTATGTTGTATCTGAACAGGTTAGCTTACGAGCTAAAGTTACTTAGCACAGATGAAAGTTAAAACAAAGACGTTTAGCAAACTGTTAAAGCACACAAACCATCATCATATGAGAAATCCGATGCTATGACTCTCCACAAGTTGTCCTTCAGGTAGTTATCTTTGTAATATTTGTGTTTTTTATCAAAAAGTACTCTGTTTTCCGACATGTAAACAATCAGCCAGTCGGCCATGTTGAATCTGACGTCGCAACAACATGAAATCTGATTGGTCAGAAGTGGACACACAGTATGCGAAACTTTAGAAAATTCCACTGTGATACAAAAAAATAAATACCGCAATATCGCAGGATGGGAAAACGTCACTGAAGTGAACGCTTGTATTGACAGGATACGGGTTCAAAAAAATATTGACATCTGAAATAATCACATGAAAAAGAACCTTTAGAAAGATGCATTTCAGGTAAAAAGAAAAATGTTTCACTTTCGAGAAAATAACACCTCTTATCATCAGGTACTGCCAGTTTTCTCTCCCTGGCTCAGTTGAATAGTTCAAATGGTTAAGTTTGCACTGTGATTGGTTATAAGCTCATTTTTCATGTCAGTTCTTCAACTGTAATTGTAAAACACATTCAAAATTCACATTTGTTAGCTGTTGACAATGAGATTTTACCACAATTTGGCAAATAGACCTGTCTGAGCGCAGAGGTGAGAGGGGTAGTGATTACCTTGAAGCAGTTTTTCGAAGTATTGGCTCATTTGTCAACCTCCTGAGTTCAAACCAAAATAAAAAGAGTCTCTTTTCCCCTTCATTGCCAAGAACTGAGTCAGCTTTACTGCTGAACACCCAGGAGAGTTCCTTAAAGGTTTGTGCCTGCTTATGTTCGGTGTCATTAGCATGTTTTTAAAGGGCTCTTTATCATGCATTTGAAGCATTTTTCTAAACCTAGGTTAGGATAGTTTGATAAGAGGCTGAGTGAGAAGTTGTTTATTAAAATGGTAAGAAGCTTCAGGGTTTGAAAACACACACACACACACACACACACAAAAAAAACAAAAAAAAAGAAAAGCCAAACTGGATGGTGCTCTGCAAATTTCATGCTAATAGCTTCAGTGACATTTTATGTTGTTATTGCTTATGAAAATAGGAAATTACAAACATGCTTGTCAAGTTTCCATCTGAATACACCTTCTCATGCTTAATGTGAGAAGGTTAATAGACAATATGTAAATGATCCTCAAAGTGTGAAAAAACCCTCATTGATATTCTTCATGGCTCTGGATGAAACACAAATCCATTACCTGTATGTGTGATGGTTTTACTCACCAATATATCGCTCTGTTATATGAGGAATTGTACCTTTGACCAAACAGACCACTGCAGCACTGGTCAATTAGAAAACTCCTTTTATCCCACAAGATGCAAATGGGCTCCAGATTTAGTGTCAGAGAAGGGGAAGGATCACAGAAATGAAATGACCTCCTGTGCAGAGCTGTCATCTTCTCTGTTGCAGCGGTCTCTGCACACTAGCTTTTTACAAGGACTGAGTAAAGGTTACTGAGGCAGACTTCTGGGGTCATCTGGAGTTCAGCAAACATTAGTCAAAGACAACCCATTTAATTCCCAACAGCTCTTTAGCAGACAATGTTAAAGTTTTCCCTTTTAACTTTGTGTCTGTTGAAAGCCTCTCCGCAGCTATTCGGGGGTTAGGAAAGTTAGGATCACAGTTACATAGGAATGGTTTCCTATATGAGGTTTTTAATCAGATTTTATTTCTGTTCATGACTTTTATCTTCAACCTCCTTCTTACAATGCAGGAACATGGAAGTGGAATTATTAAGATTTCAAACTATCTTTGTTTGTGTTGCTTCAATCCCTCAAACAATCATTTGTATTCAACTAATCCTTGACTAGAGTTGATGAATACCTTGCCATTTACAAAGATTTCACTGAACACATTTAGAAAGATACACTATGTTTAATTAGCAGTAAATCTTGTTAACTACACACCAAAAAGCATGTAGTGCTCCAAAATGTCTGCGTTTTTTGGTAATACTCTATAAACTCACTTGCCAAGATACAGGATATAAAAAATAATACTGTGTTCTACAACCAATCAGTAAAGCGATGGAGGATTTGACACTAAAACCGGCTGACTCGTGAGGTTTTGTATGACCAATATGAATAGGAACTGAGAACACATTCAATACGTGTCTCCTTTCTCTCTCTGGTAATTGACCGTCCATTACCAGAGATGCACACACAACGTAGATGGATGGATCATATAACAACTGAATCTTTGGCAGTAAACATCCTCTACCACCACATACAGCTGGCTAATTTTGAGATATATCACTTGTCGAGCCAGATTGGATGTTAAGTGAGATAGATTTACTGAGACCCAACAAGAGTAAACACTGACCGACGGAAGGCTAACCTAGTTCACTATTTCAGATTTTATTTTCATTTTGTCAAATACAGTGTGACTTTCATTGTAGGAGAATCCCGTGTGATGATTGAGAACGACAGAGAAACACACAATTATAAATGTAGGTGAGCTGTTAAGGATAATTCAAAGTGCTGTGGGGCTTTTAGACAAACCCACTTTGTCGAAGTGAAGGACAGAAACAGCTTGTGGCAACATTTCTGCTGTGAAGAACATGCATGAGTGGAGGCTTTGATTTAACACACACACGCACACACATTAATCCACACTTGAGTGTGTTTAGTGTTTGTGTGCATAAATAAGGCAGTGAATTTAACCGCCCTTTACCTTGAAGTCCTGCTCTCGCCAATGCCATGTTGTTTTGAAGTGTTGATGAAAGTGTAGCGTTTTAAACCTCTGTGGCTCTGATTCATGGTCTTGTCCTATCCCATTGATCAAGGATCAATTTGGACTGGCTGTCATGTTTTTTGAAATTAGCATGTCTTTAATGTAACTGATTGGATTTGACCATATACAGGAGCTTATTTGTATTTGAACGTATAACATCCCTGAGACAAAAGTCTTACTCTGAAGATAAATCTCATTGTTGAATAAAATTGTGTATGATAAAAATTTCAAACTTTACAAAATTTGAGGAAGGATGAATGCTTTAAGATACTAATATTAGACCCTGCCTCTATTTGGTATTCACTCTCACCTCCTCCCTGTCCCGTGATGCCTAATAGACGAGTTGCTGACTCATTTTCTTTCCTGTCAAGGTCAATTGTTATCACCTGACTGAGGTAATTTATAACAGCAGATGGGCCCTTGTACCTCCATTTCTCAGGTGATGAATGCTGTGAACCTTCTGCGTCCAGAAAGGGTGAAACAATAAAGCTAACTACATTTCACAGAAGAATATTTCATAGGTTCATTATCCATGTGTTCAGCCCTACAAGCCATTACGACAGCAATGTCCTTCACCAAACAGAAAATAAGTGACAAACCAGTATCCCAGCAGCTCTGAGGGAAAAAAGCGGCGGTACAGTTAATGTATTTGTCTAAATGATGAGGTGTCCCATGCAAACAATAGGATGTGGACTGTTCTGCGTTACCTGTTACCTGCAGAAAATTACAGCTACAGAAAATTCTCTTTGCAAACATCAATAACCTCCATTCATGAAATATTTATTAAGTCCATTGTAGGCACCATTGTGAATGCCGCTCTCCATCATCCCCCTGCACGCATGTAAAGACGCTCTGTGACATCTGCAGTGTGGGTCCTGTGCTATTCTTCATGTCTGCTGACAGACAGAAATACTCACGCTGCAAAAGTTTTAAAGGGGAGCTGCTCCGTTTCTTGTCTTGGCTGAATATAACTGAAAACGTGGATAAAGAAGCTTCGAAACTCTGAGTCGTTCTGCAAAATGAGATAAACTGCCCGAGGCGATGTCGCTTGAGCCATCATCATTTCAGGGCAAACTACTCCAAGGGCCTTTTCACATCTAGACGATTGGAAAACATTTCTTAAACATAAACTTTCTTGGCGTTTGGACACGTGAACACCACAATCATGTTTTGAAGCAGAACAAAACAAGAGAAGCCAAGATCACCAAGAAGAGGCGCTATCAACCCAGCAACCAGAGTAAACAGCTATTTTATTTATCCCACTAGTAGTAGTATGTTGATCGTATTTCGGCTACAACTGATGGTTGATAGACAATCAACACTCATGCCTGTTTGGCTTTAACTTTCTAGCTGCTTCTAGCTGCAAGAGTCATTTTGTCGTAGCTTTAACTGGCTAACATTAGTTGGAGTACTAAGGCTAGTGTTTCGATGTCAACAGTGACCCCACCAACTGGCAACTTTGAGGCAAATGGATCACTCTTAAATACCTTTCATTTTTCATGAGGGGGATATCTGGTTGTTTTATTTTGACGTTATAATACATAATAAAAAGATAACCCCAGATGCAATAATAAGGACTTCTTCCATGTTTTTTCAGCTGACATAACCACCAATTGATTAAAACCAGACACTTGCACATTGCCAGATAGCCAGATTACAGGGTCGCTCTTTAAACCGAAACACTGATTTACCACTACCCAAAGTGCAACAAGTACACATGGCTGTTGACGCCATAATGTAATGATGGTATGGGGTAGTGTGAAAACAAAACAACCCAACAGAAATTTATGACAATTTATATATTTTTTTCATCTGAATTTGAGCAAAAAAAAAAAAAAACACATGTAAAAAACTGGTGCTACAGAATTATAAGTGGTTACAGTGGCTATTATCATAAGACAGATTAAATTAACCTGAACTGAAGTGCATTTGTTTGCAGGACTCTTTAAATATAGTGTTTGATATCAGCAGTGTGTGTCGAGAAATCTTTTCTGGCACTTCAGCGTAATTGGCATCACCATTGATTGACTATTAGCAAGGACTTCACTTCTGTGCACTATATTGTTTACAATCCTTTCCTCTGTCTTTGATGAGTCTTATTTTCACTGTAACATGTTAGACAGAGGCTTCACTGTGGCTAATATTGGTATGAATCCAAGGGGGAACCAGATTTGGTGGGTATTACTGGCTACTTACAGGTCTTTTGTTTGACTGACTTCATTTCTATTCTCTGGGTGCTTTTTGATATAATAGATAGATTTACCAAGTATCCCCCATGGGTCCAAATATTAAGTAGTGTATTGGCAAAGACACCAAAAAAACTCCTGCCAAACTGTGCTTGTTTTCATGCCAAGGATCTATATCCAAGACTCGATGGGAGCAGTGTAAAAAACGAGTTAAGGTGTTTCTGAGGTCAAGTGTTATGGTGTGTGCTCTGACTGTAATGATTGAGGTCCACGAGAACACTATGGGCCTCATCTACTAAAGATTCGCGTGTGCAAAACCCCATGCAAACTTGATAGCACACGCAAACCTGATCTACTAACCAAGTGCACCGAGGATTGCGTCTGTCAAATGAGCGAAACAGCACGTGCAATCGATTTAGCGTGTTTGCTTTCATAAATATGCAGAATGTATGTAAATCATCAGAACCCCTTTCACCAGTTTGAGGCATTAAAAATATCTGTATAAAAATTGTCCTTCTTGTAAATGGTAATCTTGTTTGATTTTGTACATCATAAAAGGCCATCAGTATGAGTTTCATCAATGTCAAAAAACTCCTCACAGGAGCTTTAATATGTGGCACAAACTTAATAGAAAAAATACACTTTTATAGAAAGTCTCTACGAACAGTTTTTGAATTATATCATTTTGTCTTTACTGGGTAAAAACTGGCAAACCGTAACACATCAACCATCAAATGTCCTCATTTCACCACACAAGCTTACGTTACATAACAGGGGCTCCTTGGGGAGTTTGACCCTGAAACTCTCTGTTTAAAAATCCAAAGGACAGTCAATCAGCATCTACTGAAGAGTTTTTGTTTCATGTTTGATAATATTGGGTATGTGTGCATCTCTATGTTGTCTTTCTTGTACTTGCAATGACATATTGACACTGCCACAGAAATTCCTGTCCACTCTGTGCTCTGAATGCTTACTCAAGTGCACTCATCTTTCATGTATGATGAGCCGTATAAAAATTCATGTATGGGAAGCCAAAGGGTGTGCTTATATATATGTGCGTGCCTATTTTTTCATGTGTGTTTGCAGTGTGAGCGTCTCTCCATCCCTATGTTGCGTGTGGAGTTTCTCTTATGACTTATTGAACTATGACAGGCAATGACCATGCAGACCGTGTTGCAGCAGCAGAGACGGAAAGGGCAGGGAGATCAAATCGGAGAGAGCAGCTCAGCCACAACAGAATCTCATCTCATCATTAGAGAGAAACACAAGATGAGTGGAAGGAAAAGCGCATACATTCATCTAAATGGATATGTGCTGCTTAATGCTCTGTCACATCCATGAGTGCCTCAAGAAGTTAGTGGTTTTACAACTTAATATATTTGCTTAATCATTTGGATTCACATTTAAAGAAAAACTCACTCAAACAGATATGCAAAATAAATACTTTAAAGCCTTTATTGCACAGCTTCTCTGAATCTGAACATATAATTTCCTGAACAACAAACCTTAATATTATATAATGCTGACACATCCTAAGCATTATTTTTATAGCTCTGCAGGGCAGCCTCTACTGTAAAACTCTGCAGCTTCAATCATAGGATGGTAACCTTTGTCACACATGAATATCACATACTGTAGATACAGATTTAATGGAGCAGCAAACAGAGCCACACACAGTAAAACAAGGTGCTGTTTGTTCTGTTAAATTGAACTCATGATCAGCTTTCAGCTCTGCCAGGTAAATATCAGCTAGTTTTATGTTTCACACTGATATGGATGTTTCCTTTTGCAGTGCGTCCCTTAAAAAAGAGATAACCACACTGAAGAGCAGCAAATGGTCCATGTGCCATAATAAAAATATACCCCACTGTGACCATGTCTCAGAATACACACACATTATTGGGATTTAAAAATAGAACCATCTGTTTTTTTTGCACACAGTGGAAAAAGGTCCCTCAGGTAGAGCCAGATTTGTATATTTTTTACCTTTCATTTTTGGATGTTCGTGATCTCTGCTGTTTACTTATTAATGGGTCAGTGTGGCTTGGGAATAACGTGAGATGCTCTGCTTTACTGGGCAGCCAAAAAAGGGAGTTTACACAGAAATGTAACAACAAATCACTCATTTTTAAATGCAAAAAGCTTATCTGCACTCCAAGGTGAGGTCTTTAAGTTGGGCATTTTACATTTCCTTCCTTCCTAGCCCTAACCATTTTTTCTTGTTTCATGTGTGGCATATAACCCCCTTTATTCTCATGACTTTTTCTTTATTGTGCCCCCAAAAAGAAGATGTACAGGGGCCATTTTTTCACGAGCTGCAGCATCGAAAGCGCACAAGTTTATGAAAAGCCTTCTTGAAGTCCTCGTTTGACATGGTGTAAATGATAGGGTTAATGAGGGAGTTCAGGTATCCCAACCAGGTGAAAAAGTCAAACAACTCGGGGTTGAAGCACGTGTCACATGTGGCCACCACAAGCGTGTAAATAAAAAACGGCAACCAGCAGACGATGTAGGCGCCGAGGATTATTCCCAAAGTCTTTGTCGCTTTTCTCTCCCTGGCTGCTGAGATGCGCTTTTTCTCCAACAGCGCGTCAGACACCGTTACCTTCACCTGGTTTTCGCTCGTTGAAGAGCCGGTGTCACTGGAAGGAGGGTCGTGTCTCCCGCACTGCAGCGAGGTCGTGGATGTCACAGATCCAGGGGAGTTGGTGACCAGGTGCGCGGAGGTAAGTCTCTTCCCCACTTTCTTTGGGGACTGCTTCAAGATCCGTTTCCGTGCCTCAACGTAAATCCTTCCGTAGAGGACAATAAGCAGCAGAGTGGGGATGTAGAAAGCTCCAAAAGTGGAGTAAATGGTGTAGAAGATATGATCCGTGTTGACGCTGCAGCTGGTCAGCTCCTCCGCCTTCACCTGCCTCCAGAAGAGCGGTGGAAGGGAGATGGAAATGGCTATGACCCAAGCTGTAGCCACCATACCCGCTGCTCGCCCTGGCGTGCGCTTTTTGGAGTACTCCACGGCGTCAGTGATGGCCCAGTACCTATCCAAAGCGATTACGCACAGATGGAGTATGGATGCGGTGCAGCACGTTATGTCCGATGAGAGCCAGATGTCGCAAACGATCTGCCCCAGAGTCCAGGTGTGGATGACGGTGTACAGGACGCAGATCGGCATCACCAGGATGGACACCAGTAAGTCTGTGACCGCCAGAGACGCGATTAAAAAGTTCGCAGGAGTTTGCAGCTTCTTGGACTGAGAAATTGTTGCGATGACGAACGCGTTGGATAAAGTGGTGGCGAGGGTGATGATTGAGAGAATCACCGCCAGACTTATCTGATAAGCGAGACTTTCTGTGATCACATCCATGGTGGATGCAGCTGTGATGAAAGTGGCATTGGTGGTGTTCACCGGCTGGGTCGGCTCCATCACATTTGTCACTTAAAGTCATATTTCATGTCATCTCAAGTGATGTTTTCAAGCGCCTTCTCCCTTGAAAAACGACGACTTATCCGTGCAACTAAGTCAGACACACGGAATAATCAGTCTGTGATATAAATCTGATTTCCATTCTTCCTCTTTCTTTCTTACTACACTTGTTTGTTGAAGTGTAGAAGGCAGAATGTGAAGAAAAATATCCATTCCTCGCTCCTCAAAACTTTGCGTTTCGTGGCCATGAAATAAAGTCTTCTCAAATGTCCTCAAACACCTTTGGAGCCTCCAAGGTCTGTGCGTAAAAGACGAGCAGTGCGTCCCTGTGTCCAAACATCTAGGAGTATGTCACAGATAATCCGCATGTAGGGCACAAGTTCTCCAGAGCTCTGTGTGTCTCCTTGGGCCCCCTGTGGATGAATGTTAAGCCAACCCAAAGTCTCAGTTTTTATACAGACTCTGACATCAAACAAGCTCCTGCTGATCACAACCTTGTTTCCCTCTTTCTCTCTCCATGAAGAGCCGGCTATCTGCTGGGTCATAGTGCCCGGTGTTTCTACGTGGTCATCGATTTAAACCTTGAACACTGGGATTTGGTTTTGCAAAGACCTTGTGAAACATAGTAATGTTCCTGACATTGACAAACCTCAGTTTATTTTTATAATAAATAAGAATGTAAAATAAAACTTCAACAGCTATTACTGACTATTTTTATATGGATGGTTCAACCTGTTAAAACCATTGAGAAAAACTTGCTGGTTTAGCAGAAACTGGCTGCTGAGAAAAGCAGTAAAGGGATTTAAACCCTAAAATCATCATTTATAATGTCATATTTCTACTTCTAATCATTTTTAGCAGCACAATAAATGCATGAGAAACATTTTATACATGCACTTTGCTATCCTCATATATTATAAGTTTAAAACATTGCTTTGTCCAAACTGCTGATTTCAAAATCTATTCATGATTGGTTGGTTATGTTAACATTGTCAGGCTGCACTGCTTGCTGCTTAACATGTGATCTAAACATATGGTTGAGATCATGACCTACTGACCCCAGACAGACCATTTGGCCCAAAGATGTTTTTTAAGTTATTTAGGGTCAGTCCTAAAGTTCAGTCTTTGGCTTTATTGATGCTGCTTCTCCAAAGGTCTATTCAATAACCTGATGAAACGGACTGGGTGATTATTCTAGCACAGTCAGAGCATGATGTGTGCTGCCACACATGTGATCTTCACATGTGGTTAGGATCATAGCCTTGTGATCCGAGACAGCGCAATTTAGCCCAAAGATACATGACAGATCTTGCGACTATTTTTAAGATTTCTTAGACAGAAAATTGCAGAATAGAAGAATTTGCATGCTGAACTGTTAAGTCTCACTAGAGCCCATCCAATGAGGAAAGACAACATGCCTTTAACTAGATCGTTGTCATTGTAACATAAAGGTCCTTTCACACCGAGATCGTTTTTTCCGTGCGATTATTTCGGACGTCAATATTTTTTTTCAAACCTGTATCGTGTCAATACAAGTGTACACATCATCGACATTTTCCCGTCCTGCGATATTGCGGCATTTATTTTTTCAGATCACAATCGATTTTTTCAAAGTTTCGCATACTGTGTGTCCATTTCTGACCAATCAGATTTCGTGTTGTTGCGACGTCAGATTCACCGGTATTTTCAACATGGCCGACCAGCTGATTGTTTACGTGTCAGAGAACAGAGTGCTTTTTGATAAAAAACACAAACATTACAAAGATGAAGGACAACTTGTCATAGCATCGGATTTCTCATATGACGATGGTTTGTGTGCTTTAACAGTTTGCTAAACGTCTTTGTTTTAACTTTCATCTGTGCTAAGTAACTTTAGCTCGTAAGCTAACCTGTTCAGATACAACATACCATATGTATTTTCACTGTCTCAAACTCAATCACAGTGTTGCTGTCACAGCACCATTAGGTCTCGGTTGTTACTTTACGTTTATGGATTATAGTTTAATGTGTTTATCTGGTACTGGCCCCGACTCAGTACATGCTATCATGACAGACAGTCATCTCAACACTAATGTCTAATCAGAACTGAAAAACACTCAGTCTGCTGTTGTGTCAGTCTTCTGAAAGTCGCAAAATCACATTGGGCTTGATGTGTTTAGTCAGGCATGTCAAAATTCGCCTCCAGATATATCGTAATTTTGAGTCGTATATTTGCGTCGGTCCCGGTGTGTAAGGACCTTTAGTCTGCATGAGCATTTGTTGTTGTTGTTGTTGTTGTTGTTGTTGTCTGTTTCTGTCCATCTCATTCTTTATGCACTTTCCACTTTGTTTTCCAACACAGCCTCAGTAGAGAGCTGTTCAGTGTGAGTCTAGTCCTGAACAAATGAAGAGCTGGCTTTTAACAAGTACAGGCTGGGCACTGGTTGAGGCTTTTTAAAGCACTTTACAGCGACTGTTTACAGTAAGGGAGTGCTTTGCAATGTTGGTTTGAGTTGTGCTTTGTGATGTTGGGTTGAAATGTGTGCTTTGACTTTGTTACATAAAAGCACTTTGTGGGGAAAGTTTTGGGTGAGAAGAGTTCAAGTTGGAAGCACTTTTTGTTATTTGTTGTGAGAAAAGGGGAAAAAGAAAAGTTTAGTTTGTTTACCTTAGTTATGAAAAGCACTTTGAGCCACTTGTTCTTAAAAAAAAATTTGGGATTGTAGTTTCTGAAAAGTGCTTACTACTTTTGAGAGAAGAGCTTTGTCCTGATAAACTTGTTTCAACCACTCACTATAAGTTTTATTTAAAGGTCCTTTAAGGAAATTTCAGTTTGTCATAGTTTTGGCGCCCCCTGGGGACAAAGCAGCCTTAGAGTATTTTGTCTTTAGTGACATCTCCAGACAAGAAACCTCATCCTTCTGACTTTAGACAGTCAAATATATCATATATGCTGAATATCTATGTGGAACTTCTTGAACCATTTTCAGACATTAAAAATTGCAATATGAAAATTATTAGTCCGATGGCCTTGTTCGCTCCCCCTACCACTTGCACCTCTTCACCTGAAACCCTCTGCTTCATCACTCAGCCTCTGTCCCAGTTCTCCCCAATATCCCCAACTGACCTGACCACCATCACCACCAGCATGAAGAGTTCTACAAGCGTCCTTGACCCAATCCCATAAAACCTCCTCAAAAACCGCCTCCCAGCCATTACCTCTCCCATCACCAACATCATCAACTCTTCCATCACCTCTGGTTCTGTTCCCAATCCCTTCAACAAGCAGCCTTTACCCCGTCCTCTAGAAACCTTGCCTCAACCCTGACCATATGACTAACTTCCGACCCATTTCCGACTTCCCCTTTCTGTCAAAATTTTAAACTCTAAAAGTCACAAACAACCTCCTCCTCACATCGGATTCCAGCCGCCTCAATATTCTCATCCTCCTGAACATTACAGCTGATTTCAATACAATCAACACTCCATCCCACTTTCCCACCTCGAACACTCACTCAACATCACTGGCACTGCATTATCTTGGATTAAATCATACCTCAATGACAGGCAACAATTCATCTACATTAGTAACTGCTCTTCCTCCACAGCTCCTCAGCTGCAAGGCGTTCCCCAGCGTTCGGTGCTTGGTCCTCTCCTGTTCATTATATACCTGTTACCCCTCAGCCATATCATCCATCACCACCGTCTCTACTTCCATTGTTATGTTGATGACATACAACTCTACATTTCCACCACCTTCATCATCACAGACACATACTCCACTTTAAACGACTGCCTCACTGCCATGGAAACCTGGATGACCGATAACTTTCTTTAGCTCAACTACAGTAAATCTGAAATCATGGTCAATGCCCCAAAATCCCTCAAAACTTCAGCCTACATATTGACTCATCCACCCTCTCTTCTCAGATTCACAATCTAGGTATTATTTTTGACCCCCAACTCACATGTCAAAGGCATGTTAAAACAAAACCACCTTCTTCCACTTGAAAAACATAGCCTGCATCTGTCCACTACTCTGCTTCCCTACAGCAGAAACTTTAATTCCTGCATTTATAACATTGCAACTACACCAATACCTACTACCTACCGCCCATGTCCTACCCGATCTCCACTGGCTCCCCATCCTCTTTCATATTCAATTTAAGATCCTCCTCCTAACCTACTGACCTCCTCCACCATCAAATTCCTACCAGTACCCTCCACTGCGTCAACACCAACCTCCTCTCTCCACTATCCAGAACCAAGCACTGAATCTGGAGGGTCTGAATCTTCTCCCTATAGTAACCTATAGTACTTTCAAATCACTGCTAAAAACTCACCTTTTCAGAGAGGCTTTTAATCTTTGATTGTGATGTTCTGTCATTTGTGTTCATCTGTTTGCTTGATCAGCTTTTAATTTCAAATCATTTTAGTGCTTTTGTTAAATTGCGTCTTTAATTCTTTAAAAGTGAAAGGCATATTCTGTTAGTGATTATTATCTGTGTTGAAAACCACTTGAACCCCTCTGTTGGCAGTGATTTCTGTGTGTCTAAGCTCAGCAGAGTGCTGTCAGACAGTCCTCAGGGGAACACACCCTCCTGTGGATTCCTGATTGCACCCCCTGACCAACCATGACCATCACACTGCTGATGCAAGAGCACAGGGTGACACACAGCCACCATTATCACCTATATTTACACAAAAACACATGCTTTTTTTTCTGTTTTTGCACCTTTTCACCCTTTACACTAACAAACATGCAGAACCAGGCTGGGGCTGGGTTTATCTCCTTGTGGTGCTTTGCTTTTTTGTTCATGTTTTTCTGGCTGGTGGTCGTTTTCAGTGTGAAAAGGCGTCGGTGTAGGTGACCCAGTTCAGTGACAACAGCATCGGCGGCCAATTTCTGTGACTCTGATTCAGTTTTCTCACCTCTTCTCTAAATACATCGAGCACAGCAGTCGCTGGCACATCCAGCGGTGTCCTGAGAGTCCTATTTTTAGTGTGGTAATAAGGCATCCAGCAGGAGTTTAAGTCAGCGTATTACAGAATACAAACAGGACATTAATTTGTTTTTTCTTCTTTCTTATAAATGATGTTGATGGCAGGATTGATAAATTATATTAAAGCAGATGAATGTATATAAAGAGGTTCTAACATGGTATATGATTAATCTTAATGCAATCTTACATTTGTCTTTGAACTTATATAAAGTCCTGTACCTAACTTATCAAAGTTTCTCCTGTCTAGGTTTTTGTGTCATTATTATCCAGTTTTCCTGATACTAATCGACACAATAATTTAGTCGTTTCTCTATGATATCAATCTTAAACATTGGTTATCTGGTTTGGAAAAGTCAACATGGGTTTTGCCATCAGTTCTGTTCTTTCTTCTATTCATCTCCATCCATAACTGACAGCTGTAGGGTACAGGAGCAAATAGGGCAAACTCAAATCAGGGCAGATCCCTCGCTGTTTTGAGAGTTACCCCTCCCTCTCCACCTAAAGTCCTTATCCAAGTGTTTGAGATCAGACATGGGAAAATTACCCGGGCTGAGAGGCAAGATCAACTAAAACCTAGACGTATCTTATGTATCTCTGCATGTAAACAACAAAGGTGCATCTACAGGTTCAGTTTGGTTTTTATAGTTAAAGTTGACTCACACTGCAAGGATGGATCTTTGGATTGACTCTTTTTACCCACTTACCTGACATCATGTCAAAATAAAATGTAAGACAAGCACTTCTTTGTTCACTTATTTATTGTTTTACTTACTTATTTACTTGTTTATTAACACAATATTTTCTTATGTTTAAGTTACATTTGATGATAATAGTTTGCGCTGTTTTTAAAGTGCTTGAAACTCGACTATTGTTATGCTATTTTGCATTCACATTAAGTGAAACTTACAGTGCATTGATATTTTAAAAAATATATTACTTATAGCTATCTACTATGTAGTTCCGGTCTAAACTTTAAAGCTCCTGTGAGGAGTTTTTTTATGTTTATGAAATAGACTAAAATGCCATACAAAAGCCAACAAGACCAATCAGCAACAAGACTGATGATTTTCTTTAACTGTAATTTTTAAATGCCTGAACCTGGCGTTAGGGGGGAGGTGTCAGCTTAACAAGCAACCCTGTTTTTACAATTTCCATATTGAGTATTCACAATAAAATAAAGGTTAGACTACAAAAGTCTGCAGGATGAGATTTTTTGTCATGTAAACCAAAGATAAGCAAAGGCTGCTTTGCTTACAGGGGGTGCCACAATCCACATAAACTGTTAGTCACAGGAGCTTTAATTTTCTAATTTAAGAAAATATTAAAAAAATATAGCAAACATTTCAACAACATTTCAACAGTGAACACAGAGCTTGTGATTTACGCAGAAAAGAAATGATTAAAGGCATCCATGAAAGTCGAGCAGCATCATTAGGAGAAAAACAAATGCAAAGAAACTAAAAATGACATAAAATAGTTGAAAATAGCCTGATTCATAAAAAAATTAGAACAGGGACGTGTAAAACTGTGTAAAAGCTGACAGTATGAAGTTTAAACAGAGAAAACAATGAGTATTTTTGTAGCACATTGAAGGGTGTAAAGACAGTAATGTAATGTAACGTGTAGTGTCTTTGGGGAAGAATAACAACAGTTGGTTGTTATTAAGGTCCTGAGCTGGAATGACAAGATTAGAGTTGGCACCAGATTAGAGGAAAGATAATGACTTCAAAAAGTCAAATGATGTTGGCATTGTTGGGTTGGAAAAAAAGAAAAAAGTGAATGGTGCGGTCTTGGATGTTGTCTTTAAAATAAGACCTTGTGAGGATTTCTATGAATTCAATGTACTACTGTTTTTAGTTAAGAGAGATTTCGCGAAAATTTGAAGTCATGGTTACAATTTGAGTATTTGTAAAGTGTTGGTTTCTGGCTGTGTTTAGGGCAGGATCTTAACACCTTTCAAACTGCTGCCTATAATCTAAAAGCTGCACTGCATTATAATGAATTAATCATATGTAGAGCACATGATGAGTTTCAGATCCCCTCCTACTGCAGTGTAGTAGCAGCCCGACCTGATGGCATCTGTTACTCTCTGCTCTGCCAATCAACTCTCTCAGGCCTTCAGCTAAAACTGTTTTAAGCGAGAAATTGAGGTCTTTAGGATCTGATGGTGACATGAAACTGTGCCACTTTTTGTAGCTCTGTGTTCCTCTGTGAATATCGTATGGGTTCCTCAAAGCCTCTGTCTTTCGGGTATGTCAGTATGCGGCTTCAGGGGAGAGAGGAGGACTTGTCTTCTAAAAGCAGCATGTCGAGCAGACACACAGTCTCTGGAGGAAAATGTGATAGGAAAAAGGCTAAGTGGTGAGCATGACATCTGATAGATGAACAGCCTGAGTGTGTGTGCGGTCTGTCTTGATTTAGCTTGAGTGGAAGTGGCCAAGTCCATTTAGAAACTGAACGGTCAAATGGCAAACTAACTGTAAGCGGTTATGACTTTTATCAGCACTTTTTGCAAGCTGGAAGTCATCCACTCTTTGAAGAGAGAGCGTGGAATTGATTTATGAAGCCCATCCAGAGATGATGCTGTAGAGATACCATTGTGTCAGTCAGTGGGGTTTTGTTGCATAATGCATCTTATTCCCTTTCTAAAAATTCCCAGCATGCAACTACAGTATCACAGATGGCCTTGTTATAATCATTAAAGGCAGATTACCCAACAGTATGGGTTGCACACATCAAAGCTGACTTTGTGAGATGCATAAGATGGTTTACATTTACTAATTCCTGGAGGTATAGGAGTTTTCTTTTCATTTTGATTATTTCATTTATTATTGTAACATAATGTGTAATGTTTGTGTGCTGTAATAGAGAGGAGATGAGCGCCTCTCACACTTACACAGTATGTGCAGGTGTGAAAAGCAGAGGTTATTCAGCAGGACAGGCACAGGTTTGAAATTGAGGAAAGCATCGCTGAAATTGAAACACTGTTAGTCGTATCAAAAATTCATGGCTGGGGATGATCCCTGAGAAACCCAATATCCTTGTTTATGTCCTGCAAATTTTTGACGTGTATATGTTGCTGTAACCACTAAAAGCTTAATCACAAAACTTTAAAGCTTTACGAGTTGCGGTAAAAGTTTAGTAACTCTGCTTTTTGCATCTTTGAAAAACCAAACATGAGCAAAGTTTAAGATTGCAAGGTAACTAAGTGCTCTAAATGGCTTATTCAAAAAATCCCCTCAGAGTTAAGCGATATCTGTATGAGATTTGCTCATCACCATACAGTGAATTCCCTTAAAAAGGGCACATTTATCACTTTATAGAAAAAAAACAAACTTAATTTGCATGGCAACAGAGAAGGGGGCTTCCAGAATGCTGGCTTTTGGAATTTTGAGGGTGGGGCCTTAAAGGGACAGAGGCTCAGACAGGTAGTTTCTCAGGATTTGAAAGAAAGTGACCAAAGCTATGAGGGAGTTTAACTGGCAGTTAAACTTCAGTTTAAAGGGAGTTATCGGGAAGTTAGGAATAAGCTTACGGGAGTTATTAAAGGAGTTACATGACGGCTGTTAACATTTAGTTTTTCTTTAACCTTTAACCTTTAAGGATCGGTTTTCATCCGTGTCTTAAATCAGCTGTAAATTACACTAAAAACAATTCTCTGTCATCCAATTTGGTTCTCATCTCTAGGTTACCTTGTTAGGCTTCATTATCCATGAAAATATTGTTTTTAATATTTTTGTTGTGGTCCTCTGGGCCTTCCTTTGTCAGTATACCTCTCACACAGACATCTATACTAAATAGATCTCACATGTCTGGACATGCCTGACATTGTTTTGTGTGCAGGGAAAAACATGGCAAAATGAGAATATCATAAATCTCACATGACTGGAAGAGGATCTTACTGTCAGTGTGGTGCCTGACAGTGCACATATGATTTTAGTTTTTCCTGTGATTATTAGATATTGATCTAACCAGGTCAACAGCAACCCTAACATGACAAGTGTCATAATTTTAATAAGAGCATTTTATAATAAAGTCAATTTAAATTATTTCTTATTTTGTTGAAATAGAGGTTCCTGACAAAGTCAAAGAGTCTTGATGCAAAAAAGCTAATTTAAGTGGTTCTTTTAAGCATTTAAAAACAAAAACGGGTCGGTGCAGAGCCTGACACAGGAGGAGGGATAAGGTAGATTTCTTTCTAACTTCCATTGTCAGGGATCAGGTGAATAAGGTGCAGGTAAAGAGATGTAACTTCTGTCTGAGCTGGACTACATAAATAACCAGTTAAAGTGGCTGGAACCAACTTCAATTTTTTTAGAATAGAGGTGAACATATAATCTGATCAGCTGCATATTTCATAGCAGGTAAAAAAAAAAAAAAAGGGTCCCCAGGTTAACCACCTGATACTGACTCTAGAGGAGTGTTTTTTATTTCTGCAAATGATTATCAGCTCAACCCAATCAACTCAACAGATTTTTATTTGATAGACTTTTAAACACTTTGTACATCTTAAAATCAAACAAAGAACATGTTTTTATATAGACAATTTATTATACAGAGTAAGTACACACAGCAGGAGAAGCTTCAGGATTTCTCTTTATGCTCCTCAGATCACATGCTATGAGCCACATGTTAGCTTAAACCTTTCATATTGTCTGTTGGGGTGCTACATCCATGGAGCCATCATAGAGGTCTCCTTCTGTGCCTGCTGAGAGAAGGATTTCACATTTTAGAGATGGGGTTCAGATTTATGGAAGCACAAGAAAAGTTAAGATGAAAACAAAATCCAAAAACATTAAAAATCATGGTTTCAGTTTTAACCCGTTTTAACCATACTCCTATTCATTTCAAATACAGTAATTTCAGTCACACTTAAAAGAGAGCACCTGAAGTAAATGGCTTCTGAGATCAGAAGAGTACAGTTATTTGCTATCAAGAATCATTACAAGCAGAGATTATAACTTCCAAATGAAAATAAAGTGGTTATACTTCATGATATGGTTGGGTTCCACAAAAGCCAGTATTTGTTTACCTTGTTCAGCTCAGGGAATAGCTCTTGAATGGTGATGTCCAACAGCACATATGTCAACTGACAACAGAAAAAGAGGACTTAAATAGCACAACAAGAAAGACAACCATACTAAATTAAACCTCCAAAGAGTTTTTGTGAACGTGTGTGTTTATGTGTACCTGTTTGTTAAGAACTGGTTGTTGTAGACCGTCAAAGAGGAGCCGCACTCCTTCATATTTGGCCTCTTCTCCGATACATTTCCCCAGGAAATCTAGAGACAGACCAAAGTCGTGTTTAATCCAGCAAACATATAAAAACTGATGTCTTGTCCTCACACGTTTACAATTCAAGAGTTCTGCTTTGCTGTAAATATGCTACAAACTACATGTGTATGAATACCTGGAATATAGGTCATCATCTCCTCAAAAGTCTTCTTGGCCCTTTTCTGCTTGTCCTCAGCTGAGCGGGGTTGACTGCTCTCACAAAAAACAGAGTCTGGAAGGACAAAGATTATGCGCGTTAGTATTTGAGCTTTTTAAATGAGAGGGAGTATGAAAAGATCAACACAACTTACTATACTATCACAGTCAGTCTTCAGTTACTCTGTCGTACCTCTAAGCAGTGTGATGAGAGAGACCAGTCTGTGCTCCTGGACCACATGGTTTAGTTTGTGCTGAAGGTAATAATCAGTGTAAGCTTCCAGAGTGTTTTTGAACAGGATCCTGCCAGTCAGTAGCAGGTGGTGCAGCCAGTCGGGAATGTGGAAGACGACTCGACCTGGAAACATTAAGGAAAAAAGAGAGAAGGTACAATTAGCTCTGTTTTCAGGGCACAGATATGGACTTGTCATGGTGGTGATCTATGGAAGAACAGCAAACCCTATACACAGTACTTAACAAATATATTAGACCACCGTCTAATGTAAGTGTAATGTGAATTAACAGCATCAATAATTACCCAATTCCATCCTTATGTTACTGTAATGGCTAACACATAAATATGTAAAGGCTCTTTAACTGAAGTGATATTTCTGATACTAAAATATAACTATTATTGTTATTCATGATTTTTTAAATTTACAGTTTTACAAAAAAATACAGTAAAGCACATCATTGATTCTTGATCAAGATGTCAAATCATGATTATTTACTTGCATTCCTGATCAGAAGCTTGAGCCAGCTAAAATCTGGGTATAAAAAGGTCAATTCAGTTTGACAGAGTAGCTACTAAAAGCCATCATTGAGGCCTGCAAACATCCTAAAACACCTCAGATTTGCCAGTGTGCACAGACACACGACTGTTGCAGAATGGAAGAGGGTACTGTGGACAGACAAGTCTAAGTTTGATCTTTTTCGGTCAGCATCATCATGTTGATGTCCACAGAAAAGTGGGGGAACATTTTGATGCCAGATGCATCGCACACACAGAGAAACACTGTGGAGATGCCATGGTATAAGATTCCATTTATGGAGACGACTCGGGCAAATTAGCCAGTTTCATGAACGAAACCATCTCAGCGCATCAGGGAGTCCCTACTGGACTAAATCTGATTGGCTGTGGGTTCATATACCTACAACACAATGACTCCAAACACACTTCAAAGCTGTGCAGAGACTATTTGACCAGGAAAGAGGAATTTGGAGTACTAAAACTGGCCAAGTCAAAGACCAGACTTGAATCCTATTAAACAAATTTGGGATTTAAAGCAAGAGAAACTGTCAAAAAAGTTTATAAAAACAGTGAAGTTTTTTTGGTTAATTATGTGTGAAAATTTACTATTTGGTTGTTTCAGTTGGTTATTTGCCAAATACTCAACAATACCATTTCTAGTTTAAAACAAATTTCTGAAAGATTTCCCAAATATTTATGTTTCCTTTTTTTGTGACAGGTGATCTGATAAATTTGTTCAGCACTATACCTCTTCATAGACAATCCTGCACTTTTTGAACACCTCAAGAAGAGCTTGATGTTTTATTCCTATTCTTGACTGAAACACTGTGACAAACTTACTGAAATTGAAAAACCCAGCATACAGCTTCAGTTACGGTGATACATACTGAAAAATCAGTGATTTTTTAGTAATTAGAAAAAGATAACTCACCCACATACATTAGGTAGTCGTACACTCCTTCAACAGTGATCATCTCCATGAAGTAATTCTGGTTGTGCCTCTTCTCAGTTAGCTCAGAGCGGTTGGCATTATTTTTGAAGAGATCATTAAAGAGCTACCAGAGAGAAAAATCACGTCAGTGCCAAAACTGAAGCCCGATTCTGCTCCAAGAGGCTAAAACTTCAAATCGTGTTTATTTTCATGTTTAAGAAGTTTGTAAAGTTCTCCTTCATTTCAAACTTTGTCATCATCCCTGATATGGACAGTCATGTCTCATTAGCCAGGATAGGCTGACTAAACTTGATTAAAAACATTTGAGACCTATTCAGCCTCTGGTAACTTCTCAAGTGAAATTTTCAAAGCCTTTTTTTGCTCAGAATGGAGAGTGCGTATGTCATTGCATGCCAGCAAAGACACACTTTTTGTTTCATGTTATCATGAACTAAATTTGGATGTCATTTCTGACACCTAAACTTGCAGACAGGGAGTGAGGAAGAGAAAAAAAAAAATCCAGACCTAACCTTTTTATCATTTTCTGAAGTGGGGCTCAGGATGGTGAGCTCAGGGCGGCTGGGTTTAGGTTTAGGAGACTCACAGGAGTTGAAGAAGGACTGAATAAAAGGCTCCAGATGCTGCCCTTTCTGACAGAAAACACAGAAAAACATTTTTTAGGGGAAAAATGATAACGTGGTTTCTGAAGGTGTTATATAAAACCCCTAAAATACATTCCTCACCTCTTTTATCAGTTTGCTGGGGACTGATTTGATGATTTTCCCTGTAAAGCAAAAATAAATCCCTTCACTCCAAGTTCCAGGCTGACCAAACATATTATCACAGTGTGTCGTCTATGCTCTGCCATTCAGACAAAATCCATCTCCTTTTTACTGTACCCAGGTTCACATCAGGCAACATCTTGTCCAGGAACTGAGACTCCATACTGTGAGGAGACAGGAAGTCTGCAAGCAGCTGGCTGTTGCTGAGCTCTGGATGCTGCAGAAGTTTCTGCAAAGTAAACACAAATAAGAGCGTCAGTGCCGTGGCTTTTAAAAACATTAGACTTTAAAAGCAAAGATAAATACACAGATTGAGTTTCATATAATCTGATTCTAACAAAATCTCCTGAGTCTTTAAATCAATCTCCAACCATCAAAGTAAACTTATCGTCCAGTGAAATAAAATAGTCCAGAGACTCACAAGTTATTCTGTAATCACTTGATTTGTTTTGCTACTTTGGCTTTTGAGTCAAACCTGTTGTAAATCTCTAAGACTTGACAGCAAAAATTACTTAATCTTCTTAAATATACTGTTAACATTACACAACAAGTATCATCACATGTCACTCTCAAGCCCAAAATCTTATTGGGGTTCTACTTTCTACTTCACTGATATTTATCCACCTCATCAGCTGATTTATAGCGATCTACCTGCTTGAAAACCTGCAGCTGTTAAATTTTCTATCTCTGCACAGAAGACTATTTTGTCACTTTATTTGGCTTTTCTCCAAATTAAACAATCTGTATCGCATGTCTAGAAAGTTTAGTGGTGATGGTTTCGATCTCCTCAGCCATCTACCTGGAGGTATTCCTGGAACTCCTCCCGTTTGGATGTGAGGAACTCGTAATTCTTGGGACCGATTATCCTCTTCGAAGGCAGCTGTGCGTCTGGAAATGAGCCTGCAGAGGGAGTCAGATTTCAGAGAGGAGCGCTGCAAAAACCATTTAAAAACAAGCTTTCTTTCCATGTGTCACATATTAGCCTGACCATTAGGATCCTCACTACAAAAGGATAACTTAAATCAAGGTTCTCTGAAGTCCTGAAATCTGTTGTACGATTTTAGAGAGTTATTTCTTATTAAGAGAAAACCCCACAGAGCACAGACCGAGGTGAACGAAGCAAAGTAGAAATCCTACCGTGAAACTCTGTGAGCTTTGATTCAAGGACATAAAACTCCAGATATCTTCTGTACACGGACCAGTGCTCAGTCTCATGTCCCACTGCAAACAAACACAAACAGGAAAAACACACAGAAAACAACATGAAATAAAAGTGGATATTGTTTGAGACTTTGAGGACCCAAGATGGAGAACTAAAAACCCAATAGAGTGGAAACAGAAACTGGATGAGACAATTCAGGCAGTAAAAGAAGGTAACTGAAGTAGGAATAAATTAAAATATTGAAGGAAATAAAAGAAATGTAAAGAGGTACAAAAAGCAGTTACAAAATTTAATGTAATAAACCACATAACAGTTCAAATAAATGACAGGAATTAAATCAAGGATACATAACAGCTGTAAAAGCAGTAAAATAAGCAAAGTAATAAAAAGAAATGAGGTAAAAATGGAGAGTAAAACCACTGGAAGAATGACAAGTACACGGTTTTCTTTCACAAGATAAGACAGGACAAAAAAAGAGAGGAGGACAAAAAGAAAAAAGACAATAAAGGAATAAAAGATTAAATTGTGTGTTGGCTAAGAAAAAACATCAACGTCATTGATAAACTCTAGCCGGTGCCCACATACTCACGCTTTTGTGTCAAATTGAAATTTTTTTTTAAAATTTGTTTTAGCTTAACACAAGACTTGAACTGTGGGTGAATCCAGTAAAAAAGAACATTAGCAGCGACATGTTTCTTTTTCAAGTAGTAGTCGCACAATGACAGGATCTTCTTTTTCACTTTAAACCAAAATATTTCAAAGCGTCTTTAGCGAACACTGATTTTTTTCAAGGTCTTGTATAGCTGAGTTTGAGTAACTTAGTTTTATCTTCACACTTTACTACTGAGCAGTGTTTACTTACACACATCTACAGTATATATTGTCATTGATATACAGGTGCACTAAAGGTGGGGAAACGAGGTAATCCAGGCTTTGGCTTTTTGTGGGTTGAATCCTTTCTTTGATTGCATAACTATGTCAAACAGAACAATAAGAACTCACTGTAAGAAGATGTCACAGAGGGAGAGAGAGAGAGAGTAAGAGAGAGAGAGAGAGAGAGAGAGGACAGGGCTGCAGAGTCTTACCTGCTTTCCGGTCATTGCGCTCTACATCAATACAGAACACAGGAATCCTCTCCCTCTTCACGTCATCGTCATAAAAATCAATGTACGGGATGGTGATGTTCCAGGCTGAGAGGTTTCGGGGTGTACTGGGGGTGGAAGCGGCCTCCATGGGGGAGTCATCCTCCAGCACCATCATGGCTTCCTCCACCTTTAATGAGGGGAGTGACAGAAAGGATACAGACAAGTAGCACCAGAGGAGACATTGGCTCACGGACAAACACCTTTGTTTATAGACAATAGGGAATTGAACTAAATTCAAATTCTGTTGGTTTGATACTTATTTACTTTCATTGCTCTAAGATTGTGTGTCGTCACTTTGTCGCTCACATACATGCACTAAACAAATGCAGAACAAACCTCATTTTAAAAATGAGATTCCAGATATATTTCCCAATGTCAAACTAACTTTTTCACTTCACCGACTGAAGATGACGGTCAATATATAACATAACAATAGTTTCCATATAATGAAATCCTGATGCTGCAAATGGACATTCAGCATGTGACGCATCCAAATATATTTAATTAGTAAACATCAAAATTCATACCAAGAACAAAGGTAACAACATTCATAGAGAACTAAAATGTGTGATATCTATATGGAAAACTCTAACGTGCACACAGCGGGCAGTGTGGCTTTCCTTTCGTTATTCACCAACACCCCCAAGTGGTTACTGCAGCAGTAGTACAGAGAAGCACTCGGTTTTCACTGGACTTTTTGCAGTTGCACGCTTTGTTCTGGTGAAATAGTAAAAAGTAACATTGAAAAAAAAATTATACGTCTTTTTAGAGCTTACATGCATTATTCATCAGACGACAGACACACCGGGTAATTTGCACCACTTTTTTCAGACAACAGTATTCTGCTCTGACTCGACTACAAAAGCTGGAAGTTGTTTTAAAATGTGTTTTTTGAATATTCTAAATCAGCCTCACCATATCGTCTTCCCCCTCCACCAGCCCGTAGGAGGGCAGCATGGCCCCCTCCATGGTTGTGCTCTTGAACACTCCTTTGATCTTGCTGCCAATGCGGCTGATCCCAAAGGACTCGCCCCTCTTTGACGTGTTCCTGTAGGCCATACAGGGAGCTTATTAGACAATGCATGAAGGAGGAGGTGCGCATGGCTTCATCAAAGCGCATGCAGCCTGAGAGATGTGACAGGAGAGGAACTGTAGAGGGAGGAGAGAGGAGCTGCGATCTGCATAAATATCATGACTGTACAATGGAGGGGGGAAAAAAAGCTAAGGTAGCCAAACCCAAAGCCAAGACGACACTTCACAGCCATCTCACAATGAAATGCCTGGGTTGTTGTTTACAGCAGCGGGGCCAGAAGCAGACACAGCACACAACAGTGATTTCATGAACAGATGTCAAGTTTGGGGACAGAAAATTCCAGCTGGGAAAGTCACAACCTCCCAGGTGTACTGTGGGAGTGTCTGTTGGATCCGGTGAGATAGAAATCACTCTATAAACCATGATGATATACTATTAAACTGGGCATTAAAAAGTCACTGCACTCTTAACAAAAGCAGGTCTTAAGCTTAAACAAACTGACAGTGTTAGAGGACAGACGCACAATAAATCAAAACAGGGCCTCATGCATTGGTCCCACCATGCAGGCTTCTGGCAGGGACCCGGGTTACAACGGAAACTGGACAGCATGACATCACACTGAGTGACCTGTGACACACGGATGGACCCTGACTTACTTGGGTGATGGGTGGCGGTGGGATAGCGAGCCGTATGGTAAGGTTGTGAACGTGGACTGGGCATGGAGGGAGTTAAAAGATGCAGGTGAAGAGCTGCCAGAGGTGGTGAACAGTGAGGACGGGGACTCGGGGCTCCAGTCCCAGGAACTATAAGCAGAACAGGGTCACGTCCCACGGGTAAGAGGAGGGAGAGGGCCGTGGATCATACCAGGGTGGGCAGTATGGTGGTTACAGAATCAGAGTGGACACACAGTCACAGACACAGCACGGTGGAGGCAATACAGAGATGGAGTAGGGGGGGGCGGACAGACGGGCAGAGTGGAGGAGGGGGGTGTGGTTACTGAACTGCAGACATGGAGGGAGTTGAGGTTTGTGGTTGGTTGTTCTTTTATGAATGGATTGCCTGTAAGAGCTTTTTAGCTACGACTATTTTTGCCCTTTTTTGTGCTGCTTTAAAAACCGCCTTCAAAATAAGAGCCCTTAATTTACTACAATAACAAACAACTCAACCCTCTTCCTTCCTGAGGGTCCACTGCTAAATTTTTCAAACAAGCAAACCAAATTAAGAGGGAAAAAAAATCTGTTAATTTCTTATTAATTGTAGCCCAGACTAATCTAGAGTTATCCCCTGATTAGCTTCATAGAAACATTATCAATGATGACTTATGCACTAAGCTGATTGAGGTCACATTATCTTATTTTCATTCACAGCACAGGCACAAATAAAACACCTATTTAGTGGTGAGATTCGATTAACCAAAAATTAAACCTCATTATCGTCGTCTTATCAGCTTGTGCTCACTGAACTGAAGCCCTGATTGCAGGTGGCAGTGAGCACGGATCATCTGTAATAAAAAGCAGCACATGGTTCCTCTGTAGCCAGGCGAGAATGACGTGTTGTTTGTAAGTCGCGTGCAGCAGCACTACTCAGCCAGCCACTGTTGTTTTTTTTTTGTTTTGTTTTTTTTCTTTTCAATCAGCAAACACTGATGCCTTATACTCACCGGATGTCATCCATACTGAGGCTATTTCTGGAACAATATGCACAAGGAGTTAGTGGCAGGGCCCCAATGGCCACATACACACCGCACCCCGAAACAGAAACATGGGGGGCCGTAAATGGACTCAAGTCACCTTACTTCTAACTTCAATTTTAGACACTAATGACTGAAATACTCATATTTTCTTTTCTTTTTTTAACAGTAGCTTACTTAAGGCTTTAAAACACACGTTTATTTGGTGCAGCTGATGCTCTGCCTTCATGCTGCAGTTGTTCTCAGGATAGTGTCATAAACATTAAAAAAATAATCATAGTTATGAGTGAAATTCAAAGAAAATAAAGAAACTTGGTGGGTGCGTGTGGATGCACACAGATCAATCAATGCTGAGATAAATAAACTACCAGTGAGACATTTGGTGTTGATTTGCTTTTGCTGAGTACATTATCAATACATCACCACCACAAATAGCTATACTTATGATCACTATTGTCAATTTTCTCTTTAGTTACATCTTAACTCATGAATTAGTGAAGTGACACCTACCTGCTCATCTTGGAGTTCCTAGCAGGGGACTCGGCCCCTCTAAGAAGCTGGCGGAAATACTGCAGAGCAATGTGGGAAAAGCATAACATGAGTAAATTTCAGGGCAAACACAGCAAACTCTTATGCGAAGGACACATTCTGTTATATTTTGAAGTGACCACTTCATGCCTCTCTGAAAAGCACTGCTACACAGTTTATTTTTGAGCCATAAAAAAATAACAAAATTCTCCAGATACACTGCAGGGCTGTGGCCCGCTGTGGACAATGACTACGCTCTGGTCCACCCAGCTGTATTCAATGAAACACTCTCTGAGGGGTGAAATTCGGCTTGGCAGCTTGGCTTTACGCCAGTGCCGGCTCATTGGCCAGTTGCGCTTGTGGTATTGATGACATGGCCGAAAGTGGTTGGTGGCTGAGAGATCGGAAGACAATAGCGCAAGAGAAATGGAATAAAATAAGTTTGCTCCAGACACAACCGGCTGAGGATATTAACATTCATCCTATGCCGAACACAACAGCACCATTCTGAAATGACTCTATTTGGAGAAACAGCCTAAGAAGCAGATGAGACTAATCGAGTTTCTGCAACTCTTTGCTAAGCTGGAAGATAGCAAGTTCAGTGATTTATTTATGGCGTAGACGCTTACCTCATCGCTGTGACAAAACATAGGGGTGAAGACGTTCTCCAGGAGGGACAGGACGTGCTCGTAGGCTTCGAACAAACACCTCATCGTCTGCAGTTTCACCACGTCTGCATACGGACCCTCTGCAACTAACAATCAAAAGAAAAATCATACACACACTTTACATCCATCTTAAAGAAACTGTCATTTTAGTGTATCTGGGAAGATGCTCATTACATACTGTTGCGTATTTCCTCCACTATGAAGGGGTCAAAGCGGATCTTATCGATGCTCTCATCCAGACAGTAGGTCTCATAAATCTTCTTTACTTCCTCGTGAAGCAATATCTTCTCAGAGTCAGACAGCTCTGGGCACAGTATCCTGTCATTGAATTCCTCTGAAATTTTAAAAGCCAAATAGCTTGTTTCTTATACTGTCTTATACATGAGTGAATTTTAAGAGATTTCCCCAGCATGGCTTGGAGCTATTTTCACAAGATATTTCGAAAAGCCTCAAATAAAAACAGAAGAGAGGTCACTTATTTAAAAAAAGCATTTACATTTTAAAATTTCATCTTACAATGTTTTTCAGGTGATGTTATCTCAGTAAAACTCTGTTTTGCTCAGGTGTCTTTAACTTCCAAGTTTGGCACATGCTCACCAACTGCGAGGCAGAACTGGAGTACATGGACGGCCCCTTCTTGCTTCAGGAAGTTCATGAAACGGAACAGAAGGTCCTGTTGTTCTCTGATTTCCTTCAACTCGAGCTTCAGCACCTGATGAAACACGGAAACATGATCGAGAGAGGCGGCGACTTTCATGTGTCCTTCATCTAACTCCTTGTTTAATCTACGTAGACCTGACACCCTGACTGTATACAATGATTACTAAGTATGGTATTACATGCAGATCATGCTGAGTGTGCTCCTTTTAATCACATGATACACTTACAGAGGCCTTTTTGTTGCGTATATCGGAGTACTTCTGAAGGAAAGGGACCAGCGTTGAGGAGGGCTCTGTGGCTACTTCAGGCTGGATAAAAACATCACTATTTTATTCACTTGTTGGGTAAATGCCAGTACACTCTACTTAAAGACTTCACATTGCATTGCTTTTGAATAACAGCTCGAAATAGAGTATACTCACAGGGGAATTGTCGATGAATATCAAGAGTAAATGATTCACTGTGTCCTATAAAATTAAAGCAGCAATTAAAACAACAAAACTACCAAATCAAATAGATCTGTAGACTGAAATAATGTCTCAATAGAAGGTTTAAAGTGGAGAAAAAAGATTTGGTTTTGGGGAAAAAATGGCTGATAATGTGTCTACACTCACAGGATCAGCAAGGTAGTCCAATGAAGGAAGGAAGACAGAACCAGCCAAGACTTCTCTTATGAGGAGAGTAAGAGATCTGAGAGATAGCAGCAGGAAAAAAAGACAAAAAAGAGAAGAAAGAAGGATCCTTATCTATGCTAGTTTGTGTCAGTGCAGAAGTTAGGATGTTTTGTTTCACATCTGCAGACACTGTTACCTGCAGTCTGTAGCTTTTGGTGGTAAGATGTAAGGAAAGAGCATCTCAGTCAGCTTCCTGAGGTAGAGGAGCTCATCTCTACGACTGCGAAGGGCCACATGCAGGTCAGGACCATATTCCTCTAGAGCAGCTGGTTGAAGAAACTCTGTATTCTTCACTACAGGGGAGAGAGGGACACAGAGAGGAGTCTTATATTTCTTTTCACAGAGAACACAAAGAAAAGACTCAGTGGATTAGGAAGATAAGCCGCACCTTTCTGTCTCGCTTTGCTAATGATTTCAATGTGCTTCATGGAAACTTTAAGAAGCTTTTTTGTGATGAGGGATGCCACGTCTACCTGAAAGGTAGGAGAAGTGTGTTAGAAATTTAGGCCTAAATCAATCAGTATCCAAAGATTTGACCTCTTTAGAGTAACTTCATTTTACTTTCTGTGTTCGGCGGACCAACACAGCAGCGAAGAAACGTAAAGTCACTCTTAACTCATCAACAAACGCCTCATCGTCAGTGATGTCTCTGAACAGAAGCACAATACAGTCACATCAGTCACAAGACACAACAAATGCCAAATTAAATCTGTCTTACAAAGTACAAAAATAATTAGCTTTACCTATACCATGGATGGACAAAATTTTCCAGAACTAGCTCCAGAATCTTGAAAACAAACATAAAAAAGAGATGTATTATTGGAAAATATAGATATTTAACAACCATTTTCAAAATCATGCGCATTTCTTACCTCTGAAAGTGAAGCGTCTACTTTGGAGGGGACTTTGAGATCAAGCCATGGTTGATAGTTTTCCAGTAATAAAGTAGGCCTAGGAATAAATTAAGAGAACAAAATCAAGCAACACTGGTGTATAATAGTATAATGTAAAGAAGAATATTGTCTAACCACTAGATGGCAGTGTAGGATCATATATTGCTTAATAAACAGGTATTTCACAGTGCAAGATCAAATGCATGTTGGCAAAACATATCTGATAAAACAAAGGCAGGATTACACATGACCTTTACTTTGTTGGTATCAGTAATCACAGTTTATCTAGATTATCGGGTCATACTATAACATGGTAAAACCACTCCCACCACAAATTATTTCACCTGTGCCTCTTGCATTTGATATTCCCACAGACAGCACAGCTATGGCCCAGTGGAAATAGCTCTTGTTGGTATGTCTGCAAAAGAGAGGTTACATATAACAAATAATCAGCTCACACATTAATCATACCCATCATTCAATGCAGCAAGAAAAAACTTAAATTATGAGTATGGAGTGCCTCATTTATTGAATATCAGTGCATCAAACTGTATTTAATGTTTATTATTATCACTGTCCACTCTCACTCATAGAGCTTGGGTATTCAAGAAATCTATAACACAAAATGACATACCTGAGTCATTCTACAATTAGGGGTACATTTCAAGTCAACCAAAAACTCAAAATATCAGTATTCTTTTTTGATAAATAAACTAGATGTTTCTATGATATACACCCTTAATGCGCTAAATAAGTTAATGGCAAGCTTAAGCTCAAATGACTTAAATTATTTTAATGAAAATAAACATTTGATTAATCATTTTGTCAACTGTGTTACGGACAAATGTTGTGTCATATATAAAAAAATATATATAGAAAATACTAAAGATTTGATAACACATTTGTTTGAAAGTGTTTGAGTCTATACGCTTGGGGTTTTGAGTTTATCTGTCCAACTGATTTAAAAATGTGAATTTTGAGCTTCACACTGGTGATGTTATGGGATACTATGATGTAGAATGCATTAATTGGCCCACCTTTATCTTTGGTTTGATTGAAAGGAAGATGTTGGGCAGTAGAGACTCAGGTCCCAGAGAACAGTAGAAAGTGATGACTCCAGCCAGGAAGGACCAGAAAACCATGATAATATGAATATATCTACCAAAACAGAAATAACATGCTGAAATCAGTGAGATCATGTCTAAGCATGTCAAGGAATAGATTGGAAATGTTTGAGGTTTACACTGATAGAGTTGTAATTCATGGTTTGTTACCTGTTTAGAAGCAAAGTGGACAGCAGCAGGACCAGCAGCAGAAAGCAGAAGACTGGATACTGTCGCCCCAGCTCTCTGAACCGCTCCAGCTTCGTCCTGTGTCTTATTCTCCGTAGAAAAGCTGTGATGCATCCCATCTTGGCTGGTGTGGGAGCCACGTTACACGTAGCCTACTCAATACGGCTGTAAACAACACAGAATGGCTGCCTCAAAATGAGCAAAATTACAGATCAACCCAAAACCATTTGATTTTTCTCACCCATCCCATGCAGGTTGCAGTGATTTACTCAATGCGCCCTTGCACTTACTGTTAATGTACGGTGGATGTTTTGGGCCATTTTTCTCTGTGGTCCTGTTGCGACACCATCATGATTTTGCAAAATATAAATACGAAGGCTTGCGTGTCTGTAGGATTAGCGTGGGAGAGGCGGTGCGCCGTACACAGCTGTACACCACAGCGAGATTAGAGTTAATTACACAGCATCGTTTCTGGATGGCTCGTCTTTTAACTCAGACGCCGCTTGGCTTTAATGGCTGCACGGCTCCGGGCTGTCATTTCGGGTCCATGGAGGGGCAGCGGTCGTTGCCTGGTCGTCGGCGCTGGAGACGCATGATGTCACCTCCGCTACGCCTCACAACCGCAGCCCGTTTACACTGGCTACTGTAGTCCTCAGACCAACCAGAAGCTGTATGAGCTCCATATTGCTTTAGTTAATCAAAAAAAGATTACAAATACGAGTCCGATATTGCAGTGACCGCCTCCTTCGCAACAGTTTTCCTCTCTAATATAATAATCGAGGTGGATCTCCATAAAACTCACACGGAATTTCAGCAGTTACCATGGTTACTGTAAAGCATAACTGTGATTTTTGATGGTATCTTCAAAAAGCAAAATGCAGGTAACATATGTTGACTGTGGGTAGGAGAAAAGTTCGATTCACTAAAGTATCGCGGTTTTTTGTTTTACAATTTTTTTTTTTTCAAATTTAGGGATAAATCTTAAAAACTCACTTATATGTGATATGTATTTTAGGGGAAATATGGTTCCTGGAATAGTCAGTAGACAGTCATAATCATTCATCTGCTTCACTGTTGTTAAAAATGCAGACTGAATATCAAGAAAATCAACAATATCGTGGAATTGCAATTTAAATCCATTTGGCATCCAAAAAATCATTGAAGAATCGAATCAGGAGGAAAGCATATCGTCCCAGCCCTAATGTTGACCCACTTTCAACGTGTTTCTATTTGCTGTATTTTTCACTCTTTAACAAGACATGATATCCACCTGCCATCGTTTACAAGGAGACTTCACAGTTTGCTAAAATTGCCATTTTATCCCAGCCTTGGATGTGCTCTTCAACAGTGAGACCACTGTAAATCATGTTTTTTAAGAGTCCTCTGTTTGCTGCTACAAGGAGGGAGTGTATTTGCATTTGAAGGCCCTGAGTGTTTTATTTAGGTCAGCCTTACATTGCCTTCAGGTCTTCCATACTGAACTTAAAATAGACTGTTTTCATGACTGTCTTAACAGGGTGAGCAAAGTAAGTTTTCCTGATCAGTTTTTATCACACTTTCACATGTAAACTGCAGTGGGTTTAATTCACTATTCAGTTTCAATACTGTTACTGTGTTGGTAATGTTCACCTTTCTTAGTGCATACAATCATTTTTTTTTGCGATACAGTACATTCAAAAGAAAAATGGGAAGTTTCAAGAAATACCTGACATCAAACGGAATCAAACACAAGCCAATTTGTATCTCATCAAGATTTTATCGAAAGAGTAAGACACAGATAGAAATCAAAAACTTTATTACAAAAATAAGTTACACTCACCTCCATTTTACAGTATAAAACAATTTATTTGCAGGAATGCAAAAAACGTTGTTGGCCACCAACAATAGTTTAAAACTGCTAACATCTTTTTTTCAAAAGGTGGTTGTTATGATTTTATTGAGGGAGTTAACTGTATAGAAAACTGGGATTGAAGAGCAGTTTCCTTTATGCTATACCCGGAAATAGAAATCATTCACTGCAGTATCCCTTCTACCACTAGATGACTATGATCCCTCACCAAATCCCAGCAGCTAATGTTAGGCACACATGCTCCGTGGTTGAGCAATATGGCAATTCAGTCATCCGTCAAGATTAACTTGAAAGATCTTCTACAGGATTGCTGTCTTCAGAGATGGGAAGGGATCATTTCAGAATAACATGATTTTTTTTAGATGTTGTATCCGACTAGGTTGTTTTACATTATTCAGTTGTTGTTTGAAAATGTGTTGTATCAAGAGAAAAAAAACAAACCCAATGGAATAATACAGTGGCACAAAAGGGACACTGCAGGGCTTTATTTTTTGTTTTACTTTTTTTAAATCAAAGGCAGTTGGATGCCTCTGATTTTAAGCCTTTACAAAAGTAACATTTTATCCGAAAAACTATACAACCAGTAACTACATACTCTGAAGAAGCAAGGCGGCTAATTCAGTTCAAAATAGGATAAAAGCAGGGCTTGTTCAGACTCATCTTATGAGATTGTTTTGCATGCCCAGTTTGACTGTTTGCAGTGTCAGAGCTGCAGCTAAAATGACTATATTACATTAAGTACATCGTTTTTGCGCTGCAGCTCTTGTGCATATTTTGTTTAAAAACAAGCCCTGCTTTCATCAATATAGTTTCCCTATTTACAGTACAGGCCGGGTAGTTTAGTCCTCTGTACTGAGGTAGTCAACCAACCCTTTAAAGACAAGTTCTGAAAAGAACCACTTCCTGGAATGCCTGACTTATCCATGCCAGGTGGGTACACCCTAAAACCTGCAAATGTTCTCTGTCAAACATCCAGATCAAACGATTAAGATTGGACATGGATATTCCGACAATAAAAATTGCGATTAGCACAAAAATATACAATAGCATCAAGCTCTTTTGAGCCACTTCAAACCTAAAAACTTAAAAAGTGCAAATTCTTCAATAATTATTTAAAAATGGCATGTTCAGGGACAGGGAAGGGGGAGATTGTAAGGGCAATACACAGCTCTGAGTATCAGAGGCTGGGTATAGGGGGTAGGGCAAATAGGCTATGGTGATTTAAAATCATCCATCTTTTTTTTTTAAGGTGGCAGTTTCAGAAAAAATAAAAATAAAAAAGGGGGCAGGGAGGGGATGCTTCTTCTGTAAGGCTGGAATTTCATTGGACCTTTTTTTTTGTTGCGCTCTTTTTTTTTTTTCTTTTAACATCCATTGCAGCTTACGGTGTAACCCCACACATCAAGTCAGTATCCACTGTGACAGGTCAGGACCGCCCTCGACCCCGTTTCCCTGCTGAACCAATAAAGAGAGAGAAAATCAGTACCGAAAAAGAAAGCCCAATACACACCCACACATTTTCCATCAATATCAGCGATTACAGCCCGATTTCCAAGAATTAAGCTCATGAATTCAAAGAGACTTTTGATTTGAAATGGTTTTGTAACAAGTGTTGAATTTGACTGCTTTCTTAACAATGGAGTTCTTTGTGAGTGACCTTTGCCTGCTGGCAAACATGCTATCATGCTGATGACACCTGTGCAGAGATTAGATACGAGGGCAATCAGCAGGTTCAGGTTTTGTGGATGCTTCCCTAATTTATGACCAAAACCCTTTCTAAAATTCCCATGAATGCTCCAAAAGCAGTCCTTAACTTTCAGTTTTCTGACTTAAACTGTCTCCTGTTTGCAAAGCTTTTGATTCTCCAGCATCTGAACTGAGCAAATTTACAACTGACAAAAATACGCAGGTTTTAAGAACTGAATTCAGAACCAGGCAACAAATGACTACAGGCACAAAATCAAGAGTTATTTTTCGCCTGTTAGCAGCATTTATCTAAAGTGTGGGACAATGGGACTGACCTTGTTTATTTTCCATTTAATTTTGCAGACTAACGTACAAAACTTCTGTCCGCACCTCTGCTTGTTCCAGGGCCTCCTCGCTGGGAAAAGCCCAGTCGGCCCCTTGGTGTGATGGAACCACGGCCCCTGGTCTGAGTGGCACTGCCACGAACTCCACCTCTCCCTCCTCGGCCTCTCCCAGACCCCTGGAAGTCGTCGTAGCCATAGTATGGGTCGTCATAGCCGCCCCGATAGTTGTGGTAGTCGTATCCATAGTAATCGTAATAGTCTTCATAGCCGTAGTAGTCAGGGGGGTAAGAATAACCTCCCCGCCCTCCTCGACCGCGGCCTCTGGTGGGTGGTGGCATGTGCGGAGGCCCATAGTAATAGTAATCGTCATACCTGATTGAGGATTCAGATGCATTGTAAAGTTGGCTTTCTGCTTCACGTTCAGTTTCATTTGATGGATGTTAAAAAGACTTCACTTGGAGTGTATTGTCTTACATTTGTGTTTTTGCGGCTTGTCTCTGGGCCTTGCGCTCTTTCCTCTTCTGGTCTGGGGGCTTGGCGAAGACGATTTCAATGTGCTCTCCCTCAAGGTCTTTGCCATTCAGATCAGCCAAAGCCTGGTGAATAAATACAGAGAGTAACATTCAAGTGAATTTAAGGTTTTAGTTTGTAATAAATGCCTTCCATGTTACTTTATGGCTTTTTTCCTCTTACCTTCACAGCACCATCTCTTTCTTCAAAGTGGATAAAGGCATAGTCTTTCAATTTTTTCACCCGCTCCAGCTTCCCAAACTGACTGAAGGTCTTTTCAAGTATCTCCTCTGTGACAGTGCTCGCTAAGTTCCTCACAAAAAGCACCTTGACCTGATAAGACACAAAGCCACATTTTGGTTTGATTTTTTTTGGAAGAGAGCAACAAACAAAACTGCAGGAGACGGTTTAATATCACAAATACAGATGGCACCTGTCCCTTACCTTTGCCATGACCTCTGGGTCAGGGTCCTCGATGGGATCAGCCCACTCCACGGTGACCACGTTACCCCACACCTTAACCTTGCCGCTCATCAGCCGGCGGCGGGCCTGAGCTGCTGTCTTGTGGTCTTCATACTCCAAGAAGCAAAAGCCCCGATTCTTCTTCTTATCATCAGGCTGGTGGTACAATATGACATCATTTAGACCCTCTGCAAAGACAAGCGGGAGGGGGAAAGTGGACAGTCGCATTAATGGCAGATTAACAAATCCACCTGTACAAACATGGAAAGGACCAAGTTTTGACACCTAACTGTGAAAGAAAACAGAGCTCTCTTTTTAGTGCCCAGTCAGATCTTAGCGGTAAACCATCAAAGTAACATGAGTCACTCCAGCATAGTAATAAGGTCATCATTGGGACACTAATGAGGACAACTTCAAACATGTCTTCACTTTTTAACATTCACTCTTCACCCACGGATTTTCTCGCTATATCTATCAGAGAATTTAAGCAAAGTTAACTCATAAGCAAAAACTCAGATACATGTGGGAGTGAAGTAAATAAATATTACACCGAGTGTGATGTGATAGAGAATTCTGAGGATGTTTGCTGACTCACCTGTGACTTTTGCAAATTCTTCAACAATCTGCTCTTTTGTTTTACTCTTGGGGATGGAGCCAACAAACAGTCTATTATTGGCCACAGAGATGCACACACCGATGTGTTTACCTGGTCGAATTTCACTGTTGTTGCACTATTGAAGAAGAGAGGACAATGCAAATAACAGAGGAGAAAAAAAACATGAGAAACACATTGTAGTCTTCGGAAATTTGTGTCGGTATCCACACATGTATTTCTTCAAACTCGACTCAACTAACTTTCCAAACATTATGTCCAACAATAACTTTATTTGACTGTCAGCTGAATTTTTTAACCAATCCAAAACCCCCTGTCCCGTCCCGCTCGTACTTGCAGGAGACTAAGCGTACCAATTTGACAGCCTGCTGTGCAGCTTCTTTAGTGCAGAAAGTGACAAAGGCGTAGCCTCTGTTCAGGCCACTGAGAGGATCCATCATCAGGCGGAGGTCCCAGATAGGGCCGGCTTTCTCAAACAGTGGAACCAGCTCATCCTCAAAAAGGTCTCTGGGGATTTTGCCTACAAATATCTGCCAGGTGGAGAGGAGAGAAAGGAAGTGGGTAAGAACAACTCTTTCAGACATTAACAACAATTAAGATAAATGAAGGTATCCAGTCAGCTCTTAGCGGTAAACTATCAGTGTAACCATAGTTACTATAGAGGACAATAAAAATTCATCATTTGGACACCAGATTTAAAGTTAAAGCTCTTTGCTCCCAACTGTAAGCTCCCCCAAAAGCTCCATCACCGACGCATTGATAAGTTTACTGAGTACAGTGGAGTGACGGATTTGTACCTCTGTACCGATGGTGGGCTGTGCCCCCGAGTGGGCGGACTCTGGTGGCGGACCCCCATATTTTCTTTGACCAGTTGTCACATCGAGTGTATAGCCAGTCCTCTCCAGCAAAGCCTGATCATCAGAAAACATTGAAAATCAAATAAAGATACACTGGAACAGGGAAAAAAAGCACTCACGACCAGATACAATCAAACTTTTAATGGACCGGTCCTCACTTTGATTTTGGCTTCATCTGGTCCTTTATTGGTGTCTGACACTTTGGTCCCTTGTTTCTCTCTCTGTCTGAACGTCTTCATCACGCCACAAAGAAAGGCACTTTTGTTCTGTGAAACACAAAATGGCAAACAGAAATTACAACAACATCATGACCACAACTTCTGATTCTTGGCTCCACACAGGTTATGAGACCGGGGTGTGTCAATCGCGTCTCAGGGACATTGGCTAGTTCTCAAACTCAGTCCGATCTGATCCTTTTTTAAATGTTGACTGTCACGCAAGTGTTGAAACTTCAGCCTCAAGGGTTAGCTATATCTCTCCTGGGTTAGCTACCTGTATGAGCAGACACTGAGGCCTGCCTGCAGCAAAACACCGCTCATTATTTAATAACAGGAAAAGGCTGTAGGGGCTGTTTGTTTGACTCTGTTTACATAATTCATATACACTTTTTTTCATTACAGCAAACCCAGAAACGTGCTGTTGAGTTTTTTCTTGGCTTTTTTCTTTTAAACTTTTTTACTTTGAAAATATGAGGAATAAGCCTCAAGGCTCTTATTTTTGTTTTTTTGAACTGCAGAGCTTTAAATTCTCAAGGATATACAGTGTAATGATTTTAATGACCTACATGAACTTGGAGCTTTTGCTGTGCAGATGCCTTGACCAGGAAAATCCAAAATTTGGAACATGAATATCAAACTCTTAATTGGAACATAGATAGAAAAAAAAAACCTACACACCTCCACTAATAAAACATCAGCCAGTATAAAACGCCCTAAACATCCACTCTTCACAAAGGCATCAGAAATGAAGGATGCAAGTTACACAACACCTGCATGACCATACCTGAACATGTGAGAGGTCACTGTCCTTGAATTGCAAAAGGACTTGTAGAGCACCTTCCACCTGGAATTCTTTCAGGGCGTCAATCGCTCGATCATCTAAGTCACTGTGTGACACTAAACCTGAAGAGGGGAGGACAGAGACAGAGAGAAAAGTGAGTTACAAAGGAGCAACATGACAAAGTTTTCAGATCTACTATGATGGTGCTGATGTGCAGAAATTGGAGTACAACTTAAAAGATGGAGAAGCACATAATGTAGGTCACTGTGCGAAACAAATCCTTCAAACTATGAAATGGATAAATAATCACAACCAGAATATGGAGTGAGGGGCAGGAACTTTTTAATTTGAAGGAGCTGTATCAGTAGTCAGGCTGCACTTTACTCTCCAACCAGCACATTTTTGCAGAACTAATCACAACAGATGTGACAGTGCAACTCGATATGCCAGTGCCACTCTATACTGTGGCTGGGAGTTTCTAATGAGCCGGTCTGCGTTGGCCCCTCTGTGGAGGGGCCATCACCTGTCCCAGGCAGCCACACACCAGACAGCTGCTGCCATTGTTTCTGCCTCAGCCCCATCTGGCTGAAAAGGCCAGACTAGTACTTTTCTAGATCTGACCCAACCAAATAAGTCCTAAAATGACCCCCAAACTCTGGAAGTGTGGCTCACTCCATGGAAGTTTTCAAAGATCTAACCAAAGAAAGAGACACTTAAGCTGTTGCTGACATTACGGTAGAACCAATTCATCCCTCTGCAACCCTTTATGAGTTGCAGAGAAACTGCATAGAAATGAACAGAGAGACCGGACAGGCTCACCAAGACACTCCCAGGGAGAGGACAATTGATTAGCCCTGACACCAGTGATGATACAACCATGTAGGGAATGCAAATGCTGCAATCATTTACACATTTTCATACTGGTAATGTGTAATTTTATATTTTGTAGCACTGCAGTACCCATTTTGGTAGGAAACCACAAAAAGTTGCTTCAGGATCCCAATTCCCCCGTTTAAAATGTGATAAAATGACAGTACATGCAAGAAATTGATAAAACATAGAAAATTGCATATTTGAATATGCAAGTATATTCATTGTGCCTTACCTGCTATGAAAATTTCATCTAGTTTTTCAGCAACTTTCTGTGGTAAACCAGCCTCTAATAAAGTCTGGAAGTGCTCAGAATGGGTAACTGCAGCAGAGGTGTCCATTGGTTCTTCTGGACCATTTCCATTAATATGTTCTGTGGCCATGTCTCCAGAAATCTGTGTAAATGCAATGAGCCAAATTAATCCTGGGTCAAGGGCAAGACTTGGTATGTGTTCAGGAGAGTGCAAAGTCTCAGAGTTGCATGGTCAAAGATGTCTGGCCACTTCATGATCTTGGAAACAGAATGATTTCATGTTAACAGGCACAAAATATCAACAAATTGGAAAAGTCAATATGCGCAAAACAAGATACGGTTGTGGTTTGGATTTGTGGTCTGGAGACTTTTCACTATCCTGAATATCACTTTCAGCTCTCAGCTTGTATGAGGAGAAGCTAAGAGCAGCTAAGACACCTGTGTACAGGCAGTTGACAGATGTTCAGCACTGTTCTGTGCAAAAGACAGACAATGCAACCACCCCTGATAAATATACGGAATTAGATCCTAGAACAGAAAACAACCGAGTTTGTATTCACGTGACAGTGTTTCCCCCTCTTCTCTGCGCTAAGCTATGAAGTTTGTGCAAATGACAAGCCAGGTTCATTTGCTCTATCACAGCCCTCTTGGTCGTTTGAGGAGATCGTCTTCATTGGTCTCTAAATTACATGTTAGCTTACCTTCTCTCTGCTGACTTCAGCACAGGCTGGAGAGCCGATACACGTGTTCCAGCAGAGAGTAAGACCGGGTTTCCGGTGACTGACCAATGACCAAGTATGCACCATTTAGCATTTTGTATTCTGACACTTTGACGGCATGGATTATGTCAGGAAAAGCTTTAAGTTAGTGATCAGTGTCTCCACGAGTGTCCATGAGCTTGTATGGGGAGTCCCTGATAGTAAACTTGTGCAGAGCTAAGATCTATTGGCACTCTGTAACATTATCTATCCAGCAAAGCTCAACTCAACAGAAAGTGGGCTGCAGTTGTCTCTTTGGTCTCAGGTTTAACCAAGTCACCGTCCTCTCGATCAGATCATACAACTTTTTCCCCCCTGTCTGCTTATCGATCTGATATCGGTAAGCACGTGCTGTCTCTGTGGTTGAAAACATTTCTGCTACAGTTAAAAGTAACCACAAACCTTCGGTGAAAACCAAAACCGAACATGAAATAAGCGGTTTTAACTAATATTTGACGATTTAACATTTTCAATCGATTGAGAGTGTGATCTTAAATTTAGCGGGGAGGGACTGACTCGCACACGTTGAGACTCGCTAGCTAGCATGGCCAGCGTTACAGCCCCGAGCTAACTAAGGACCTTCATCTGGACAATAACATAACGCGCTGCTGTGCATTTTCCACGAATGCATCTCCTTTCTATATTTTCGGGGACAAGAAGCAAATCCGCTGTTGTTTGTTTGACGCTGGATCGCACGTTTTGGCTCAGTTGCCTGTTAGCGGCTGCTAGCATACGATGACAATGAGCATGTCAATTCCATGATCTGTCAAAATAGGCTAGCTTTAGCTAGCATGCTAATCCGCACGGAATTTCAGTGAGGCCATTGTTACAACCTCATTTGTCGGCGTGGACTTAAGCAATAAACAAATTATGTCCTTTAATTTGTAGAAAAATTCACAAGGCCTCAGAAGCTAAAGGTTTAGCCTGCTAGATGCGTGGTTTGTCAACGTGCCGCCATATAGGAAGAGTCCATTTTCAAAAAGCCGGTCTGGAGAACTCGTTCCCAACCACCACCAGTTTCCACATTGTTTGAAACAGCACCGCACGATTCAGACTTTTCAGCAAGCAATTCAGCAACAATCACGTGGCTGATCAGAAGCATTTGCCCTACCTGCCGCTGGATCACCAACGCCTATGGTGTTGATTATTTAGGAAGATAAATGTGATATCTAAAAGACAGAAAAAGTGTAAAACTCCCGGCACTGGTCCGGCTTCAGTCATTCACTCTTGATGATGTAAAATGGCTGCCACGTTCACGCCTCGAGTTTTGTCTCGTCGATGGGGTTTCTTGGACAGCCCTGCACGGGCTTGCCTTGTATGCATTTTAGAGAGGAGCAGCAGGTCATCCACAGCATCCATCATCATCACCATCATTATCATCACTGAGAAAGAGTAGTTTTACACTAAATTTGCCCTTCATTTGACGGATTTAGTCTTAGTTAGTAATGCAGTTTTAACAGCTTAGTGGTCGATTTTACGATGTAAGGAGGAAATGCAGGAGTTGGTTCGATTATGGGATAAAAAGTTAGGATCAAATAATAAAAATATTGCGATATAGTCTATTGTTATTCATTTTCTTATAACCTACCACCAACGTTTTAACTTTTATTTTCGCACTCTAACTATCCTCTGTGCATGCTTTAATCTTCAATCACATTCTTAACCACATTTATTCCTTGACTACTCGAACAGACCAACACTTGTGCTAAAATACCCAACACACAATTTCAGCAAAGTATCTGACTGGAAGAAGTGAAGTAGGCCCCACTTTGCACCACATGGTGTCACTGTTTTTATAGCTTTCACACTCATCTGCCACATGAACAAAGGAGTACATAGAGAGTGAGTATTTTAAAGGGAAACACAAGAGACTGGAGGATTTGTTTGCACCACGAGTTCTTATGTTTTACTAAAGTGCATGATGTTTTGAGTATGTTTAAAGGATTCCTGCAACATTATTGATGGGCTCAATGTTTGCCCCCCCTGGCTGAAGTCATAAAAGTTTCCTCTTCCCAACAAACCCCACAGTTACAGAGCATTCAGAAGAGTCATGATGGTTTTAATGTTTGGAGAGAAGAAATTACACAGCTGCTGATGAAGAAAATAACCCATTATATCCTGGCTCCTGTCATATGGAGTCCAAGAAATGTAAAGAAGTGATTCACAAATCATTTTGTACACTTGAATAAAGTGAAACATTTTAATAAGTACAACACCAGAAATAACTTGAAAAATGCAACAGGATGCTGAAGAAAGGTTAATGATTTTTTCCCCCCAATTTTATGAAAAGTTTAAAAAAAAATACTCAAGGCAGTCTTTACATGCTCTATTCCTTCTGTTTTTATTCATAAGTTTAAACTCTGCAGAATTTTCAATTATCATTATCTATTTTTTTTGACAGATAGGCTAAGTGTTTGGATTTTTAGAATTACAATTTTTTCTTGTAGCACAACATCCAGAGACAGAACTAACAGAGAAGAGCAAGTTTACATCAAGTTTTGAATCAAAGGTGTTAATTGAGTACCCGAGATAGACATGGATGGGATATCTGCTCCAAGAACAACAGCTCTATTTGTTCATCACTTATGTGTACTTGATAACTTTTACCAGTACTCTTAAGTCAATATGGCTGCATGTTCAGGAGTGCATGGTACCTGTCTGAGACTCTGAGAAGCAACAGGAGTCTTTGTGAACATCAAGTTGCATCTTTTAATCACATGTATCATACTTTTTTTAACTGCCTGTTGTTCCTGGCCTAAAGATCTCTCATGCCACCGTGTGGAGAAAGAGCCGCTGTGTACCCATCAACAAAAGTAACACGATGTGGCATCTAAACTGTAATGAACAAAACCTTGAAAACAACTTTCATCCTTTGGCATCACTTTCCTCAAAGGCCCATCCTGTCATTGATGTTTGTGTTATCAGTAAATAAGACACAAGTGTATTTTTGTGTGTGCATGAAGTGGTGAATCAAAGTCAGCTGAACTGCCTTTAAGTATGTCTGCAGGATGTTTGGGAGACTAATATTGAAATAGCTTTTAATTTGACATGATGTTTTGTAATATGGAAAAAAACAGGAAACTCTACAAGATAGTTCTAGTTTATTTTAAGGTGCTTAGCCTACCATGCCTGCAAGATCTGAGAGAAATATGTGATGTGAAATTTCACTCTTTAATATTGCAGAAACAACATGGAGTGTTTCTATACATCCGATAGTATATGCAGTATTTGCCATAATTCTGTAGAAAACATGTCTCTGAGTTTTTTCACCCAAGGTGGCATCAGTCAGTGAAAGGGTTAAGGCTAATAAGTACCTCTAGCTTTATCTGACTACATTAAAATGGTATGTAAAGTGCGGTCATTATACTGAGGCTTACAGATGTACTAATGCTTAGACTGTTTATGTATATAAGTAGTTAATTCATGACTTAATTTGTAGCCATAAAATTGTAATTTTGGTACATGTGTATTAAAATTGTTCATATTGTGATAATAGTGGAATCACAGTGTGGTTTGCAGCCTCATTTTGAAGGAATACATACATTTAAATTGATAGGATTAAACTTTTAGATCGAGCAATGAACTACCATGAGTGCATAATAACTCTGCTGTGTTTGTTGTGTCGCTGTTTGTTGATGACAAAAAAAAGAAAAAATCATCCACAACATTTTGGCCCTCAGCTTAGCATCAGCAGACATGAACCACTGACCTCTCTGTTCTCTTCACTGCAGCAGCAACAGAGGGGATGTTTACACAGACGAGCCTCTTGAATACATGAGACTTGTGTATCTTCTTCAGGCAAGGCCGAGTAGGCTATGCAATCTACTCCTTCTTTCAGTCGGATCAATGTCCAGCAAGTCTGTGCATCTTGATCCTTGTTAGCTGCAGAACATGAGCCACTCGGCATTCACCCATCATCAGTCCTTCACAATGATTTCAAGTGGCTTTTCAAGACATGGAAGAAAGCTGCATGAAGTCCATATATTGAAAGATGTACTCCCTCGTTCTTTATTGCGGGGCATGTAATGATAACACACACACACAAAAACATTGTTATAGAACCATAATAAAATACTCTTACATAATCACAGCAAGAATCAATCAAAAACTAAAAACAAAGTAAGTTTCAATACTTAAACTGCAGTTTTCATTAGGCATGAACAGACCTTTTGTTCTCTTGTTAAGCTGCAAGTGCAGCAGTTATAATTGATTGACAGGACATATTGTCTGATGCCAATAAAATTACATGTCTCATATAGCCAAAACAATAGCAAGCAATGCTGCAGCTATTAAAATGGGAATTTCGCCACAATGATATTATGCACAAGCATACATTTTTTCCACACAGTTTTAAAAAGAGAGTAAAAATTAAACAACATTAAGCCAAAAAACTGTGCTCTTTGAAAATCTCTGATTGATAATCTTGTCCTCCTCAGAGTAGATTTACTAGACTTAGTCTTGGATTTATCACCAGCACAACCAAGGACAACAACAGGACGTGGGTGAGATGAACACAGACGAAAAAAACAAAAATACATCCATATTCATCCTTGACATTTTGAATGTTGAGGGGGAACAGATGGGCACTCCTTAGCTGCTAGACATATCTCCATTTATACATTACTTATTCCATTGATTAAAGAAATAAAAGCCAAATACAGAGAAAACTATAACTAGAAAAAATTATGTGGATATGAGGATTACACAAGAAACTGCTCCTATTTTTTTTTTTTTTACAAAGTTAAACCACATTTATAACGCACAACTTCTCAGATACTTAAACTACAATTGTACTTAAACATGTGCAGTATCCAACATGACAGAACTGCATGAGGATTTGAGTAATGAGAATGTGTTTGGAAATTGTTCAGGAGGCCCAAGTGGATCCAACAACAGTTTATTGAGCCTTTTGAATGTGAATGTCACAGTTAGGGAAATAATCATTTTTGCCATTGTTTTTCATGATTTAAAAATGTCTTTTGACCACTTAAAGTCCCAGACAGTAAACCTTGATGAACGAGAGAAAATCAAAGTAGCAACCTGCTGAGCTGTGACAGGACAATAATAACGATAACCTCTAGTTACCAAGTGACAGAAATCCAGGGATTAAAGCAGCATCCATAGTCAGGATGGAAGGATGAGAGAAATATGTTTCCATGGTTTGTTCTTATCGTTTTGTGCTTTAAAGGGATTATGAGAAAGGTTGCGAAGTGGTCAGCGAGTCTGTGAGATCATTGATAAGGTTGGTAGGTTTCACTTAATCCAGGACGTGTCCGCAGTCTGGCCGCAGGACACTAGGTATAAATCGACCTGTGGGAAGCAGAAGTCCTCAATAAAAGGTGCCCTGCGCTGAGACAGAGAATGAAGGAGGAACTTTCTCTGAACATGGTAACACTCTTTGTCTGTTCTTGCTGCATGTTTGAATTGAACACATCTTTTATTGTGGATTTTCTCACTTTCTTTTTATTATCAGGTAACTACTGCCACCATGATGGGCTCAGTGAAATCCACTGGACTCTGTCTGCTTCTGTTGTCTTTCCTTCTTTACATAGCTGATTCTCACCCCAACAACGACCTATCCAACAGTAAGATTTATTTAACTGCCAATACAGTAGGTATCTGTCAGGCTGTGTATTCCAGGCTGTTCCTAATCAGTAGTTGTTGATTTTCTACATCTTTCTGCAGTGGGATGCGAGGAGTGCACGCTGAAGAGGAACACTTTATTCTCTGTGGAGCGTCCCCTCTATCAGTGCATGGGTTGCTGCTTCTCCAGAGCGTACCCGACACCTCTTATGGCCATGAAGACCATGACGATCCCCAAGAACATCACCTCGGAGGCAACATGCTGCGTGGCCAAACACAGCTATGAGGTACAGATAAAGACAAAAGATGTGCCTGTAAAGGGTATCTGTATATGATGTGCCTGTTTAGTTAAAACGTTTGACTAAATGATATCTTGGATTAAAGCTAAACAGGCACATTAAAATATGCCTGTATATGTATAAATGTGTTGTTTGACTAGTTTTAGTTATATGTAATAGCACCTTATGTTGTTAGTGTATTTGATGTCCAGATAAGTTAAAGGGCTAGTCAATTTTAAAAGATTTAAATTTTAAACGTTTGGTTACTTTAAATATTAAAACTTAATGAAAAAGTCATCAATTTTGTTCTTGTTCAAGATTAAATCAGTGACTTTTCTCTTTTTGTAGCTTCTAATCCCTTTTTTAAATATGTCTTTTCTTGGATATCCACAGGGTATTTAATTGAATCATAAGTTTATGATCAAATCAGTTTTTTAAAGTAATTGTTCAGGGTCCACAGTGGTTATATTTACGTATGTTTTTACTATCCTTAATCCTAGTTTGATGGGAAAACACTGGGAACTGGGCTATTATCTTTAGACAGACCTGAAAAACTAGGATCCCATCATTTTAGCTGATTCCAGTAAATGTGCTTTCTATTTAGTTGGATTTAAAACACATCATTTTGATTTGCAGTGGCCAATTTCATGTTGAGGTACCATCAGTGTTTATTTTGCTTTTTGCCTCCTCATCTCTTTCTCATTTTAGACCGAGGTGTTTGGCATACCGGTGAGAAACCACACAGAATGCCACTGTAGCACCTGCTATTTCCACAAGATATGAGGGGCGAGAAGTGGACTTTCTGCAGGAATCATCTCTGCAACAAATGATGCTTCTTTAAATATAAAGATCCTGCTCTGTTTTAAAACGTATACTCTTGCATTGGCAGATGTCTGTGATGTATAGTTATTAGCCTATATTTTTGCATGGATAGATAATTATGATAAACTCTAGATTTAAAAGCAATTAAACATTTACAGGCGTGGCATTGTCATTAATTTGTCTTGTATTGAAATGCATGGTATAAGAAATCTTTCACTGTCAGTGGATGACAAACAACAATGGGAACTCTGTTCAACCTTCCTCCTGTGTTAGGGACCTGTTTTTGATTTTAAATGCTTCAAAGAACCACTTAAATAAGTTTTTTGTATCAAGACTTTTTGACTTTGTCAGGAATCTCTATTTCAACAACAACAAAAAAATAATAAATTGACAAAATTATAAAATGCTTTTATTAAAATCATGACACTTGTCGTGTTAGGGTCACCGTTGACCCGGTTAGATCAATATCTAATAATCAGATCAAAAAATAAAATCACAAGTTCACTGACAGTCAGATCCTCTTTCAGTCATGTGAGATTTAGGAAATCCTCATTTTGCCATGTTTACTCTGCACAAAAAACAACATCTGACATGTCAAGACATGTGAGATCAATTCAGTATAGATGTCTGTGAGAAGTATACTGACAAAGAAAGGCCCAGAGGACCACTAAAAAAACTATTATAAGCAATATTTTAATGGATAATGAAGCCTAACAAGTTAACCAAGAGATGAGAACCAAACTGGATGATAGAGAATTGTTTCTAGTGTAATTTGCGGCTGATTTAGGACACGAGTCAAAACCGACCCTTAACATGGTGGGTACACAGTAAAAGCTAAAACAGGAGGAAGGTTAAAGTGGTCGTGGTGTTATAAACTGTATTCACATTAAGAACTGGTAAGCAAATGAGATATTTGAAGGAGCAGAAAAGCAATAGAAACTGTCGCTGTAAATGAGTTATTTAAACTCTAGTTTGTAAGTTAAATTACAATATCTTGTCTGGCTTAACCTGTGGAAATTTAAAGAGAATCCATATATTTTATTGTAGAAATTTCCATGAGTTTTTAAGCAAGCTGACATACAGGCCTCAGTAATATAGCCTATATTAGAGTTATAACCACACATTAACAGTCATTATCTTCATGACCACCATCATTATATATAGCAACATGTTAGATTTAGGGCATTTCAGTTGACACGCCTCTGTTCATATGTAACGGGTGTTGTTGGAGCTGCCTCTGGTGTGCCCTGGCCATTTAGGTGAGGTGAGAAAAACGGGAATATCGTCTCATGATGACTGCAGGAAATAGCAGCTTTTGGTCCATGTAATAGCCTGTTTTTTTTTCCTGTTGATGCTCACTGTCTGGAGGTCATTGTGGGCAGTGGGGGAAATTTGCATGGATGGCAGACTACATCATGGAGCATCCAGGGAAATCCAAGAGTCCGGAAGGTCCAATTTCAGTGCAGAAAGGGGATTTTGTGTCACTGTAGGGTCATGGGTGCTTTGTTGACATCAGGGGTGTGTGTGTGTGTGAGAGAGAGTGTGTATTAAGAGCCACTTTGTGCTCTCCCTTCCCCCTCTGCGTGCGCGTGCGTGTGCGAGTCTGGCAGCGTAACATCTGTGCGTACGCGGTCGTGATTGTTGTGAAGATGGCGGAGGGGGAGACAGAGAAGGAATATGACACACGGAAAGCTAACGAGGAGCTCCGAGAGCGCTTCCAGGCTCTGACCACAGCTTTGAAAGAGAGTTCGCAATCTCCGCTGGAAGCCTCCCTGCATTTCTGCCAGGAGTTTTGCCAGGTAAGCCCGCTCGAACTGCTGCTCATCCCGGGGAGCAGCCTGCAGCCCCTCTGGCTTCCTGGCCGAGGATGCGCGTCTACGTTTGCTACAACAATGTAGCTAGAGAGCTAGCTGCCCAGCTAGCAGCCTGGCATTCAAGATGGGGGAAAAAACTCCTGTCTTGGTCCTAGCCCTTTTCGTGCTATTTGGCTGTGCTGTGAACTTATTTGCAAAGTCTGACTACCATGCGGCGAGAAGTCAGAGCAGCGTGTGCGTGCTGTGCATGTATTACTCGTATTTTCCAGGCCAGATAGCTAATAGCAGATGAATGCTGCTAGCTGGTATGCAGGGTCCCCCTGTCCTGTGCAGTGGTCATGCTGTGCAAAAAATGGATAGCTACGTTAGCGAGATTTTGCAATGCGATTGGACAGCAATGCACGAAATAAAATGGTAATACTCCATATGAAAACATAGTAACACCGTAATAACACAGCATCTCCGTGAGTGTCCAGGTTTCAGTTTCTGCAAAAAGGGGGTTACTTTTGTGGAGCTCTTATCGTACGGAAAGATCAATGGTTTTTTTTCCCTCAAAGGTGCTAGCTCAGGCCTTGTGCACTAATTAATCCAGTGAATTCAACATACAGGGATGTTTATTACAGCCATACAGCCAGCATCAGCAAAAGATCTTCAACTGATGTGAGTGTTACAGCAGCCGATCAGCCTGCAGCTGTGATTTGAAAAGGGAAAGTGTGGCTGTGGTCAGTGACTCCATTACACATCCATCCTGCTCATTAATTTACCCTGACCACGTAAACATCAAGCGCGATCCCCATCTATCTAATATCTGAATGATAATGTGTGGATTATTGTTGCTGCACCAAATGAGGAAAATATGATTAGCCTGTTTTTTTTCCTTCTTTCTCTCAGTTGGGGGAATTAATTCATGTTAAAAGTTGTTTATGGAAAATAAGGGGTGAGCCTCGGATTGTGTGCATTTTTGTCTTATTGCGGCTTATCTTATTTATTCAAGTTCAGCAGAAGGATAAAATGGGTCTGAGGAGAAACTTTTTAGAGGTGGGACTCTTGATCAGTGAAAAAAAATGGAGGGTGGTTAAAAGTGGTTGTTTTCATGGAGCCACACACTTTTTCCTTGTTGCCTTAGGTTTTTACATCTTGACAAGATTTGGTATTGAAGACATCATACTGTAAGATCAGATCCAATAACTTTTTTCTTTTTGGTGGTTTGTGAAACAGTGACTTTTTTTTCTCTTCAAGTAAATGCAATGGTTTTGAGAGATGCTGTGTGATGCTTTATGAAGGTTCTTGTAAGGTTGAACAGTTCTGTGTTATAGTTGTGTTATAGTTTTTCTACAAGCTTCAAATCTCCTAACCTTATTTTGGATTACTTTGATAAGAAAGAGCAAGAATTAGCAGACGACTTTTCAACCCGGAGTTAAACAGAGATACAAGTCCTGATCTCATGTTTGTTTCAGACAATTTTTTTTCTCTATTTAAATATTTCTGGTAGATGCTGCCCACCACTTTGATTAAGAAATCACTATTTGTTTGGCTTCTGTTATGAGAAAAGAGGCTGTGCTATCAAAAGACAATAGCCTATTTGTAACTACATCTTTACATCTACAACTGTTATACTGAGCTGAGATAACACAAAAGATAATTATAAAAGAAAATCCGGAATATTTAGAGGAAAAATAGTGAACTTTTCTTTGAAGGAAGTCAGGTTTGCACAGTTTTGTTCTGGTCATCCTCTCCAAGGCCAAATTACACACAGGGCCCACAAGGCCACATGGTTGATCCCTGATAAAGTGACACCACTCATAAACTCTAAATGTATTAATGTAAGTTAAGAGTGTTACATTTTTAACAAATACTCAAAAAGGCCTGTCAAAGGTGACTTCCACAATGAATTTGTTTTTTATCCAGGTTGTTGTCTTTATCACTAAAAACAGAATTTATGATGATTAAAAAATTAACAATTAAATACTCACAATTGAGAAAAAAAGTCCTGTAATTTTGCTTGTACTTATAAAAGTAGATTTAAGGCACTGCTGAAGATATCTTTCTTTTAATCATTGCGTTTGTTCCTACAAAAGTCATATTTTCCAGCACACCATAATTAATCTGTAATGACTTTTGCTGACTTCGCAGTTTCACAGCAGCTGTACTTTTTCGGTTTTTAAAGAAACAACAACCTTATTTCATGAGTTTATTCTAACGGTAGTTTTGCTCCGCTTTCCAGGTCCTTGTGGAACATGCGAGCCGTTGGAAAACTGACGAGGATCCACTGCCTTTGCTGGAGGTCTACACTGTGGCCATCCTCAGCTTTGCGAAAGCCGCCTCCTGTCTCTCCTCCGAATGTGAAAACGTGCCACTCCTACTTGAAAAGTTAGCACTGTGAGTAGAAGCTCTGCAGTGTTTCCCACACGTTGACTTTCTTTGGCAGGCTGCCAAGCTTTAATAAGAGCCGCCAAAGTATATTCGGTGACCCATTTTAGCATTTTTTGGGCATATTTTAATCCTCTAGAGAGCACCAACACCATCTGCATTGGATTCAGCAGTGGAGAGTTTGCTGTATACTTTATTCTAGATCCATAGGTCCATACCACAGTAATAAAAGCTTAAGAAATAGAAAGCAGAAAAACAATACAGGGATAAAGATACTGCTACAAGTCTTCCCATGCCCTGAAATTCATTTTCCTGTTTGTTCTGCAGTTGAAAGAAGAGTTTGAGTTGTATGCCTGGTAGAGAAACAAACAGAGAGAGGGGGATGTCTGGGTTTTATCATTGTTTAAGGTTTATTTAACCTGAGATTTTCAATCATTGACAAAGCAACCCAAATGATGCTGTGAAAATAGGTCAAGAAAGGTGCAAGTCAGTTGAAGTCACTACATATGGATAGAGTGAAACAGAAAGGGGCGGGGCCAGATAGTGTGTCCGCAGTGAGGGAGGAGATTTGGAGATTTGTGTGTGTCAAAAAGAAAAGCACATTAAGCAGATTAAAGTTATTTAACTTGATTTGAGTTCAAACTAATAAAGGTGGAGATTATAACTTGAAATGGAGACCTACTAACAGTTCAGGCATATGTTTTCAATGATGTGCTTTACACAAAATGTTTGTGATAGTATCATCATTATGTCATAGCTGCAAAGAACCACAGGTTCTGGATGTTCTGGATATCTTATTGGACCCAATAGTAATTGACTTTACTGCTAGACTAGTTTGCTTTATTCTTCTGCCAACTGTGATCTCTGGAGATGGTTTTGCTCAACATTTTACAGCAAATATAAAACAAAACACAACTAAAATCCAAAAGGACCATTAAATATGAGAGAGGGGAAATGCTCAGCAAATGTTTAAAGAGACAACTTAGCTGGCCATTCAAAGTGCTCTTGAAGTAGTTATGGAGGCAAAGTCCTTGAGGCTGGAGTACATAGTAGAAATGTAGGCTACCTCTTGGGGAGCTTTGACATATTTGGGATAAGCTAAATTGTATACTTTGCACACAGAGGAATCCGAGGTGAATGTTGTTAAACTGAAAGATGAAACGTACCGAGGTTTGTTTAAAAATACTCATCTGGCTTCTCTGAGTTGCTTTTTATCATGATTGTGTGTAAAACAACCCTGACCCTTTATCAAAACCTGTTTATGTAACTCCGTGCTCTGACTTTACTGACTTAATATCACACTTTGTGCACAGCTGTACTTTCATGAGGTGTGCATGCATCCTTGACCTAAATGTGGCTTTAACAAATAGCTGTGTTGGATCCACAGGAGCTGTGCGGAGCTGCTGCTCTTACTGCCCCAGCATGTCCCTGGTGCCTTATGGGAGGAGTTTCAATCCTCCATGAAGGTCAGTATCCCCCGAGCTGTTCAGAGAGGCTTATCTTTGGCCTGATTAGTACTACAGAAGTTGATTACTAGTTTCTCTTTGTTTGGATAAGCTTATCATTTAAAAGTAAAAAAAAAAAAAAAAAAAAAAAAAAACAGACGGACAGACTGTTTGGACCTGTTGGTTTTCATTTTATGAAATAATCTTGTCACTATGAAGAACTTCAAACCATCGCATGGTGACACACAGCCACTGCATTATTATTGTTTTTCCTTTAGTTTCATCATTTATTAACTAAGTATCTTTTTATTTTCGTTGCAGTTGGCACACAGCCTTTTGCAAGAAAGTGGGAGCACACAGCTTTGCCAGCTCTCAGCACTGGCGCAGCAGGATGGCGTCTGGTCCAACACCACGCTAAGCAGCATCCTCTCCAATCAAACTCCTCAAACAGAGCAAGGTGAGCTGATATTTGGTTGAACTTCTACAGGATCATCATTATTCCTATATGGCTTACATAAAAATGTCTGTTTCCTCCTCTGTCACTTTTGTTTCTTAGTCCACGAGTATCTTGAGCTGGAAGGCCCCACGCTTCTCAACATGAGAATAAAGCACCTAATCAAAGTGGATAGAGCTGATAAAGCTGCTGTTCTTGCAAAGATGTGCTCTGAGTACCCGGGGTATGAAGGAAGAGGAAACTTTAAACAGACTTACTTGCTTTGTCTTTGCATGACAAAAAGTCAGGAACAGCTTATGGAAGAGGTAAGACTGATATATGGCAAAAAAACATTTTACATTTCAACGTGTGCCCTCCTGTCGAAAACAATCAGCGTGTTATGTTAAATCCTTGAACCAACAATCCCCTGAACAGCTCATAACGATGTCAATTTTCAAGATTTTATTTTTGGAAAACATGATTGAACAAATGAACACCAAACAAATTAGGTTTTGAATTGGACTGAAATGAATTTCTATTTAGTGAATACATATTCAAACAGTTTGTTTCATTTTCTAATGTGCCATTATCTCTCGCTTCCTGCCAGATTACATCAATAGACTGCAAAGATGCTCTTGAAATGATCTGCAACTTGGAGTCAGAAGGAGATGAGAAAGGAGCTCTGTGCTTATGTTCTGCCTTTCTCAAACGACAGCTACTCCAAGGAGATGTTTATTGTGCCTGGTAAGTGTTGCAGTTTATTTCAAAGACATACTCCTAAACCACTCACAAAATTACCCACAGGAGTACAGCAGTCATTGAGTAAATGTATTATGCAACCTGAAGCAATCCTTGTAATAAATATGCACAGAGGCACCCTCACTGTTGAGCAGTGTTGTAGATTCAGTGAGTTTAAAGGTTTGCGCCTCTGATATTAAGTCCTCTCACAAATTACTGACCAAACATTTAAAAAGTTCAAATTTTTATTGTCTTAGTATTACATTGCAAATTTATTAACCGTATTTTGGGGCTTTTTGCCATAGTCCAACGAAACAAGAATCCGTGTGGTGAAAAACGATGAAGTAACTGCCCTTAACAGTTGTGTTTGTTGTTTTCCAGGGAACTCACACTGTTCTGGAGTAAGCTGCTCATGCGTCTAGAGTCCTCAGCTGATGCTTTTCTTGGATACAGCAAAGAGATGGCTCTGCTCTGCAGAAGTGTCTGTCATATTCTCTTTCTTATCAAAGTAATCCAAAATGAGGTAAGAAGATTCGGAGCTCGGAGCAAAACTATAACATAACTATAACACAGACTTTCACAGACCTTTATAGAGCACAGCATCTCTCAGTACCATGGAATTTACTCTTTCTTTGTAATCCCTGCAGGTGGGAGAAGTGGGGCTTCCAGTGTGTGTGGAAATGTGTATTCAAGCTCTGAAAATGACCTCCAGTGACCATAAAGATAGCAAATCTACTATCTGCAAGACAATTTCCTGTCTCTTGCCAACGGATCTCGAAGTGAAGCGTGCATGCCAGCTGACTGAGTTCCTCCTCCAGCCTACTATTGACTCGTACTATGCTGTTGAGTCACTTTACAACGAACCAGACCAAAAGCCTGAGGAGGACGGGAGTTTACCAGTGCCCAACTCTCTACGCTGCGAGTTACTGCTGGCCTTGAAGACACAGTGGCCTTTTGATCCAGAGTTCTGGGACTGGAAAACACTGAAACGCAACTGCTTGGCACTGATGGGAGAGGAGGCAGCTATTGTGTCATCCATTGACACTCTCAACGACACAGATGAACAGGAGGTGGAAAGTGCAATTGGCAAACTCCCCGAATACAGAGACTTGGAGGATTTTCTGTTAACCACTACAAATGAACTCAATGAAATCACAGATGAAAGAGAGAAAAACAGAGAGGCGAAAAAACTTCGGGAGCAGGGTTTTGTGTCTGCTCGGTTCAGAAATTGGCGAGCTTACATGCAGTATTGTGTTTTGTGTGACAAGGAGTTTTTGGGTCACAGAATTGTTCGCCACGCACAGAAGCATTTCAAGGATGGAGTGTATCTTTGTCCAATTTGTGCTGACAGTTTTGAAAGTAGGGAGGTTTTAGAGCCACATGTAGCATCACATGTAAAGCAATCGTGCAAAGAAAGACTAGCTGCAATGAAAGCAGCCAGGAAGGTAACCAAACCACCTCAGTCCCCGAAAAGTCCAGCAAAAAATTCAAAAGTTGCAGCAAAGATGAATATTAGCAGTCCTGTTAAAATCGAAGCTCAAACTGATGAGCAATTGGCATCTCCTGTTAAGCTAGAACAAACTACATCAGACACAAACATGAGTCAAGACTGTTTCTGTCCGGTCAAAAACTGCTCCAAGGCTTTCAAGTTTTTCCGCAACCTCATGGCTCATGTAAGATCTCACAAGGATGACGACGAGGCCATGAGGTTTTTAGAGATACAAAAACAGAAAGTGGTGTGCCAGTATTGCAGGCGGCAGTTTGTCAATGTCAGACATCTGAACGATCATCTGCAGATGCACTGTGGGAGCAAACCTTACATCTGCATACAGTTGGATTGCAAAGCCAACTTTAACTCCAATTCTGAGCTTCTCATGCACAGAAAAACACATCCTGAGTTTAAGGCACAGTGCATGTTCCCCAACTGTGGCCAAGTTTTCAGTGAGGCTTACCTGTTGTACGATCATGAGGCACAGCACTACCTAACATACACCTGCCAAACAGATAACTGTGGGAAGATATTTTACTCGCAGTCTCAGTTCTTGTCCCACCAACAGATTCATTGCACAAATGGTGCAGTCAACAGTTTGCCCATGACAAATGAAAATCCTCCTGTCACTCCGATAGTAGATGCACCACTCCAGAGCCCCCTGAGCACAGAAAACATAGGTCCTGCAGTCATCAGCCTTGAAAATATAGACGCAGGAGTATATATCAAGGAAGCATCAAACTCAAACACCTCACCATGCACATCACCAGACCTTTCTAAAGAGGCGCTTTCTATAAAAGTTAAACACTCGATTGAGAGCATGCTTAATCCTGCAGGAGACCCTGAACTACAAGAACCAGAGAAATGCTACACTCCTTTAGCAAGCCCTACTCCAGCAGCAACTGAAGTGAATCCAGTACCAGAGCCTCATCATGTGCACCCCAACGTTGCCGAGCAAAGTGATGCCCCTCCAGCGTACCCTGTACCCATTGCAACACATCCTGCAACAGGTCAGCAGGGAGAAGGGCTTAATAATGTTCCAGTCAGTGAATTTCCTAAAGTGGTCCCACAAATCATGTCTCCAAGTCAAATAAAGACAGAGGTTCCCTCTTCCATGCAAGGATATCCTACAGGCACACCTGCTGCTACTGCTGCTAATGAGGAGAATCTGCATTGCTGCCCATATAGTGACTGTACGAGGGCATACAGTACAAACAAAAGTCTGTCAAGGCACGTGAAGAAGCAGCACCCTGAAATATTTGAGGATTGGAAGTTGGCAAAGAAATATAACAAAGTGGCCAGAATTACAGCAAAAAAGGCACCAAGCGGGCCAACTTCACCAAATCAATGTCCGAACATGGGAAACCGGCCTCCAAATCAGTCAGGAGTACTATGCAACAAACCTGGAATGCAGCAAATGGATTACCCAATGGGCTGTTCTAGCTCACCTGCCCAGTGTTATCCTGCATCTATGGAGCCCGTGCCTATCACTCCAATGGTGAACCCAACAGTGTACCCGTCATGGGGAAACACAAATAATCCAAGTGGAATGATGCAGCCTGACATGTCCCAGTCATGGTCTTCAGCCCCCATGAATAACTGTTATCCAGAGGCCTTCAACATGAATGAGTACCCCTCTCGGAGCTACCCTCAGTGGCAGGCTGACCCTTATCAAACAGCAGCAGCCCCACCGCCTGATAGAGATCCTTCAATGGCAGCTATGCATGGTTCTGCCATGTCACATGCTCCCTCAGACTCAAGCTTGATGTCTCAGTATGTTTCTAGTTCGCTGATGCTTGACAATGGAGGCCAAATGCATAACGGAGGGCATCAATATGGGATGATGCATCAAGATGGCAGTGGAGACAGAAAAGCCACAAACCTGACACACCACTTGGATAATGGAAATAGTATTTCAACAATTGATAGCCTCCCTGAAGGTAGTTATCATACTCCATATGCTCATAGTGAAAACTCCTCTCTTACTCAAGGCTCTTCAGCTGACATTCCCATGAAATGTCTAAGTCCTGTGGCCCAAATTGCATCAAAGGCTGTAAATGAAACTGCAAAAACAGAGACTATTTCTGCTCCTGGTTTTGACCAGATAGACAACTCAGCCGATGGCATGCTCAGCCCACAAAGTGTCACGCATGGAGATTTCTCTTTCGATGAGGAATGTCCTAATGCTGACTGTGAGGGGAACATTTCAGATGAAAAGGCCGGTGACCCTGAAACACAAAAGGCAAAACGCAGCAGGTTGAGCAAGCGAACCAAATGGCCAGCCATCATAAAGGACGGCAAGGTTATCTGCAGGAGATGCTTCAGGGAGTTCACGAGCACCAAGTCTCTCGGGGGTCACTTGTCTAAACGCTCTCAGTGCAGGCCTGTAGATGAAATTGACCTTACAGCAGATCTGCCAACATCTTTCCTTGATTTTCTCAATGACCCCCATGTCCCTGACACTAATGGGCCAATATTCAACATGTCTAATGGAGATTTCTCACAGGAGTCTTGTAGCTTGACAACTTTGTCTTCACCCATGGCATTAAAACAAGAGCCGCAGTACACTAATATAACAGATTATTCAAACTCTTTATCTGTTACCCCTGACAACCAGCCAGAGAAGGCAGTCGGGCTGGCAGATCCAGCTCTTGCTGTACCTTATCAGGAGGATCACTTGATGGAAATCTCACATGCCTTTCAAAGGCTGGATTTGATTGAAGCTGCACAAGAGAAGATGAGGAACGCTATGTCGTTAGGACAAAATGTCACTCACACGGATGTAGCCCATGTTGTTGAAAAGAGTAAAAAGCAAAGTAAAAGTGATGACAAGCCCTCTGAAAAGGTACCCAAGCCTTTCAAGTGTGACCAGGATGACTGTGAGTACTCATTCATGACTAAGGAGGCATTATTCAAGCATCTGTGTAGAATGCATGATTACACAAACGAGATGATAGAAGAACTAAAGAGAACCCCTTCCAAACTGTCTCCATATCCCTGTCAGATTTGCCCCAAAACATTTACAAGAACAACAGGTTTGAGGATTCACTATGAAAAAGTCCATCGACTGTCAAAGGCAGAAATGCAGAAGCTTAAGATCAGTGCTCGTAATAGGCGTGCTTTCAGACTTAACAAAGATAATGGGTTAGTAAGCAGTACAACTACTGATGCCAATACCAGTCACAGTAAACAATCTGCAGCACCAGTTTTACTCGCTATTAAACAAGAACCACTTGACATTGCAATTGCACCTCAAAAAGAAAGTAACAATCTCGAAGTTACTCAAATCACCTCACCAGAAGGTGCACCTCAACAGGGCTTCACACCAGAGGTATCGACTGTTACAAGACTGCCATCACCTCAAGGCTTTTTGACTGATAGGTTACTCGGTGAGGTGGCACCATCAGCTCTTGAAAACTCACCTGAGCGACCTAGAGTGGCTGTTGTAAACAAGAGCCCAAATGTGAAAAAGAAATCTGGTTTGCAAGAGAAACTCAGTCCAGTTGGAAAAGCAAAAGAGCAGCTGGGGCAATCATTTGCAGCGTTGGGCAAAGCAAAAGAGCCAAAGTCCAGCCCCACCTCTGCATCCTCGTCATCCTCTCCAGAGAAACCCGGCAGCTCCAAAAACACGCCAACGAAGGATGATCTCCAGAGGAAACAGAAACAGCAGAAAAAGTTAAGCCTGAAAATGTGTGATGCAGAAAATGCCTTCAGTCCGTACAGACCATATCGCTGTGTCCACGAAGGATGCACTGCTGCATTCACCATCCAGCAAAATTTGATTCTCCATTATAGGGCCATGCATCAGGCATCTCTACCTGCCAGCAAACCTGAACCTGAGATTGAAGAAGCGAGCGTCCCAAATGGGCAGGCGAGCCATCAAAGCATAAGCAAAGACGATGAAGTCAGGTGTCAGGTGAAAGACTGTTCAAGAGTGTTCATGGGAATTACAAGGTTAATTCAGCATTACCTCTTACTCCACAAGTTCACCCGTGACAAAGCCACCTCCATGATGGCCAGCATGACCATTGGGACATTCAACTGTGACCAGCCAGAGTGTGCTCTCCCTTTTGACTCTGTGGTTAAGTACATTGAGCACATAAAGAACTTTCACAAGGAGATCGCTATCTCAGAGAGTGGCACAGTTGATCGAACATTCAGGTGCGAGTATTCAGGATGTGATCGTGTCTACTCTACAAAATCAAACCTCCTCCGTCACCTGATAAAAAAGCATGATTATGTTTATGATCCGAAAGCAAGTGATGGAAGACGGACTAAATCAGCAGGGCTCTTCCCTCCAGTTAGCAACGGGAAAGAGAATATGGAAAACAAATTCAAACTGAAGAAGAAAAACACTAAAAAGAAAGATGGGAAGTCCATTGAACACTGGACTAGTTTTGGAAAGCCTACACTAAAAACCCTCGAAGAGGCGTCAGCCATGTGCACCAAAAAGACTGCCCTGCAGTACCCATGCATGATAATAGGCTGTGATGCAGTGGAGCGAGCTGAAAGAAGTATATTTAAGCATTACACCACTCATGGCCTGACAGAAAGATACATTGAAGACCAGAGAAGCCAGTTCATTTTCTGCAAAAAGTACTCACGTGCCAGATTCAAAGAAACAAACAAAACGGAAGATGCAGCAAGCTCGTCCTCTGAGGAGACAGAGCCAGAAGACACAGAAAAATCTGGTGACCAGAAAACGGAAGAGCTGGTGGAAAGATTAGTCCAAGAAGACAGTAAGCTGTCAAATGATGACAGCACAGAATCTCAAGCTTCCACTGGGACAGAAGCAGGCATGAAAAGAGGCCGTCCCAGGAAACCAGCACAACCCACACCAGCTTGTACAGAGCGGATTCAAACTCTTAGAAATCGAATGACTGTTAGCTCAAGAGAGAACTCAAATCCTGGTACCCCTACAGCCCAAGAACAACGTGACGACGGGGCTGTTCAGGGGACATTCAAGCCTTTAGGACTTGAGGACTCTTTCCTTAAGTTCCTGGAAACCTCAGAGTCAACCCAATCTTCCAAACGCAAATTAAATGACAAATCTAGTGCTGAACTGCCGTCCAAAAGACAACATACTCACAAACACAGATCTGGAGTGAAAAGTAGAATAACTCATGAACTTAGAGGCTATGGAAATCTTGTAGACTTCAGAAATCCCCTTAATCTCAAATCAGCAAACAATGTCAAGATTGTCATGGATAAAACATTTTCAGACGGTGCTGATCTTTTGCTTAAGCAGCTACAGTACATGAGGCCCATGGTCATAATAAAAAAGTGGCTATATAGCGGATCCTAGCCCTGTATTTTGTTCTCACCACAATCTCACTCAGGATTCGAGATGTTATGCTGCAGAATGGTTTGTCAATGCATCAGATTTCCAAGTGATCATGGTAACAGTCACAGTACACAATGAAATGGCCTATTTTGTACTTTATAAAAAAAATGTCTCGGATGATTTTAAGTATGTATGTTAGTTAAAATAACCAGGTAACCTATAGGGCATAGATTTTAGAATCATGTTTGTATTTATGCTTAGTATTGAAGATTTTTTTTCTTTTGCTAAATGGAGACTTTTAAAGAAAAACAATGTTTTTATATATCCCTATGGGATTTCAAGTTCTGTTTGTATTTATTTTATCCTTTTTCAACACTAGTAGACCTATCTGTAATATTTACATGTCTTCCACAAAGTGTTCAATAAAATGTTACTGGTTCTTTTTTAAAAGAATTGTCTGTGCAGATCTTTTTTGTGACCTGTATTTGTCATGTAAAGGTTTCAGTCCACATTTAAGGAAATTTGTGCCGGATCTCCAACATGATGCACTTGTACAAAAAGATGAAGTGGGCTATAATATTGCATGAATACCTCACATACCAGGTCCAGGTTGTCTGCATACCTGCATGATTTTCACTGAAGTCTGAGCAAGATCACTAAGATTGATATTTTTACCTGCTGAGTTCCCTATTGCACTGAAGATTGAATTTACTTCAAAACAAGTTTAAAAAATGATCTTTTATTAGCTGTCAAGGTTAAATTTACCCTCAAGACCATTAAGTCTTATAAAGACAAGCATGCTGCAGATCCGTGTTATATGAGGCCTAAAGTAGAACTATCAACAAATCAGAATCAGAAATACTTGAATAATCCAAAGGGGGAAATTGCTTTTGTTACAGTACTCCAGTGCAAAACAGTAAAAGAGGAGATAAATAATAGATCAAATAAAAGATAAAATAAGTAAAAGTATAGAGATCAATAGATAAATAAGTAAAAATATAGTAATATAATATAAAAGTAAAATAATAAAGTATTTACACTGTAAATAACACAAATAGTGACATCATATGCAACAAAATATTTGAACTTAAGTTTTTGTACGGTTTAAAGCAAATATAATTTCTTTTACAACTATTTTAATGGTGTTTTTCATCTATTTTAAAAGCTCCAATATTAGTTATATCATAAAGCAAAGGCTGTGAGCTTGTCAGATATGATTTAGAGACGTTCAAGACCAGAAGTGTTTAAAAAAATTTCCGTGAAACTAGAAAAGACACTGAGAATGTAACAAAACTGGGGCCAGAAACATTTTCTCACACTTTGGACCTTCTTTTGATGATATGAAATGATATATCTTGTATTTTGGCCGAGTATTCAAAACTTAATCAAGTTATGAACACTACATTCAACCCGCGGAACAGTTGAAGTGTTGAACACACCCTCTTCCGCAAACGTCACTTTGGCGGGAGAAGTAGTGGCCACTTCGGATGGGACAACACATGACATTTTACACTAATAATCTACGCCTTTCACTATATATCCGACATTGATAACATCTCTCACATCTTTTTACATACTGTGATGTCTACTTCATCTGTGTCGAAGGTAATAACCATATATTTCGCATGTAACGTTGTTTTTCATCAACCTACACAGCTTGGAAACGAAATGTTGAGCAGCTTTTGTTATCCTTTTTGAGTGAACAGCACAGTTTGTAACCATAGGCTGTCATTCTTTTAGGGCTGTTTCGTCTTTAAGCCAAGTGCAAAGAAGAAAAAGACGCCGAGTTTAAGTAAGTAATCTGATGTTTAAAATAAAGTGTTGTCATTATAGGTAACGAGAGCGAGTTACCAAATGACAATATGTCCTAAATTATCCTGATGTGTGACCCCTTTCTCTGCACAGAGGATTATTTCATCCATGGCTGTGAAGGTGCAGAGGACAGTGAGACAAGATTTCAACTTTGTCAAAATTTATGGGACAAGATTAAAGCTGATACAGAGGTAAGAAAAGATACAGTGCATTCCCCTTTAACCAAACCTTCAATAAAACAAAATGAAGGAAACATTTAAACTCTTTTTTTTTTTTTTTTTGTACACCACCATTTAGAAACCAGCAGTCACCTCAAAATGCATACTCTGCATTGGCTGTTTTTCATATTAAAAATTATAATTATCATTTTTTTTTCATGTATAGACTTTGAGGAGATTTATTACTCGGTTGCAGGCGATGAAGGAAATTTTGAAAAGATCTGGGGACCTTTTCAAGACTGCATTCAGAAACTCTCATCATTTTGAATTAGCACTCTCTTCTTCTAGTTGTTTTCTTTTTGAACTATATTTCTGTGATGCTTTATAGTCATACAATTTAAATTCTTGTCTCTTTTTTGGACTTTTTCAGTTTTCGGTGACTTGTCTACATTTGTATTTCTCTTAAGTAGTCTTATAGTAGTTCATTTAACTTATTCTCTTTTTACTTTTTATTCCTCAACATATTATGTATTTGAAGATCTACAAAACCCGAATTCCAGCACTTACTTGTATTTCTTTTTATTTATTTATTTATTTAAATTATTTTTGTTATAGCTCCAGAATTTGTTATTTAAGCACAGTAATAGGAATATCCAGCAGTATACTGGGTTTTGAGGGAAAGGGGGTGTTTTTGATCCGTTTCCTTTGTAAAACCTGTATAAAACTAATAAAATTATTATTGGTTAATTATTATTTTTATTTTTATTTTTATTTTTTTTTATCTGTAAGGCGCTACAGGATGAACTGAACAGGAAAATATTGGACAGCCTGCTGGATTTCACAAGGAAGTGCTCTACAACTCGTCAACACAGTGACTGGGCGGCACAGATGAGGGCCAGTGAGATCCCCACAGCGGCACTTGTTCTTGGTGTGTTTTTTTTTTATTTATTAATTATGTGTTAGGCTCAGCTGATTGACTTTGACAACATTAGCCAAATTAGAATATGATCATCAAGTATAGTCTCCCTTTTTTAAAAAAAACAATAATTTTAGGGTTTCGTGAAGTCTGAAAACACTCTGTCAAACATCCTCTACAGGTGTAAATGTCCCAGACCACGACATGACCTTTCAAAGCTTGTCCGACCTACTACAGCAGTCTGTCAGCCCTCATGTGGCCTCTGTGCAGGCCAAAGAGTGTGGAGGTAAGAGTCATTTATCTTCATGTCCTAGAGTAATTGTGTATTAGAGTAAATATCGTATTATTCTTTTTATAATTTGCCTTTCTATTTCAGCACTGAAGCACTTGATGAAGAGGGTGTTGGAGAGGCTGATGGACACTGAAGTTACTCTGGATGACGAGGAAGAGGAGGTGACTGAGCAAACCAGCACACAGCTCCATAACAGTGTGCACTGCTCACTTGAGACACTCTGTGATTGGTACATCGCAAAAACAAAGGTGGGATTGTAGAGCACCGCCAGTGTACGTTAAATTAATTTGACTATTATTCGCAGAGAAAGCCAGATCATTTGGAAGCATATAAAGCGGTATGTCCTCTTGCACTCTAGAAGTCATTTTCTGGTACTCCTGGAAAAAAGCGTAGCTCTCCTGGCAGAGATGATCCTCAACAGCCTCCTGTAGTAATCATTTTCAAAGATTTAGAGGCATTCAACCCAAGAGTCCTTCAAGACTTCATTCTCATCTGCAGGTAACTCTGAATTCATCTTTCCCCTTTTCATTTAGTCTCAGTTTCTGAATATTTTTTTGAAAGTAGTTTGTCATGAAGAGAAATCTGAAACAATTTGCTTAATGCTCACTTAATATTTGTCATTTTGAGTTTGTGATTTTAAATATGTCAACACCACCTTTATGTACCTGTCCTCTATTCCACAGCCGCTACATTCAGCGTCTTCCCCTTATGTTTATCTTTGGTATCGCCACATCACCCAGCACCATCCAGCACATGCTGCCACACTCTGTGTCGTCGCTGCTGTGTATCGAACTCTTCCAGTCTCTGTCCTGTACGCAACATCTGGCCACAGTCATAGACAAGGTAGTTCCACTCTCTGACATAGTAGAAACTGAATTTTACAAACAGGGCGGAAAGTTAGACATGCTGTTGTAAAGGCAGTTGTATGCAGTGTAATCATAAACAGGATACTGTAACGTAATATACTGGAGAAGGGTTTTCAAACAGATCATGTTTAATACTGATTAAAAAATGGAAGTGTTGGATTACTGTTTGTGAAATACGTACTTAATAACTCTTATTTAAGCCTTTATAAAAGCAGCCTAACTAATAGAGGTGTAGCTGTTGTAGAGTGTACTTGTCTTTTATCTCTGCTCCTGATCATCCATTTATTTCATTGATATACAGACGGAGATGGATACAAAACTGTCACCTGGTATAGATAATGTGACCCACAACAGCAGCCTTGTATTCTCTGCAAAGCTTTTAATTTAACTCTAAATGTCAAGAAGTTATGAGTTGAACGAGTCACATAAGTCCCAATATTGTTTGCGTTTGTCTAAATTCAATTATCTATTTACTGTTTGGTTTTGCTGCTGTATTTGATTTTAATACGTAAACCCAGGCTTATAGTATTTTATGACCCTTTTTTTTTCTCCCAGTTGATCCTGACTCCTGACTTCCCCTTCAAGCTGAGTGATAAAGTGATGCAGGTGTTGATCAGCATCTTCCTCTATCATGATTTCTCTGTGAGAAACTTCATCAAGGGCATCCAGGTGCAAAATAAAGCCTCTATGCACTCCATTCTCTGTGTATCTGTCTGTCTAACTCTTTTCTGTCAAATTTAGATTTGTGCTAAACAACCGCTCTGCTTTTGTCTTTGAGCAGCTTGCTCTGGTTGAGCACTTTCACTCCCAGCCTCTCAGTGTGCTCTGCTGTAAAAAGAAAGAGGCTCTGCTCAATGTGATGCAGCTCAGTCACACTGACTTGGAGAGGATCAGGCAGCTGCCATCCTTTAAAAGGTACACACACACACACACACACACACACACACACACAAACACACACACAAACACACACACACACACACGCACAGTCGGCTTGATTTTTTATTCGGTTTGTTAGGAATGACTGTATCAACTACAGGATTAATGTCCAATTTTCAAAAAGAGAACATGCACTTTGAGCAAAAAAAAAAACAAAACACATCTACGTATGTCTAAATTTGACTAAATAACAAGAATCAGTCTCGTAGTGGTATAATGTTATTTATTTTGATCATTTCGTGGTGTGTTCACTCTATTCCAAACTTTTGAATCGATGGTTTTAGGTATGTTGAGAAGCAAGAGCTTCAGGAGCAGACAAATCTGACAACAGATGACACTCACTTAAAGGTACATTCCTCCATTTATTTCTATACCTCAAAAATGTGCTAGTTATAAATAGCAGTAACTAATGTGTGTTTTCTTTTATTTCTAGGAGGTGTGTAGGAAGCTGATAAAGGATCTTCACAAATATCACAAGAACTATTATCCCATTCTGAGGTGTCTCCACACTATGACCTCAGCTCTACCTCGATATCCACTTGGAAAACAGGCAAGAAATCAGCGCTTTACGCATGTTCAAATTTCACATTTTCACGACCCTTTCTGTGAGTGTTGACATGAGTAACTATAGTAACACTCTGTGGTGTATGTGTTCCAGATCAGAGAGCTCCATTTAATTTGTTTGGAGAAGACCGTATGGGAAAACGAAGATTATCAATCAGCCATGAAGCTTCTGAAGTAGGTCGATGTTGTATCTCAGTGTCAAACAAAGAGGCAATGTAATTATAAAAGTAACAAGGGTCTTACTTGTGAAAATTCTCATTCATGTCTTGTAGCCAACTTTTCTCCTAATATTTGTAAGAAAACTGCCCCTCCTGGTGGCCGAATAGCCACCCATTTACACAAACAGTATATGAAACACTTTTTTAATTGTAACAAAAAATCTAACTGTTATCCAACAACAGCAGAGTCTGCGGTTCAGTATTTCCAATGCTGCTTTACTTTTCAGTTGTTAACTTGCCTGGTTTCCCTTTCAGGATGCTGGCTAAAGACGAGCTGATAACTCTGCTGCAGAGGTGTGCGGAGATTCTTCAGCCTGTCAAGTCCAAAAAGATGAAGAAAGCTCGGGTCCACCTGGAGGAACTGCTTGCAAAGTTCAGACAGTTGGACAGTAAGTAGTAAAATTATATGATAGTGCACATTCTCTGCTTTTACAGTTTGTGCTATTGTGCAGTACTTTTTTCATTAAAATACTTCCTAAAGGTGAAAAGGGCAATAGAAATGTGATGCGTGTACATTTTTCTTTGATTTATGACTTTAGTGTGTTTTTACATTCTTTGCTTTGTTCTCAGCAGCAGTAGCTGCTGAAACTCAGTCCTGTGTGGAAGACAGTCTCATCTCTCCAGTGAAAAACCTTGGAAAGAAAACTGATCTGTTCCAGCTGCAAAAGGTTTTTTTTTTTTTTTTTATCAAGAATTTTATCTCCAGCGCATTTCTCCAAACAGACTCTCCTCTGACTGCTGATTCACTGTCATACTTTGATTCAGAAATTGTTGATTACATTTGTTTTCTAGACGCTGCTGGAAATGAACGAGACTCGGAGATCCAAGAAACTGAATCCCTTTGAACTCCTACGAAATGAAGTGGTGGAGTTCATTGACAGCCTCGTGAAGTAAATGATTTCACCAAAGTGCTCATCTGGAAATGTGCTACAACAATTACACTTCTGAAATATGTTAAGTACTCCCCTTCAGCTGACATCTCTCTCCCACCCAGGAGTCACCTGTCCCCTCCTGAGACTCAGACGCTGAATGAAGTTTGCTACTACAGCTCCTCTACAGCTGTGAGGCGCCACCTCAACGCAACACCTCGCACCTCCATTCAGGCCGCTCTCAGCAGCCCGTACTATTATCTTCAGGTACGTCAAAAACCCTCACCATAAGGAGAAATTGAAAACAAGAAAATATTAGTTTTTTCTGCCAATGTTCTGCAGACTCTTGGTTTTGATACAGCCTCCCTGCTGTCATGGCAGGCGCTTCAAAGTTAATGGCAAAGCATGGGAGGAGACATGGAGCAAATGCCAAAATATTATTAATTTGTTTACAAAAAAGGCAAATAAGTCAGCCGTGAGGTGTGGAAGTCGGTCGTCAGGTATCACTGTGATGTTGCCACTTTTATCTCAGGGGGTATTGAGTTGTTGCCATGGTTTGTAATGTAGATGTGAGCACAAACGTGATCGTTACCTGATCCAGTCTCACAGTCCTTCAATGTTTGAAGAGCATTTTTTCTGTCTCACTCTTTACATTCAACTCTTAAACCTCTTCAAAGTCCTTCACACTACTCCGAACAGATATACCTATAGAGCTCTGTTCAAGGTAAAGACCCTTTGTGAATAATCACTTTTTCTTTGCTGAGAAAAAAATCTTATAAAACATCATGATTCGAAGAGTTTTCTTACAATTTAATCGAAGAAAAACTCTTTATACTCAAAGGCTTTGTGAATACACCCACTGGGTTGCAGCGGTAAAACTCTGTAACTGAGTAGGAGCTCCTGAGTATGAGATGAGTGAAAAACAAAAGCTGGGTGAATAAGGTGAACAAACTCTTGTTTTTGGAAATTTTAAAAGTCGCCTTCTTTGCGTCAACAGAACAACAGCCTAAAAAGTGAAGAGGGGTCAGTCTCAAACGCTGCTCCTGATATCTGCATTGCATACAAGCTTCACCTGGAGTGTGGCCGGCTGATTAACCTCTACGACTGGCTCGAGGTAAGTTCATACTCTTCATTGTGTCCTTGTTGGTTTATGTTGCTCAACAATGTTCAACTCTGCTGTACCAAGTGAGATGTTTTGAAGTTTGTTTTTCATCCTTTAGACAAGGGTTTATTGATCTGAAAAAATCAATTAGTTACACTATTGGTCTGAAAATCAATAACTGGCCTGAAGTGGACTCTGTGCTGACATGAAAAACTGTTTTTGTTTTTTTTTACCAGGCTTATGCTACTGTTGTTTCTGCTGCCGAGGGCAACCATCCAGATTCTGACAATTTTGGGAAAGTGGATGAAGTCAAACAGTATCCTTTTTGAACTTTTATCTGCAAACACGCTTTTCCAGCTATCCTCTTCCACTGCTTCTATATTTGCTTAAGCTTGTGCGGCGGAGAGTCGTTCATGAGACTTCAAGCGAGCTGTTGCAGTGGTTTAGTCGTGTGGTGGATGAGGTGGATAATGAAAGCAAAACAGTCCAAGAATTGTGATATGAAACCTCATTCGTGAACTTTTGTCCTTAACTTTGTTCCGTAGTGCTCGTTTCATTCGAGCTGTGTCTGAGCTGGAGTTTCTCGGCTTCATTAAATCAACCAAGAAGAAGACTGACCACGTGGCTCGACTCACCTGGGGAGGCTGCTGAGCAAAGAGCACTCTTTCAAGCTCTTACCAAATTTGACTTCACATTTTTGTTCGTTATTTTTCCCTCTAATAAAGTAAGTGGTGTCTAATTATCTTGGGTGTTGGAGCTCTGAAAATATTTCACTGTTTTACACTTAAGAGGTGAATGAATCAAGAACTTCTGTTTCAAAGCAGTCCACTGGAAAGATTTGGATGTTTTGCAGCACTTCTACAGCATCTTTTTGAGGTGTGCCGACAGGTGGATGAGCTTTGTAGATGACCTGATTAGGGTCTGGTGAACGGAGGTGAAAGATTATTTTGACAAAACTGAACTCCACTTTGTTTTAAAGAACTCAAAACATACCAGGTCTCTTAGATTTTTATTGGTTTTTCCAACAGGTACATTGGTTTCAAAGTGATACCAGCAAAACAAAAAAGTTAAAATAAATAAAACACTGGTAGGGAGAACAAAAAAAATAAAATCAAATTAGCCCACTATATGCAGAACTGAAAAAGCAATGAACAGAGGACAAACTGCAAACATATTCCCACTGTCTCGTTGCGTTTCTTCCACTTTCTATCAGATTGACCAGCAAACCTCTTGTGAAACTGTTGCTTCATCATATGTACATGTAACAAACAGAAAACAAGTGACAAAGCCTGGAATGCTGGGAACCATTACAAAAGTGAGATAACTGTGGATACACATACAGCGGGAGGAACATAGGCCACTGGTAGAGATAGGGTCCATTTATTTACATCAGGAAGCACCTAGTTGCTTATAGAGTGGTAACAACTGACAACAGCTTCATATAAACTTTTGCCCAAAGACAGAAATATGGCACAGTAAGAAAATTTTTATTTAAACTGGCTGAACTGAATCTCTTGCGATGGTGAGCTTTTGTATTTTTCTTCCTTTCTTAAGATATCGCACGATAGCTTGCAGCAAGGAAAGGCGGTCTTGCAAAGATTTCTGTGCCACACTCAGGAAACATCTGGAAGAGAGAGAGATGAAATAAAATACAGACTTGTTACTTTAAACTTCAAAAGGAAGAGCTCAAAGCGAGATCCAAGCCCCTCTCGCGTACGGGCTGCCAGAGAGACAGGAATGTGAAAATGATTCAAGATGAAATGAAACAACTTACAGCTTGCAGGTTGCTCCCCGAATCGTCGCATTAACTGATCGTGTGTGAACTTCACAAAGGTGTCGTACTGCTCTGAAAATGAAAGCACAGAAAAAAAACAAATTTACCTCTACTTCCAGAGAGAACGGTCTTAACTCCAGGAAACGGAAAATCAATCTATTCCTGTATTGTAATCTTTCACACACCACAGTCACATTCATGAAAAAACACTCTTGAGTTGGTCAGACGTTCATCGGTTTAAGATTTTTGGTAATTTGATGTATAGTTTACTTCCTCGGTGTGTACCAACCTGCCAATTTTGAAGTCATCGTCTCCTCATACTCCTCCCGTACCTTCTCTTCCCTTTCTTTAAGAAGGCGCTCACAAATCATGCCAACTTGTCTGAGTGTGAATAGCGGCTGTTCTTTTCTAGAGGGGGAGACGCCTCCAGGGGATGTTCCTGGGATAAATGACACAAACTGTTCAAACCAAAGGCATCTGTATTTGTCAAATTACACATTCAATGTATAGTTATTGTGCTACTTTACCAACCTGACATGCTAGAAACATTCATTGTAGACGACTGGGATGGGGACTCTGGGGAATAGCAGCACTCTGACTGTTGGTAGCCTCCATCTAGATGCTTCCTCTTTTGAATGCGTTTGTATTCCTGCTTGATGCTGTTGAGGATTTGTTCTGGTGGTGACAAAGGAAAGACAAAGTGGAAACAAAAACAGCTGTCATTTTAGGGAAATCCATGAGCAGACCCTGCCTGATCACCGAGCAGGCCAGCAGAAAGTATCACTACCTGCACTAAGAGTTGAAGACGACTCCCCAAATGGCGAGGGCTCCATGCTGAGGTACTTCCTAGGGGCCGAGGAAGAGGGGGTCACGGGGATGCAGCGTCGTCTTTTGGGGGACGTAGGACTCATTAGCGGATCGAAATCCATGGTCCTCTTCAGGGTGGCTCCACACGCCATGACTTTAGTTTTGTTTAGGAGAGAGGAGGGGAGGGGGGTCCAGAATACCGAAACATGACATTAATGAGACTGACATTATTTGTTCAAGAATACAACAACAACAACCCATGACTAGTCTGTAGCGCAGCTTGTAAACAACAGAGATCATTCTGCTAAGAGCTTATTCTCTCGCTGGGAGATAACATGCTCAGCATACTGCGCAGCTGAGGCTTTAAATATCTGCTAACCAGCTAACCTTAGCAGCGCTATGCTAGCTGAGAATCCTAAAGAAAACAAAGCTAACGCTAACCCTGGAGAGCGCCGCTAGAACCGTGCGCTCCGGTGTTACGCACATTTGGACAAAGCTGTCCCTTACCTCTAAGGTGGAGGCAGTTGTTTTGCCCAACTGTGTTCAACAGTTCGTGTTGTTCCAAAAAGTTGCTTTCCAAAAGTTGAAGTGACGATGAGCCGGCAGCGGGCCAACAGTCTGCTGTGATACAGTGAAGGTAGGCTAACGCAACTTAGCTGCTTGTTTTAATATGTAGCTGTCGGCTTCTCTGGATTGTGACGTCATGTGTGAAAGAGACCGGATTGCATTCTGGGTGATGTAGTGAATCAAATAAGGAGAAATTGCAGAAAGATGTCAAACCATCTTTCTGCAGCTTTTCTGCATCTTTCTGAGCTCCTTCTTCTCTTGGGTTCCTCTGGACTGTTACTGCAGACATCAATAACATAAAACTAGGGTTAACTATAATTAGGCCGGCTGACTGTAATCACATTAAATTAATTTTACATCATCCATTATTATCAGGATTACCTCTTATTATTTGATCATAATTGTTGATATTGCTTTTTATATTTACTATCCTGTTTCCGCTTTCATCCCCCCTTTTAATAGCATTTTCCTTTTTTCATAACTATTGTATGTTTTTATTCCGGTCCCCATGGTCTCATTTTATGTTACATGGTTCTTGTATTGTCTATGTTCCTTGTGACATGAAAATGGCCTTCAGTTCCGTTTTAACTAAGCTTTTTGTTTTGATCTGTCTTTTTCCATGTGCTCTATGACTATATGTCAAAGAACTTTGTAAACTTCTGTTTTTTAAAAGTGCTATACAAATAAAGTTATTATTATTATTATTATTATTATTATTAATTATTATTATTAATTCATTACTTACTCACACAGCCAAAATTCTCTAAAAATCCTAACTCTGCGTGAAAAGAAACCATCAGTTAATCAAACCTTAAGCGCTCACACAGACTGAATCTGCTGTAGTTTAAACACCTCCTTAATGTCACTTCTTTATTCTGCAAGAATTATCTCTGAAAATAGCAAGTACAATCCTAGGCCAGTAAAAATATTTAGTTTGAATTTGTTTCAAATTGTAAAGAGTCAGTTTGCATTTCAGAGTTTCAATATTTTTCTCAACAAAGTGAAGCGGTATGCCTGCTTTTACCACCTTTGCATCATGTGTAATCTGATATGAGACTGTCTGCTGCTCTTTCACGGTGAGCTGATGCTCAGTTGACCACAAAACACTGATAATTCAAAGGAAATGTAGTGGGGGATTTTCTCTTGGGTTCTTCTCTTTCTTAACACAAGCAGCGTTTCCCACTTCTGCACTCCATAGACCAAGCTCTGTATCTGTGTACTGGGTCAGAGCATGTTAAACATCTACAGAGGATGGGTTTGAATGAAACACCAGGCCTGGTACATACAACCCATGTCCTGCCTCTTACAAGGCAAAGAGCCAAGAGTTCTGGCATGGCATTGAAGGGGGCCATCAAAAAGGGCCCATACCACCCCAATTCCAACCCTGTACACACCCCGATTCTAAATTGAAATACATCTTACATCTCTATTTTACTATTAATAAGTTTACTCAAGAGAATGACGGAAAACAACAGATAACAGATGAATAATGTACCAATAACAGCCACAAGATGGCAGTGTCACTCAGAACACCACAGGCCCTTGAAGTTGACTTCTTTTTCTGTGGTAGAGGATCTCAAAACGTACTGATCTCACATAAGATGTCTTAATTCCTATCGTAACTATTTTTTTCTTCTTAAACTACAGAGTTGTAATATTTCTGTGGGCCTCACAGTCCTTCAGCTCTAAAACACGCGAATACAGCTTTTAGTTTTTGCTTACATCTAAATTTAAGTTGTAGGCCTGCAGTTACAAACACTGAGATGCTCAAGCAAGTTTTCACCTCGAAATGGAAACTGAAATGAGCCACAGGTACAATTGTAATGTTTAACCAGAATTCCATTATTTTATTGAAAAAAGGAACCAATTGTGCTGAAGAAATTATGGAAAAAATAGACAAATTTCACATTTTTATTGAATTTGTGTCCTTGCTTGTACACAGTCATGGGACACATCCACACAATGGATGCTTCACAGAAACACAGAAGCTTCTCACAAAATGCTGCACCTGTCTGACAAGCACATATGTAATAAGCAGTTACATGACATCCCCCAGATCACTAAAGAATAAAGTTTTGATTTGATCAAGACACCGTCCATGTTTTGCCATGTCTTGACCAAATTATGCTGAAAATAAAGTAGAATAACATTTAAACGCCAAATTTCACGATATGGTCTTACACAATGTTTAAAATCATTGAAACTTACCGTTCACAAATGTTACTTACAAGCATTGTGCTTTTATTTATTCAACTGACATTTTGCATGATAACAGACAAAGTTTCACTCAACTTTACTGCCACAATATTGCTATGATCTGATGTCTGAAAATAAACTCAAGAGGAACACTATACCTGTAACTTAAAGCTGAAATCTGTAACTTCATACAAATTTAAACTACAGCGAAAACACAGCACAGCGTAGTGATTGTAAAGGTTTTTGTTTACAAAATGCCCATGAGCCAGTTAGTTCTTGTGAACAAAACCCTTGCTATTGTAAAATGCTATTGTCAAGGAAATTTGTTTAACCTAACTAGCAAAGAAAGGGTGCTATGTTCTCCCTCCAAAATCCACAGTTTTAAGAGACTGCTCACACTCCATCAAACATCTAAGCGGAATAATATACATTAAAATATTACAGATTTCAGCTTTGCTGCGACAAAAACGAGTTTTTCAGTTTTGTATCGAAGTCGTGTTTTGGCACATTTCACAGTAACAGAGCTGAGGACTAGGTGGGTCAGTACTTCCCTACATTAGTTGTACCGGACCTCGTCTTTTAGACTGGCTCTGCTGTAGAAGTCTCGGTCGCTCCAGAAACAGAAACTTGAGCTACTTTCACTCGAGCCTTTACAGAGCCAACTCCATCTTTCCCCGCCCTGCCTGCTGTACTTCTAACGCTCCTGCTGTTCCAGTCGCTCTCAGCACTGTTGTCCAGAGTCTGCGTTGCTCCTCGGCACACTTGGCAGATGTTTAGGAAGGCCCTGCGCAGGTCCTTGCTCCTCATGGCGTAGATCACAGGGTTCACGGTGGAATTGAGCAAGGTCAGCATACTGCAAAAGGCAAACACGGTCTTGATGAAGTCGTTCACCTTCCCGAAGATGTCGTAGAACATGATGGTCAGAAGTGGGCCCCAGCAGATGATGAGGGCCACCAGGATCAGGACCAGGGTTTTAGCCAGACGCAGATCCATGCGGGCCTGCTCGGGCCTAACGGTCTGCACTTTGGTTCCTTCCGCGGTATAGACTATCACACTTCTCTGAGATGTGCGGCTCAGCATGCGGACCGCATGGTTGTGTGACTTCCAGAGGATAAATATATAGGCGTAGATAATGAAGAGCACCAAGATGCTGGTCATACCGAGCCAGAACATCAGGTACTTCTGGTCAATGAGCGGGAAAATGTCTGAGCAGATGGAGTTGAGGCGCTTGCAGTTCCACCCCAGCAGAGGCAGCAGTGAGATGACTATAGAAATGGTCCACATCAAACTAAAGGCGATGACTGCTTTTGTCTTTGTGACGATGCGTTTGTATGCCATAGGTCTGTGGATGGAAATGTAGCGGTCAATGGCGGTGAGAAACAGACTGCCAACAGAGGCCGTGAAGGAGGCGATGACCCCAGCCAGCTTGAAGAGAAAAACATTGGGACTGTCCTTCCTGTGGAGAACATGAAAGTCTAGGAAACTGTAAACAAAAATGATGCTGCCTATGAGGTCAGCCACCGCAAGGCTGCCGATAAAATGATAGGAAGGCCGAGAACGTAGCGTTTGTGAGTGCAGGATTACACACAGCACAATGAGGTTCTCCAAGACTGTAAATGTACCCAACGTGAGCGCCAAAATGGCAACAGCGAGCTGCTGACCCGGAGTCAGAATCATAAAACACTCCATGTTGTCCACCATGTCCTCTCCACACTGTGCTGCTCCCCCACCTTCCACAGAGCTGACATTACTCAGCAGGAAGTCAGTCACGTTGGTCGGGGAAACTGGTGAGAGCCCGCCGATAATGACCTCTTTACCCCCAGGAACAAACCCGTGTAAGGAGTTACTCAGCGAGGACGGTTTCTCAAAGTGAAATCTGTTTTTGATCAGAGTTGAGTCCACGAAGGGGTCATCATAACTGGCATCATTGGAGCCGAGATACTGGACACCTGTCGTTAGCGTGGTCATTGTGGTGCCTGCTATCCTGTGCAGAGCTGACTTCATGGCTGGTTTGTGGAGGTGGAGATGCTCAGAGGTGGGGTTTGTGATGTGACAGGATTAAACTGGTACAAAGAGACATCTATGAGGAGATAAAAGATTTTATCCCATTAAAATGAAAAACTAAAAAATAAATGAAAAGGAAAAATAAAAAAAATACATACTCCCATAATAAGTCTTAAAAAACAAACACAACCCAACAATAACAAAGTTTATTCATAGCTCATAAAGTGTAAAATAGATTTGTTGCCAGGAGACATTGAGGGAATCTGTGCATCAGGCAGCTGACTCCTGAGCAGATGCATCCCAGACAATAGTGGGAAACAGAACAGTTGATGACAAACCTGTGCAGCCTCGGGGGAAATCATTGCATTAAGTATGTGGGACAGCCCGGCTTTCTTATTAATTAAAGAGGTCATTAAGCATTAAGCTGTTTTTACTCCCAATAATCACTGGATTAATAAGGCATCAAGGGAGGAACAACACAAAGGATGCACAAATCTGCTCAAAGATGCATTATGATGCCATTAATTATGATATCCCTTGGCATGAACAACTAAATCAGACATGTTTAAGGAGGGGAAACAATGACAACAAAAATTAAAAATGACGGCAGAAGTACGTTTAAGTTTGTGGGACCAATAAACTAGTTTGAATCAAGATGATGCGGATTAATCGACCAGAAATACTCAAAAGTCTTAATCAATTGTTAATCAGGAAATAAGGGTGGCAAATTTAAAAACTACAACAGAGAAAATGGATTTATGAATATAAAACGTACCTTGATTTTCTTGACATAAAGACGCTCCTGCTCCTCATGGCGTAAATATAACAGTTAACCAAACAGGCAGTAAATCGGTGTGTTGTTGTCTGCTTTCAGTGACAGCAACTCCAGAGAAAAAGAAAAAAAGACAGAAAAAAAAAAACAAGAAACCAGCGCTGTTATTGTTGCTGTTGTTGTAATGTAAAATAACCAGAAGACTTCTTCTCTTGACTCCACAGATACTGTCAGTGTCAGATACAGTATGAGGACACACAGGCAGCTGGTGGGGAGGGACTGTTAGTGGGAGCGCGCGGCTCCAAGGCTCCTTTTTGTGCGTCCGATGGTCACGTGGTCTTAGGTGTTCCAGCCTGGAGGGAGTGCATCTCCAAACAGCATCTCTGCACACCTTTATTTGCAGCTGCTGCATAGAAAGACACGAGAAAAACTATCAGCACACGAGGTTTGTTTACTAGCTTAACCTTCTCATTTTAATTAGCGTCCAATATTTAGGCGAACTAGATTGAAATATTAAACAAAATGTAGATAAATACCCGTTTGAATGGTTCTGATTTCAGCAAGCCCTCTATTTGCCCTATGAGAGCAATTTCTGTCTTTTTATGATAAAAGAAACAAGACTAGGACTTTATTCATCCCCATAATCCTGACAGATAGATAGATAGATAGATAGATAGATAGATAGATAGATAGATAGATAGATAGATAGATAGATCAAAATCTCCATACAGGGGCTTAAAACATAACCTCTAGGTACAGATACTTTTAAGTAAAATGAATTAAGTCTGCTGTTTTTTACCTAAAAATAAATCCTTTCAGGGGGTGTAGCCTCATCACCAACAACAATGGTGTCTTTAACATTTGTATTTCCACAATGTAAAACTGAGTTTCAGTATCATACATTACATTGATCGGTAGTAGCTTTAACTATTGCACGCTTGTTGTTGCGTTAAACCTTCTATTTCTCTCTTATACAAAACATCACAGTAAAAACTGAAAAAGTTCATTCTACATTGCTTTTAAACATTTACTGTAAAAAGAAAGTTTTTTTTTTGCGTTGTAGTTCTGCCTATGAGCCTAAGATGCAACAGCTTTTGAATTGAAAGCTTGTTTTGGTCGAAGCAATAAATTAAATTCAGTCTATTTATAGTCATATTGCCTCTGAAAGTCCATTCTGAACATCCTCCACCATTTATCTCTTTATTTACCACAGTTTGGGGTCACGTGCACACACTATTTCAAGTCTTTTTCCTGTCCTACACAGCTGCGCAATTATTTCCACTATGCACTCCCAGTAGAGCTTTCTCCCAAATTACATGTATCTTGTTGTGGAAAATACATGACATTTGGCGATGCAACATCATGGAGAAAAAAACAATGAAAGGATTTGCACGTGATGCCAGAGCTTCCAGATTTGGCAGAACAGAAGAGGCTGAGGAGTCATCCAAGTAATTACTCAGCACTTGTTGTGATGCGCTCAATGCAGATTCATCGGCCATGATCGCTTATTGCAGAAGTCTATGTCCAATATTGACCTGCTTACACAGACAGACAGCCAGTGTGTTTAAAACATTTTATTATTGATGACTGGAAGTTAACTTACTGGTTTGTTAATCCAGCTGAATACACAGTGGTTCTTTTATTTTCAGTGTTTTTCTTCTGATCAGGATCAAGTTTTTTTTGGTTGTTTTGACTTGAAAACAGCATCCATCATCTCTTAAAGCACTGGGCTGAGCATTGAAATCCACATCCATCATAATAATTATCATCAATATTTCAGTGTCATTCTCACTGAACATCACCGAGAGATGGAGGGATTTCCAAGACAAAGCCGCCCGCGATGACAAAAGGCCTCTGTACGACTGTAACAGTGACTTGTAGCTGTTCAATTTTCTCTAAATCCTGTTCCACCATGTAGGCTGTGCAGTTATGGGAGGCTGCAGCTATTGTTTCATGCCCCTCTTTCTTTGTTTGTGAACATTGCAAGTGATTTCCAGTGATTGATTTTTGCAGGATTTCTCATGAAAGCACCATAATGCATCTCATTTAATATTGATCCATCTCCAGTCATGACGGGTAATTCTCTGAGTGTCTGCCCACAGTATGAAATAACCATCTCCACACAGGCATCAAATTGCAAAAAAAGAAGTACACTTGAAAACATGTGAGAGTAAAATTACATTTGTATCAGACTTCTGTCATGTTTTGCACATAGATCTTTTTTCAAAAAGGCATTCATAGCCTGGGAATGTTGTTGTTTAGCACAAAACACACTGCAAGACGAGACTTTAAAGCAGCCTGTCTGTCTCTGATGTGTTTGCGTCAAGAGGTTGGAGGTAGGGAGAGAGTGGGATGGGAGGAAAGGAGGGGAAGGAAAGGAGGGAGGGAGGGAGGGTGAGTACGAAAAGATGCATAAATAGAGAGAGGAGATTGTGGCTGAACACTGACAGCTCTTAACCGTTTCCTAATCTGCCACTTTGATATTCTGCTAGTCTCCAGCTGGAGACACTTCATGCTGCAGCCAAGGTGGCACCACAGAATCAAACTGAGCTCAGTTTAGCAAAGATAAAACATAATGTTTACTAAATGTGTTCAGTTTCATTCTGCATGTTTTTCCATCTGATGCAGAGGAGTCATATGCATTTACTTCGCTTCAACGGGCAAAACAAAGGTGTTTGTTGATGCAGTTTCTCCATGTAAGCCGACAAACAGGAGACTATATCAGGGAGTGATCAGATAAATAGTGAGTAAAATGAACTGCTGGAGTTCCCTGTCATGTTTTCTCTCCTTCCATCCATCTTTTTCACACAGCAGAAAGGATGAAAAAGTTGTGACTTGCCACCTTCTGTGACTGAATTTCTCTGGACAGGGAAAGAGATCAGCGATGTCTGTCAAAGACGCACAGAAAGAAGTATAGAAAGATGAATCGCTGTTTAACAACCGCATCATTGTAGTTTGTCCCTTCTTCTTGTCTCTAACTATTAAAGCAGTTTGACTAGGTTCAATGTATAAATTTCAAGTGTAGAAGAACTGTTTTTCCGGCTGCAGAAATAGGAAGGATTCAAAGGCGTAATGGTCAGTGTGCAGAATCCCCTTCATGCACCATTTAGTCATATAAAGACCTTTTTTATCACAGCACAACACAGTGGTAATCACAAAGACTTAGCAGGTGGTTCAGTGAACATTCACTTGTGCAAACACTATGCAAATGAACACTGCAGGCACAGAGGAATAACTCAGGCAGCAGAGCCTCAGATTACAGCTTAGCTGAAGTTTTTCTCTTTGTGTTGATCCTGTTGAGGTGATACAGAGAGAGCCTACAGTGAAATACTAAGACCTAGAATCACTTTTTAGTGCCATCAACTGATTCAGAGCCAGACATTGATTCGTTTGCCTTCCACCCGGCTGCAGAATATGTGAAAACACCAAATGGAGCTGACTGCCATGAGACCAGCAGTCACCTGTAATCACATGAGGAAGAGTAGAAATGAGGGCTAATGCTTTAGCTGGCTGATAGCTGACCACAAAGGAGCTAAAAAACAGTATTCAAAGTGGGAGCTGGACAGGTTTGTTCGAGAAAAAAAAAGGTTATTTTTGTGTGTGATATATATGCTTTTATATTTGGAAAAAAGAAACAGTAGACAAAGTAGATAGGGTAAGAAATATGGAAGAAGGTAAGGGGTGTGGCACAGCGATAGACTGTAGATTGGAGTAGAACCTTGGACAGTTGCACTGAGGTCTGCAGCCCACATCAGGTGTTTTTAATCACTGAACTCAGCCGCTCAGCAGATCTGTTCAAAAGCTGAGAGAGCTTGAGTTGAAGCTCCTGTGAAGAGTTTTTTGACATCTAGGAAATAGACAAAACTTTGTTGATGTCTTTTAATCCGAAAGTAAAGAAGACCATCAAGGATTGGGTTGACTGATGACCTTTGTACAGTAATTTTAAACTGTTTTTACAATCTCCACATGAATTGACAAATTAAAAGTTACTCACAGGAGCTTTAAACGCACTACTTTTTTTCTATCAGCATATGACAGCCTTTACATTTCTGTTGCTGGCAAGAAAAAGCTAACAGAGTTTTTTTTTTTAATTAGCTTAGAGTTAACATACAACTCCATCTACTTTCTAACTTCAAAAAGTGCAATGTGACTATGTATCCATGAAATTAGTGAGAAATGTCATTTTAACACTCGTCTTTACTTTATTTCTTATATCAAGTACATCAAGACATTTCAAAACGTTAAGAAGGTGCTCTAAATCTATACATAACTCTGAACTGGAACCAAAACAAACTTGGACCCCCCTGTGGAGCGAAAGGATGGGGGTCCAAACACACTTTCGTTGGAGACTGGTCACATTTTTTTTGTTGAATCCCAAAAATCAGTTATGTATGAGCTTCTATAGTCTACTGCTGTTAAATCCTTCAGTTCCCTTGATGTAAATGTGCATTGATTGCCAAACAAACCTTTGAATGACATTTTATTCCCAGCCAAGGTTGCATGCAAAAAAGGGTTGAACGTGCTGTGAGGTCTTAAGTTTGGCTGAATGCATCACCTTTGGCTCCTGATAGAGTCTCAATAATAGCATCAAAATGAATCAAACTATTCCCATCATAAGTGGAGCAGCAGGAATATGTACTCAATATTCTTTGACAGTTTAGGTTGCAAGTATGACTTTTATGTGGTCCAGTGATTCCACACTGAGGTGATTTTCTTCCTTTTTTCATGTTCAAGTTCAATCAATGATAATGAAGTTGGTTGATTCTTCAATTCCCGCTGCAATTTCCCTTTCTTATATAACGCTGATTAAAGCTGTTTTAACTCCTTATTGTGCTAAGTAATTGGACGCTGAGCAGCTGGTTTAGCTGCTTAATTTTGTCGGTGGTGCAGCACCTATTACAATGATACCACATTGAAAAAGTAAACATGCACATGGTGGGTTTTATTATTGACGAAATACAAAATGAGGAAGGTAAAATTGGCACTTAAGTACAAACAAGTTATGGTTTGAAGTGAGAGAGCATAACTTTGATTTAAATGACCTACACTACTGCAAAATTCTGAAACTCTAGAAGCAAAACTTATACTTAAAAGGGCAGCGTACGGTACAGTCGCTATTCAATACTTCTGTTTGGCATTAAATCCTTAGATAATAATAATAGTAATAACTTTATTTGTATAGCACTTTTAAAAACAGAATTTTACAAAGTGCTTTGACATAAAGTCATAGAGCACAAGGAAAAAGACAGATAAATACAAAAAGCTCAGTTAAAACAGAATTGAAGGTC